GGCCTATACGCAGTCACGACACCTAATGAATTGTCTTGTCTTATGCAAGCTGCCCGTTGAACTAAAGAAGAAGTATCCAGAGGGTACGATTCTTTGCGTCAACAAACCCCTATACGGAATCGCAGAAACTGGGAATCATTGGTATGACACATACTCCGCCCATCACAAGGAAAGACTAGAGATGGAGACATCCGTCTATGACCCTTATTTATTCATTACAAAGAAAGGTAATGACTTTGCTACTATAGCCCTTTGAACTGACGACACCTTTGTTATTGGCACTACCAGCTTCCTAAAGAAGGAAAAAAATAAGATGAAGAAAGCAGGCTATAAGACAAAGCTACGGACCCAGTTTAATACTGGTTCTTCTAGCGACTTTAACGGATACCGCCTAGAATTTCAGACTGTGAACATAACAGCGACTCAAAAGGGACAAACTGACAAGCTCGTCCTGATTGACATGAGTGATGAGGACTACAAGCAGAGATTTGTTGAGCAACGAGCGAGGGGCGCCTACATTGCCTCCATCTGTCAACCAGAAGCCGCATTTGACTATTCTGTCACAGCCCAAGCCCAAGAACCCTCTGACAAAGATATCAAGATGTTAAACAAACGCATTCAGTGGCAACTAGATAACAAGTCACGTGGACTTCGATTTGTAACGGTTGATCTATCTATTGCTAAACTCTTTGTGTTTGTTGACGGATCATTTGCCAACAATAAGGACCTATCATCACAGATCGGATTTGTCATTATCCTCGGGAGTGAATCATCTGGCAATGGCGAGACATTTACATTTGATCTGACTGGAAACATTATTCATTGGTCCTCTACTAAATGCAAGAGAGTTACACGGAGCGTTCTAGCTTCTGAAGTATATGGCATGGTTGCTAGCTATGATTATAGATACGTGATCCACTGTACACTGGCAACTATCTGCCAACGCCTTGAAGTACCTACAATCCCCCTGATCCTCTGCACAGACTCATACTCGTTGTATCAGTGCCTTGTCAAGCTCGGCATTACCAATGAGAAGTGTCTGATGATCGACGTCATGGCGCTCCGGCAGTCATACGAGAATCATGAGATCACAGAAATCCGATGGATCCATGGTGAGGATAACCCTGCTGACTCGATGACCAAGTCGTCTCCAAATAAAGCCCTTTATGGTCTTGTTTCTGATAACAAGACAACGGTTCAAGTTGAAGGCTGGGTTCAACGTTGAGATCACCTGGATGGATGGTTTGGTGGAATCGCAATCATAAAAGAAAGAGTATCCTGTGTTGGATCTATGCAATTCCAGCCTGCAAACCATCTATACCAAAACCCACATGTATGATTAGATAAGAGATTAGATACCGGATTGTGAGGTTACTTAGCCAGACCTTCAGGTCCAGCTGGACCTTCCAATCCAACCATTAGCAACATCATAACCTTGACCCCATACTCGAGTATTATGATTGATCGTTCAAGCCTGTTCTAACAGTTTAGTTATTTACACAGAATTATTAATAAGTTTCAAATAGCAGATTTTTGGTTTTAAAAAAGTATCATACTTTTATTACTATATAACATATTACTATATTTAGTTTGAATAACAAAGTACGTAGTTTAATATCACTATGTTAAATTTAAAGTTAATATTAATTATAATAATAAATCAGTTTTCTTATTATTGAAGCTGATCCATATGGTTAGCTTAAAGAATAATCGGACGGATAAGTTTATGCTAAACGAGCTTAATAATATTTTTGTCGATAAAAAGACATATAATATTTAGTATTATTTATTTATTAAAAGTGGTGGTAAAAATTGGAATGTTTTATTATTATGTTTTATTTGCTTTGAAGAAGCTGTAATTATATAAATAATAGACGATTTTAATCCGGAATAAGCTTATATATTAAAAAGACCTAACTCGATTATTTAAACTAGATTTATATTAAAAAGAAATACTTATTTGACGATTTTCCAAAAAAATAAAAGATTTGGATATATACAGTTGGCAAGACTATAAAAAAAGGTTATTAGTAAGTATACTTAAAAGCTATTTATTTATAGCTTTTTTAAGCTTATATAATTAAACCTTACAAATTTAAATAACTTATTATTTTTTATTGAGAAATTCAAACGGCTAAAGATTAAGATCGGAGGTTTTATATAGTTAACAACAACCTTTTAATTTAAAAACATATTTGGAAAAGAAAATCCAGGTTGTTCTTATTAACTTAATAAAGCGGATTTTTTTATAATGCCGGCAAAGTTTTTACCCTTCAAACACAAAAGTAAGATATTAGGTAATTTTGTAAATTTTTGATATAAACTTAAAGATATTATTTATGTAGTTAATAATTGACCGAATAATTTTATAAATTTCAAATATTAATTTGATCCTAGTATTTACTTAATTAGTAATTGTTTTTCTAAAAAGATACGATACATTTTAGTCAAAAGCGTAAAAAAAGCGCGTTATTATATTAATTATACCGGCTTTTAAAAGGCCCTTGATAGTACCGCTTTAAAACTATCGGTAAGAATGTTATGAAAACGTAAATAAAAAGTCGTTATAAAAAGGTTAACGCTTTTTCGTTTTACTATAATAAGAATGTTTAAGTTAATGAGCCGAACCTGCACTTTTCAAGGTAAATTCTCGTTATAAGCGCTTTTCAAAAAATTAAAAGCTAATCGAAATAATTCGGCTTTAAAAGCTCTAAGTATGAAAGTAAATAAAAAGCAATATGTTATAAAACTTACCAAACTTTTTTTACTATTGTTATTTTTACTTTCAACATTGAGATTAAAATTTAGGTCTTTTTAAAAGTTCGATTTAAACTTTAAGAAGTTTATAAACTATTTATTTACGACACGATAACATTCCTAATACTTTGAAACTTAGAGTTTCTAAAAAGAATGCCATTTGCTCCTTTATAATCGACCTAAATACACGAGCATCTCTTCTCCGGTACAGTTATATTAAAGATATGGCTAATCAATTGTTGGCAGTGCGTGTGACTGGACGTATCAAAAAGAACTGGAAAGTGTACTTCATTAAACGTATACCAGGCCTGCGGACGCGTTTTTATCATAGGATGGACTATTCAAGGATCTTGAATGAAGATCTAGACGTGTATTGCGCGTGGTTTTGCCAAGTTGCGGCAGCAATCGCAAAACATGGCATCCAAGACGCAGATATTTATAACTTTAATGAGGCTAGGTTTATGATGGGCATTATTGGGTCCGGTATAGTTATTATAAGCGCCAAAAGATGTGGCAGGTCTAGGCAAGCTCAACAAGGTAACAGAGAATGGTCTACAGAAATGTCTGCTATCAATACTGATGGTTAGGTGATCCCACCATTCATCATTTTACAAGGCAAAACCCACCTCATGTCATGGTATTGTGACACGACATTACCACGCAATTGGAAGGTGGCCGTTTCAGACAACAGGTAGACTATGAATGAGATCGGTTTGAAATAGATTCAGTATTTCAACAAGTATACCAGACCGTGTATGACTGCTGGTAAACGCCTCCTCATCCTAGATGGTCACAAAAGCCACTATTCCCAGGTCTTTGAGGATTATTACCAGAATAATGGTATCATTACTTTTTGTATGCCTGCCCATTTGTTACTCAGGCTCTAGCCTTTAGATATCAGTTATTTTAGCCTGCTCAAACAAGCTTATGGTCGTATGATTAAGGGTCTCATTTAGCGTCATATAACCCATATATCAAAAGAGGACTTCCTTACAGCGTTTTATGAAGCACATAATGCTGTTATAACACCAGGAAATATTCAAACAGGTTTTAGTGCTATTGGGCTTGTTCTTTTTGACACAAAAAGTGTCATTTCAAAGCTGGACGCTGTCACTGTCGTACGAACACCGTCGCCAGACCCCAATCTGCCACCCACTATTTGGACTTCAAAGACGCCTACCACTATTAATGAAGCGGTAAACCAATTAATTTATATCCAAAATCGAGTCAGAAACCACCAAGAAAGCTCACCTACATCAATAATTGATACATTGAGCTTGTTTTTAAAGGCTAAATACGGTCTTATGCACAAGGTTGCTTTGATTAATTCCCGGGTCCGTAAGCTAGAAGAGGCTAATCACTTATTAAATAAATACTGGCGGAAAAAATTTGTCTAATAAAAAAAGAAATATTTTCTATTAAAAATGCGATAGGTCTTCAGGCTACAAAGAATGGTGGTGAACTGGCAAGACAGAAAGTGAGTGAAGGTAGTCGTTATACAAACAGGGCCGCAGTGCGTGAGCGACATTGTGGCATTTGCGGTAACACTGGCCATAATGCACGAACTTGTACAATAGAGATAGAAACATTGAAAGAAGAATAATCCGATTAATTAGATTAAATTAAATGCTTTGTGATCGAGTTATTTAACATGTTGGTTGGAAGGTTGAAAGGTTGGTAGGAAGTTGTCGTTTATTGAATATATGGATGTTGATTGATAGATGCTATTGATTGTTCTGCTTTGTGTGCAGAGATTGATCATCTGTCTTCTTGGTGGGTCAGATGCCCTGTGCGTCTCTGCCCCACTGGAGATCTTCCGGTGTCTATCTCCGGCTCCCATTCAACATCGTTGGCTTGTAATTGCCGCTCGCTTGTCATCTACGTTAATATAAACATATAATATTAGAAAAAACTCGTAGTAAAAGATTTTTAAGGCGAAAAAAAAGCTATAACAAACTAAAAACTAACGTAAACTAGTATGCCCCGAAAAATGCCGACGTATAGAGAATACCTAGACAAGATCTCGTAAGGGTAAAGCTACTAAGGCTTAATAGTAAGCAACGCTCTTACAAACACTAAGTGGAGGGGTGGCCACGTCTTGTTTGGTATCATAAACATAAAGTCAGCAAACTCCTGCTGGTGCACCCAAGAACCCGAATCAAAGACCATGTTGCCCTGCATTGTGAACCCCGTGGGTTTCAGGGTGTTTATACTTAAACCAGGTTGAGGAGCGGCGCTCGACTCTACTGATAGATATCCCAAGCACGTCTCTCTACGCCGGACTCGCATCTTGTTACCGATGCCAGAACCCAATTCTTGAATAAGTGTGAGCGGAGGCTCTCTTCCATCGACGAAACCTGACTCGTACTCGTCCAGTATCTTGATCCGAATGGACTTGGCCACGATACTTGAAATAAACCTCCAGGACCGGCCAGCCCATCCCCCCAAGGCAGTACGTCGTTATCGACGACCTGGAAAGGTTTCGTCTTGATGTAATTGCTCTTGCCCGCATTTTGGCTGCCGTCCAGATACCCGACGGCCTTGTACTCGTGCGGGTCCGTAAACACAGCTGCATCCATGGTCCTGTTATACACTGAGTCGCTAACAGAGTGATGAACTGGCCCGGCCTGAACTGCAGTCCGTCTGATAGAACGGCTCCGCGCTCGGCTGCGCGACTGTAGGTGATGAAAGCTCCTTGCGATAGGCGGCTCGTCTCCTTCATCGCACTTGAGTAACACAAACTCTTAGAAACATGGGTGTGTGCCAATCCCGCACCCTTTTTCAGAATTGGAGTGCAACCTGCGCCCATAACGTATTGGTTCACGATGTAAGGGATAGATCCGGTTCGGCCGGTCTGTCAGCATCAACAACACATCTTCACTCCCATGGCAGCTGGCCCGCAACTTCGACCTGTTCTCATTTCCGATGGTCGTGCTTATTGAGCGGTACCACGGCGGTTAACTCTCCTGGAACGGTACTACACTTTGGCATTGCTCTACAGCATGAGCATACCTCCCGAAGCTTTGCTGCCACACAACTCAAAGATTCCCATTTCACACTTACAGGCGCAGGCTCATCTCGGGATGCAAGCTACACTTCTCAGGGACCTGGTACCGATAGGCGCCTCAAAGCTCCTCACAGGATACAAAAGCTTACGTTCTCGTATTGACGATTACTTACTCTATGGCTGGTTCTAACTCTTGTTATGCGTGTTCATGGTCAGCTGCCCGACTGAGTAGCACTGCTGCAGTGTTGTTCGTTTAGTTCGGGTATGGTCAATTGCGACATTTTTTCCCAAACCCCTCGAATGAGGTGACAAGGATGTGACTGAAACGAGATTTTTGGGTTCCAGGTCATCATCTCCAATCGTCCGGTGACTCTGTCATTTGCCCGCTATGAAGCATTGGGATTATCGAAATTAGTGGACTGCGTGGTCACACGGTAACTCACAACTGCTGGTGTGCTTGGCGTATGACTGAGGATCCACTACGACAAGCTTCACACACGGCTATAAGTTGAATGAGGAAACTACAGGACTTCTCCCAGAATCTTTACTATTAACACGCGCTTGACCTTTCATTACAATACCGCCAAACCGGCTGAAGACCCCACCGACCACCATACTAACAACACCGACAACACCGACAAACACATAACTGGAAGTATTGGATAACTCATCCTTCCCGAGCCTATCCTTCCTATACACGTTACAATGTTCCTGGAATTATATCACTTCATTGCGCTGCAAGCGCTCTGGACACTCGCGGTGGCTGCTGCTTCGTCTTGGGTCGCCGACAGTGCTTACAAGGCCAGAAGCGAAACCGGTACTGATCCGGCCTTTACAATACCTGAGAAGTGGGGATGCGACTGTGAGAGTTGTGAAGCACGCATGAGCATTAGGAATATTACAGAAGAATTGGACCCTGGCGAGGATCGCTGTTGATAGGGCTCTTGAGGCTCTGAATGCTACTTGCGCTACCTTCGACTATGTAGAAGAGGCACTTCTTAGAACTCACATTGCCCTCAGACCGAGAATTAAATCAGGAGACGCTTCTTGGGAGTAGTAGATGTTCGGTTCACAGCAACAGTACCTCGTCAGCACCACTAAGCGGGTCACTTACAAGATGTCGGCGTCCTATCCCTAGACGCTTACAAGACGAGGTATCTCTAGCAATGCAGTACATTTCTTGAGACCAACTGAATGCCCCTTGAAGCCCATGATCGGACTGTCAACGCTATCTTTCAACCGCCATCGACGCTCGTGACGTTCATGGAAGTAGTCCCTTTCATGTTATACACTACCCCTGTACAAGCATGGTAGGTGACCCAGTGCTTATAAGCCAACATCAATGCGATGCCAGCGATGGTTGTTGATTTTATGGCAGATCAGGCCAATCGCTCGTCAGATGACCATATGACATCTGGTAGCCCTCGGCGCTGAATTACACAAAGCGAGGCAAACATTCGCTACGCCTTACGACTAGGAAGCTGCAGGACGCACAAAGATCTTTATCAACCTGTCGGCAACATGCCTATGATTCCAATGCCAACCAAACCAGCTTTCTTCTCGGGTGGTTCATACCGAGCACCTACAAACTGCAGCTCATCCATGCTCGCGAAGGTCGCTCGCCACTGGTCAAACAGCTCCCCTGACCGCCCTTATCGCCTCGCAGATCATGGCGGGGAAGACGTTGGGGTTTGCGCCCACGTCATGGCCGTATCTGGGTATGAGTGTAACGTTAACGCTGACCATTTCTGGCCTAGAAGTCATCGGCCTGGTACTCACTGAAGGGCGCGATCGAGGATCGCTTATCTCTGATGCCCGGTTCGCTCATCCGGGTAAGATAGGGCACATCGCTTGCAGCGATGACCAGCGCTTCGTGAGGTCTCACTTGACAACACCCAGCGAGACCATTTTGTCGTATTCAACTCTTCGTGCCTCATAGATCGCCTCACTCGAGAAACACGACTTCAAGATGTTGCAAAAGACACAGACTGGGACTTGGCTGCCAGCATGGGTACCGCAGTCCACCGTGACTGTATCAGTCTTGCTCGTGCTGTGCTCGATCGTGCAATCAGCAGTAAGTAAGCTCGAGCTGCCAAACGCCCGCGCCTGCTAATGCATACCAGACGGGCGGCTATGACGGCTCCATGCTCAACGGCCTCAACATCCTGCCGTCGTACACGGATTACTTCCAACTCACAGCAGCGACCACGGGCCTGAACACCGCCTCCGTGTTTCTGGGAGCCACCATAGGGACGCTGTCGTCGGGCATCATCACCGATAGGCTAGGCCGGCGTCCGGCCATCTTCTGGGCTTCGGTGATCACGCTTCTCGGCATCGTGATCCAGACTGCGGCGCAGAATATCGCCATGTTCGTCATCGGACGAATCATACTTGGCGTTGGAAGTGCCATCTCGGGCATCGCGTCTGGAGTCTATCTTTCAGAGGCTTTCCCGAGCCGATGGCGCGCTTGGGGTGTTGGCTTGCTGAATGACTTCTATTAGTGAGCCTGCGCGGAACCCCTTCTTAGGTCATGTGCCGGGGCTGACTGACCTACACAGCGTGGGTGCGCTGATTGCTGCGGGCATCACACTCGGAACCGGTCAATGGCAATCAACTGTGAGCGTCATTGAGCTGCAGCGTGGCATTTTTCCCCGGAGCCCGGTCACCATTCACGCCTGGTTGTTGCTGACGATTAGAAGTGGGCGTGGCGGCTACCGTCTCTCATTCAGGGTATTTTCTCAGTACTCTGCATCTTCATCTTGCCTTTCGTGTGAGCCGCCACCAGTCACCGAGCACGAGGTTTCGAACTAACATGTCAATCAGCCCTGAGTCCCCGCGCTGGCTAGTCCACGAGGGGTTCTTCGAGTACGCGCGTATCTCGGTCGCGCAGACCAACTCGAACAGTGACCTCTCGGACCCTGTAGCGATCACTGTCTACAAGGAAATCCTCGACACGCTAGAATGGGAGAAGAAAGAAGGCCGAACGATGAGCCCCCTAGAAATCGTCAAGACCCCAACTGCGCGAAAACGTCTCCTCATCGGCATGTCGGCCGGGCCCTTCTCGTGCATCGCCGGCAACATCATCGCGTCGTACTATCTGGGCGCCGAACTCGCGACAGCAGGTATCACGGACTCGACGGACCAGCTGAAAGCCAACGTCGTCCTGAACGTCTGGTGTCTCGCCTGCGCCCTCGGCGGCACGCACCTCGCCGCGAGATGGGGGCGCAAACCGACGGCGCTTACCTCGCAGACTCTCCTGATTATCTGCCTCTTCGTAATCGGAGGTCTCACCAAGAAGTACTCCGATGACCCGGATAATGCAACGCAGAGCCTGGTGTACGGTGATGTCGCAGTGATGTTCCTGTTCCAGGGCTTCTACTCCATCGCGTGGACGCCGCTGCTGTACCTGTACCCCCCTGAGATCATGAACTATTCGATTCGCGCCAATGGGCTCGCGTTCTCGGCCTTTATGCTGAACGTGCTGGCGTGTGTGTTTGTGTTCATCATGCCGATTGGTCTGGAGAACATCGGCTGGAAGATGTACATGGTCAACGGGTCGTGGGATGTTGTGATCGCTGTACTCATTGTAAGTTGCGCGCTTCCTGCGTCCGGTCTTCATCCATTAGATGTCGCTAATGGTTCCAGGCTGTGTTTTGGGTCGAGACGAAAGGCAGGACACTCGAAGAGATTGATGCGATTTTCGAGGGCCACAAGCACTCGTCGGTTCCAGATGTTGAGAAGGTTCGGCTGGGACAGGAGAAGGTTGATGTAGCTGCGATCGAACAGCAACTCCAGCGGACGTTGAGACTGTCAAGTCTCAATGATGCTGTCATACAGGTAGCTGCCGTCGAAGCGGATTGTTACAGCACACGAAAGCGTATCGGATGTGAATGAAGTCCGGGTCGAGGTCAAGCTTGGCTGGTAGAAAGCTTATACAAGAACCCCTAATCACCGGAAGATGCCACCACATAACAGAATGACCATAACACGACGTGGATAAATCATGCTTATTGGCTCTCTTAACGGGATCGGAAGCCCTTGCCCAGTATTCCAATGTTACCAGCAGACCCACGGGGGATAATATAGCGATGCGGAGAAATAATTGCGGACGCAAAATCGCGTATGTGACGTTGCGGGGTACAATCCCACGATGCCACCTTGGCACGAAGTCTATAAGACCAAGAGGCTAGTGCACCAGGATAAGGCGTCTCACAGGTGAAGCAAGCTATTCATGATGCTAAGTTCTAGTTTTGCTTCCTGTTGTTGTGGCCTGTTAGCCGTCGCGGCCGTCCAGGCGAAGTACATCGTCCCGGGAGCGAGATGGCGCGACACCGATGGTTACCTCGTCAACGCCCACGCCGGGAACGTGGTCCTGAATAACGGGACGTTCTGGTGGTTCGGGGAATACAAGATTGAAGGGCAGGAAGAAGGCGGTGGTGTTTCCGTCTACAGCTCTGATGACCTGGCAACATGGGAGTCGCACGGTCTGGCTTTGGGTGAGAGACCAGACTGAAGGTATTGAGCTACCGCTACCGTGCTGATGGAGGTAGAACCGGTCGAGGGACACCCGTACATCTCGCCCGAAATGATCATCCAGCGGCCGAAGGTCGTGTACAGTGAGCCTACGGGGCAGTACCACGTACGGAAGCCTGTTGCCCGATCCAGATGACGTAGGTAGAAACTGACTGTTTCGCAGATGTGGTGGCACGCTGACAAGTCGAGTTACGGACTCTTACTCCAGGGGCTGGCAACCTCGGATACTATCGCTGGACCCTACACTTTCGCCAACGCCACAGCCCCTCTGGGGAACTGGTCCCAGGACTTCGGCATGTTCACGGACTACAAGGACGGTCGCTCGTACGCCTTGTACTCCAATGGAGACAGTGTTGAAGGACGAGATATATACCTGACTTCCTACAACGAAGAGGTCTCCGCCCTTGACAGTGTGACGCACCGCTTCGACAAGTACGATCTCGAAGCCCCATCGATCGTGCAGACAGACAAGAGTTACTACGCATTGATGAGTCACAAGACTGGATACCGGCCCAATAGTATGTGGTCGACGTGAGACCACAGGGTTCAATGTTATCTCGCTGACTTGGGCATAGATGTCGTTGCGTTCAGGGCAGACAGCCTGAGCGGAGCATGGTCTCAGCCGTGGATTGTCGCACCACTGAACACTAGGACTTTCAACTCGCAGTCTGGATTCACCTTGAGAATCCAAGGAGAGAAACAGACTACCTATTTGTATTTGGGCGATCAGGCAGGCCGACCCAATGTTGTGAGAAAGAACGAGGCTAATGCGGTGTCGATAGTGGGACTCCAACTCGCTATGGGAGAGTCGGTACATATGGCTGCCAATGGCTATCGACGACGAGAAGAAGTCGCTTGAACTTCAGTGGCATGATATCTACGACTTGGATGTGTATGACACCCCTCCAAGTTCAATGTTCATCAGCTAAGGAAAGACTAGCAAGTCAGGCGAGTGGAAACCCGTGGAGGGCACGGCGTATCACGGCAGCGACGCAACCACGAACGGAACTGCTTTCAAGCAAGAAGCGGTACGTATAACTTGGGGTATGACTGAGAGACGTAGGCAAGAAGCCACGCTGATATCTGGCGCTCCGCAGAACTTTGCCAGCAACGGCATGATATTGACGGGGATATACGGCAATGACAGCACCGTCACCTTCAGTGGGATACAAGGGACCGGCAAGCCCCAATGGGTTTCTTTTTACTACCAGAGTAAGCTAAGCTCTCCCAACACGAGTTCAGATCTCCACTGACACCAAGACAGACACCGACGACATGGGCTTCGGCGATCAACGTGAGTCCTTACCTAAGTAGCTTCAACTATCACAAACAGGCAACTGACTGACTCCGTTCGCAGCGGGTGGATCTCCTGACCGAATCGGCGGCGCATGGCAGCTCCGTCGCGCCAGCAGCGTGGTGGTAAATGGCAATACCGAAGACCTCGAGACACTGTTCCAAAGAGATACCCACAAGGGTATCATCCTGTCGACGCCGCTGCAGTTGACCTTGGAGGAGGGCTCGGCGAACACCATCACGATTGGCGGGCTGTATAACGGAATCGACTACAAAGGCGCGGACATTGACAAGATTGTTGTCTATCCGCCAGAGTCGTAGTCGGTGCACCGCTTCCATGTGAAGTATGGTCTCGCATGATTGATTTCGGTCGAGTTGGGTACATCGTAGCAAAAAGCAGAGCCCCTTTTATCTACACTGGTGTCCCCCTTGATTGAGCAATTGACTGAACATTAGCAATTACTCCCCAACTGGCCAAGGAAGGAGGGAGTTGACTTTGCGCTACTGATTCTACGGTACGGTATGCCACTTATACGCTCTCGATCGCATTCACTCTTTCGTAAAGCATGTGCGCGATAGGGTGAAGAGGCATCGCCCAGAAGTTACTTGCGCCTGACCGACGGCGTTTCCGTGGGAGACATGGAGCTCACGCGCGCCTGCTCACCATAGAATTCAAGCCCGCTCACGATAAGCTTGCCATAAGAATCTCATCTAGAAACACTTAGCGAGTTTAGCAGCCGCCCCTAATACGGACTGGTCTCCGTCACGGGTTTTCCGGACATACATGCCTTACTTCCGGCGCATCGGTGTTGCTGTAACTTCGTCCTGATGTGTCGATGCCTGATTCGTAGTTGCCTCTTTCCAAAGTGGGCGGTACATAATTGATCGTTGTTGCCCGGTTAGGAAATTCGTAGATGTTGGAATGTACGATGTACGGTACGGATAGAATATGCAGGTTGGTGCTGACTACCTCGAAGTATGTAAGCTTACATGAGGCCTGGTGCGCTCTCGGGAAAGAGCACGACTCTCAGGAAGAGAACATGACAATAAATTGGCATCTCTCCTCCTCTCCGTCGAGTCTCTTGACTACTTCATCCCATATCCACGTAACTTCAGCCTTATCACATTCATAGTCCAAGCAAGGTCCCCAAGCTATCCCGATCCAGACTCCACAACATGTCCTCTCCGGTGTGGTTCATCACAGGTGCCTCGAACGGCTTCGGCCTGATCCTCTGCCTCCGAGCACTCCGGGCCAAGCACCAAGTCGTCGGCACCGTGCGCAACCGGTCCAAGGCCGCAGATGCAGTCAAGCAGATCGAGTCGGCGGGCGGCAGGGTCGTGGAGATGGACCTGACCGTGTCGCAGGCCAGCATCTTCGAGAAGGTCCAGGGGGTGGGCCAGATTGACTACCTGGTGAATAATGCGGGCTACTCTGTCCTTGGTGCGCTCGAGCAGCATGGGTGAGTGACCACATCTACGTCACCGTTTAGGAAATTTGAGATAATGGAATGCTGATCAGAATACTGGGTATAGCGAACAGGAAGCTCAACATCAAGTACAGACCAACTTCTTCGGACCTGTGTTCGTGATGCAGGCTGCGCTGCCGGGCATGCGTCAGCGTAAAACAGGCACCATCGTCAATGTGACCAGTATCGCCGCCAAAGATCCATTACCAGCCAGGTCAGTAACACCACGCCCTGCTTTACCAGTATATAGTCTACATTGTGTAGCCCCGTGACGTTCACCAGTGCCAACTGGGTTCGGTACAGCATCCCAGCCAGCTATCTTGCTGACCAGGTGAAACAGCGCGCTATACGCCGGAACCAAAGCAGCTCTCGAGGCGACATCAGAGTCCCTAGCCAAAGAGGTGGCCTCCTTCGGCATCTCGGTGCTGATTGTCGAGCCGGGTGCATTCCGCACCAACTTCCTGACCGCGATGCAGAAGTCCTCGGGGCCCCTGCCCGACGACTACAAGGACACGGCCGTGGGCCAGAGTCTGGCGAAATTCGACCAGATGAGCGGCAGGCAGGCCGGAGACCCGGTCAGAGGTGTTGAGCGCATCTTTGAGGCCGTAACGGGCGAGGGCTTGGCCGGCCAGTTGAAGGGCAAGGTCTTGAGACTGGTGCTTGGGAGCGATGCCCTGGAGCGCATGAAGAACAGCAATGCCAAGTTTGTGTCAGACTTCACGCTGGGGGAGACCGTTGCGTTGAGTACTGATTTCTAGGAGGGGATTTCTGACGCCGAGTTTGTGTTCAATGCTATGTGGGGGGCTCGCATGAGGGAGCAGGCGGCTGAATACCATAACCTTCGGCTCTCGCGACGGTCATGAAGGATCATCACAGTAAGGTCGCTACACGGAATGCTGGTAGTAATAGAGTAGTAATAGAGTAGTAATGGAGTAGTGATAGAAGTCAACAGCGTACCTCGGATCAAATCCGCGGATCATTTCGGTATACACGCAAGACTTCAGGCGTACGTGAATTGCGGTTTCGAGTGAAGCGTGTCTCCTGCTAGATGCGTTCTACCCCTGACGCGGTCCTGGGCGCGTCGACGTCACAGCTTGAGGCTTCCCATAAGGAAATAGACCAAGGGCTTCATGTCATCCTGCCAAGTATCAATGACATGCCAGGCTAGTGCTGGATTAATGACCATTGTAGAAGGAGTTGAATTGTGAAGCTGAAAGCAGACATTGCAGGTGGTGATGGGCAACTCGAAGCTCTCCTGATGCACCTGCCACCAACCCCACCAGACGTCCTAGCGATTCCACCATGCCCCGCCATGCAGCTAGCGACTTTCGAAGCATCCCTGCAGCTCAGGATCGATTGGCTGTGAGATTGCGGGACACCTCAAGCTTAGAGACACTAGGACAAGATAGGAAATATGTAAACAACACCGAGATTTCCAAGGGTCACACCCGGAAAGCAACCAGGACGCCGTGTCATTGTTTACTTTGGACGACGCGACCTGTTATAAGGCCTCTTATTCCACTGAAAGTTCCAATTGGGTTCCTTTCCAGCTGCAGAGCAAGCGCATTCATTACCCACTGGTGAATGCTTGTCAGTCCTACTTCAATTTGAACATCATCACGGCATTCGGGAGCCATTGAGCAACACCCGCCTCCCAAGATGAGGGAAGAACTAGACCAAGACCTTCCCAGAGCCCTCCGGCGAACTCAAAGAGCGAGCCGAGGCGGCGCGGCCTCTTCTATCCAAAGCCCAAGCACGGCACCAAAACAACGCTCGTCCTCGATAGCGTCGACATCGAGAACACCAAGCAAGCCCAAGTCAAAGAAACGAGTCCGCTTCTCCGACCCGGGCCCCGAAATCAAAGGCCACCACCACAACGACACATCCGCCTCTACGGGGCTCACGCCCATGGTACGCCGGTCCTCTCTCGGACACGAGCCCTCGTCTAAACGCAGACGCCACTCAACACCTCTACGACGAGCGAACGCCCACCACGATGACGACGGTGAAGACGAGCTCGCCGGCAACGGCAGCAGCACCACCAGCGCCAGGGACAGGGACAGCAGCACCGAAGTGCGCTTCCTCTCGCTCGCCCAGGTCCTCGACGACCGCGTCAAGCGGCGCATCCGGCGCAACGGGCTCAGCGAAGAGATGAACACCATCACAGAAACCAAGCGGCGGCGCGCGCGCGAGCAGGAGGCCGAGCTACAGCGGCTGCGCGACGAGCTCGCCGACAAGGACGACGAGATCGAGAGGTTGCACAACACAACACTAATACAAGACAGGGACCGCATCGTGGAGCTCGAGCAGCAGATTGAGGCGCTGCGGAGCGCGCTGCGGGACCGCGCCGCCGCCTCGGCTGCGGATGATGACGCGATGGAGGAGGCTGGAAATGGCCAAAAGCGCAATAGCTACGACTGGACGCTCGCGGCGCGTGATCCGTTCTCGGATAGCTATCTGGACGACGACGAGGGCTTCGGGGACACGACGATGGCGGATCTGGTGTGCAGCACGCCGTCCAAGGGCGCGCGAAATTCCGCGTCTGGATCGTTCCCGACGCCGCCGTGTACGAGTCCCGCCATTCCGGCAACGCCATGCTCGCTGCGCAGAGAAGCGACGCCCATGACGCCCAAGTCCCACGTCGGAGTCCAGGCCTCGTTCCCAGACCCTGAGGAAGAGGCCTTGGAAGCTGAACTCGGGTCCCTGCGCCTCGAGCTCGGCAAGCTCACCGCTGCGCTGGAATCGCACGCTGCGCTGAAGGCTCGCCTCGCCGATAAGTTGTCCAGCGCCAGCAGCACCCGCCCCGCCGTCGCGGAGAGCAGTAGTCCCAGCAGCGACATCGAAGCGCATCTAGACACAGTGCTGCAGACGCTCTCGGACCGCACAGCCGCGCTCCTCTCCCTCAACGCCTCGCTCAGCGCGCTAGGCTTCGCCGGCACCGACGCCAGCGAGATCGTATCCTCGCTAGCCGGCGCCTTCCGCTCCGCGCGGCTGGAGCTCGAGTACCTGACCCCGGGCGAGGTAACCCTACCACTATCATCGCGCGGCGCCGAGGTGCTGGACCTAGTGCTGACGCGACTGCGCGACCTGGCGCACCGCGCGCGCGAGGACGAGGCCACCGTCGACGAGTACCACGCCCTGGAGCAGTCCCTACGGCAGCAGCTCGGCGCGCGCGTCGACGCCATGGACGGGCTGAACGCCCGCGTCGCGGAAGCCCAAAAACAGCTTTCGGAGCGCGACGCGCGGATTGAGGAGATGGAGGTCGGCCTGGATCGCCTGAAGGGCGCGGCTGAGGGCTATCGCCGCGACATCGGCGAGCTGGAGGCGCTGGTACAGCGCGTCGAGGCGGAGGGGCAGACTACCGCTTCCCACCTAACTTCCGATCTGCAGAACGCACAGGCGCAGCTTGGGGACCGCGACAACGCCGTCGCGGACCTAGAGGCGAAACTCGCGTCGATACTACAACAGACGACGGACCTGCAGACGCAGCTTGCGGTGCTGCAGGGCGGCAAGGAGGCCGAGTTCAAGGCTCTTAATAAATCCCACGGGACCGCGCTGGCGCTGCGCGATGCACGGGTCGCGGAGCTGAGGCGCGAGATCGATGGGGTTAATGAGGGGCTTCGCGAGGCGCATGAGTCGATCCGGAGGCTGATGGTTGAGAATAAGGCGGTGGAGCGGAGGGCGGAGGGGGAGAAGGTTAGGGCTAAGGAGGCGGTTGATGAGATGAGGGCTGAGCTGGAGAGGGTTGTGAGGATGGGGGCGGCGTTTTTGGAGGCTTCAAGGAAGGGGGAGGGTGCTGGGGAGGGGGGTGTGGGGGCTGGTCCGGCCGCGGTGGTGGTGAGAAGGTCGTCTAGGCGGGTGAGTGGCGACAAGACACCTGGGTCGGTGGCTGCGAAGAGTAGGAAGAGGAGGCGGTACGATAGTGGTCTGGGCTTCCTTGACGAGGACAAGGACGAGGGCGAGGTTGAGCTGGTGTGATGTTGCTGCATCACTGTGTATACCGACACTTGCAGTAGCCTCTGCGACTGTGTCACTAATTATGAATCGCTGACTTGTATTTCCTTTGTACATCACATTGTCATTTGCTGGCGCGGGCTAGAAGGGGGGTTGGTCATGGAAAGGGGCGTTGACGGCATCTGTATGTACTGTTAGGAGGTGGGTGTCAGTGATGATCAGATGACTGTATCTAAATCCGACAATGGCATGGCATTTCTTTATTCAAGTACTTGGATGTCGATGTTTCATGTTTCATGTCGCCCTCTCTTGCAGCCTGTTCGACTTCATTCAACTAACTGCTTGCCGTCAAGGAGCAATGCGCACCTCAAATCCCCGACCCTGTAACCCGACGTTATTCGTGCCTTGCTCAGCTTTGTTGGATACCTCTGATGTCTGTCCTGTGAGTTCGCTGTCTCGCACAGCCTGTCTTCCTTGATTGTTTTCATCCCCTCAGTTCTAATGGCTTCCGGCCTCAGGGGAGATCAACACAACTCGGCTACGGTAAGTTACACTATACCCCTTTCTAGGTATACGCTCGCCGGCGAGACTTGGCTTCTCCTAACAAAGGGGCTTGGCCTCATTGCCTGATGTTTCACGGTCCCCCATGCAAGATGCTCATTGCGATTTGCCGCAAGTGACTGGTATTTGACTGATCGTCCATGCTTCCCAGAACCCCAGCAGCGAAGCAGGTTGCGGCTACTCCTACATGACAGTGGCTGATACTGAGGGCACGGTGTGCCATCTAAGATTCACAACAGTCTCTGGCACTGATATTTTGGAGTCATTCGGCCACTCTTGCGTTCATACACTTGCCTTATTAACGTTCTCATAACGCTGGGTTAGATCTACGAAGACTCTACTCAGAGCCTACTCGCAAGGTCAATAGTATTTCCTAGCTCCTAGAAGCAAGAAACAAGGTCTTGGGATAGAGAGTTTCGTCATACTATGTTTGAAGCCCTGTGCGTGTCAAACATAAGAGCTCAGGAAGAATTTCAATACACTTACGTCAGTCTTGAAAGGCAAGAGTATTGGTCCACAAGAGCACTATTATTATTTTCTTGTCGAGGCTGTGATGCGTCTCTGTGTGGCAGCTAGCATTGTGGTAGCGATCTCTGGCAGGGTGAAAGTGGCCTGTATTAAGCTACGGCAATGCTATTCACATGGCTAGAGGCTGATCACAATGACCATGGCCTGATCTCCGTCATTGACAAGCATACCGCTTAGTGCATCAACATTGGTATACGCAAGTATATTCCTGCTATCGCGGCCTTACTCGGGTCTCTTCAAATTCACCCGTAGCTAAAACGAAGGCCTGTCATCATGTCATGTCTTCTGCTCACATGACTCAACTCATGGACGGAAACATACCTGTTGACAGCCGTGCGGTAGAGACAGCGCTTATGACATGTCACCAATGCGTCATCCGAATCTCACTGGTACAGCATCAACAAATGCAGACGCAGAATCACATCCGCGCGAGACACAACACGCGATCCGCTGTCGCGTGCCGTCCCGGCAGCGGCCCTTGGGTCTGTCACTGAGTCGCTCCTCACGCACGATCGCGGCGAGCAAGACAACAAGGAACGGCTGAGGGACTGCCTCGTCCCGTTCTCGGCCGTCGGTTGGTGCTCAGAGAGAGCGTAGAGCGTGTGTGGTGTCCGCGTCAGCTAAAACCGCCGACGGGAATAGCTGTCTGACCTGTCATTTATGCAGCAAGGTTCCGGAGACGACGGATCATACGGCTTCGGCTGCCTGCGGGATCATAGTGGCACGGGGCCTAGCTGCAGGGAGTCTGGGAAACGCTGAGAACTTGTCAGGCTGCATTAGCCTTAGCTTACTCTGGCTGTGGGATCCCGAGCTTGGGTGCCTTCTTGATGTTTCCCATCGAGAATTATCAAAGCGTTGATAAAGCACTGTGTCGCTGCGACCAGGTCACGGACATGAGCATCAAGACATCATCAATTCGAAGAACTACACTCTTGGTAGAGTTGTGAAACTGTGCGAGCGAGATCGTACGACCATTACATCTAAGACTCAGCTTGAGTGTTGTACGACGTCGCACAAACGGCTTTCCTTTTTCATCCAGTCTGAGTTTTGATGGGTTATAATGTGAAGATGTACTTAGGAGTCAAGGAGAAAGGCAAGGTGCGTTCGCTATCAGATCATAGACACCCAATGAGTAATCTGTTGGATCCTCCTGATTCCCGGACTTGTACAGGTACAAGGATTGGAGTAGCAGATACAGATCTACAAGGACGGTGTACGAGAGCCAGGGTGTCAGACGCAAGAGCAAAATACAAGGGTAGTGAGAGACAATCACATGTCGCGGCTGCTTTCTTACGCGCGTTAGAGGTTCCTGTCACGCGTGTCTCAGGCGTCTAGGAGAGATTCTCGGGCGTTTGCAACCAATAAGATGGAGAGCCTTACCGTCGTTCTGGATCGTATCTTGTAGTTGAAGTCACGGCGCCACCACGTCGCTGTCGGTCTGTACCCTGCACTGCATGTCCGTCCACCCAGCTGGGACTTGATGAGATCATTTGATACATCAGGCGGCTCATGCACCAGTGATGTGTAAGGCGCTTCTCCTGAGGTTGCGGAGTAGAAATGGCGTGCACGCCACTCCCACGCCGGCTTTAAAGTTCGAAGGGCGATATCACCGCTCGAACAGAGACTCCTGGTGGGGGCTAGACTATCTCATAGGCATTTGCTGAGAGCGTTTACTTCTCTCCGGAATGTGAAGAGCTTCAATCTAAAGCTGCCAGGGGCATAACCACACCGCCAGAAGGACCACGATTTCTGCCTACGACCTCTTTCTCAATATAGAGCCAGGGTGGTAATGACAAGAAGTGAACAGTCCTAGAACTATACACGACAGTCTAATACCAAGGACCAAGCATGTTCAGGCATATAAAAAAGAAAATTTCGAATGCCTTGGCTATCCGAGACTTTGCTGACGCCACCACGGCATAATTATTCAGTTCCATGTTAGAACGAGACCAAATCTCATAGCGATGTGCCATACTATTCTATCGTGCAGGGAGTGACAAGTACCAACGAGCGGACTATAACGAATATCATGAAAACTGTAATCAGGAACGCCCAGAACACCCAATCGTGATAAGAGAGTAACACCATATCCACCAAGTATGTGATGACGACGTACAAGCCTCTCGGATAGATCCGAGCCCCATGGTTGCATGATCCACGACCTATCTGCTGTGCAATGGCGCACGAGAAACCGTTAGACGAGAATCGTCTCTCACGACGTGAGCATAGAAATGCCGTACCGGGGGTCAGGCCTACTCATGACACCCTGTATCTCGCTGGCGTCAAAGACATGCTGGAATATCTCGAAGTCGCTGGGCACGGTAGGACCACCAGCCGAGCTCGAGCTCGAGCTGCCGTGCGACTTGGACTTGCCCTTGGAGCTGCTGGAGTGGCCGCCTTTGCTCTTCTTGGCGATGTCGTCGAGGATGAGCTTCGCCGTTCTCTGGTAGAGGTCTTCGAACACGAAGGCGACGTAGTCGAAACGCCCCCGTATATCAGGATCGTATAGGAAAACCTCCCGCCAGAGCTCAGCAATCTCCTGCGGAGGGTTGCGGTGGCCGTTTCCCAGGCCGAAGTCTCCTATCACCACGGACCTGTGGCCGTAGTACACGCAGATCCTGAGTGCTGCGCGGATCTTGTTCTTGACCAGGTCTCGTTCCAGCGGGAAGGCGTATTTCGAACCCATCTGGCTCAGTTTGGGCCACCGGGCGGCGGGCATCGAGACGACGGGAAGATCGTACCATTGATCCAACTTCTTGTACTGGTCGTGTGGCCCGCGGAAAACGACAACGTACTCTGAGTAGATTCCACCTTCGGACGGAATGGGGTAGTTGTAATCGACCTCCGAACCTGGTCCAGGAGTACTCAGCGTGGCGGAGAGATTGCTACGTCTACACAGCCTCTCCTCGTAGCCTACGACGCCGGTCTCCCAATCTCCGCCAGGTCTTTTATCGTTGGCGGCGCAGATGAATGGTATCCGTGTGCTCACACGCTCTTTCCAATCGATGGTGAAGTCGACTGGGTCTCCTGGGCAGACGTCTTCGCCAGCTGGTTAGATCTGAGTCACGTGAGGGGAGGCAGCGTTGACAACTTACAGAACTCTGGGGGAGGCGGTAATTGGCTCAAGGAATTCAGTGGGATCTGCTCCAAGGGCTTTTGAAAAAGGTAAGAGTGCGTTGGCCACTGATGTGCATACTCGGATCTTATGGCTGGGATGTAGTGTCTCTTCGTCTCAGCGGCAACTTCGGAAGGCTTTGGCTTGGAGGAAGGCATCGCGAACAGACACTTCCTGGCTTGCAGGATGTGACTACTGCACTGGTGTTCCGTTGATACTAGTCGAGTGCTGATATATGACAGGGTGTATGGGGAATTACTTATATAAACTCTAAAGAAGATGCAGCCACTCCATCCACTTGCGACGGGCAGGTCTATTGAGGCTGCGAGCCATCCGGGCGAGTCTCTCTGGATAACAGAGGCAAGAAAGACGGTCAGATATGGAAAACAACCTGTGCTACCAATATGGACTGATTGCCTGATCAAACTCTATATGTCCTAGACATTGAGATGAATGGACTCGAAATCACAGGGCCCGGGAAAACCATGATCAAATAAATCTGCTGGAGCGTTTCGCCGCTCTTGCCTACTTGGTATTCCAGAAATAAAAAAGAATTAGACATCTGTCTTTGTGACACTTGCCGGCAGCCAGGTACATGGGAACGATGTTCCAGGTGATTCTGGTCGAGATCATGATGCACACTGCAGATAACCGAAGTGACACAGATCTGGGTTGTGCTCCTCACCGTGCAGCATCGTAAGACACCCTGTGGGCCAGGGCAGTTATCTGACGGGTCTTTTGTCGATGTTGAGCGCTTGTTCGGCTTGCGAACCCGTCTCAGGCCGAAGCTGGATATCATGCCAATGACATACACCTCTATTGAAGTAGCACATGACATGAGTTGAGAACTTCATGCAACGAGCAGGGACAGCGGGTTCAGGGAGAGGCTTGCAGAGCGGGAGCGGTCAAGACCCTTGATTCTCGACTCGAACCAGGCGATCGAAAGCCACTTTGCCGCGAAGCTCGACATCTTCTAGAGTTGCAGATGAGTAATCCGAGGAGTAAACGCGGGGTTCATCATGCATGAGAAGCCTGACTTATAGAGGGATCTCGTTTATGCAAGTCAGTCCAGTACATATGCATCTTTGACCTTTCTTGCCAGAATGAGTGCTGCATCTCGAAAAGCCACTGAAGGAGTTGGAGAAGGGCTCTAGCCTCTAGGAAACTGCAGGAGCTGTGGAAGATAGTTCACGCAAGTCAAGGAACACGTCGTGCATGTCTCTGGCAAACAACAAGGATCTCAGGTGTAGCCACGCACTGCATGCAGACCGTGGGGACGAGTCGATAAGATAAGCCGATAATGCTGCCTATCGATAAGCATGTCAAATGCTGACTAAGGCGGACAAGCTGGAGAGCACCGACTCGGCCCGGCAGTCGTCCGAAATCCGAAATCCCGGGATCCCCAGTCCACCAAGGCTGTTCCGAGTACGTCGTTTCTCAGTCAACATTGACACTGGACAGACGGGCACGTCGATATCCGAGCAGCCAGGAAAAACAACCAAGCAGTTTCGACCGAGAATCGCTCATGATGCCGTCATGATGTCACTTCTGGACGACCTTCCTCATCTAACACCGGACAAATCAGACTGAAAGGCCTGAGATGTCTAGAATGCTACCGCTTCTGAGAGGAGCTTCGCCGAGGATTCTCCTTAAACCCCCTGCACGAACAGTCCCTCGCGCCCTCATCTCTACGCGGTCGACTTCGATTGCCAGTCTCCTCGATTTGAAGCCTGCTGGCCCTGTGTCAGAGATCAAGGTCGATGGCCATGTCCGATCAGTGCGTGCTCAGAAGAAGCAACATTTCGTATCTCTCGGAGATGGCTCTTCAATGGAATCGCTCCAGGCCGTAGTGCCTGCGGACCAGGCCGAAGGGTATGCAGTCTATTACCGCTCATCGTTGTACGGTTGCTTATCGCTGACTTTTCCTACGCTAGGCTGACCGTCGGGGCAGCTGTACGACTTGGCGGATCATGGGTTCCGTCACAAGGCCGAGGGCAGAGTCATGAGCTGCAGGTGCTACAAACCTCAGTCGTAGGTCCTTCTGATGCCAAGGTCTGTCTAACACATGATATATCAACTCGATTTTGATCCGAAGAGCCTCGCACTCACTGTAGTTCCAGACCTTTCCGGTACAAAAGAAGTACCAGACACCCGAGTATCTAAGGACATTACCCCATCTCCGGCCAAGAGTACCATTCAACTCTGCCGTCTTCCGGTTCCGCTCTGAAGTCATTGCCTCGTTGACCCGATTCTTCAGTGAGCGCGATTTCGTCCAGACTCACACGCCCATCCTCACATCGTCCGACTGCGAAGGTGCAGGCGAAGTGTTCCATGTCTCCTCTGGTAATGACCAGCCAGTTCTGGGAGGCGAGACAAAGCCCTTCTTCCGCCGTCCTGTATATGCAACCGTATCAGCGCAGCTGCATCTCGAAGCCCTAGCCCAAGCGCTCGGCAATGTCTGGACGCTCTCGCCAACCTTCCGAGCGGAGCAGAGTGACACACCTCGACATCTCAGCGAGTTTTACATGCTGGAAGCTGAACTAAGCTTCATTCATAGCCTGGACGCTGTTATGAATCTAGTTGAAGATATGCTGAAGCATGTCGCTGGCGATGTGGCCGAGTCAAGAGCTGCTCGTGAGCTACTTGGGCGGGCAGGCGAGCGCTCGTCCGATCTAGCTACAACGGAACAGATCACCCAACGGTGGCATGGGTTATCGCAGGGAGCTTGGCCGCGAATCACCTATACTGAAGCGATGAAACTGTTGGAAGCTTCCGGGGACCAGTTCGTCCACAAACCCGTATGGGGTAAAGACCTTCATACAGAACATGAGAGATACATCGCTACGACAGTGGGCAACTCTAACAGTCCTGTTTTCGTCACGAATTATCCTCGAGACATCAAAGCTTTTTACATGAAGGCGAATGAGGACGACCTGCCTGGGACAACACCCGGTGCAACAGTCGACTGTTTCGATCTCCTTGTGCCAGACTTTTGCGAGATTGCTGGCGGCTCAATGCGCGAGCACAGGCTGGAGAACCTAGTCGAAACCATGCGGGCGAACGGGATGAACACGACATCATCTTCAGAAACTGCCATTTCGGATTCATCAGAACCAGTGGACAATAATCTAGACTGGTATCTGGACTTGCGGCGCTGGGGTTGCCCTCCGCATGGCGGCTTCGGTCTCGGGTTCGACCGCCTCATATGCTACCTCTCGGGAGTCCAGACAATTCGCGATACCACGGCTTTTCCCCGCTGGTACGGCCGATGCGACTGTTGAACCAAGCGTATGCTGTGCTCGTTAACGCTTACTGCTCTGGGACGTGGGGATGTCTTGTACGACGTTCGCACAACACGGTCTTGCCAGACAAGGTCCCAAACCAGGTCTGCCGAAGGAGCTTTCTTGATGGAAGCGGTTACGCGAATTTTCAGTCTTTCGATATGGAGGTAAAGACACAATCTGGGGTTGCAAGGTGTTGATAGTCTCATCACGCAGAGACCTCATTCCCGTGTCCCGCCGTCCGCCCGACTCAGGGCCGACCACTCTCGGTTGGTACTGCAAGGTACAAGCGCGGAAAACGGGATTACCGCCTTTATTGGGCAGACCTTGTACTAGTAATCGACTGAGATATTGGAAACCATCTACGGCAAACCCGATGTATCTCTGTCAGAGCGCTATCACGGTGTGTATGTACTGTAGGAGGTTGGCTTGTACAATATTGTATTTACTGTATCATTAGTTGGATGGGTCCTCACCTTCCATCCCGGTATCCATCAGACTTCTCCCACTCATACGCGACAACGGCCAATGCAGAACCTGCAGTTGAAACACAGAGCGATATGGCTCAGCAGTACCGAGGCTACGGGTCCAGAAATTTCCGTGAAGGTATACGATGAGAGTGGTTCCCACTTGCGGCCTCATCTCGGCATTGACCACCGATCACCAAGGGTGCCAGAGAGCTGGGAGCCGTGGGTTCTGGGAGGTTACACCAGCCCATCAACTCCGAGAAGACCCAACGGTACCGTTGGAACTCAAAAGCCCTATACCTACTAATATAGGCATCTATTGATCATTACGCTTACTTACCTATAGGCTGGAATATGTAGATGTCAAGACGGACGCCTACCAGCCAGGAGGAAGAGACCAAGTAGTACGTTCGTCAGTAAGGACACCGCTGCGCTTCGCTGCTGCAGGTACGGATAGAGCAGCACACGCAGCCTCTCAAGGGGGGTCGGCAGCATAGAAGCTATCATAAATACTCACTCCCCCGCTGTCACTCACTCACTCATTCACTACCACTCACTCACACATTCGTTTATATATCGGACAGCGACCAATATCTTTACAGCGCTGGCAGCTGGCTGTATACACATTACGCATCACGTATTCGACAGCCGACAGCCGGGCCCAGCGACTGAGGCGTCTTGACCCTGCGCCTATTGCCGCCGCCCACCCGCCTGCTACTTGCTTGGCATGAAGCATTCAGCCTGGCGCGACGGCTCAATACAAATCAGTCTATCCGGGCGTCCGATTGATATGCCATCACGTGTCGACGTTTCGCGCGGCGCGAGAGATCTCGCGGCCCTGAGATCTCGTGAGGGAGCCGGGAGCTGGGGCTGGAATTTACCATGAGACTATTGGTGTGCGGATTTGGTCCTTTGCCTGCGATGGCGAATTTCCTGTGGGGGTTTTGGTTGTGTGAGTTGTTGGTTGGTCGGTTGGTCCTTGATGCAGACGTAGTAGATGCAGGCAGGCAACATTAAGTTCTTGCCAAGACCCTGCACTCTCTTACACATGCTTATTACGTCTGCGGCGGCGGCGCCGTTGTTGTTGGTGCTACGCAGCTCGCATCGAGTATTTACCTACTGTCTGCTGCTCGCTCTTTCAGCCCAGTGGCCGCAGTCAGCCTGCCAGCCTGCCTGCTGCATCAAGAGGTTTGCATGCAGTCTTGCCTCGCCAGCTCATCTCCCTTGGGACGATGGGACCGCAGAATGAGTATCCCAGTCCCAATACCTAGTTATGGCCGCAAGATCACACCTGGCTGCATAACTCCTCGCTGACAGGTTAAACGAATAACCGACGGCGAGGACACCACATATACGAAGCAGGCATTCCCCGCTACACGACACAGCGCAGAGTACCAGAAGTTTCCGGTACTTTTGCCGAAAACCTAGGTACTCGATCCAACGTAACAGGGCAGGGTGCTGCAGATGGAGCCCTGGTGTGTGAAATCCGAGTGGCTTTCTCCCGTGTCCCCTTATGCAGAGCTGCTGCCAACTTGCAGGCTGTCTCCTCGTAGACTGTAGAGAAGGCGTCGGCATTTGCTTGGCGACTCCAACAAGGCGTATGCAGGAAAAGTCTAATGGTGGACGATCTGAAGTTGGAGAGTGCAGGTGCGCAGAAGAAGCTTGGCGATTTCTTGACTTTCTTGGCTGATAAGTATATTCCCTCTTTTGCCCCCAAGACAAGGGCCAGTCCCGAGGCCCGCTGCGACGCTCGCGAGCTTAAGCTTAATTCGAGGGCACGTAAGCGTCGTCAAATGAGAGGCCACCCCGACCGCCACATATCGCCCCGACGGCAAGGTATAGTGACGCCGAGGCTTGGGTCAGACCTTGGCGACCTCTGTTGGGTATGCTCGGCGTGCTTGGCTGTCGAGTCATTTGTCTTTGTCTTCTCCTCTCCTGTGCTTCGACTGCAACCCTGTCACTCATCGCCTTGCACTCGTCCTCCATTTCCTCGTCCCACCTACGCAGTATAATATCCCTCGCCGGCCTGGCGCCTGCCTGGCCAGCTCAGCTCTTGGCTCTTGGCGTGGCTGGCGGGCCATGGTAAGCAAATTGTCAACACGCCCAGCACGCCCAGCCGACCACCAGGCGAGAACTTTGACACTGATGAATCTTGCAGGAAGACGCATGTCGCATTGAGGTCCAATAGGATCCAAGGCATGTGAAAGGAAAAGCAGGGACCACAACCTGGGCTCATTGCCCTGCCAGAAATCTCGGTGGCAATGGAGGCTGGAGGCTGGAGCGACGTCTGATTAAGATTGAGCTCGAAAACTCATAAGCGGTCGGTACGACGACGACACCAGCCCGGACCCCGCAGGCTCTCCTCCCATGACACCCGACGTCATGGACGGGGAAGGATTTTGCTGCTTATGCGGTTCTTCTTGAACAGGCCAGTCCGTCCGTATGCAGGTCATTCTAGGCTACCGAGGACTATCGGCGGAACTTTTCGGACATGTCAACCAGTTTGGGGCAAGACTCACATGACAGGTTGCGATCGGGTCATCGTCAGGAGGGATCTTCGTCAGGAGGCATCGGAGTCGGAGCATACGCCGCCGACATTGTAAAAGATCCTCGCAATTACATTTTCTTCGCGTCCGGGGGTCATATGCATGCATACTGCAGCCAACGAACGCCGCTTTGCCAAACCCTTGGGTCGACCGCCCCTTTTTACCTTTTTGACCCTGTCACCTGGCTGCTTACGCGCCACGCAGTACCGGCACCACATGCCGTTGGTTGCACACGCTCGGTTTCTGCCTGCCGGAGGATGGAGGACATAAAGTTCTCATTTACCAGTCCCACGTCCGCGACAAGGGGCCCACGCCGCCGCCGCACAAAAGTTCCCCAGCCCGGCTGATCCAACCTAGCCGCCACCGCCGCCACGGGATGGCGATTGTAGGTAATGCTCCGAGGGCGTCGCCTATCAAGCGTTCCTATATGATATATACCCGGGTGAACTTGATAACGTGATAGATTGGTAACGTGATAGGTAGACACTGCGGAGGCAGTAGTTGGCTGTGGCCCTCCCAGCTCAGTGGACGGGCTGGCGATCAGATACCTCGCGGCGGTGAAGAAACGGTCTGATATCTGGGGCAGTGATGGGGACGTACGGACTGTACACAACCTCACTCGTTCGTCCGCCCGTCCACAAGCGCTCCCCGGAACGGCGCCGGTCCACGTTCGAGTATTATGACGCTTTCCCATTTCCAGCTCCATATTGCCGGGATCAACATGGCTGAGCGAGGCAAAATGCGATCATGATGTGCGTGACGCTGGCAGCCCGGCGTTGGCGTTGGCGTTGGCGTGTCCATGGATACGGACACGGTGGCATATCACGATCATGGTGTGCTATGCGCGCGTGATGGTAAATGTGCCATACGTATCGTTCCATACGTATCGAAGCAGGCATGAAGAGGCGGCAGAGGCAACATAGGAAAGACCGTTGGTTGCTGGAATAGGGTTTGCCGCACATTCCAGACGAATCCTTCGCGGCCTGTCGGCCCTGCCTGTCACGGCTGGTATTGGTAGATCAGGCGAGACGCATTGCGATCAGATCATGTGCACGATTCCTTCTCCCCTTCGAGGTTGCAATCAACGTGGAGGTTGGCTCGGCCCAACGGATAGACTACGATGGCGAATGGGCTCCAGACTTTGCATGTAGAGTATTGCCTTTTCCCTTCGCCCTGTCAGCCTCCATCCCTCCACTGAGACGAACAATGGAGGAGGTAGTGATCCTCATTTGGTAGGTCATATCTGTCCTTGAGTCACTGCGCACGCGACGTCACGTTCCTTGATGACACCGTTGTAGGAGATCCTCGCACGCGAAATAAGCTTCTTGTGTGGTGCGTTGTTCGCTATCTCCTGACTCCTGACACATATTTGATGTGCCGGTCAGGGTCGTACCCTCCGTCAAATAGGGGAGCCTGGTACGAAGTAGTAACCATCATAACAGGTGACCGATAAGCAAGTTCCCGAAAAGCTCACCTTCTTTGCGCCCTTCATCCGTAGACGGTGTGGTCTGCAAGATGCCAGATCGCCAGTAGCGAAGGATTGACGAGAGCGGATACTTTGCCTGTTCCGGACGGACAGTCAGCGGCTGACAGCAGGCTCGCACCACCCATTCGTTCATTCGTTTAGAGTCCGCCACTCGAACGCCCAAGGTCAGGGTCCCTAGTACCTCTTTACCTCGGTGCCTACATGCACACCTCTTACCCCTTCCGGGCTTTGGGTGTGGCACGCGAGAGACCCGAGGGAAGGGCACCGCGCACACACACTGCCTCCCCAATGAAGCCGGACTAGACGAGCTTATGAGTGCGGGCGGCGGCGCCGCCGCCGCATTCCCATATCAGCAGGATTTCCCAAACCAGCAGGAGGTCAGCCTGGTCTGTGTCACTGTGTACCTCATGTACAGTACTTCGGTGAGATGTGTCGTTTGTGCCCCTGGCTATCTGGGGTTAAGCTTCTTCTATCATCAGCCTGCTTTGCGAGACGGGACCCTTGACTGCAGCTTATTCTGCTGATGCTGATGTTGTTGATGGGTGCTAACCTATGCAGATGGAGGTTTGCCTGCCGCTGATGCATCTGCCCTTCGGCAAACCCCTGTTTGCAGTGTGTTGTGTCGTATAGGGAGCTGCTGTTGATCACCTGAGGTGCGCGGGCTGGTCGCTTGTCCGTGTCACCGACTTTTGGTCGGTGTAACACACCCATCCTCCCGTTTGACGCGTGATCGTCGCACGAGAGATGCCGGACCGCTGCTTGTGTTCCCAACGCCGTGCCGCCGGTTTCCACCAGTATATCTGTCATGTAGGTGCTAGAGAAAGTTCCATGCGTCTTGTTGGTGATGGCAGGGGCTAGGGCTTATGCTGACTGCGACGGCCGCATACAGCGGCGCCGGCGGACTGTCACCTTCACCTCACTGGCGGGCTGCGTGATAAGCATCATCAGTCGTTCACTCACATTTACGACCGACCCGGCTGGCATTTCGGTCTACACGTGACACCGTAGCTAGCCCAGACGACGGGATTGGTGAAAATCACCGGTGAGGCTTGTCACCACGAAGCTGAGAGATGCAAATGCCAACGCCTCATTGTCATTCCAGCCTTACGCGTTGGTGCTTACGGGGACTTGTGGCGTCTGTAGTGTAGCACATAGATACCGGTAGACGGACGCGCAGATACCGGTAGGTACCCTGCTGCAGCTGCCCGTCGGTCCTCGTGATCGCCATGTGCCTTCACGTTCTCCATTGAGGCTTCAGCCAGCCATCGTGGCAAGCCGGCCGGCATCACGATAGTTTCCAAGCCAAGGAGGGCTGGAGACCCCTTTCCTTTCCCTACCAAGATCCCCTTCCCCGGGCCCGATACAAAAGGAAGCGAACGTTGGTTCCGGGGTGGAATCCTGCCGCTCTAGCGCGTGCAGGCCTCTGTTGGGTTGTCGGGTTGATGATTGGTCTGAATACGCCGACCTTATTAGGGACTCAGGGAGTAGGAATGTCGTCGTGTACCTTATTTAGCCTCGCGTGGATGCCCTGCGGAACCGGCGTGTCGGCGACGAGTCTGGGCCGATGGTAAGGTTCAGGCCATCGATGCCGTTGTAGCCTTGTAGGAAGTGGGCACTGTCTATTGTTGGGTGAACTTATTATTACTGCCTACACATCATCCACCCATCGATCCCTTATATTTTGGGATCTGGATTGCCCGGAACTTTGCCTGGGAGAGAGGACTCGAACACTTACTACTCCTATCGCTTCAGACACATGAAGTTCGGCGTGGTGGAGGAATGAGGTGAGAAGCGTGATGTGGTGTGATGAGGTGTGATGATTTGGTGACTCTGGCAGCGAAGCGAAGCCATGCGATTGGGTTCCGTTCCCATGGGCCAAGCGAGCTTGCTGCTGAAGTGTCCGGTGATAGATGGGCGCGGTGGCTGCTATTGAACCTTACCTTGACTGCATGTGTGCAGGTACGGTGTCAAGCTGATAAGCCATCCCATAGGTACCAAGCTCCCAATTCATTCATTGAAGAGTGGCTCACATCACATCACATCGCATCGCGCCTTCGCTTGGATGTCAGAACCGCGATAGGCTGTGATCCACGGCGTTCTTGGCCATCGGCTACTTGGTCCGTGGCCGTCCCCGGACTGCAACGACCCAGAGCGCTGCAAAGCTAAGCTTCAGCCGCAGATATCGGACGCGCGGCCTTGCTTTTTGCCCTTCCCGGCTTCGCGCGGCAGGAAAGAAGAGGCGAGCGAGGGGGTTTTTGTCCTGGCGTGCGCATGCCAAGGGGCCCGCAACGGGGCTGGAGAATCCTCCTCTGATCTGGTTTCGTCGATCTGGGGAAAGGGAGGGCTGCTGACAGGATTCGTGAAAGGGTGGGCGATCTCGCATTGGCGACGCCTATCCATGGGCATCGCACCAAGTCAATATTAAAGTGCTCACTGGAGTTCGCAGATCTCGCTTGGGGTAAAGCTACATCGAAGTTCCAACCTCTAGCTTCGCTTCTTCTTGCCCTTGGCATGGCCGGGTGATGCTAGACGGCGCGATAGCAACACTCGGCAGCCGCTTGGCTCCCCTAACTCGACTCGCGATCAGCACGGCCAAGCACATCTCAAGCCTCGCCAAGACTGCTTATAGACGAGGGGTTAAAAAAGGGGGGCGCATACTTGGGTAATGGCAATGCCCAGAGAGAGACCAACCTCACCGGCCTCACTTGAGGGCTTCCAACTTGTTGGTTTATACGATACGGTGGGCCCTGATGTCAGCAAACGGCGCTTGAATTCCGCTCCAATTCCACTTGCGCTGCGCCGCTGCTGACAGCGATGCATACCTGCCGTGCCGCATGCTCTCACATATCATGGTGGGGCCTATTTGACATGCCTGCTCAGCTCAACTCGATGAATACAGACGGAAGCGAGAAGGAATCAGGCAAGGAACTTGAAATAAAAGTTCTACGCCCGCCATTCCTCCCTCCGTTCCATCGGTCCGTCGCTCATTCGCTAAATAAGGCCGCTAATGATGCCAGAAACGGGTTCGCTCAAGATAGTAAACACTTAAATTCATGCTTAAAATGGTGCGTCTTGTGGGGCCGCGAAAACGGTGATTCACCGATTCCTACTGGCCAGATTTTCACCTCGTGGCCGCCAAGAGCCACTCCACACTCGACCCCGCCAAACTGGGCGAGAGCTTTGGGCGGGTACAGTAACAGTTCAACCGTCATGGAATGGGACAATAGACGAGACGGGCATATATCGTCTGTGATGACAGTCATATGAGATGGACTGCGCAGCAGCCCTCACATGGTGATAATAAGTGTCCCTAGAGCAAAAGGACAACAAAAGGATGTCATGTGCCTCTCCTAGTATGCGGCCCGGGTTTCAGCAGATCGGCTCATACCTAGGAACGTGTGGTTTGGGTCGTGCGGCGTGGTGTATCCATGCCGCTCGCTCCCTCAATCCTGATACGTTTAGTAAGTGAGTATATCATCATTCATCTATTTTCCTCCCTGCTGTTCCCACCATTCCTTCGTCCGGGGTTCGTGGCGGATTACCTGGTCTAGACGTGGCTGTACTTGTATGTATGTATGTACCTATTAGGCAGCGCTGTCTTCGTCTAAAGATCACCAATGAGGCGGCGTGGAATCGGTGACGAGGACGAAACCATCTCATCATTTACCGAACACACGATCACGGTACTCGTGTGCCGGGGAACAAATCGTGTTCTGACCAAGAGATTCTCGCATTTGTGTTGTTTGTATACCTGTTAAGCATCAGTCACATGTCATGTCCCCTTTCGCAGTCTCTTGCCGGCGGTATCACGACTCCACATGCTGCGATGAAACATCGTGAGAGGGCCATGATCTTCGGTCTTCATATGGCGTCATGTCGGCTCTTCCCATGGATGAATGTGACGACGGCATTTACCCATTGGCCACTGTCATGTGAAATGTTTGCGCTGCAATGCTACCAACGGTCGTCGGTCGCCCGCCTGAGGTGCTGCGTCCCGGCAGGCACTGGCCTAGGCCAACGGGGAACCTGGCTGTCTACTCAGCCTAGGTACTGCGGCACGACCGACACAGGAATGTGAATTATGTAATCCTTCGAACTTCCCTCGAGGGTATGGCATGGATGTTTGTTGACCATTGACGTCTGCTAGCGTGTAATCCATCCAATTTTGGTTCTGGGCTCTGGTGGAGGATGAAGCTTAAATCCCGCCTCTTCTATTTTGGACCTGCAGGCATCAACCATCACCACATCGCACTCGCCGATGGCAGCCTACAAGGCCTTTTGACAGATCATGTACCCCACGCAGATACCCGCAGCTCCCAGGAGTTCCACAATCCATGGGATTGATTTGTTGTCCCTGCATGAGACCAGTTTGTCACTTATGGATGAGAGATGATCGTGTAGGATTCTGAGCCGCATCGAGCTCCTCGTCGAGCAAGTAGGGGCCTTAAATGTCATGCCTGCTGCGGCGTCAACGACCCTGGGTAGATCCTCGAGCCTGGCGGTTCTGTTTGTCGTTGCTAGCTGTAACTCGGTGGCAATGAGCTTTCCAAGAAAGGATGATATGTTATGTTCGTACCTGGGTCAATGATGCTCGATCATCACAAGTTCCATCACACGTGTTCTTTGTGCAGGTTTCCAGACGGCGCCCCTCCAAGATGACAAGGACTATGACACATACGACCATGTCAAACCGTCTCGTGGAAGAAGGGCGCCTAAGGAATGAAGCTTCATCTGCCTCAAGGCCCACCGACGCGTGATTGTGATTCGGTAAGGTGGCGTGTGTCCCGTGACGCGAGAGATGACAGGGCAAGCGGTGGTGTGCAATGCAACAGTAAACTTCGTGACGCAGTGACACCCGGAGATGGAAGTACGTCGAGTCAAGCCGTGCTCATCTCAGCCTGGACAAAAGAGGCAACGGGACAGCGGAAACGGCTGCGTCGTGTCCCAGAAGGATTGGGTCGAGGGACACAGAAACCCCAAAGGAGGTTCATAAAGGCGATACGGGTGACACAAACCCCCGTCTCGAAGTTACCGAGATGGGTCGAGTTCGAACGTTTGTCTGGACTTGCTGTTCGACGCAATCAAGGCGATTTGTCAAAGGTAGCTTGTTTCGACTGGTATTGCTAACCTGCTGCTGCTGACCGTGCCAGAGGTAAGCGTCACCATGTTGGGTCACCGAAGTACATAATTGCAAATACCCAGCTGTAGCTGGGAGTTCCCCATTTTGATGATTGGCAGACTGTCCTGCTTGCATGCTTGTGCCAAGATACTGGCACGACAGTTGTGCCAGCTCGAACAGCACGTGAGGTCTCGGTAATGATTTCGTCGACTCGACGGGGAGTTGGCGTCTTGCAGCAGGGCAGGCTGACGACGGTAGAAATGTTGACGAGGAAGTCGACAGTTCTTCATGTAACTACTAAGATCCCACAGGACGCATGTGCCACCGCGACTAGGGGTCAGGAGAAGCTCAGCGCCTCTCCGTGCCGTACATACCAAGGTGTCTTCCAAGGTCAAAAGCTCCTTGTTGCAGCTGCAGCTGGCCATGTGTCTCAACGGTATTGTGGCACATAAGGCAAATCGGAGGCACGAACAGACAGCATGAGAGCCTAGCCAACCACCGTGAATGCATTCTAACGGCATGGTGACCGTGAAGGCATCCTAGCGGGGTGATCACCGTGATGCATCCTAGCGGCGTGGTGTCGAGGCGGAAAAGTTCGAGGACATGGATACATGGTCAGAAAGGGAGGCGTAGTCGGCGAACTGAGGTGCCCGTTACCGAGACCGACGTAGGAATAGACGTGAGATGAGGAGCCAAGGAACTCCGTATAGAAACTTGTCCCTGTGCCTCCGACCACGGTAGATATGGGGCTCATGCTAATTAAAGCTGATCACCAGGGTTGGGGTTGTTGTACGATGCTGAAGGATCAGGAAGCAAAAAGTATCCATATTCATATCCATATATGGAACTTATCTCCAGATTCCCTTGCGTAGTCCCAACTAGATGTCGAATAATAGACGTGTTGACGCAACAGGGATAATCAGGGGACACTTGCCTGTCAGGCCAGGAATGAGGGATCTGTATGTCCAGGGAGAACATGAAGGGACAGGAGAGAGAGGCTGTACAGCGGAGGAGGTGAGCAAACCACCTTGAAGGTGCACTGAGACAGTCGATTTCTAGCAGATAGAGCCTTCATAGCTTAAAGTCAGCACTGAGGGGACCATTCGGTAGGGAGCCTGGCAGGTGGCTCGCCCACATCGTCAATCAGGGATTGTTGCAGTCAGTGTCGTATCGATGGAGCAAAGCAGACCAGAGCTCAAGAGGGGACTGATGAGGGCTGGAGGTACCTACCGGGTGAGATTTCGAGATTGCCGCGCGGATTAGGCTTGTAGGCTTGTACCTAGGCTTGTACCTCGAGCTCCTCCAAAGTACCTGGCCCGGGTGGGTACGTGCATGTTGCTGGCATGGAGCGAGACCGAGGCCTACTGCGTCATCATCATAGGTACATGATAGTACTGGGATGGTACATTAGGCGGCGGCGGGCTCCCAGCAGCCAAGGAGCCCCAGAACGCCGGACGCCCGCCTGAAGGGCCAAGGCACCGCTAAATTCTAATAAAGTTCTGAGCCTCTCCAGTGCCCACCCCACCACTCCTGGCTGCCCCGCCCCGCCCACCCCATGCAAGTCAAACCTTGAATGCCTTCCCTGGACCCTGCGATCCGCCTTCAGTGACACCCCTCTGCACAGGGGAAAAAGTATCGTCGGATTGGCAAAATTAAGCTTGAATTGATTGGGGAGGGACGCACGCGGGCACGCTGGGCTACCAATTACCTCTTGTATACAGTACATGCACTCGCTTGTACCGTATATGGAGGCCACATGTACCTTTACCTCCATGTATGTTCCAACCGTATTGTCTGTTTTATACCCGTTTTCCTACCTCTTCCCGAATCCCGTGTCTGTCTTGCCCTTGGCGGCTTGCCCTCACGCACTCCCAGTTCCATTGCATATCCAGGTGCAGGTGGTGAGAAAGAAGAGAAAGCCACCAGTCCGGCTTACCGACCAACAGCCTACTCTAGGACCTCCCACAATCATACTGGTCAGGGCCATTACCGATCAAGACCCCTTCAGAGCAGCCAGTTCGGAGAGAAGCCTCTGCATCAACATTCCGTCACTCCCCTCACTCCCGACTGTTCAGCAGCTGAACGGCAACCCGAACACGTAGATATATGCGTGTATCTTTTTAGTCCGATCGTACAAGGGAATACCGACAACGTCGGAACGGATCTTTCGGCACTTGGGCTTGAAGTTTCAAGGGCGGAAGCAAGAGAAGACCTACTAGGAAACGGGACCAGGACCAGGACCGACGAAGCAGGCGTCGAAGGTGAAGTCGAATTGACGAGCAAAAAGGAGTCTATCACGAACCAACACCAGCATCACGAAGTTGACGCCGTCAATCCTGGTTTCTTCATCAGCAGGGCCTGGACCTCGCCCGACCTGCATCACACGTGTTCAAGCGATAGAAGAAAGCGTGCTACCTACGGGGACATCACGGGGACCATCACAAGCCACGCATCGATACCTGACTCGACAGAGACAAAGGGACAAGCGATCTGACCCGATCGGCTACCACCTTAGTCTTACCGTTAACGTGCGCTCGACCTTGAGCTTAAAGGCTAAAGCAATAAGCTCAATAAGCTCAGACTTGGCTCATCAGCTCCAAGCCTCCTCCGAGCCAAAGCCAAAGCCAGCGAGGGAGTGTCAAGAATTGAGATTCTGCTTTTTTCTGTTTACGCACGCATCCGACCCTCCTCCCCGGCCATCCATCAACTCTGTTATCTTCTACCCATCCCATCCTCCAACGTCACCTCCACCTCCACCTGCAGCGGCAACGAACGAACGGCTACCTAGGTACTCCTTCGAGTTGGCTCCCCATCCCTCGGTGTCAGGGTGTCAGGGTGTCAGCAGCATCCATCACACAGCCAGTGAGCCTATTAGTGGAACTGCATAGTGGGCTGGTTCAGTGGACTCGGTGGGCCCCCGCGGCGGCGTGGTTAATTCAGTGGATCTCCCCTGTCTCCCAATCAAGTCGGAACTTGCAACCAACTCTACTGAAATCAGGTGAAATCTCCTCCGACCCCAACCTGACCACTGCAGATTTCACGTCGAGTTACGCGGCTCCCGCTATAACCGGCCCATAGTCCGTCCACCGTCCACCGTCCACCGTCCACCGTCCACCTTCCACCTTCCACCTGCGCACCTTGCACCCTCCTCCCACATTCCGACATCCGACTCTGATACGCCCCTCCCCCCGGCAACCCTCCCTATTCTGGTTGGACCCTTCTTTTCGGCGAAGCATCCAACCAACACAACCACCACCACCACCAACCAGCACCGGTACCGAAACCGCAAGTGAGCATTACGCACGCACACTCGAGCTTTGTTTCAACCCTTTCCCTCGTCACCATCACGATCAGCTTCCTCCCCGGAAACATCGGCCTGCCGCCAAGTCGACGACGCTGCATCACACATTACACACCAAACGTACTGCGCTCGTGACCAGCTGTCTACCACCACCAAAACCTCAGTCAGGTATGTATTACCGATCTTTCGTCTACTCCTTCTCCTGCCTCCACCTCCTCACACATACATTTCCCCAGCCGGAGTATGTGCAATGCTTTGATGCGGCCTTGCCTGTGCTGCCTTACCTCGCGCCCTGAGCATATGAACTATTCGGGTGCAGCAATGTGCCTGCCCTACCTCGAGTGTAAGAGATGGCCAGGCTCTCCTAGCCTTGTACTCAAACTGGGCAAAAGTGAGTCGATGGTTGGCTGCATGTCGAATTTGCACGTGTGTACTACTTGCGGTATGCAAAGTTTACCACTACCTCTTTATCTCATTCCGCAAGGCTGTATCGACGTGCAACTGCAAGATCCGAGGCAACTCGAGTCGAGATTGACCCCAGGATCGGCTTTGGCGGCTCTCGAGTGAAGACGGCAATCGGACGCCTTCTGCGAAGACATGAATGTACCCGGCCTTACGGTCTCGCATCTGCTGCTGTGTCAGACTACATATGGCCTCATGTCCCGCACGAAGTGGTCCATCTCATACCCTGCGCGTCTCGCAAGCCTGCCCAAACCCTCATTCCATACGATTGTCATTCAACCTTATGCGCACATCACCTATCTTTGCCTCGATTGAGCTTATTTTCTGAGCCAGCAACACAACCCTGGTGAACTTCCGTTGCGAACAGCTAACCTTGCCATCGCAGAAACGGATCCACGGCGTATCATCAGTTTGTCTGGGGCCGTATCGACTCGAATTGCGAGCAATTCGGAAACCGCCAAGACAGATACCTGCCGCTCTTGACTGCCAGGGTTTGGGGTTAGACGCGCAAGCTTTAATTCATTCTCCACTACGAGAGAGTTATCAGTTTTCGACTTCTGGATGACCCACGGCTGAGGCTCGAGTGGAGTCGAAGCGGCGGAAGGGCAGGATTACAAGAAGGATCTCCGCCATCAGATCGCTTCTTGGGCTTCACACGACATCTCGTCACACTTGGTAAAGTCGATCCTAGTCGGCCACTCACCATCACAATGGAAACTTATCACGGCTACGTGCGGACGCCAGCCGATGCGGTCAAGCTCTTTGAGGCTTGCAGACTGGGCCTACTACCCCGAGTTCAACGGCGGTTATCGGAGAAGGAAAGACAATCGATCAGATCTGGCTCAGTCTTCGTATGGGACGAACGGGAAGCAGGCATGCGAAGATGGACCGATGGAAAGTCTTGGAGCGCAAGCAGAGTGTCGGGCAGCTTTCTGACCTACAGAGAAATGGAAGGCAAGCGAGGGACTGGATTTGGCAGCGCACGACGGAGCAATGGAAGGACGCCGGAGAGCGGTCGACTCAGTGATGAAGACCTCGACGGCGAACCCGAGGGCTATCGATACAAAGCGGATGGTCTCATGAAGCAATCCTTCAGTATCACGACATCCGCGGGCCAGCACCTGCATCTGATCTCATACTATTCCAGGCCCCATCCTGGAGCTCCTGATATGCCTCAGCCGAGCACTGATCCGCAGCTACGCCACATCAGTCCGGCCAAGGGGATGTACCCCGAGTCTAGCATACACGACGCGAGCCCACCTGCACTGACGAGAACTCCGATGCACCCATACAACAACCAACCCGCTCCTATCCCAAACGGAATATCGGAGCACCAAGCCTACGGCGGATATCCCCCTTGGGCACAACCCGCCTGGATGGGCCCTTGGCCGCCTTCACCAAACTGGGCTCATGGAAGACTAACACCCGAGTTGGGGTCTCACGGACGGGCGCAGCAGCCTGTTCAAAGGCCACCTCAGCTTCCCCCACCACAACCAATTACCTCTGCTCCTGCATACCAGGCGCCTATCTACGCGAAGGCGATAGGTCCTTACGAGCACGACCGGCTGCCTCCGCCCACCATGGCTACGGCCAGTAGAGCGTACCCCCTGATGGCCGGACGAGCGCCGAGCTTATCGCCGCAATCGCAACAGCTTCAACTACAGGCTGCGCAGGCAGCTCAAGCAGCTCACGCCGCCATGCTCGATCCGCGTCTCGCCGTCAGTGCTCGAAACCCCCAAGGTCCTTTGCCGGCGATGCCGTTACCGTCCAAGGGACTCACACCTCCAAGAACACACTCGGACTCCCCGCCAAGGGCTACAAGCTCCGAGGGTACTAATGGCACCATCAACAAGGCAAGCTTGTCAGCGCTGCTTCACCCGACACCAGCGAACTCGGAGCCGAGCAGCGCGCACACGGCTAGCAGCAACAGCGCCAACAGTTCTCCCAGGATGATGGCATCGGGGCCTAACATCCCGCCGACCGGTAATGCCATGTTCAGGGCGGAGGAGACACGGGCTATCCGATCTCTGGACCGGAAATTCTACATCTAGACGTTGAATGTGGCCGGGTATTATTTGCATGGTACAGGCGTTTATGGGGACTAAAAAGATACTCTGGGTCGGTCACATCTCATTTGCAACACGGAGCGGCTTCTTTGCTTTGGTACAGCGCGCATTCTCAGACAGTGGTCCGTCCGGACAGTCTGACGGAGTCACGGTTTTGCTTTCATGGCAGTAGTCTACGGACATGGGACTTCGCTACACGATGCTCCAGCACCTGCAGAAGTTCGATCACGTATATAGTACACAAGCCTTCAGAAGGCGGCAGTGTGTGGGCCTCAGCTCCAAGCTGCGGTCAGTGAAGTAGCGACGGCAACAAGCCGAGTACTACTATTACAAGACATTACTGCTACAAGATGGTCACTGTATCTGAAAGTGTGAATTTGAGGTGAGCTGCTGCGATATGCACGACATGTTCCGACTGGCTGATATTGGAACATCAAACGTGATCAGAGGCTTGGTCGTGTACCGTACGATGCTGCAGCTCAACCTCACGTCTGCCAATGCTGTGTGACATGGGATGGACAGGGCACATCAGACAGAACCGGGACCAGGACCAGGCCCAGGACCACCGGCAGCCATTGGAACCCAAAAAGGGTTGCCGGACCTCGCTGTGTAGATCTTCGAATGTTTTAAGGTTACCTGGCCGCAGCGTTTAGACCGTTACGTCGTCCACTTTCGGCCCCACCGGCTATGAGGTAGTATCCGGTGTTCCCTTCTGGAAACATCGGTGTCAAAAAGAACAAGGGCGTTTCATGTCCGATACGGTTATTGATATGGAGCCCGGTTACGAGTGCCGGAGATGAGTGATGAGGGTGGGCTTGGGGGAGTCGGGGCCTCACTGCCGTATTCGTTACCCGTGCCCCGTCCCGCATTGTTGATTACGCGGCCCGGGGCCCGTTTATTACGTTGGTAGGTAGGTAGTAATCTCGGACGTTGTGGGTGGGATTAGAGTTAGCGGCAAGCTTTCCCCTTTGCATTGGTGTGGCGCTAGGTGCTGGCTAGTGACCGGGGCACTTAGGTTAGAACACAGTGTCTTTGACGGGGATATCAAGTGGGTGTTGCTTTGGTTTTAATGTTATATTGGTATTAGATTTTCAAAAGAAATTCCTTCTTATCTTTTTTTTATAGTTTTAAAGTGCGATATTATGAATTATCATAGTTTGTAGTTAATATATTAAACTATTTATAAAGTAAGCATAGTTTTAATAAAACCTTTAATAATTATTAACTTTTAAAAAAATGTATACGTGTCACGATGCCTGCGGCGGTGTGTTGCAATCTGGGATTGATTACGAAAATGACAAGGTGAGGAAGGAAAAGGAAGCCAGCAAGGTGGTGTGCGCAGCACACACGTTAAGTGGTGGTCCCGTTCCTTTCTCATCTAATCTACACGTGACCTGGTGGGTCACCTGACCAGGGACCAGGTGGGTGGACCGTCACACTTATTACTTTAATCAGATCATCCAAAGGTACACCTAGTTTCTCCCTTGTGGGATGTTCCGTTTCATCTCGTCGAGAAGAGGATCTGCATTGTGCCTCTGCTTTACTTGTTGGCTTTGGCGGTGAGTGAGTTATTACTGAGTCGCTTGGCCCTGGGCTAGGCGGCGATGCCAATGCTTGTCTTCTCAATGGTCTATGTGAATCCATGGCCGTTGGCTCACGTACTGGTACCAGCGGCTTCAAAGTTCAGAGGCCACGTCAAGAGCGAGCTAAGTGGAGCGGCAGATTTAAGCTTGTATTGATAGTGCCGCCACGGCGGATAGCTCCGTCGACGCGCAACCCCTTTTTCCCTGTTCGAGTAAAGCATACAGTAGTCTATCCCACCGTCGGTTCCGCGGACGGCAGGTAGGCGGCAGAATTGACGATGAGGACTATCTGCCTATCGGTTAGAGAGTCTGAGAGTTGTTACCTGCTTACCTCCCGACCGAGTGGTCAAGCACTGCATGTTGCTGTGCCGTGTGTGGACCGCACGAGAAAGGATGCAGTCGCCAGTGACGGATGTAGCCGGGTGCAAACGGTGGATGGATAGATACACAACCTTGTGGACAAATACACTCGACTTACTGCAAATACCTACCTGGTACGCCACGATGGAGTCAACTAACGAGTGCGGCTCTGAGACTGCCTAGGCTAGGCAGATCGTGCCTGACGATCGACAAACGCGGCCCGTCCGAAGACTTCTAGAAGAGATCCACGGTATTATTATTACGTGGCAATACCCGGGGTTCCACGCGGTGCGATCATCCGCGGCAAGGACACGCTGCTATTTCGAGTCGACCACTGCGGCGCACTCGGTGTTCGAATCCGGCCTCGAATGCGTCATCATCTTACTGTGGTCACAGCGGGAGGATTCGTGAAATGTAGTAACGTGTCCACTTACATGACTGATATAGATAATAGGTGGCTAGGGACGAGATGCTATCGCGAATCCGTTGACCGAGCACACCCCCGTCGAAGGAGCTTATTCTTCCTTGCGGCTCCGCCTCCTTGCGTCCCGGGGGACCAGCCTCGCCAGCCCCGTGCCGGCGTGCTGACTGCCTACGTAGACTACACCAGTATGGGACAATGGCCTGATAAGATTGGGTCGGAGTATTTCTTCTCTTGTGTCCTTGCCGTTATGGATGAGGACGCGACATCGTGAGTAGAGGACCCGATTCGGTGCTGGACGTGGACGTGAAGGTATTCGACACATCGCCCCCAAGAAGCACACGGGAGCCTGGGATGAAAACCTCCCAATGCGAGATCACGATACAAACGAGGTGTACATACATTCAATGAGGTCACGATGGGGTTGCGGACACCATTTCATTCACGGTTGGCACATGATCGTTGCGGGCTCTCAACCGCATGATCACATTCGGAAGCATGGGGGATTCCATGCATACGGCTGCCTAGAGCGATTCGCTCAGGTAGAGGGGAGATCATTCTCTGTTGGTCCTTCTGTCTACCCTGGTAACCAAGGTACATTGAGGGTCTTCTGTGAGAAGGTGGAAGATTCAGCTGTCCGCCCGCCCTGCCTGCTTGCGGATATCTATAGTTCTGCTCGAACTGCGACCACATCTTCACCGATAAAGCCATAATAGACTAGTCCAATAGACCGAGTTTGGTCGACTCTGGTTCGAGAATACCATGGAGGTCCACCACAATTGTCCATGGGAATGCCAACACGGCCTGCAACTCCGACCTGAGCTTCACTTCCGCACGTTTCAAGATCGACGTTCTCTTGACGAGTCTGGAATCTCTTGAGGCCTTCTTGCCATAGGCGTCGAGCCAATTTCGAGCGTCGTCGTAGGGCACGAAACCGAAGCTGTCGGTTGGTGGGTTCGCAATCCGTGATGTGTTCTTCATGGAATACTGGTCGAGAAGGGTTCCGCCCGGACCGATGATGACAGTCACTTGCTTCAAGGATTTGAAGCGTCCCAGGAAGTTGATTATTGCCTTGCATTCCTCGGCGCTTTGGATGAACTGCAGTCGGGTGAAGCCGACATGATGGGCTCTTGACTCGAGCGGTTGCAGTGTTTCCGGATAGCCTGGGCTGTACATGAGGAGGTCGTTTCGGGGACTAACGTAAGTGTAGTTCGTATGCTGTCGAATCTCCAACTGGCCATGTTTTCCGGCGGGTACGAAGCGAGAGTCCAGCTCCAGGGGAAGACGACAGTAACCTCCACGGGGTTGGGAGCCCAGTTTGGCCAGAGCCTCCAGCTCCTCATTGAGGTCGATAGCTCCAACCGGGCGCATTTCAGACGGTCTGTATGCCATATATAATACGGTGCGAGGGAAATGGTGGTCGAAAGGGTATCCTCTTCCACGTGGGAAACAGTGTACAGTACCGCCACGCGCCTCCCAGAAGCAATCCCAGATCATGAGCTGCAATTCCCTTGGGAGTGCCGTGAAGTACTTGAACTGCTGAAGGCCTGCCATGTTGTTGGCAGGCATGCTGTCGGGCGGCATGCTGCTGGTCGGCTTGCCGTCAGACATAAGGGATGGGTGAAGCAGGTGTTGAGACTTGTAGAATGTGGACAGAGGAGAGCACAAGATTCGAAGGGCTTTATGAGGGACATGTCTGTGCCAGTGCTCAGGGCATCGACGATTATGCCTTGTTCTAAGCAGACGACTCCCGAACTTTCTGGTCTGGTACGGACAAGAAGCCTTTAGTAGATCAGGCAGATTCATGTGCATAGATGGCTCGTACATTGTGATGACCACAGTCTTTGAGGCATTACATTGCCACGCGCCTTAGGTGATGGGCCGCGCAATGCGCATCAACAGATGGTTGCCACGGGAGGCCATTTCTCATGACTCCCAGGCCCTTAGAGCCCAGTGGACCCAGAAGCTCTCACCAAGGCATGAGTTGACCTCGTCTCAACCAAAATCGCCTGCCTAACCATGACCGTGCCAACAGAGGCACGAATATGCCTTCAGGATACAGCAGGTCTCGAACTTCCTAGGCCATCAATCTAACGCAACGAAGAGAGACTGACAAGCAGTTGATAGTCTGCGCCTGGTACATTAAGTCTCATGCAGGTATCAGGAGCAACCAACAAAGAAAGCGCCAAAGAGAACGTTTGCTTGAGCTCAAACTGTTTGCTGCCACTAGCTGCTTCTAGAAATTACGCATTGTTTTCTTTGGGTTGGGCTTTGCTTGCTCAATATACGGAGCTGTGGCCCTTGGTCAGATTGTGAACAGGACCTGGGACTGTAAAGCCAATGGTGCAGAGGACCTAGCATGATGGCACTAAAGGCGCAAATAGAATCAACATCACATGCACCAAGCATGGAACCTTGCTGGCTGGCGGTAAGAAGTCGACGAGGCTACAGTGAGGTCGTAATTCAGCATCATGGCATGGCGTCTTGTGGATTTAGCAAATACGCTATCAAAGTTCCCCCAGTCCTGCCTATCTGTGGTTCAGGTTCTAGTACGCCTCCCAATGCTATGTCTTCGGGACTTCGGCTGTCCTCAGATATTCCCGTTCGCTCACTGTACCCTACCAGTACTGTGGGCGCAGGCCAGTAAAGGTGGACGCCAGCGAGCTCCCCTCGTCACCATCTTTTCGCCTTTGACCCGCCAGCTGCATTGATGTGTTAGCCATCAACACCGTACTATGAAATTGCAAGGAGAGACATCGGGATGCGGCAAGGAGTCATGGGAAATGTCTCACCTCCAGCTGGACACCCTTGTGTATATGAACGAGCCAGTCCACATAGCTCTGGGCCTCGTTGTTTCGATCTTCGATCAGCATTCGTGCAAACTCGTACTCGGCACCATCGATGCCTTGCCTTGCCAGCTGAATGGTCAACGCTTTCGAGCCCCGCATTGTTCTAAGGAACTCGACGATGTTCCGAACCTGAGCATTGAGATGCGTCTGTAGAACGGGTAGGGAGGAGCTATACGGATCAAGTGAATTGAGGCTATCCTTGCCCTCCCCAAAAAGATCTGTGAGCAGGTTCGGTGATGTTTGCGAGTGGAACCACAGTAAGCATTGCTGACCGTTGTCAAGCAGATATACACCACCTGGTTCGACACGGGCGAACGATGTGCGTATCGCTGGAGGCATCTTGAGATGACCCGTCTGCTCATCAGAGAATCCGTCCTCGGGGTTCAGGTTATGGATGGGAATCATCCTGGGGTAGAGGTACAGACTGAGCTCCGAGGCGCCCATGGATCTGATCATGCGCATCTCATGTACTCTTCGGTCCGAGGTCTCATTTCCGCCCTTGAATGCTCGGCACTTGATGAGACCAAGCATGTACATGGAGAACTCCTTGAGTTTTTCGGGCATGACCAGCTGGCCCGGTGGATGTGGTTGCGACGAGAAATTCTTCCGATACCCGGCCAGAACATCAATAGTCTTCTCGGTCAGGCTAAGCCGGATGTCCTTCAGCGAACTGGAGCTCGAGGCTAGCTTGGAAGCCGCGTCCTTGGAGATGATGGTGTACACAGCGTCCTGATCTATAAACTTCATGCACTCCCTGGGACTGTCGCTGACACTAGCAATGACATTGCAGCATCTGACCCTGCGTTGACCGGAAGCGGTTGTGTACAGCAGAGCAGATTGGAAGTGGGCGTCAAGCTTCGAGTCGAGCTTTCCATCGTAACCGAACGTGACACCTACGGCCTTGTCGGCATCGATGACACCAATCTCGAGGTCTGCGCCAAAGGTGTGCTGGATGAAGTTGCCGTGGTATGCGGATATCTGGAGTCCATTGGAACATCGAACCTTCATCAACGCTTGGTAGCCCGTCTCCCGTGTGACGGTGTGCTTGATCTCTTGCGAGAGCTTCGCGTTATCTCGACCAGCTACGAAGTTGGGATAGTAAAACGTCTCACCACCGGTGGTCGACGAAACGTGACCTAGCACCAGAAGATTAGTGTCGTCGAGGATAGCGCAGTTCACCAAGGCTTCATAACTTACCGATAGTCGCCACGTCTAGGTAACCACCGGACGGTGCGGCCAGGAAGAAGTCGATGCCTACGCCTGCAGCCACCATCTTCTCCGCGGTTTTCTTCCATGCAGGATGCTCAGTGGAAAAGAGTTTCTTATCAACTTCACCACCAGGATACTTGCCGTCGTCTCTCATAAAGAGCCGCCCAGGTCCCCAGGTGGGCAAAGCAGACAGTGAGCACACGATTTTGCCTCCTGTCTTCTCCAAGGCAGCAAGACAGGAAGTCAGGGTAGGTAATAAAGCGGGCTCGGGATTCTTGATGTCCGCGAAGAGGGTTGGCAACCGTGTGAGTAAGGAGGTGATGACAGCTCTTGACTCATATGGATCGACGAAAAGTCCATCACTAAGCGGCACGAAGGGGTCTTCGATATCAGGCATAATCATCATCTGGGCTTGCTCCAGAGCCGACTGAAATGTTTTAGCATGACCCCTTGAAAGCTGCTTGGACGAAGCATTGGCGACTCACATTGCAGTTGTAGAAATGGATGTCCTTGTCGTACGTCACGAATCCAACTCTGGCACCCGACGGTATACGCCGTTTCGGTTCGCCGTTTTCTTCCATCTGATCGGTCTCGTCCGGGGCGTAGAGTGCAGCAAGTATTCCCTCGCAGAAAGCCTCTAGGAACCCCTTGTTGAAGGACTCTTGCGTAACATCGATCACAAACAGCCAATTCAGACCCGTCGGTTCCTTCGTCCAGTACTCCTTAGGTACCATGAATTCGACAGTTCCCTTCATCAACTCGGGTCGCTGATCTCGGTCCACCCGAACTCCCTGAGGTGTCGTGGCGCAGAAGTATTCGGATGGGGTATCATTGGGGTAGGTACACAGGTTACAAACGAATTTGCTGCCACCAGAACGGAACATCATGAAGGGATTGATATAAGCACGACATCGCCGGCATCTTGGGGGCCCTAGCTCGCCAAAGTCAAGTACGGGAACTTCCGTCTCGCCAGGCTGAAGACGAGCCAGCGGTTGCAGTACGAGTCCAAGAGGCACGCCCGTGCTGGTTAGACCTTCCAGACTGGCTGGTATGTTATTCATGGTCAAGCGGGTAAATTTAGGCGAGGAGTTGCCCTGATCGTAGGCGACGAAGGCAACAGCAGCTGGCGGAGGTACGTGGCGCTCAAATGTGGGATATACACTGTTGAAGTAGTGTAGCTGTGGCACGTCTCTGGATATTGGCACGCTTGGGATATCCTCTGACGAGACCTGTCCGCCCCCTGAAGCTGGCACAAACGTCCCGGCCGGCGCGTGCCCTGGATCGTTTTGGCCATTCCTCGCGGCGAACTCGGCGGCAGTAGCTTGACTGACGGGGTTGAAGGGTGAGTTGACGGGGGCCGGAAACTGGTTTGGAGTGAGTTGTTGGCCACCAAATTGGCCACCGGGCTGTACCGAGGGGTCGGCGTTCAAGAAAGCGGTGGCGGGCGTCCCCGCGGGAGGTATACCGTTATAAGGTTGCGAAGATCCGGCAGGCGCTTCGACGTTGTGGAAGGCATGGCGATCCTTCTTCTTCCTCCTTGCGCCTTGTTGCCCGTCTAGCGACATTCCTGCCATCTGGGAGGCAAGACCGGCCCCGTCTGCCGGAGAAGGAGGTTGCCCACCGTATTGCTGGCCTGGAGGAGGCGCGAATCCTGGCGCGCCGGCCGGCGAAGGACCTCCCATTGGGGGTTGTTGGGGAGCCCCGTAGTACTGCTGGCCCTGAGGCGCAGGAGAACCATACTGCTGATACTGCTGATGGGCAACTTGGGGTTGGAATTGGGGCGGCGCAGGTTGGCTCGTTCGATTGGGGTCGTTCGGGTCGAGCTGTTCACCCTGGCCGAGGGCATGGTACATAGCGTACTCGGACATTGCGCTAAAGGTCTATAGTGAGTCAATCGGTAGTAGGGTTCTGCTCTGTCTGTAGCAGAAGTTGGTGGAATGGATTGGTCTGTGTGAGCGCAGATTGTCGCAACTCTATGTTCTCAGCTCGTCTGAGCAAGCTCGGAGTAGATATAGCAGCTGCGGCAGAGATGGTTGATTCATGCGTTTCATAAACGAGGATGGCTGTCCATGGTAGCGCAACCCCGCAGCAGGCAGATGGATTCCCAGGAAAGTAGCGTAGCCGGCGTGGTAGGGCGGGCCACGGATTTGCTGATATCGTATTTGGCTCTTGAGGCCACGGTTGGCATTGACATCTGGGAAGCGCTCCTATTTCCAAAATAGGATCTGGACCTGGAAGGGTTCCCGTTTCTTAGGCCGGACAGGGGCAGAGGGGCAACCCCCCTGACCCGCGAGCCAGCAACCTAAAACTAAAAAAGTGACACGATATCCTTCCGACAATTTTCCGGTGCCGATTTGAGGTTCAGCCGCGTTGCCCCACTACACCGCTGTAATTAGCCTGTGACGATGCTGTCGGCGGTCGCCACCGCCCAGACCCGGCTGACGGGTTGTGCGATAGAAGACAGGGGCCTCTAGCGCGGTCTCTCCACCGAGGCTCACCGTGAACCGCTAATCGCCGATACTCCGTCACCCGCATGGAGTTTCAATGTTTGTACCTGAATTCTTCCTCTAGCGCGACAGTAACAATCGCCCGTTCCTCATCCATCCTCTCACAAACATCACCACCTTTCGTCCCCACGGGAGGCGCCTTGATGACCTGCGCTACCGGGTCTTATCAATTTCTATCGGCGAATCCATCACTTGGGTAGGATCGACAGCTTTGGTCTCTACCTTGGTATCATGCAGCCATGTTCACGTTCAGCCCATTGCAGGGGGCGCTCTCGGAATCAGCTGCGTCGCAATCCATCTTGGAGCTAGATGGAGGCATCAAGGTGCTGGTCGATGTAGGCTGGGACGAATCATTCGACGTCGCCAAACTCAAGGAGCTGGAGAAGTACGCAGTTCCTCTATTCGCTCCCCTGTCTTGCTCCAGGATCTCAGTACAGTCTCCGTAGCTGAATAGCTGACATTGTTCTGACAGACAAGTGCCGACCTTGTCCTTGATCCTCCTCACGCATGCGACGACGAGCCACATCGCAGCCTTCGCCCACTGCTGTAAACACTTTCCTCTGTTTACGCGCATACCAATTTATGCAACAACTCCAGTCATCGCGCTCGGCCGAACCCTCCTCCAAGACCTCTATGCCTCTACGCCCTGCGCCGCCACCACCATACCCCCGAGCGCTCTGGACGAAGTCTCGTATACAACTCACGAGCCCTCCTCCGACATACTGCTACAAGCTCCGACCTCGGAAGAGATCGCGACGTACTTCTCCCTCATTCATCCTCTGAAGTACTCTCAGCCTTACCAACCCCTCGGCTCCCCATTTTCACCTCCCCTGAACGGCCTAAGTATTACCGCATACAACTCGGGTCACACGTTGGGTGGTACTATTTGGCATATACAACATGGTCTGGAGTCCATTGTGTATGCTGTTGATTGGAACCAGGCGCGCGAGAATGTCTATGCAAGCGCCGCTTGGCTGGGCGGTGGTGCCGGTGGTGGCCGCTCCCAGGTCATCGAACAATTACACAAGCCTACTGCCTTGGTCTGCAGCAGCAGAGGAGGTGAAAAACCTGCTCTGCCCGGAGGCCGGAGCAAGCGAGACGAACAGCTCCTCGAGAAAGTGAGATCGTGTGTTGCGCGGGGAGGTACAGTTCTGATTCCTATCGACTCGAGCGCGCGTGTTTTGGAGCTTGCCTATTTGATGGAGCATGCTTGGCGGTCCGATTCTGCGACGGCTGATGGTCAACTCAAGTCGGCGAAGCTCTACCTCGCCGGGCGCAACATCCACAGCACCATGAAATATGCGCGAAGTATGCTGGAATGGATGGACGAGAGTATCGTACGCGAGTTCGAGGCTGTCGCCGACGGGTTTAAGCGAGGCAACGGAGCGGCAGATGGAGCTAAACAGGGCAAGGATGGTGGTCCCTTCGACTTTAGGTTTCTAAGGCTGCTTGACAGGAATGGTCAAGTTGATAAGGTCCTCAGCCGGGATGTTGAAGCCGATGCCGCAGTGGGAACAGTCATTCTTGCCAGTGACACGAGTCTTGAGTGGGGTTTCTCAAAGCTCGTGTTGAAGAGGCTTGCCGAAGACGCGAAGAATATGGTCATCTTGACCGAGTATCCCTCAGTAGCCTCCGACACTCGGCCATCTTTGGCAAGGACTCTCTGGAATTGGTGGAAGGAGCGCTCAGAACAGACAAGTGACGGCGCGAACGGCTCAGCCGCGCTTGAAATCGAACTCACAGACGCACAAAGGCAGGCTCTCGAGGGCAATGATTTGGCCATATATCAGCAATGGCTCGCCCAGCAACGTCAGCTCCAAACGACCCTTCAGAGCGGAGGCGCCACTGCACTCGAGACTTCTGGAGACGTAGCCGACGACGCTTCTGAGTCTTCGTCTGAGTCGGAGGATTCCGAAGCTGAGCACCAAGGCAGGGCGTTGAATGCAGCTACCACCATGGGTCAAGCCAGCAGGAAGAAGGCTGCACTGACAGATGAAGATTTGGGCATCAACGTACTGCTAAAGAAGAAGGGCGTCTATGATTTCGACATTCGGAACAAAAAGGGGCGCGATCGGATGTTCCCTCATCCCGTTCGACGGAAGCGCAATGATGACTACGGGGAACTGATAAGACCAGAAGACTTTTTGAGAGCAGAAGAGCGCGAAGATGCTGATGGTGCCGAGATGGACCAGGCAGGGAAGGGCGACGGTCGTGATAATCTCGGAAAGAAACGCAAATGGGACGACACCGCAGCTTCGGGTAAGAACCGAGGTTCTGGCACCGCAAAACGTCCAAATCTCACACGCAATATTTCTGACGATGTGGAAATGGCCGTTTCCGAGGACGTCGTTATTGACGAGCTCGATGGGGTGCCCGCCGATGCAGATGAAGCCACGATTGGCCCCTCAAAGTTAGTAACGACGACGGAAAGGATTCGAGTCAACATCCAGATCGAGTTCATCGACTTCAGCGGCATTCACGACAAACGAAGTCTACATATGCTGATGCCTTTGATCGAGCCCCGGAAGCTAATCCTGGTTGGCGGGACCACTGATGAGACAATGGCGTTGGCTTCGGATTGCAAGAAGCTTTTGACTGAAGGTTCAATCGATATTCACACACCCAGCATCGGAATGATCATCGACGCGAGCGTGGATACCAATGCCTGGGTAGTCAAGCTTGCGCCGACCCTTGTGAAGCAGCTCAAGTGGCAAAGCGTGCGTGGACTCAGTATTGCCACAGTGACTGGCCGGCTTCTTGCCATGCAGAAGGACCTTGGTATGAGCAACGATGAGGACATGGCCAATAAGCGGCTGAAAACGGAGGAGCAGTCGGACACCATAGCCGAAGTGGAAGCCGAACCGACACTGGATGTCCTTCCCACGAACATGGCATCGGCAACACGATCGGTAGCTCAACCACTGCATGTCGGTGACCTTCGACTGGCGGATCTGAGAAAGGCGATGCAGCAGTCAGGTCATACCGCGGAGTTCAGGGGCGAGGGTACATTGCTGGTCGACGGCTCAGTGGTCGTACGGAAGACTACGACGGGCCGGGTTGATGTCGAAAGCATTGGCTTGCCGACGGATGGAGGACCTGCTACAATGTTTGGTGGAACGTTTTACGCTGTCAAGCGGACCATCTATGAGAATTTGGCTGTGGTTGCTGGTGCTTGAGCAGATGCCGTCGCATAGATGGACGGATGGATGTACGAGTATGTAGGACTGGAGAATACCCAAGAAAGCTATCTAGTCTCGCTTTGCCCAGCTTCTTTCTCTCTTCGTTTTGTCACGCTCATCCTACGTTGGCTTATTCACAACTCCTGATCATCCCTCGGCCCACGGCTATGGGCACATATTCTTTTGCTGTCTTCATCGTATTACTGCCGTTCTTAATCGAAATGTCGCTGCCCCGCTCTAAATCGCTACTACTTCCCATTACAATTAAAGCTGGCACCAGATAATAATAATATTTTTTATAAACTATATCGTCGTATATGCCGTCGTTTACGCTGTTGCTAGCTAATTAATAATAATATTATTTATTATTATATATTTTTCGCATGAAATACCTTTAAGCGTTATGATTTCCAAGCCTTTAACCTTTAACGTTATAAATATTATTAAAACCTTCTTTAACCTTAAAAATATATATTTTATGTGAAAAAGTATATATATATATAATCATTATAAATTTATAGACTTTTCCTATAATATTATTATTAATATTAATATTTTTTAACATAAATACGGTAAATATTATTTACAAAAAGTTAGTTAAAAAATCATATTTTTAAATAATATACGGTTTTATTCACATATCGGTGGATAAATCTACTAATAAATAATACGAAATATTCTTATATTTAATGACGGTTAAATAAATTTGAATATTAATAATAAAAATTAGTGTTAAGGTTAATAACGGGTTTTATACGGTTTTTATCACTTAATAACTTATTACAGTTAAAGCTTTAATTAAAAAAACCGTTATTATATATTATAGAAAGTAATAAATATAAAAAGTTCATAAAAAACTTATAAAAAGGGCTATAAATTTTCTTAATAAAACTATTAACAAAAAATCAAAAGTTTTTTTTTTAAATAAAGATTTTTTTAATAAAAGGTTTATTATTATTATTATTACTATTATTATTATTATTATTACTATTATTATTATTATTATTATTATTATTATTATTATTATTATTATTATTATTATTATTATTATTATTATTATTATTATTATTATTATTATTATTATTATTATTATTATTATTATTATTATTATTATTATTATTATTATTATTATTATTATTATTATTATTATTATTATTATTATTATTATTATTATTATTATTATTATTATTATTATTATTATTATTATTATTATTATTATTATTATTATTATTATTATTATTATTATTATTATTATTATTATTATTATTATTATTATTATTATTATTATTATTATTATTATTATTATTATTATTATTATTATTATTATTATTATTATTATTATTATTATTATTATTATTATTATTATTATTATTATTATTATTATTATTATTATTATTATTATTATTATTATTATTATTATTATTATTATTATTATTATTATTATTATTATTATTATTATTATTATTATTATTATTATTATTATTATTATTGATAAAACAAATATTGTGACAGTGTACAGCTGTATCCACCTAGTTAAATGCTGAGTCAGATCACGTGTAGATTAGATAAGGAGATTTGGACTATATGTGCTGTAGCCTCGGCTATACGCACAACTGTTCTTTTTCTCTCCCACCTTGTTATTTTCGGAATACAACACCAGTATACAGCACACCGCCGCAGGCTTCGTAACAATTATTATCAGGGTTATTATGATTATTAGAATCTTTAGCATCGTTAGCATCGTTACCATCGTTAGCATCGTAGAATTATTAACACTTTTTAGCTATTTATACTATCTTTTTTTAAAAAAGTTTATTTCTGTTTATTTTTATAGTTAAATACAGCTTTTTAAAAATAAGAAAAACATTTGTAATATTTATTTAAATTCTATATAAATTTATATAAATGAAAGGTTGTATTAAATCCATTTTTAAAGTAAACGAAATTCATATAAAGGGTTATTCAACTAATAGGTATTTTATAAAGAGTTATTCTGTTTATTAACGAGATATATAATAAATGATATTTGTTGGATCCATGTGATTCCACAGTCAAACCATACATACAGAACCCACATATATGATTAGATAAGAGATTAGATACCGGATTGTGAGGTCACTTAGCCAGACCTGCAGGTCCAGCTAGACTTCTCAATCCAACTATCAGCAACATCATGACCTTGACCCAATACTCGAGTATTATGATTGATCGTTCAAGCCTGTTCCCACAATATTCGTATATTTATTTATAAACGATTATAATAGTATATTATTAAAATATTATTAAATCATGTTAAAGCCGTTTTAATAATTTAATAATATTTAAGTTTTCTTGATACATTAAACTACTTTTTTAAAAATATCATATACGATTCTCAGCTATAAGTAAAATTTTCATTTTTTAATATCTCTATTATAAATCAGAAACATCCTAATTTCTTTAAAATAAAGTTCATGTTTGAAACTATTTTTTGAATTTAATTTTAATAAAATGTTTATTATTATCCTTATTTTGAATATTTTTATTTTTAATATATTATTATTAAGTATTGTTATTTTTATTGCGCTATTTGCTACGGGTCTTTTTTTTTAATTAATATTTAATATTAAAAGCTAACAATATAGTATAGGTTAATTATATTTAATAAAATTAACACGAAAACTTTGTAACGTTATCAGTTTATTTTAAGGATAGAGAGTGAAAGAATTACCATTAATAAAACCATTAATATTATGAAGTTAAAAATACTATGATTTATTATTCTTTATAAACATTAAAAAAGCGATGGATTTAAATATAATAATTTGCTAACGTTGTTATTTTATATATACCTTATATACACGTATTCGTATTTAAATACAGCTGTAACGCGTTTATTTAATATTATAATAAAGATATAAACTAACTACCTCTTATTTACGTATACGAACTATTCTAACCTAATATCTTAAGTTGTTAATATCTAATACGTCTTTTAATAAAGAATATATTAAATAAGCTTTTAAACGTTCAAATTTATAATTAAATTTTCTTCACGTAAATAATAATGTTATTTAACTAAATAAGCAGTAGACCGTGCCTTTTAATAATATTTCCTTACCGCTTTATTCTTAGTTAAATTAAAAGGTAATCGTGTGTTTTTAACGTTATATATATGTTTTTAAAGCCGTATTTATTGTCCTTTAATCACTTTGGGAACTTAGTACCTTGGTATTTATCTTATTTGTTGGAACAGGCTTGAACGATCAATCATAATACTTGTCACGGCAAGTGGCACCTAAGACGAGACAAAGCAGACGACAAGGGGGTAACCGACTCTATAGACGAAAATATCGAAGATAAAGAAAGGAAGGAAAGAGAGCTAGATACAGGTGGGAGACAGAGCTATCTAGATGAACCCCTGACCAGGGTGTGATGTGGGGCGCAGTAGGTTGCGCTGGTGTGTGCCTTCACACTGCCCTCACAATACTCGAGTATTGGGTCAAGGTCATGATGTTGCTGATGGTTGGATTGAGAAGTCTAGCTGGACCTGCAGGTCTGGCTAAGTGACCTCACAATCCGGTATCTAATCTCTTATCTAATCATATATGTGGGTTCTGTATGAATGGTTTGAAGGTTGAAATCGCATGGATCCAACATTATTAGTTATATTTACTCGTGTATTAATTTCTTAATAATATAAAAACCTACCGCGCCTTTATCGGCGCCTTTATATTTCTTATATATGATACTTATAAATTATAAAGCTTTTACATCGGTGCCTCGTCGTTCAAAGGTTTTAATACCTTTAAAAAAGGCTTTTGTTCGTATGTTAATAATTTTAATAATGCCCGATCTTCTCGCCGTAAAAGCCTGTTCATCGCTTATTTTACTCTTAATGTTTAAACGATTATAAAATAACCAACACTTTTATTAAACTCGTAACGTCTTTTTTTATATACTTATAATTACGAAAGCTAAGCCTTTTTTTTTTTTAATATGTAGGTTACGCGTAAATAACCCTCTTTTATAAAGCCGTGCTTTATATCGACCTTTTTCGTTTTATCGTCCTTTATAATTATAGTTTTTTACGCTTTACACGCTTTACGGTATTAGTTAATATTATAAGCGTTATTTTTTAAATCATTACAAATATAAGCCGTGCTTTTAAATTATATGTTAATTAATTAAAAGGTAGATTATTTTGTAACTATTATTTACCACCTTTGAATATATTACGTATTACGGTTAAGCTTATTATGAGCGCTTGGTTTTTAATATATTATCTTCTTATATTTTAACACGCGCTTGTTTTACGCTTTAAGCGTATTGCACCGGCCTGTCAGGCTGACTGGTCACCGATATGAGCCCTAAGGCTCCACTACCACATCCCCTTAAAACGCCTAATTCTCACAAACATACCAGGATAGATTGAAGTATCCTTATACACCTACTTCTTGGAATCACCGCTATCACCTTGCTTCAGCATTCAGCTACCTTAACCTTTACATACGTGTTACGTTTTTTAAAGTTATTATAATTATCTTCGCATTCTTCAGTATTAAAATAGGCCTTTTTACGGGCTTTAACTTATAAAGAAACTTTTTGGTTTATTAAACGTAACGCCGTTATCTTAAAATAAACGAGTTTATAACACTTCATAAGGTTTATAATAAACCTTATATCTTTTAAGTTTAATCGTTAACGTCGTATTTTTCGTATTTTTACTAGGTTAAATTGTTATTTAAAAGCCGTTTTACTTCTTAAAAAGCGGTAATATCGTCGTTTAAACGCGTTCGTAAGGCTAATAACACCTCGGTATATCGTATATATTAATAAATATCGGGTTTTAAGCGGCGCCGTTACTTTTATAACGTAACGCGTATTAAAAAAACCTTTTTAACTAGTTATTACTAAAAACAATAACGATTATAACCAGCGCGTAACACGCTTAATACATAATACCTTATTTATAACTACCTGCTTTAAATCGATACCGAAAATATTGTTATATAAGAAGTTAAAAAGCAGTGTGTTTAAATATATATTGCTTACTTACGTTAGTATTTTATATTTATCTTATATAAACGTATTTATATTTAAATATAATTATAACATGTTTACTTGATATATTAATAAAGTTATAAGACAACTACTTTTTATTTACGTATGTTAAACATTACAAGCTGATATTTTAGGGTATTAATATCCGATTGTATATAACTTTTAAAATAATACGCGATTAATTTAATATTATTACGCGACGTTAATTTCTAAAAAATTACTTTTAATTTCAATAATTAAAAAAGTATAGCAGTATTAAGATATTAGGAAGGCGAAAAGAGCGGGGGTTACCAATATTAGAAGTAATAAAATTTTTAAAAGGTAAAAAAGGTAAGAAAATCATAACTTTATTAATAATATACTTTTGAATGTTAATAATACGAGTATTATTTTTCGCGCGGTATTATTTAACAGCTTCAACTTTAAAAATCATTTTAATATTTATAATAAAACTACGTAAATACGTTTTTAAATAATTATAACGTTAATAAGTTTAATTATTTAGAAATATATTCAATATTATTATTATCGTTATTTTAAATGTTACTTTTATTTAGGTATGCAAGTTTGTTATATAAGGGTTAATTTTTTTAATACCGATATATAGCTTTTTCGCTAAAAAAAACCACCCAATTAAAGTTATAAAAAACATTCTTAAAGCTTCAATTTTTAAAAATCGTAATTTATAACAATATACTCAAAAAATCAAAAATCAAACCTATAGAAAGCTTACTCATTTAATTATAAAAGCTTTAAAACGAATAATTTTTATAACGAGATATCTTATAAGATATATCGGTTTGATTGCGTTTATATATGTATATTGAAGCGAGCGAGTATTGGGTCAAATATGTTATTGTGCGTGGGTTAGCTATTTAGCTAAGTGGGAGGACTGCACCAATTATATGGTGGCCGCTTCCTTATCTTATCTATCTAGCCGCACTCTGATTGTCCAGTGCACCCACTTACAGTCGGTTAGGGTTAGGGTTAGGGTTAGGGTTATAGGGGATAATATTATTGTCTGGTGCTAGCTTCAATTTTAGTCGGAGGTAGTAGCGATGTAAAGCGGGGCAGCCACACTTTGATTGAGAACGGCAGTATTAAACCTAACAGACCAGCAGGTGAATTACGTTGGAGTCAAGGAAACCCCCTTCTTCCTAGGTCCTGGAAAGCATCACTCTAGGTCGACTTGCCGTAAGATAAGTAGGTAGAGATGAATAAGTCGGGAGCATCATAGGCTCATCGTTGGTGGTCTTGTTTCGGTCAGCAGCCCCTGATTATCTGCACAGCTGCCAACTGTTCGTCGATTTGCTATGTCTCGTGTCCGAGATCAGGTCCGGTCACAGTCAATATAATACACAGAAGCTTTGATATTCATCCGGTAACGGGGAGCTCGGTCGTCTTGGTGATCCCGATACAGCCCCCGTGCGTCGGAGTTCCTTTGACAACATCCGGACGAAAAAAGCACATGCCCCTTTTCCACAACTGGTCTGCTGCTGAGTCTGGGAAGATGACCTCCTACTTACTACCTTATATAAACGGCACCTCTACCTCCAATTCCACTCTTCAGATTTATTCATCAGATCCATTCTCCAGATCCGTTCCCCGGATCCATTCCCCATACCGTCCCAAACCGCATGCTGTCAAACTCCTTACCTATTCAAGCTACGCTTGCATATCTTCCTGCACTTATTTCTCCTCACGATACTTGCTCACCACGGGACCTTAAAAAACCTCACTCCCTACACACCTAGCCACGCGGTTCGTGCATTGACTCACCGATTCTTTACGTCGACGTCCTCCCTCCCCATCAACCTTTCGATTCCGAGTCAAACCATACATGCTTGGCAGCCTTCTCTACACCTTGCACATCGCGAAGATATCGCCGCGAGTTCGGACTGAGAGCCACTCTTGTCTCCCACATCTTGTGAGTATCTTGCGTCTTGCCCCTTTACCACCTTCCTACCGCCACATTTCGCACCTTCTACCCACGCGCCAACTCCGATTTCACCGGTATCTTGCTTGGTGAATGCAACTTCTTGAGGCAGCTCACGAGTTGGTCCGTGTTCCTCCCCTCGCACCGAGCTTTGTTCACTCGGGTTCCGCCCCCACAAAGATCAGATTAAATGTTCCCCAGATGTTGATCGTGAACCACCTCCACTCCTTCCCTTTACCTCGCCTCCCCAACCAACTTCACACCCTCTCGCATACACCACGCTTACCTCCTGCTACCAACTGACCATCTGCCAGTCACCACAGGCAATTAACCACAACATATTATCACCATCACATTCTTTTCCGAACTGGACATCAATCATCATGTCATCCTACCCTCGCCTCCCCGACGAGCTCAAGCTCCGAATCTGGGAGTACGCCTTCGAGAACCTGACCCCCGGCGTCCACCATTTCAAGATCATGACGGGCAAGGCCGAGGTAGAGCTTCGACCATTCGCCGACGGCGGCCTCGACAACTCTGCATGGCGCGAGCGACGCAAGATCGCGGGCATCTCCGGAGTTGCCGACGATGCGATTCGTCCTTTCGAGGACGGAAGAGTGGTATTTAAGGACACCGCCCACCGACGCCGCATCAAGACCGACGAGAACGGCATCGAGGCCGCCATCGACGGTACCATGGATCTCGTCTGCCTCCGAATGACGGGAAACCATCTCGACATGCGCGCACTCAGCAACCGAGATACCCAGGCCGTGTTTGCCGATCTCACGCGCATTGGAATCGACTACAAGCTCTTCGCCGGCAACAAGGGAGCGGACGCCTTCGAGAACCAGTTCGCCTGTGTGTGTCCTCAGCGGAGTCACCAGGACAAGAAATATTGTCACTACGCTATCGCGGAGTTCTTGCGCCAGTTCAAGGACCTGGAGTGCTTCTATTTCACCTTTAAGCTCACCGCGGGCGAGATCATCGAGGCTGTGCTCGCCGGGGTACCCGCCAGAGGCAAGAAGCGGACTCACGGCGGCAAGACCAAGAACAGCGAGCCGGAGCCCCAGCCGGTGGCCCAGTCAGGCGCCAAGAGAGGTGCGAAGGTAAAGAAGCCTAAAGCCGGGCAGCTGATCCCCGCGACCTTGAAGCGATTCAAAGGTAAGCCTACCCATTTCCCCCTCAGTCTCGTCCCAATGACCACCCTACTAACATTTCTACCCAGACATCGGCAAGGAGAAAGACCTGGAAGTCTATAACGACAAGAAGGGTACATACTACGAGGTTCTCAGAGACGACACTAGGCGTGTCCTCGTCAAGCACCGAGACATCTGGAGCCTCGTACTAAGCCTGCAGGGGAACTGGCAGCGCACCACCCAGCAGCTGCGGGATGGGCCCGTGAAGCAGCAAGCGGCGAAGGTCAAGTTCAAGGTCTTGGTCTATGCGGACAATCGGTACTATCCGCAGCCACCGGTCATCAAGTAGTGGACGCGGGGATTGGGGGCTAGGGACATGGACGCGAGGTTGACATCTGGATGGGAGACATTTGCCTAGCTTCTACATATTATCAGGCATTGCGAGGGGCGTTTTGCTTTAGCCCATTACATAATACCCTTATGGGAACCAAAGATCACGCTCTGCATAGATGCTAGCATGATAGTCGTCAACGAACCGTCTTAAAACACGGACCAAGGACTCGGACATTACTACAGATGACGCGAAATCATATTAGCAGGATTTAGGCATATGGCTTTGTGCCAATTACACGATGATTTATCTGAGGTATTTCGAGAAACGGCTTTCCATGCTTTGGTGACACTGGGGATTGAGGTCGAATAGGGGTAAACCCTTGTAGATGCATAATTCCCCTTTCCCAACCCTAACTTCATCCAGCTCTAGCCGACGGCCCTTAGCCACGGAAACTTTTCGGCATGTTGGCATATCATGATAGGAAATCATCGCTTGAACATAGAATTGCGGAGAAGAAAGGCATCCACACCATTGACGGTAAATACAACGTGAGCTGTTATAAGAATCCCTTCACGATCTCGAGCGAGTTCCACACCATACCGGCTCGACATGTGACTACTCTCCTACATGAATCTCCCGCAGTGCATTCGAATTCGATGATCTGAACCTTATACCAACCTCGGCTTCATGCCATGCCAACAGGCACTTACATGTAGCCCACCAACCACATCACCAGTTTCACCACACTATCGCCCTCCATACATGCCGCAGCTTTTCCTGATAGTCATATCCTAACCCAGCGCGTTTCCAGGAAGCTGAGAAAGAGACCTTCCTGCCATTTCCACGCCCAGGGTAAATCTAGTAATTTCCTTCTTGGGTCTTCGACTGCCGGAGCCAACGCCGGCGAGCGCCAGCCGGCGAGCATCGCGGCCGTTGTGGACACACGGGAAATGAAATTAATGAGTTCGTCATTGGCTATTGGCATCGGATAATGAAGGAGACCTGGCATGGTGGCTGGCCGCTGTGATGCAATAAGGCAGTTCTTTTTGCTCTCGTCCATACTGCTATCCTCGAGTCCCCGGTAGCCGCCAAAGGGGGTGGAGCGCCTTAGACCATCGCTGCCTTTGGCGAGTCGAGGGTTAATGGTCAGTTGACTGAAGATTTCATGACAATGTAACCAACGTGCATGACCTGAGAACTTCAACTCTTGCTATCTTCTTGTAAGCGAGTACCATGCCCAACCCACCGCTCGGCCACCCCCACCACTCGGACTGCAAAATCTACTGCCACACACCAAAACATCAACAACTTCATTTACAGCGAAATCAGTCAATTCATGGTATCTTCGGCTGTGAAAATGTGCAATCTACTCGTCTATGGCGGTTTAGTTATCGTATCTAGCCGGCCGGCGACTCTGTCGGCCCGAACGGGTCTCCCTAGCGGCCACAATCTCCTCCTCTTCTTTCGAATCAGAGCTTTTATCCTCTTTCTCCTCATCAGTGGTATCTTCAACAACCACAGGCTGCGCGGCCCTGCGGCCTCTCTGAGGCTGTTCCTCACTAGCTGCCAGAATATCCGGGATATTTTTGAATTATTTATTCGGGTTGGGGATCTTTTTGTGTTTTTTAGGGCGCATGCGGTCTAGTTCGGCCTCCAGACTCTCGATCTTCTGGTCCTTTAGCACCATCTCTCCTGATTGCTTCTCAAAGGCTTTCGCAACCTTGCGTAACTTCAGCCGAGTGGTTGGGGACTTGTTTTTGCCCATATCCATGATTTGGCGGCTATTTTCAGGCGTCTGGAAGTCTTCAGGTTCTGAACTTTCGACCTGTTCAGGCTCAAGGGTTGCGGCCTTATCCTGTTGGATTTCTGGATGTGATAAAGCCTTTCTGCGGTTAATAGGCCAATTGCCAGTAGTTCTAAAGCCAGCCTGACAATTTTTGACCGTCAAGCCGTTGTTCCTTGCCTTGGAATAGCATCTGATGAAGTTGATCTTGTCCACAGGGGCAGCATCAGTTAGAGTAGCTAACTGAGCGATATGCTTGCGGTAAGCAGCTTTCATGGCGTTAAAGGGGCCGTTATCAAGTGGTTGAAGCCCGTGGGAGGTATGTGCTGGAAGAAAACAAAGCTGAACATTATTCAAGAAGCACGTAGTTATGAATTCATCCTACCGCTAAATGGTTAGCTATACATCTATGGATTTCAAGCGAAATAAAATAGAGAAAAATAAAGGAGTTAATACGTACAGAGGTGTGGCTCTTATGCCCATTAAGGATCAAGAGTACCGCTTCAGAATTGTCATCTTCTCGTACCTGGTTGGCTTGAGGGAGGAAAACACTTTCCAACCACTCCATGGCAACTGTGTTATCCGTCCAGCCATTATCAGTGCATATATAATGCCAGGGGGCAATCTCTCTGAACTCCCAAAGGAACCACTGGGCCTGGAGATCTTTTCCTTTAAATATAATGCCTGGCGTAAGGGCCTTGCCCGTAGCGGAGATGGCCTCAATAAAGGAGGTCCAGCCGCGGCCTTGGTCGCTCTTTAAGAAGGTCTTTATTGTCTCTGTGCTGCCCAAAATAAGACTATCAAGCCCTAAATAGGTTAGTTAATGGATAAAGTTAACAAGGGATTATTCAGGGATTATTCAGGGGCTTTCTCGTACCGAAACCCGCCATGATACCGCCCTCATCTACGTTGTACGTGTTCTGGGGCTTTACCCAATCGAAATCCTCGCAATGATCGAAATATCAGTTAACAGATTTCGGCATAAAGCCCTTAAATCGAGCGGCTTCCTGTCTGTGGCCAATTTTTGTCTTTATTTAGGGGTTACGGCGAAGAAATCCATCCATCCAGTTCTTCCCAACTGTCTCAGTGATGCCGTTTAACTTGGAGGTAGCCTGAACGATTGCCTTGACGGCGCTATGCGATAGGGCGAGCCCCAGAGACTCCTGACGAAGTATCTACTGGGCTAGGCGTGTTTCATGCTCGTCGGATAGTCTTCTTTGTGGCTGCTGCGTCTCTCCCTTTGAAGGTTTGCCGTTGAGGCGGTCAGACAGCGTCTGCTTAAGGATACCCCATTTCTGAGCGGATTTTTGGACCGACAGCTTGTTATCGGTGACATCTAGTATGGCATCTGTTATAGTATCCTTCGTATAAGAAGGCATTTTGAGAGTCACGATGCTACGTTGCATATAAAAGAAGAAAAGAACGGGTGCATAAAGGGCAAATTTGCCCTTATGAGGGGTAGAAACCACCGGGCGGGGGGACCCCTCATCGCCGGGTCTGGCTAAAAGGATCTACATTGGGGTAAACCTCAAGAAAAGAGCTATTCAGCAAACTAATTACATCGCGAATCCCTTCAAAAACAGCTGGATTCGGTATAAGTGAAGTTGTTGATGTTTTGGTGTGTGGCAGTAGATTTTGCAGTCCGAGTGGTGGGGGTGGCCGAGTGGTGGGTGGGGCATGGTACTGACTCAGTGAGCGGAGGAACCGCCGCCGCCGAGATCAGCGAGATACTCTCGACGGCAAGTCCAAGAATGAAGCAGAGCCAACCGCTGGCGTTCCTTCAGACTGCTTGTATTCCTTAAACCAGATCATTTCCTTCGCGGTTACAGACTGTCACATGTGGGTACACCTTCTTTGCGTTCGGAGGTGCTGGTCCACCCCTCCCCACCTAAATTATATTACCCCTTTCTCTTTTCGTGTGGAGTTCAGCCACCTTGCGCACTTATTGCACATGTCCACCCGTTCCTCTCTGCACCCACGACGGTACAGGACATATATACGTGTTTGTCGCGTTTGTTTCTTAGCCGGGTTGGTACGGCCTAGCGAAATATTCTTAGGAAGTATTCTTAAAGATATTCTTAGGCACAGCGGTTCGATTTTTAGCCTCTAGCGGCTGAAACATCTTTTTTTCTCTTTATGGCCCTCCTCATCCAAGGATCAAGAGGACCACAAGCACCATTACTGATGAGTATGACCACGACGGCCCAAATTTCAGCGGCATCATCATCCCATACTGGCTCGCTCATTAGGTACGGACGGAACCATAGCACCATCACAACGAAGTCCCTCAGCAGCCAGATACGGATAGACACATCGTGCAGACACGCAACGAACCCAGTATGCAGTCTGGTAAATTACATGGCTCGCCTCATAACCTGCAGCAAGAGTCGCTTGGTTGGTCACGCTGTCGCGTAATCGCATTCATAATCACAGTATCGTCCTAGCAGCCCGGCCAGCGGGCAGACACTAACAACGCCACATAATACATTCAGTACGAGCTTGGAAACTGCGCAATATCTGTCTCGTGCACTGCTGCTGGATACCGGCAGGTCGCGTGCCGTTGGGCATGTAAGTAATGACACATGGCAAGCGACTTCCACCACCAGCTGCGCTGCGCTATAGCCTGGATCCTGCTGCTCTCGTTCGCTGCAGCCTGGTGTGCTATAGGGAAAGATTTCGCGCTCATAATTTGTAAGCCAGATGCTTTTAAGCGGAGGTCCAAGTCGAGCTCTCAAATGTTTGAAGGGGTGCTCGTGATACATTAATGCGGTTCTTTGATGGCACACCTACGGACATATACTGCTTGCAGTGCTGACTTTCACATACGTCAGATCACATTTGACGCTCGACATGAAGTCCTGATGACCTCTTCTTGAGTTGAGATACTCCTCTGAGAAGCGCATGGAAATCTCTTGACGATGAACGTTCACTCCATCGCCGCTCACCAAAGAGAGTATTCCAGGTATGATCAGTTTGTCGGTAATAGCCGGGAACACGTTAGTTATCTCTTAAGACTAACAAATCCATACCGACGTTCGTCTTCTCATCAGCCCTCCCTCATTATTCAGACATCATGATGAGGTCCACCTTCTCCCACCAGAGACAACCGTCAACGGGTTCTGATATGTCTACGGATCTACCAACTCAGTGGTGATCGTAATGCCCCTGTAGAATACCGTGCTGTGTTCTGCCCAAAAGCACGCAGTGTGGAAAATTGGCGCGGAACATAAAGATTGGCCTTACAGACCTCGAGGACTTGACTATTGCATATTTCGATGCTTGGAGCCAACCGGTAGGCAGGGCAAGAATGACGTTGACGACATCCAAGCAAGGGATGATACTCTAGTCTTCAGGTGTTGCCTTCAACCAGGTAGACTGCACATGTGGCTTCGTTCCAATTGATGTCGATCCTACCTCTTGATACGGGTTCAGACAGGAATGAATACCCAGGGGCCTAAAGACATTCTGGAGTGAACCACTCAAGCCACACGGATAGCCGTTCGTTTCAGCCCACTCAGCCCGTCTGGGCTGAGTTGAAACGTTGGTAAGTACGTGATTTCTATTATAGTCCCCCATTCCTCGTATTCCCCGGCCGACGCGTCCGTGCCGCACTGCAGCGTCACCACAGCCTCATCACCACCATCTCGTATCTACTTATAGAAAATCTCGTGATAGCACTTGTGTAGCTTTCCATTCACCTGTAGCTTGAACATGTGTCTTAGAGGGCTCAGATTCATGCCAGCCGTGTAGTTGGCCAAGTCAGTCTGCGACCGCGATGTAAGGATTAGAATAGAAGTAGACGAGTATTTCCGCGTGATCCATCCTGCTGAGCACTGCACGCATCTCGTCTATCATCGCATCCCCTTTGAAAGTATAAGCTAATCCATTCTCCTCACTGGAGAGTCCCTGCGCAATCAAGATGAACGAACCAAATCGCAATGACAGATTCTTGCTTGAGGATGCTCCAAGACCTGGGTCGTCTACTACGATAGACGACACCGCACATCCACAAGCCAACCAAGCTACGGAAGCGCTGTCCCAGTCCAAGCGCGAGGGTAAACTTCGCAAGTTTATAGCAAAGAAGTTGCTCCAGGCAGAGTGAGAGCCCCTTCTCCCATCTACCTTCTCCCTTCCCTCTGCCAACAACATTCAACAGGTCTGACAACAGGAAACCAAGCAACAACGAGATCACAACCGCACCACCACCACCACCACCTGTTCATCAGCCCCTAACTATCCGTAACGAAATCCCACTTGCAGAACTAGAAGTCTCGGGAACGGGAACGCCGGGCCGTACCAAAACCCTCGAACCCCCGGCCGATCCGCCCGTCTGGATCGTCTGCCGTTCCTGCAACTGGCGGACCGAGGCCGTCGCGTCCGCCGTGGAGAGGTCCCCGACCGAGACGTAAGTTCTTAGCCTTTATCCCTAAGCGCAAGGTATATAAGTAGTGAAGAGGTGGGGGGGAAAGTGGGAAAGATAATCGCTGACCTAGCCGGAATGGTAGCTCATTTTCCTGCTTCTCCTGCCTCCCGCGGACGGTCCGGCTCGAGTGCGGCAATTGCGGGAAGAAGGTTGCGGCGCGCCGTCCCAGGAGCCCCGAACAGGCTTAGACGGCAAGGGGATTGGGGGATTTCCACGGGGCGATAACGGCGCCGTATCCGCCTATGGTTGCGGTTGCGCGGGCTGGCCCGGGCGATGGGAGGGATGGAGGTGGAGGGGACGGTCGGACAGCAGCGCCTGCTCATCCGGCTGGATGGGTATTGAGCGAATCGTCCAAGACGAAGTGCAAAGCCATAGGCACATGTGACGCATCTGAATGCGTGACGCAGCGAGGCGGACGCGATATGACGAAGACTCTATTATGGGTAAAATAGGTATAATACTTAGTACAACTCTCGGATGCCCCGAAATGCGCCATCCCGTTGAAACCCTTGCGCCCTTAAAGTAGAAAACACAATATACATATAAGGATAAGCGCGGGCTGCTAAAGTTACAGGATATATACCAGAGATAGAAGTACACTTTGTACAGTTCATGCCAGTGTCAGAAGTCCACGCGTACAATCGTACAAAGCAACCCCCAAGACCCCAAGCCCCAAAAGCTCACATTCCTTCCTTCAATGATTCCGCTCCGCATCCTCAGCATGACCCTTCGGCCCCGAAGACGAGTAATCAGTAGTGACGAAAGCGCGGTCGACCTCGAGCAGGCCCTCGGCGCAGTACTGCAGGGTCTCAGCAATATCATGACTCTCGTGCAGCGACGTCTTCTCGTCCAACAAGACATCGAACTCGACCCAGACGCCGTCGCCGCAGTGGTAAGCCGTGACGCTCTTGAAGCCCTGCACCACGGGGCTGAAACGATATGCGAGGTACATGACTTTTTGCTGCGTTTTTGGGGAGGCGGCTTCGCCGCATAGACGTACGACGTTCTCGAAGCATGTCTGGCCCCAGTCGTAGATTATGAAGAGGGATAGGAGGCCGGCTCCCACGGGCTAGATGGTTTTGGTATACGGTTAGCCAGTGTGTGTGTGTGGCAGGTAGGTAGCCTGTAGCGGGCGTCGGGTAATATGTTTCGTTTACTTACGTCGAGCCACCAGATATTGGCCTGGTATCCAATAAAAGGGAACAAAAGCGACAACGAATTGAAGAAGACATCCGTCTTGCAATCCTGCACGAGCGCCTGGACCTGCGTCGTCTTCAAGGGCAGGCATCCCAGACCAATGATACCCTTGACGACAATAGTAGCCACCAGGGCGCCAATAGCGGTCGCAGACAGGACTTCGGGCTCGCCCTTGAGCGGCATGATCTTCTGCACCGACTCCTGCAGGATCTGTATGAACGAGATGACCATGATGATGGAGAAGACGAGAATGCCGAGGGGTTCGAGTCTGCGTCGGCCGACGGGGAAGCGCTTCTGCAGGGCGTCGAGCCGCCAGCCGACCAGCCTGTTCGTCGACCAGATGATGAGCGTGCACAGCAGATCGAGAGCAGAGTCCACCAAGGACGCTATGAGCGACAGCGACCCCGTCGACAGGGCCGCGACGATCTTGCCCGCCAGCAGGAAGACGTTCGCGATGACATTGATGTTGATAGCCCACTTGGCCCTTCGGTTCGCCTTCGCGCGCTTCGTCTTCTCGTCCTCGGGCAGCAGCTCCCCGACGTTGCCCTGCACGTCCTGCAGGCCGCCGTGGCGCTCCATGTCGCCGTCGTGGTCCGGGTCCGGGTTCATGCTCTCGAGCACGTCGTCGGCGATGGCCATGACGATGGCGTCGACCTCGAGCCAGTCGTTGAGCCGCTCGTTCTGGCCCTCGTAGAACCGCCGGATCTTTTTTTGCTTTGTCGCCTTGAGGTCCGCGTCGCTCTTGCGGTACTTCTCCAGCCCGTTGCGGTCGATGCCCGTCAGCAGCGCGTTCTTGAGGTCGTCGCGCCGCTTGTCCTCGAGCGCCGTTCGCGCCACGTCCTGGAAGCGCCATATGCGCGGGCGAGGACGCCCGCTGGCCCCGTTCTTCTTCGCGTCTCCATTGCTGTGTGCGCTGAGCGGTCGGCCTCTCTCGAGATCGTCGTCGTTGCGCCCCGGCCGTCGCTTCTTGGTCGAGCCGTTGTTGAACTGATCGTCGACGACCTCGCGGGCCGAGTTAAACGTGGCGGTTCGCTTGCCGACCATCTCGAAACTTAAGATCCAGTATGAACTCTCACAAGATAGGTATTGTTGTGTGTTTGGCAGGTGAAGGTCCGTCACACGGCCAGCCGAGACTGAGGAACGCGGGTCGGACCTGGAATCTGCAAGGTACCAGTCGCAGTAGCAGTAGCAGTAGCAGTAGCTGCTTCCAATTCCTGTTCGATGTCTCGTGTTCAATGACGCGTGGCGGCTGCCGTGCCGAGCTCCGTGCCAAGTATCGTGCCATGGCGGAAAGTCCATAGCGGATACCACCCGGCTAACCCGTGCCGGATCGACGACAGGGATGCATTCGCTTCCCTCAGGCTCAGCGTCATACTGTAGTAGGCTATTAATAGCGGCAGTATGCATCCAGAGCTCTCGAGACACCTGCCACTGGGCAGAGCTGCTGTTCTCTTTGCTATACCTTGGGGCAGATACTCAAAATGCGTATGTCAGCGGATCTTGAATCAAGGAACGATCTAAACTCACTGGCAAAGGTACCTGACCTCTCTGGTGATTATACACCATGGAAGCAGGCTACAGCCTGGTAGAGAGGCAGTGATTGCGGCATGGACCTTGAATTGAGCTGGCCGAAACAAGCATGACTATCAAACAAAGACCGACGGCGTGACCCCATTTCGGGCAAGAAACAAAACAGTCAGATTCTTGTTTTGGACATCATCATCCACCGCAATTACTTTACTCGCGGTAAGGTGAACCGGCCCCGAGCGAAAGCCGCGAGAGTGTCATCGTCACTGGTCTCTGCTTGGACTGAGGTGACGCGCATCCAAGGTACAGAGAACGGGTGCCAGTATCTAATAATCGCGATGGAGGAGAGCAGAACTCTACAGGTGAACACTGTCAGGGCTGTGTCCCCGAGACTACACCGGTTGGCGAGCAATATCTGGTCATCTTCAGCACGAAAGTATGATCCTGACCACCCTGTTCACGTGATAGGTACACTATGTTGGCGTCGCAGAAAAGTCAAGAAAAGCTGATTGCTGGCAACGCGTTGGGCCAAGAGCGAGCGCATAATCACCGAGGAAAAGAAGAAGCACCTCGTGGTTGCCATCGCAGGTTCCAGACATGATACTACAGAATGGTGTCTTAGTTCCAGATCGCACACTGATCCGAAGTACAGGCTTCCCATGGTCCTACTAGGAACCGAGAAACACTGGCTGATGTCGGCTATGCGCGAGAACTGGAAGCCCAACGCAGTATCAGCACGAACGTACAATTCTCCTCCACAAGTCCCCTCGCGAGCATACCATAGCCACCGCTAGTTATCCTAGCACCATAGGGTCCCCTGACGCAGCAGGGAGAGGAACGAGCAGCTCTCCCTTGTCATCGTCGCTGCTTCCTCCCGAGCGCTCATAAGATGACTCGTCGCTGTCGTGGTATCGACCCAGGTATCCTGTTCAACGAATCAGCAATCCATCAACGGTAGCACGGTACATGGTGAGGAAGAGCGGATTGCCCGGAGAAAGGAACGTACCTGCACCATGAACATCGCTCTCGTACAGCTCCTCAGGCTCCGGCGATGCTGATTCGACCCAGCAGGGGCTGTACAAGCCCGAGCGCGTCGTCGACGTCGGGATGCGCTCGCGCTTACGGCCTTCCAGTCTCTCCTTGATTCTGTCGGGATGCCACGAGTCTCTCGGCTTCGGCGGAAGCTTGCCCATGACCCTGTGTGCGTATCTGCGGACTGGACGATGGTTTGTGTCCAGCAGGAACATGCGGTAACCGGTCCAGTCGCGCACGAAGTGCTCCATCTCCGTACCGCGCAATATGACGGCATCGCCGGTCTGGTAGGGCATTTCTATGCCCAATTGAGGGAAGCAAATATTGGCTCCTAAAGATGAATCTAAGTACAAGCTGAGAAAGATGACCAATGCTATCCGACTTACCAGTATAATTGCCAAGGGCGAGTAGGCCAGCGAATACAAACTCGACATCGTTGTTGTCGACATGGCGTTGCGTGTACGTGTTGATGCCAAGGACCGCCAGGGTTGCAAACGTCGGCTCGGACATCTTCATCTTCCGGACGTCTGGGATGCCCTTGAACACGTCACAACACTCCTGGTATTCGTCCGGTGCCATGGCACTAAGAAGGAATCTCACGACCTCCGAGCCGAGTCCCAGAACGTTCTCCTTGAATGTCGGCATCAACTCAAAGACATAGTCCTGGAAGAGTTTTCTTGGCCGACCGTAGTAGAGATTCGTGTCCGGAGTTAGCGTTACAGCATCAGGATTGAGGTGACCCTTCATGGCCCATGTACCGTAGTGCGCGACACAGGATTGCCGTTGCTCAACCTCCTCAAGGGTCGTGGCCTTTTCAAGGTCCATCTTTGGATGTTTGGTGTCACGAATGAAATCATCCACCATATGGCGGGCCGTCTCCGGAATTGGGAGAGCTGGCAGCGATGCCCACTTGCGTAAAGCCTCCTGAAGCTTAGAGACTTCGTATTCGCCGAAAAGGAGACGGAACAAGCCCGCGAACTTGCAGAGAAGCAGCTCATTATCCTTGTCCAACACGATTACAATATCTTTGTCAACTTGCTCGTAAATGTTGGGGTCCTCGGCCGCTAGCTCATCACGCTGGTACGACCAGAAGTGATCTTTGGTGTGAGACCTGTCTTCGTTCCGAATCTGCTGAATCAAGGGGATCAGGTCTGCGGAGGGTTGCTGGGCTCCGGCGCGCATCGAATCGCGCTCTTGCCGGGTCGTTTTAACCCAGAAGGTACGGCAGGACTCGCGGCGCATCTCCGAATACCATTTCTTGCAGTTTTCAGCGCCTTGGGGGTTCTCTGTACTTGGACGATGCATGGGCATGGTGGGGGCCTCGCCACGACTCAGCCGCTGCGCCATGAGGAAATCCTCTACGATACAGCCCATAGGAGGCTCCTTGTCGGCCATCTTCGCCTTAGATAGCTTCTCAACCTGCTTAGACCTCGCAGCTTTCTTGTACGACGCCTTGTCCTTGAATGATACGTCGTGCAGCTTGATGAGACGAACACCGAACGTGTTGACTACGGAGTCAATGATGAATTCTTTGGCCGTATCTCGAATGACCGTTCCGTGTTCGTGCATCATGTTCTCAATGTTGGCAAGGTTGGAAAGAAACTGGCGGATGGACGCAATTCGGGGATCGTCACTCATCTCGAAATCGGTGTTACCAAACGGTGGGAAATCCTGTACCTGTCAGTCATGACCCTTAGGGGAGCTGGCATATTCACCTCGCGGCGAGACTGGTCAGCCCAATGACAAATGTTGCCACATTCCTTCATCTTCCAACAAGTCGGATCGCCAGGAATGTTCTTGTTCTCGACACCATATTGGACAATGGGCACCGCCGTTGAGGCCATCCTGAACCGAGAGAGGCTGGCAGCGAAAGAAGCACAGCCGCGAGAGAGCAGGATGAAAGGCGAGAAATGTGTAACCGAAGAGGTCAGGTGTGCATCGCATTGACTGAAGAGACTGGAGCTCGCCGCCGCGTTTGTTGGTAGGTGCCTCTGGTGAAACTCAGGTGAAAGCAAGTAGGTGTGCCTTGGTAAAGGCTTGGCAAACGCAACCCGCATACCGAATATTTTGTCCAATTTGGTAATTTGACAAGCCCGCCTTTCTTTCGGAAGGCTGCCTTTCATTAGCTCCCCCAGACTTTCTATCAGATCTGGCCAATCAGAAAACCTGGGGGCACCAGTAGCAGGCGGTGACAGCCAAGAAAAGTGACTCTGCCATTGCCTGAAGACCCAGAGCCCCCGGTAGAGGTCTGGCAAACGTAATCCGCATACCGTTGCTGCAGCAAACCGCCACAGCAACCTGTTGCCCGCCGCAGCAACCTCCCCAAGGGACTCTGCACCTTCTCAGTGCCATTCAACTCCGTCGTCACGAGCACTGTCTATGATGGTAGTTGTAGCTGAAAGCGTTAAGAACGCCCACAAGATGGACTATCGTCGCTAGCACAACAAGCACATGGAAGATCTGATGAGACGACCCGTAAATGTCGAACCTGCCGGGGCTTGTGCACTCGGGGAATCGCGTCTGCAAAACGCATTTGGTGTTAGTAGTTCCGAAATCACCCATACGTACGTCTCACATTTTGTATCTGGGTAACTCGTTCACCTTTCACACAATTTTGAGTTTGCGGAGCAGGATTGTAGAGGACTTACCGCATACACAACAGCGCCCAGCAGGAACAGACCGCCCTCTGCCAGATAATACGGCAACCCGGACTGCCTGGCCATCTGCGCGAAGCCGAACATCTTGATACCATGAATGAAGGGCGCAACGCCCGCCAGCCCGGTGCAGACGAGTGTCAGCAGACGGAAGGTGCGCCACTTCTGTCCTTGGAAATGCGGCGCCAGCATTATAACGATGGATACAAAGGACAGGGAGCCGATCTGTCAGGAGTCAGAAAAATGCGAAGAATACATCCATCCAACAAGTGTAGAGGAGGGTGCCATCCAACATAACCAGAAAGACATACCATTGACCAATAAACCCGCCTCTCGAACACCTCACACCAAAATGTGACATATATCCCACTGATAAATGAGCCCAGCGTCAGGAGCACGATACCCACGAGGTCAAAGCGGAGGAAGAGCGCCTCGACGCTGTGCGAGTGGGCCATGAGCGTGTGGTAGGCGGCTGACAGGCCGAGACACGTTGTCGCGGCAAGGAGCAGCAGCCCCACGATGGCATAGTCGTCGGCGGCGACGCGGTCCGCGTGCTGCTCATACAGGTAGGCCAGCAAGTAGCCCTCGCCAAGCAGCAGGGCGACGGCGGGCACCAGGTGCGTGTATATGTTGAGCGTCTCGTTGTGCAGATAAGTCCAGCTGCGCAGGCAGGCGCGCGCCGACTGCAGCACCGGTCGGTAGCCGTGGCGGATGTGCGGGTTATCCTGGTACCAAGGGGGCAGCTCGTGGTACGAGACGAGGCCGCGCGGCTGGTCCTCGTCTTCTTCACCTTCGGTAGTGGGTTGGTGTTGTTGCTGCCGCAGTTCAGTTGGCCCTTTTACTGTGCTGGAGGTTTCTTCGAGTTTCTCATCCTTGATATCGACAGAATACCACTCGCCGTTGGCGCCAGGATGGACGTCGATTGACGATGGCGATGGGGATGTCATGGCGGATCGGAAAGCGGGAAGCTAAAGCCACGAGATTCCAGGTGTATGGACTCCAATGCTTTGCTTCTGCTGATGCAGATGTGCGTACAAGTGAGAAAATGGGTATAAAGGAGTGGTGACACAAGCGAAACCTACCAGAGTAGCGGAATGCAAAAACAAATGAAAGCCAATGAAGAACGAACCAACCAACACAGAATCATAGGTGTTGGAGCCGGTGACTAGACGACGAAATTGGTTTGAAACGGAACAAAGGCGGCGCGCCGGGCGGGGGGGGGCGGCGGATACTTAACCGCCCATGGAACCAAGCTGGAACCGAAGCCGATGAGCCGGCCTCGATGCCTGCATTACACTATGGCCCCATGCTGCCCATGTCACGGCCCCCCTGAGGAGAGGGCGACATAATAATGGCGACAGCGGCATATGTGACAGTTGTTACAGTCAATGAAGGAGTGACATCATCGAGGCCCTATGTGCGGTGGGCCGTCGAGTTAGGTAAATTCTCCGAAAACCTCGGTGCGAAGGAGGTGAGGGGTGCATAGAAGAGAGCTGGGGTTGAAAACAAGGACCAGAACACGGGCGCGAGTCCAACGGAAAAACAATGGGTTCATGATTTCGGGCCCTATTCTGTGCAATCCTCCTCGCCGTGTCGAACAACGATCCCGAACATTGCGAGGACATTTATTACAAGCACTGCATTGCCAAGTGACAAGCGCATCCTGGACTTACTGACTCTGGGGACGATGTGGACACCAGTTTCCACAACCTTTGCGCAAGGCCATTCAATGGTAGCTACTCGATTCGACGTGAACCTGTCGACGAGAGACTGGGTGCACGGTACCAATATTGATCGTATTGCGATCAGCTCGCCTGGATACAGCACTCTAGGAACGTAGACTCAATACGTGAGTCGAGCGATGGAATCGACTGCTTGGGGCATCCGAGTCGTTTAGGACACGTGGTATGCTGAGAGCCCGGGTTCACATGGGAGCCTGATCGATCAGCTGCAGGATGAACGTAGTTCGATCGTCCAGGCACTACAAAAGCGGTGAGCAGACTCCAGAAGCATCAAAACTAGCCTACCTAGCCGGGCAACGTTCAGTCGAGAGAATGCACGACAGGCTTCATACAGAGGATCATCACGAGTGAGAGTAAGTGGTGGTCAGGCGGGAAGGGGGACTCAGCCGCTGCAGAAGAGACTTGAGCACCCCGAGAACTGGACTGCGCTCGCTGAGGCGAATCGTATGGGCGCTTCCTCGGCATGCTGACGCGACTTGCCTCCCATCGAACAACTATCTGGCCAGACTGCTCGTGTCATCCGCAGATATCGGTGTGCTGCTGATGCTGTCTCGACCCGAGTTTCGAGATGCATTGCGAGAGCGGAGTCCCTTTCCGCGGGTCCTTCCGGCAGCTGCTGCCCTGGAATGTCACCACGCTCAAGCCACTCACATTTGAAGCTCTACCAGACAAGCGCAGATTTCGCGTGGGGAACTGTGTTTCGATACTCGGTGAAGACTGCGCGCGCAATGAAGCCGGTCGGGGCTGTGTGCACGATCGCCGCGCATGAACCATCTCAGCGCTGGATGGACCCTGGTGTATCATGATCTGGTACCTGCCCGCCCGCCAGCCAGCCAGTCAGTCAGTCTGAAGCTGGCCCTTTGCGCCATCGTGGTCATGTTGGAGCTTGCCGAACAGGGCGGAATACAGCCTTTGTTGAGGCTGCCAAGAGTTCGATGAGAGCGAAGATGAGGGATGATTGTTGTGCGAGCATTTTCGGTAAGGATGGTACTGTATCCACAAGCGCGTTGGGCCAAGACCCATGCACATCGCGCTTTCCATAGCCGTTCTGCATGGGAATTGTTTCATCGGCTGTGCCTTCCTACATTGCCTCTTTCCATTGAGAAGGAAGAAAGGTTGGTTTGCCTGAATGCAGCGAGATGACCAACATCATTTCTGGTCGCCGAGTGGCCGGAATTCGCCTCAGCTTATCCATGGCGACTCAATCACATGGCGTGAGGGACCAGAGTCCTCGATGGACACGCAGTATATGCATTCGAATCGTGACACCTCCGCCTAGCCGATCTTAAAGCTTTCCCGACTCCCATGATAGACAGTATTGGATGAGTGTCCTATGATGGTGCTGGTGTCGGTGGGCAAAGCTCGGGTGGTGCGTATTCGTAACGTGGACGCGACGGACCCCGCAGCAGCCCAAGCAGGTGGTTTGCGCCCTCTTGATCTTCCGACGCCGGAGCAGAGTTTGGGAGATCAGTCCAAGATGATGTTTCCATGGTGATGAGAATAGTGCTGAGCTTATTGAATCTCAGGCACTGCCCAAGAGTCGTTATGAGAAGATGTGTTGGGTGGCATGTGTGCCGGAGAAGCCCGGGTTGGGCGGCTCGTCTCAACGCGTGCGTCAGTAAACAACAGGCGCCCCCGAACATTGAGTCGTAGTTGCCGACCGGAAACCTAGAAAAGTCGCAAAACGTGTGCATTCCATCCGAACACCCACTGGGGCCATCGTGAAAGCGACTTGTTCACCGTGGGTGGTGGTTTGGTGGATATACGATGCGACAACTGGTTGTAGCAAAGACGCGACTCAACCGAGATGCATGTGCTTGGTTGATAATGATCTGTGGATCGGTATCCAAGGTGGGAAAGAGATAATTGAACTCATAAACCGATGTTTCGAATGGCTGACAATGACATAGACGCGTTCAGATGGGTAGAAATCGAGCGTGGTGGGTGGGAGGTCGAGGTGGTGCAAAGTATGCGGATAGCTTCATGGACGAAATGCGTAGGAGCGACGCAGACCAAGCAAGGGGCTTCCACAAAGCTCCAAAAATTGGTGGATCGCGAGAAAACCAAGGTCCGCATATGGGATTGAATGAAAGGCCAAGAGTCGATGCGTCATTTGAGTACAGAATTGGACGGGAGTGCATGGGGTGGCAGATCATCATGTCTAATGCGACAGTGAGCGTCGATAGACGAGATGGGTGGAATCAGGCGAGAAGGTGAGATGGACTCTGGAAATGGTATTGGGCTGGACTCAGACTAGGTACTAATACATGCCCCACGCTATCACTCGTTCCTTCCGCCGCCACAAAGACCAACATAAAAAGTGCTCAATCAATCATCTGATCGGAGAGAGGTGTGGAAAGCAAAAATCGAAAAGAGGGAGAAGGGGAGAACGAGAGAACGTGGTGTCGAAGAGGGGGGGACGATGGGAGGGTTGGGTGAGGGAAATGGCATCGGGCTATCGAATTGATTGTGTGGGAGTTGGAGGAGCAGAGCAGTCGGAAACTCACACTCGGCAGTGTAGGAGAGCTTCGACCAATCAGAAAATTCGACACAGGAGATCCAGTCCTGATGCAGGCCAACCCAGATCCCAAGATCACAAACCAGAATGCCCAGCTGGATGGATGGTGGCATAGGGTGGGTGGATGGACAGAAAGGCTATGCACAAAACTCAAGAAAATAATGAAGTGATAGAGGTGTCAGTCATAATAGAATTGATCTAAGCCGGAACAGGCAAAAACCACAAGGCGTTTCATACTACGGTAGTCATCATGCGACATGCAACAGCTCAACATGCAACTGTGCAGATATCGCTAGCTGTATACGAATGAACATGGCGGCAGGGATTGTCATAGTAGCAGAGAGGAAACTCAAGAAAGTTGTTTTACCTCTTGTGCTGTCCGACATCTGCGACTGAGGTGTGAGAGGTCTGTGAGCAGGTGATGTGCTAATATGGAGGAGTATGGACAGATGGATGGCACTATTCTGTCCTAGCGTCTTCTGATTTTATCATTATTCATTTGATTTGTAGAGTTGGAATTGGATTTTGGCTTTTTGGGGGGGGGGAAGGCTGCCCTGGAGGACTTGAAAAGTTGGAGGTCAGGTATCCTCCTAGCGCACCTGAGCACTGCAGCCGGGCCTAGCTGATTGTCCCTCTATGCCCCCAAAAATCCAACCTTACTGATTCGACTGATTGTGCACATCCCCCCTCGGGCACCCCAGTTTGTATAAGAGGAACTTGCCCGTCTCGCCGTCGCGCCCCGTCATCACCTCCCTCCCTCTCTCGTCTCTTCATCCCACCACAACGCGCCACCCACCATTATTCCAGCACTCGACAGTTATTCATCCAGGTCATCTCGAGACTGCTCGTTCAGTTGCATCTACCATAAATACTACTTTCCAACCACTATCCCACTACAAACCCCCCCAATCCGTCGCAATGGGTCCTAAGAAGGCAGACAGCGCTCCCAAGACCAAGGCCGCTCATGCTTCCTACCAGGTGTGTACCACCACCACGGCATCCGTCCGGTCTTGATGGAAGCCTCTCGAGTACTGACAGCCTGCAGGACATGATCACAGACGCCATCGTTGCTGTAATTACTCCCCTTCCTCGTCTTCCGGCGCATTGTGTCTCGCCGCCGTCTTGCTAGGTCCGGGTTGGGTTGGGCTGTATTGCCGCCAACCCCGACCTGTGACACTTGGCTGGCAAAAAAATGCATCACTGTCCAGTTTGTTGCCCTCGCTTGAACGGCCTTGCTGACACCTTTTTCAATCACTCAGCTCAAGGACAGAACCGGTTCCAGGTATGCACCCATCTATTCACCTGCCCACACTCTTCTGCGTGCGCATCATTCCGTCCCAAGTCCCTGCCATCTGCCCTGTCCTGTCCACCCAACGCTAACCGTCCCACAGCCGTCAGTCACTCAAGAAGTATGTCAAGGCCAACAACACCATCAACGCCGCCAGCGACACTATGTTCGACTCTCTGTTCAACAAGGCCCTGAAGAGTGGTGTCGACAAGGGTGTCTTTGAGCAGCCCAAGGGTATGTCATGTCTCTTCTATCCTACTCCAATCCACTCCATCCCATCTCATCCATCATTGCACTACATCACATACTGACTGAACTAGGTCCTTCTGGTGGCACCAAGCTATCTAAGAAGTCCAAGCCTGCCGCTACCAAGCCGGCTGCCGCCAAGAAGGAAGGTGAGGAGAAGCTTGCCAAGAAGGCGGCTGCCCCGAAGAAGGAGGCTGCAACCAAGAAGGCGGCCGCACCAAAGCAGGCAGCTGCTCCCAAGAAGGAGGCTGCCGAGAAGAAGGCTGCCGAGAAGAAGGCTGCCGCCCCCAAGAAGGCTGCTGCCCCCAAGAAAGCTGCCGCTCCTAAGAAGACGGCCGCTAAGAAGGACGTATGTTCCGCATCGCCGCCGCCTTAATGCCTTGAGTGGAAAACTGACAACCCATTTTAGGCTCCTGCTGTTGTTGACAAGCCCACCACCTTGACCAAGACCAAGTCGGGCAGAGTGGCGAAGACTTCGGCCAAGCCCGCCGCGGCAAAGAAGGCTGCTGCGCCTAAGAAGGCGGCTGCACCAAAGAAAGCTGCCGCGCCGAAGAAGGAGGCCAAGGCAGAGGCAGCATCGTGAGATTCTGGTCTTGCTTTGGTGTTCTTTCAACTGTATTTTGGGGGTTCGGGGGTCTATGGCGTTTACGGAAACTGGGTACAACGAGACGGGTCTGCGCTTTGCCCACCGCGCGAGGAATCGGGGTCGTGTTTGCTTTTTGATGAGGCCGGAATGGGAAGGAGGCGGATTTGCTCGTGGCAGTTCGCTGCCTGATGAGAGAGTCCGAGGTGTCGACATACCCCCTGCACTGATGTCTGTTTCTACGCATGGTCGGGATTGCACATATTGTTTGAGGACGGGGGTTTTTGGAACTGACGATGTTACGTCTACCCCTGTAATATACCAATGACGGAACACTTTTGCACTCTTCTGACTCACCATGCATTTACTCTCGCCTCTGCTGTGCTATTTCTATGACATGTTGTCATCACTGGACGCGTGTTGCATTCTCGGGCATGGAGACGCGTCGGTCCTAACCCTGGCCCTTGTTCTGATCCATGTCCCCTGCACTCGGTCCACTTGTTGTTTACGGTGGTCCCGAATAGGCAAAAAGCTTCTATCATGGCTATCATTGTCGATAAGGGATGTCACGTGTGAGGGGCTGCGGCATATTTTGGGATCTGACAGCCCGCCGGCAATGGCGTTTGGCTCGGCAAAGTTTATTTCTAATAGGGCAGCCCAACCTCTAGGTTAGCGGGTTGGTCTGGGCAGTTTGAGTCTCCCCCCTTTTCACTATTCGCGGTTGGCTAGGACCACAATACCAGTGAGCGAAGTATGTATGCTCATTGCTCACCACCCAGGAAACGACCGGACATACCTGCCAGCCCCAGCTATTCTGCTGTTACAACTTACAAGCGACCCATGACGAAGGCCTTGAACTTGAACTTGGGTAGATTGTTTGTCAGTCTCCTAAAAGCTCGGGTTGTGTGACAGTGGAAGGCCGGCCCGGGGTTGGATAGTTCCCGTCATGTAAGAGGTTTGCATCGAATTGTAGTTACATACGTGCAATATGAATATATCAGCCCACCCCATTCCTTTGTCCGCCAGCTTGTATTTTCCTTCGCCTCAGAGTCATGTGTTGACAATCGGGACTGTGTCTTGAAGTTCCATATGTCATTCATGCCAACCTAACAGCGGCATATTTACGCCGTCAGTGGCACCGTAACTGCTAGGATCTAGAAACAACATTGTCCTCTGTCACTAGCAGAATAGAATGAAGGCTTCTTCCTGCAAACACTGCCGCAACGGGTCGGCCCTGTTATCATGTGGTCCGTGCACGCCGTCCGTCTTACGACGTGCCTCCCGCAGCCTCCGTATTCCTGTCTGCACTCCGGCTATTGACCGCTCATAATCCGTAATAATCAACAGAAAGAAATCGTATCAACATCCCAATTGTCGTTCTTCTGTGTCTTCTACTTCTGATAGTGAAACGGATATCCCGACTCTGATATGCACTGAACTTTCAAACACGCGCGAAAACCGACAAGCGGGCAGGTCAGAGATATCGACGTGGGGTCTAGGCAACGTTGAAGGCGGGCAAATCGGCGGGTGCAGTCGTCGGGTGCAGGCTTTTGCTCTCTCTCTCTCTCCCTGATCACCCTCCACCCGAGTCTTCCGTCATCATACCCAAGCCGACCTCGCCGTCGCCATCGCCTGCGCAACCCACGTGCTTTCTGCCACTCTGCCACTGCAGCCAAGGGCCGATCGAAGCAGACACCGCAGAGAGGGGTGTCGCGTTCCACGCCGACTCCCCGATACCGACCCCCCGACCCCCCGACCGCGCCATCGACGCACAGATTGTTGGCTGTGACCGAACACATGCCCACGGCACCCGGGAGCCATATCATGGCAATCCGATAGCTCACCCCTCCGATTCGACTTGAACGCTGGTTATCAATCAATATGTCTCAACAGGACCACTCCCTCGGTTCCAACAACCCGTTCCGCCGGAAAGCTAGCAAACCCCCTCCCGCTGGCTCACCAGGTCCTGCGGACAGGGGCGCGGAAGCTCCGAATCCAAGCTCGAACTCGGATTCCTACTTCGATTGCCCTTCCGACAACGCCCCACGACCGCCCTTCGCGACCTTCAAGTCGGCCTTGCCCGAGAACCAGCGGCGAGACGAGGAAGAGGCACCGGTCCAGCCAAGGCCGAAGAAGATCGTGAAGAAAGTGCGTGTGCAGTCACCACCTCCATCTTCACCCGAGGATGCCACGCCAGTCAACCGATTTCCGCCCCGATACGATGACGACGATAGCGCCAGTAGTGATGGCGACTCAAGTAACAGGGCAGAGCAGCTCGATCCCTTCAATACTAAGCTGTCGGACTCGGAAGATATGAACGGCTCCGATCCACCGCTGCCTCGAATACCACCGAATCCCTTTGCGAGAACACTCCAGGATTTAGAGCAACCAGGACAGAGCCAGGATGCCAATGCGCTGGCTGGTGGTTTAACGAAGGGCTCGCTCGATGTCGATTCCTTCAAGCGACTACTCTTAACGGGCTTAGCAAGCATACCAGGGCCGACTTCCGCAACGGGATCGGGTGGGAACCTTGCAGTGGCATCACATTTACAAGCGCCCCTCCATGATGGTGCGAGCAATACAAATGCCAGTTCTATATCTCGGCAGTCCATCCTTGATGCTATGCAAGAGACCCCTCGAACCTCACATGAGGTATCAGAGCCCGACGAATCCGAGGCACAGAAGACTATGCGACCTGCATCCCCATTAGGAACAGTCCCATCTGCTTCGACAAGGAAGAAGCCTCCTCCTCCGAGCTCTCGTCATGGCAAGCTGATCAAGATGGAGTTTGGCGCAGACTCCGAATCTCGGGGGGCTCGGGGTACGACACCTCCTACGTCACTAGACACTTCTCTACCGAATGTTGCGCCTCTACGCAAGTCCAGCAACCACTCTATTACCCCTCTGCATTCGCCGCCCTCAATAACGGATGTCAATAAGCCGCTTCCGCTTCCTCCCTTCCGGCCATCTACAGACGGGGAAATTGACTCTCCCTTCGACCGTGAAGCCGCTGGTAAATTACCAGAGGCATTCGACAATCTCCAAGAACACCCCAAGCCCCCAGCACCTCCACTTCGTACACGCAACCGCTCCGAATCCCAGACCAGCACGCATTCGCAGAAGCCTGCAGCACCACCTCCGCGCCGACATGGAAGAAGCAGTAGTAGAGCACCTTCCATCAACACAGCGGATGAAGAGCCTCCTAGGTCGTCGATGGAGTCGAATCTTTCTCGTGCTGGAAGTCTCCGGGTCAACATCAGCTCCGAGAGGGGGCCCAATCCTCCGGCCCCGCCTCCACCTCGACGCCCACAGCATGGCAGACAAAGTTCATTGATGAGCCCAACTCATGGGAGCTTATCCCCAGCATTAGCCAGTCCAGTTGCTAACGAAAATGAGCGAAGCCCCCTGGGGCTAGGATACGCTCCAGCTGGCGGTGGAGCTCAAGCGGCATCCTCAGGCAGTCTTGCAACGGTCACAACGAGCAAAGATGGGGTACACCAAATATCGCCCCCACCGCCACCGCCCGCACGACATACAAGTACCAGACGCCCTCCTAGTGTCCGGAGTATGGAGTCCGGCAGCAACTTGGGTACGGCAAGGAGGGTGAGCAAGGAGAAAGATGAAGCCTCGGCGCCGCCTCCTCCTCCACCGCCGAGGGTGAGGGGTGGTAGTCGGAACAATGCAGATGCCTCTGCGCCTAGTGCAACCAGCTCGAGGAATACCAGCGCCGAGGTCAAGCCGGTCGAAGAGGAACCAGCTGCTTCAACACCGTTCGATTCGAGCAACAACCAAGGCACAGAGATCTTGACGGATCTCGATGCCCTGCAGAGGGAGATTGATGCTTTGATGGGCAAATACCCAAACGCCAGCGCAAGCTGAGGAGGGCCAGAGTTGGACGCTCTGTTAGTGTTACAATGTGATCTTGGTATACTACGAAGCATTGTTTTGGCATTTGGAGCTGCCGTAGGAGCACGAGGAAGAGAGGAAGATGGCATGTTTTGTTGGCTTCAACATTCATGAGACAAATTCAGAGAAGCGGTAGCCGCTGGTCCGCACTGAATACGAGACGAGATCACGGGATAATGCATTATGCGATATTTGAGCGTGCGCGTGTAATGTACGAATAGTTGTGAATGCTGCTGCTTCTGACCCGACTCCCGAGGCGACAGACCATGTGGATGGACTGCGCGCGGGGAATATATTAGAGACGTCTGATCGTACTTAGTCGTGGGTACCTTGAGTGATATTATGCTGTGACCGTTGATGATTCGAGGTAATTGGCTTGTTGAGCGAGTCAGCCTTCAGGGGTTTGGACTGGTGTTTCCAAGATATGGAGGAGGAGGGCAATAAGTTACGTTTCAAGCGGGGGCTGCCCTTTCCTACTATTGAAAGGTCCCTTGTGATGTCTTCGTCTCGCTGCTTGATCATGCTTGTTAAGAGTTACTCATGGTCTTGATGTCTGGTTGTCTATGTCAGTTGTAGACTCGTAGATTATGCATGACTGCGGTGGACTGTCTCGTTTTCCACCTTTCTTAAGCCATTGTTGGTTGGTACGATGATCCCCGATGGTCCCTGAGGTGAATATCCCGGCTTGCATAATTCTTCGTCCCTAACGCTTTTTTTCTCTTGGATTATGGATACAGGCTCAAAATCCTGGATGGAAGTTTGGCTTTGATTTTTAATTAATTTGAGCTGTTTTCTTGGAAGGCTGGTTGGCCTTGAGGTTGGAAGCGGAGTTTTGAATTCTAGACGTGTAGGAAATTGATTTCTAGTCGCCTTGAGCCGTTTGCTCAAAAAGCTGCGTGACCCATGAGGTTGGAAGCGGAGTATTGCATCTAGACATGTGGGAAATAGTTGAGATTTGGTTGTGGCCCTGCATCTTAGGCGAGAATCTGTCCTGCCAGTTGGCTATCTAGCCTCGGGCCTCGGGTACAGAGGTGTTTATCTGCAGGAATTCTTACCCCCGGTGAAATTTACGGGTAGGTGTATTACGAGTATGATTTGCGTAGCGGAGGTCGCGTCCGACCGTGCCGGCGAGAGGGTGCGAGAGGGTGCAAGCTCTGCGGACCTGGACGGAGCTCTGGCAGGGTTGTGTTGTATCGTGTTCAAGAAAGGCGAGGGCTTCCGGCATGCTGAATCGCTTGCCCAGACTGGTGACCGAGGCCCACGTAGTGTTTTACACCGTGCCTTCTCTCAGATCTGGACAACGCCCAGCCGGTGGGACATGCATGTTCTTGCCTAAAATCCTTCTTCGTGACTGTGCTGGTCTCTGAGATGCTCTGCGAATAGTTGAATGAAGTGCTTTGAGATAGGAAATCTCATCTAGTCTACCAGCATGACAGCACACTCGTGAAACTTTCCCAATGACAAGCTGGCAACTGAATGTTGTCTTCGGTGCCTTGCGGTACTTACACCATCACAGTACGCTCGTGAAACTTCTCCATTGGCAAGCTGACAACTAAGTGTTGTCTTTGCTGCTTTGCGATACAGTTGCGGCGATTTAAGAGCTAGGGGGTTGCTATCAACAAAGGATTCGGATGGTATAAATCCAAAGCTGGATGAGTGAAGAGTTCCGCATGAAGCTTCACAGCAAGCCAATAGTCCATGCATGTTGAACAGAGATCCTGTTGCCTTGAGCTCAGGAAACGTCATTAATGAAATTGCTTGTCAGGCTTTATTTGTTCACAAACAGTGTCAAAGAAGATCATGCAGACCGACAATAATATTCTGGGATGATTTGACCTCAGAATCTATGGTCATTTGGAGTCGACTACCTAGGTAGTGTAAAGACTTAGTTGAAGAAGTTCATATAAGTGGTGTTAGGTTCGAATTCTAATAACGCTAATGTAGCTTTACTCTTTCGGATCATCCGTCTTGGACCTGACCGATATATGAAGCGCAATCCTGGTCACTCCGTATTGACGCTTCCCTTCGTTTAACCTGCGCCACCTCCACGATGGAGCAATCCCTGCCTTCAACCAAGGAGGCATTCCTGCAAATGCAACAGTTCTTCAAACCCGATCCTGAGCGGCGGTATACGGCCATTCGGATCTTCTCTAGGGGTGGTACTCACGAAGAGCAGCTCTTGGATGAGGAGAGCCTTGCAAACTTCTTGGCGTTTGGGGTCCCAGCCAGATCCCGCCAACCAGAGCTGCGGGAGCCTCAATCAGAGTTGCGACTAGTCTGCGTCCCGCGAACGGCCCTGAAAGACGGCGTGTGTCAGAGTCTGAATCCTCGAACACCTCCTATCAAGATCTCCAGAGGTGCCTTTGCTGGGCTCTTCGACGCCTGCTTCGATATCAGAGAAGACTCGACCCGGGATAATGGCGGTCGCTCGTTATCCACAGATTTCATGGAGATGATCGCAAAGTCGTATGCTGGATTGTATCAAGCCATGCACTCGCTCGATAACTCCCTTGTAACTCATCAATACACGCTTGTAGTAAGTCTCACTGTGTAGCCTAAGGCGTTGAATAAAGCAGCCATCTTGCGGGTTGGTCTGTGTCCCACAGCTATAGGGTCACAAGGAACAGCTTGCTTGTCAGGTGCTGGTCACTGATTATTATGACAGTGGTCCTCATCGGGAACCCCAGACATCAATGTCACCCGGGCTATCTTCATGCCGTGGCTCGCAACGTCCAACGATCGCTCGAGGATGACCAGCTTCCTCGACCTGGCGCGCTCGAACGTTATGACACATTCAGTGAAATTCCATCCATCACTGGTACTTCTATGGACCGCCGCTCTGGATATGAAGCTCTGCCTTGAAGAAAGAAGCGATGCATGCTCCGCGGACCTGACTCGCCTTCAAGGTAGTCTCCTGAGGCCCGGTGCCCAGCATCACCCCATCGAAGCACCACTGAACCAGTTCTGCGCGTGGGGAAGAGCTGTTGGCCAAATAATTTACTTCGATATTCCCATGCTAAAGTCAGTTCCGAGGGCATTAGAAGGTAATGGTCCCAACCAGCCTGCAGCGCTCTTGAGAAGTCAGGCAGCGCATTTGGATAATCGCTTCATGATGCTGAGAGATGAACTGCAACGCATGAGTACCGATATGGTATGCGATCCTCCAGCTAGCACGTTAAGAGTATGAGCAAATCTAACGACATGTAGACGGCTTACTGGCGGCTGGACCATGAAGCTTGGAGTGGGAGAAGTAATGGAGACCAGATGCTGAGCCATCCATTCCAGGACCTGGGCACCCATAGTGCCGAGTCTCGCACGGGAAGCCCTTGTAGCGAGGTTAGGTCGTATCTTGGGGATGTTTCCGATGCTGATCAAGATCGGCCTGGCGGGTCACGTTGAGGGACGCAATCGCTTGCGTGCCCCTATTGAGCGCTGGGGTGGTTTGGGTGATGGACCTGACAGATTGAACGGAGGTCGGAAACAAATTACATGTCTGCAGAGCACTGGGCCTTGAATTTGGGACTGGGGATACAGCCCAGTATTCTGCATGACACATATTGCGATACGTAATACAATCTAGCTCAAGATTAATAATGAAGTTGCCTTGTTTCCTGTGAGAGGTGGAGTTCAACCCAGCACTCAGCGTTACCTGAACAACCGTCTGAAGCGGTCGGTCCAGGGGTACTTAGCTCAACAGGCCTCAATCGCTGGTTGTCCCACTGCTTCCTGAGGGGGCAGCCGCTGGTGGGTGTAGTAGGAAACTGCAGTCTGCCATCGTGGCTTGGAATGGTCGGAAGGCGCAAAAAGAAAACGGCGGCCATGAAACATGAAGACAAGGCAGATGCGGTAGGAATTGACTACATGCAGGAGCCACTGAGCTACCTACATACTTAGGCATGTGTCGAGGGACGGGGGTGGTTACATAGGTACACAAGCGGTCACCATCCCCATTACAACTTTTGCAACTTTGGAAGCCCGGGAGTTCGATGCTACATCTGCTACACCCCACCATTGGACGCAAGACCATGACTTACTTAAGTACTTATTGACCGCATCATGAATACCGCCCCCAAATCATCATCCAGGGACAGATTCTGGCGAGATGTTCTTGGAGCACCAAATACCACCCGCGAGTCATCATCGCTGGATGAACCATCCATCGAGATTCCAAAGAAAGTCGACAGAGATGCTACAATATCTCCGCCATCCAGCAACAGGGTACCCACATCTCTGCGATCCAGGGACAGATTCTGGAAGCAGCTGTCGAGGAGGGAAGAACAGCGAGATGTTCTTGGAGGACCAAATACCACCCGCGACTCATCATCCAGCGATGAACCGTTCATCGAGACCCCAAAGAAAGTCGACATAGATGCTACCATATCTCTGCCATCCAGCAACAGGCAAACCACCCCTGGGCCATCCATCGAAAGGTCATCCAGCATCCCATCCGGGGCTACCCCCAGAACTTTGCCATCCAGCGGGAGTACCAAATCTGTCCCATCCAGCGTGAAACTAGTCATAGATGACCGAGGCCATGCCCGTGTCATCGAGGAACCATCCACCGAAAAGTCATCCAGCATCCCATCTGGGGCTACCCCCAGAACTCTGCCATCCAGCGGGAGTACCATTTCTATCCCATCCAGCGTGGAACGATTCATCGAGGACCGACGCCGTGCCCGTGCCAGAGAGGTGGAGGACCAACGCCGTGCCCGTGTCAAGGAGGCGGAGGACCGACGCCGTGCCCGTGTCATCGGGGAACCATCCAACGATCCACCATTCGTACAGAACGGTGTCATGGAGGACCCATTCACCGGTTACCCGCCCACCGAGAGACCATCCAACGGGGAACCGAAATGGTTCATCAAGAGACGACCACCCATCGAGGAACCAGCCAACGATCCACCATTAATCAAGGACCGTCTAGACCGTGTCATCGAGGACCCATTCATCGATGACCCATCCTTCGAGAGACCACCCAACGCGGAACCATCCATCGAGGAGCCATCCAACAAAAGACAACGCTTCTGCGAGCCAGCCCATGGACACCCGTACCAGTTCATTCACATCGCCGCTAGGCAGCAGGCAGATGACGAAAAGCTAGGGTCTGGGGACCAGCAAGCTCTTGTGGCCTTCATGACGGCCCAAACGAAGGCCCAAAGGCGAGTGCGCCAACACGAATTGCGCCTGTGCTACATCCCTATGGCCGTCGCTCCTGACGCCGAACGCAATCGACTCGATGCCGCAGCTCCGTCGAGTAGTTGCCTCCAAATCTCAGAGGGCGCTTTCAATGATATGCTGAAGGGATGTGGCATCCCCTTAGGCTATGGTCCAATGATTACGAACGAAAAGATCGGATACTACACATCAATCTTTACTAACTTCGACGACGAGCGCAGCGGCTTGATCGCAACCAACGAGTACATCCTTCTCTGGAATTACAACGGCAAGAGAAACATGAAACGCCTGAGCGCTGTTTGTTTGTATTGGTCCAACCATATCGTGCAGAGGCTAACTCAGCTCTTCTTCCATTGCCGAGACATCATCACCGAGACAAAGCCTTGTTTGGGACCCATCCAATACGTTGTTGCTTTAGAGCGGGACAATTCCATGACAAGAGCCGTGACTGGGACTCTTGTGCGGCTAAATGGATTGTCAGCCAGAACTTTGCGAATCCACCAGTCACGGGACGACATTGCACAGATTCTTGGTAGGCTTTCCGTCCTCCGGGCGGAGACTGTGAGATTAATGAATACGATAATTACCATGAACTGGTGTCTGGAGGTCTGTAAGAAGCACAGTTTTTCACCGGATCGTCTGGAAGCTCTCGGCGAGAGTTTTGCGGAAGGCGAGCTACGAGTAAGATCAATCCAGGAGGGCTTCCAGTCGCTCGACAGAAAGGTAGGTGCCTGTGGACTGGACGGTCTTCAGTTGGCTGATCTCTGCAGTTGAACACTCTACAAAACATGTTCGATGATCCAATAGACCTTGACGGATTTGACCAGTCGCAGCCATCAGATCCGGTCAGGCAATCCGGGGTGATGCCAGAGATGCTAGAACTCAACCGGGCGCCGTCGTTGGACCCCGGCAGCCAATACGGGGGGATACCAGAGATGCTAGATTTCAACCAGGCGCCGCCGCCAGAACACGACAGTCAGTTCGATGACCTCTTTGGGATGCTAGAGCACAACCAGGTGCCGTCGTCAGACCCTGTCAGCCAAACCGGGGGGATGCCAGAGATGCTAGATTTCGAGCACTTGGATGACCTGTCAGAGATGCTAGAGCTCAACCAGGGAGGAGACGACAGCAACCAGATGGTGGAATTCGACACCCAGTTTGGGGAGGAGTTTTCATTGGACTGACCGGTCCTACTTCTGGGTGCCTCACAGGGCTCGGGATGAAGTAGTTTTAGGAGCGGCGAAGAACCGCATAGTACGCAGCGACGAGTGATGACCGATTTTGGTCACAGCGAAAGCATTTGCTTGCTCACACGACTGGCAGTACTCCGGCAGTCTATTGTTAGTCGCTGCCTTAGACAGCAGAATAGGATATCGTTTTTGAACACTTTGCTCAAGCACTGAACTAGCAGTGTGATTCGACCAGGCCGCCAGTATAGTCACCGGTCTTTCTGCCTTCTAGGATCATCGGACGAGACAGTTCCGAATGAGTGACTCGAGCCGCGTTGGAGGCGACCTGATGTTTGCTGCTGTGACTCACTAGCTCACACCTACAGTACGTTGAGCGACACCGCTTCTCTGGATACTGATGGTCGATAGGCTGGTTGCCCAAATACTGATTGGTGTAGTGGCGTGAAAAATGTGGTTGCCGTTCCCCAGCGCACGTGTCCTGCATACGCCGCCGGGTTTGGTGTACCCGGGCGGTTGATGCTTGCTTGAACCCTTGTCACAAGAAATCGAACGTGTGAGTTGTGAGATGGGGCTGTATGTTGGTCGTACCAACATCACCATTGGAATGCCAACATGTGGCAAGCTTCCCTACCGCATAAATATCTCGCCCCTGCAAACTCGATCCAACTCCTCCACACCGACTACCTTCGTCAACACCAACATCCACCTCGACGACCATCTCACATACATCACGATGCATTCCAAACTCCTCAGCACGCTCACCCTCCTCCTCTACACGGCCGCAGCCTCGAACACATGCGCCGTGCTCCCCGGAGCCAAGCCCGCGTCCTCAGAATTCCACAAGATCTGCACGGTGATCGAAGCCGCCAACATCACCGCCGAACCCTACGTTGGATGCAGCAACACCTCAACCTACCGCGTCTTCTCGACCTCGAACCCGAGCAACTGGGCCGCGGTGCAGACCTGCTTCGCCAACCTCCTGGGGGTTTCCGACAGCGAGTGCCCTGAGGGGTTTTGGGTGCAGCACTACCACACCATCCAGTTCAACACCTTCGAGACGGCGTCGGCGAACGTGACCAACGACCATGGCGTGGCGGTGGAGTGCACTTTCCAGTTCAACATCACGGGGTTCCCGGCCCAGGGCCCGGTTTATGTGGGCGCGAAGGACGTGCGAGATATTGTGGCCACTGCGAATAGGGAGGTGAATAAGATGAATCTGGCGGTTGAGGGTTTCACGAATTGTCTGGCGCCGGGCGAGGGGAATACTACGGCGAATGCGAATGGGGCCGAGATCAATTGGCGGGTCATGTGGTGGACGGTGAATCCGGGGGATGATTCTAGTGTGCAGCCGCTCTAGTACGTGGGCTGACCTGTTGGGCGCGGCGAGGATGGGGGAGGGAACATGAGATATCGTGTGAGACACGAGTAATGGCTTGCTTTTCCTAGAGATCGGAGAGTTTATTGCGGAGTTTTATCGTTCAAGTAATGGACCAGTAGATGGTAGAACAGCTTTCCAAATCTCATACTCGCGCCAGTAACCTATCACTGGGGATACCTACTTGAAACGCAATGGACAATAAGTTCAACTCAGTAATTGCACAGAATCTGTCCGTATGTCTGTCGCAAGAGCGTATCATGAATAGCTCGTATGAAGAGCGGGCTAGCCCAGTAAGCCTTTACCCTAGAAGAACGTGTGCATGCGTTGAGCCGCAGCAGCCCCTTTTAAATAGCGTACGGGAAATAGGGGCTGGGGCGCACGATGGAGTTCGTGACCATCGGGTGAGTTGGTCGGATTAGATGGTAGTTACCATGTGGAAAACTCAACGCCATTTCTCAGAGGCCTGGAGTCTGTCCAGTCATCGACGAAATAAGTACAATAGGCCGACTTCAGAATTTGGACGATACGCCAGTGCCGTTGTACGTACGGCTGGAGTCAGATGGTGCTGCGCGCACCTCAAATCTGCGATCAGTCGAGCAGAGGGTAGCATCAGTTCTCGTTGACCGTTCGCCTCGAAGAGTTTCCATACCGTCACCTTCCTGAAAGGCTCTGCTGAGGAGGAGGCCGGAATCTTCCAGGCAATAATTGGGAAAGGTTTAAAACATCCAGTCTATTACTATAACCTTTACCGAAGTTTAGGTCGCCTCGCTAGATGCCTGGATGCCTCTGGAGGCCTCAGGTGTCCTTCTGGCTGTCCCCTTCTAACAGGGCCCTTTCTGTCGCCCCACTGACCCAAGCAGGTCTCCCTTAAAGTCTATTCGCCGCTAGAAATATTCGCACCCTTCTGAGTGGTCAGATCCATCTACAGTGTACTCGAAAATCTAAAACAAGAAATGTTTACATTTTGATTTTCAACAAGTCAAAGTTAGGAATGGTTGATAGTAAACCTTTCCCAACTTTAGGACAAAGCTTTGGACTACATGGAGTTGTATATGTGGCGATAGGGTTAAAGGGACAGCCGGACAAGAAGGCCGGCTCATGTGACATTTGGAATTCGACGAGGAGGTATTCCTGACCGTTGTTACCGAGACTGTCGAAGCTACATTTAAAGTCCCTGTGTCTCAGTTACGGTTAGCAAGGTCTTGGTCGATGCCAAGGGTGTCGAAGTCCAGCATGTTGGCTGTGTTTTCAACCATAAGTGCACCGATGCTTTAGTCGGGCTGCGCGAGAGGGAGCTCTGTGTCGGCAGCGTGGGCACGCCGAACACTGTGTGTGACCTGCGTCTTCGCCAATCTCAATACTGAGTGCAGCGCGTTTTATATGAGCCCCTATGTTATGTCCAGCCGTGATATGTACCGGTGGTGCTGGTACCTACCTCTTAGGTAGGCACTGGAGGCAGATGCACTCTATCCTGGCCGCTAAATCGTACATACCGGTCCACAGCAGTCCAGGGGAATATTGATTGGGAAATCGCGCTGTGCCGCGTGAGCAACCTTGAGGACCTCGTTGCAAATCTGACGGGATGTCAACAAGTTATGTGCGCAAGCTTTACAGTGCTATCAGGGTGCGCACAATGGCGGTGCCTAAGGCAATCAGCAATCAGCGCATTTGATCGTTTGTGCAAACGCCTTATGTCTTATCGTGATCAATGGCTTGTCCAACGGTCAACCTGCTGCGCGACCTGACGCAGCTCGGCTTCCTCAGTGCAGCAAGCAGACTGCAGTGTCACAGCAACGGCTAGACGGCTACCACCAGGACCGAGTTACACCACACCATCGGCATCGACATCGACATCGACACCTCGGAAACCGCAATCCCAGAATCAACGGCCGGCTGTTCCTGCCTTTCTCAAGGCTGCACTGCCACTTCGAGCATTGCCGCCCGTCGTCATCGCACACCGTTGCATGTACCTACTCGCCATCATCCAAACTTCTTTAGTCTTTCACCAACATCGACATCACCCCCACATCATTACCTTCCGAAAGGTCGAGATGGAAGACCTCCGCGACGCCAAGGAGACCGTCGCCAAGTTCGCCGCGCTCATCGACCGCCTGCGCCCGGACTTCGCACCGCCGCCCCCCGAGGGCGTCGCCGATGCGACCTCCCACACCTCCAAGCGCCAAACGGCCCGGCGCCAGGACTCCACGGGCTCGCAGAAGAGCACCCGCAGTACAGTGAGCGCGCGGTGGATGCCGTCGTCCACATCTTTATCCAAGAAGAAGAGGACGAGCGACTGGGCCGAGACCACCGAGGGCATACTGTGGCACGAGCTCGAGAAGCCGCAGCGCGAGGTCGCAATGCAATTTCAGGTCGACCAGACGGCGCTCAAGGAGTTCATCAGCTCGCGCGAGATGATGGAGTTGGGGAACGAGTTCGCGCGCCACTACGGCGACTATGTGCGCGAGAAGCCCTACTGGGCTGCCGAGGATTTATTTTTTGAGCTGCAGGCTGTCAAGCAGGGCGATGCGCAGCAGGCGAAGTGGACGAAATCTAAGGCTTACAAGAAGGAATGGTATGTTTAGAATTCTTTCATCCTTCTTCTGGGACTTAGGTCGACATACTGACTGACTTGCACACAGGGACCTGGCCGACCACCTCGTACGCTTCGTTCTGCTGGCCGAGAAAGCGCGCCTCTATTCGGACCAGGAGAAGTGGCGTCTCTGGGAGTGGACTTTTGCCATCAAGGTTGGCTTCTTTCTGAGCATACTGCGATGCTACAACGTCCGCCACGCGAAACAGCGACAGTTGACCCGTGAGGCCGAGGCATCGGCGGGACGGATATCGCAGGCCAATAATAGGCAGCCTCCTCAGCTTGGTCCGGCAACGCCGCTTACCCCAAGAGTCACGCCTTCGCCGGGGGCCAAGTCTGTGAGCTTCGTTATCGACCGACCGCAGGCGAGGAGCGAGTGATGGTTTCATGTATATGTTGGCAGGGAGAAGGACCTGCGCGTGGCGGAAATACTTGATGAGAGGATGGGATAGCCCTCACGGGTCCGACAGCAGGGATAGCAAGGCGTTGGGTAACGGATGTGGTACGGATCAATGAATAAAGCCGATTTTCAGTGCATGATGCCTCAGTGTTGGTGTTCTAAGGGCCATGTTCGAGGACTGGAAGTGCCTGACTATACATATCAGTACGGTCCTGGTCGTAGTCGGGAAGCTATTCAGCATAGGAAGAATCATCTATATGGGAACCTACACGATGTCCGGCGATGTCCATACGGCCGACATCCATGACTTCTAGCCCATGAAGTAAGATACGGTGTATACCCCCAAGTCATCGCTGAAGAAGACCGTCTACCCTACCTTGGCACGAAAACCTGGCCTCGTCGGGTGTTGGGAGCTGGTACCATTTCGGTTTGACATGTGGCATAGTGCTACGCCGAAAACCCGGTAATTGAGGTCGCGCTACCATGTGATGGACTTACGCATCTTCCTACCGCCGCTTCTTCCAGGTAGATGCTCTCATGTGTAGGGTAGAGTGTTCTGAAGCTATCTCGGGCAATGATATCCTTTTTTTCGTCGGCAGCTAGGAGGGCGGTCGGACGGGAAACATGAAAGCTGAGTGACAATGAAGCATGAAACCATGGCACGGTGGAAGACAGCGGGCTAATACATTCAAAACCTTCCATTCATCCTCGTGGCATTAATGAATGAAGCTGGGATGAAAACGGTTCCCAACCTGCCCATTTGAGTTCAGAGAGGGTGTCACTGAGAGTCCACTGAGTAAGCACTAATTTACAGCGTAAGTGGCGGATGTGTGGCGCACCTACCAAAAGCACTGTTGACGCGCCTTCCAAGCCACAATCTTTCACGTTTCACCTACGTCTTCCATCTCCCTCAGGCATGAGCACTCCCTCCTTCGCATCCAGTCTTCACCATCTCCACGCATCCCTGGCCAGCTTCATCTCAGCCAATCCACACATCTTCCATCTCCGTTGCCCTCAACAGTACCTCGATCATCAAGCCCAGACCTACGAAAGTCTTTCATCAATCCGCGCACCTCGTCTATCACGCCCACCATGTCCGATCAATATGATCGCGATCATCTCACGGCGTCCGAGTACGAGGATGAGTTTGAGGGAGAACACGAACATGAACTTGACGAAGATGCTTCGGATGAATCTGCCACTGAAGACGGCAACGACTTTATCGACATGGAGGCGGTCGAATCCGATAACCAGTCTGAGGATGAATTCGACGAGCGCGAGTTTTACTCATTCCCTCAGTTCTGTCTCCTCCCCATCGAACTCCGCGCGCTGATCTGGGGTTTCTTCGATTACGATCTGAAATCGAAAGGGCGGGTTATGCAGGTCATGGTGATGGAGTCGGACCTCTGGCAGAGCGCCGTCTTAGAACAACAGACTGCCTCGGCACGCGCCATGCTCGCCACCCACAAAGAAAGCCGCGCGCTTGCCTTGAAGTCGTACCCCGACACATTCACCATTCGCGGAGGATCTGCAGTCATTCGCTGCGATCCAGACCAGGACATTATTCTCTTATCCGCTCACCAAATGGTCACGGAGGATTCAGCCTACGCCATCACTCGTCAGCTTAGAAACATTAGGTGTTTCGCCGTGGACGATAAAGACTTTCGCTTCGACGGAGAAATTTGGACGGCACTACGCGCCTTAGAGAACGTGAAGACTGTCTACTCCTGCTTTGAAGCTTCCGAAATGAAACCTCAAGGGTTGCAAGGATTTGTGTCTAATGAGGCCAATAAATTCTACGTACAGACAACCGAAGAGGAGCCGGGTCTAGGCGAAGATCTCGAGTTCTTGTATTGCTGGACTCGTTCGGAGACAAGCCCAGAGACAGCTGCATATGAGTTCATAGAAGCAAACCCAATCTGGGCAGGCGTTATGGGCACCGAGATTTGGCCTATGGTCAGATTCTCGTTCGAGAAGGGTCTAAGATACCACGACAGGATCAAGTTTGCCACCTTGCGCGAGGGCGAATGGGAGGACAAATGGGTTCCCGGTTCCGAAGCTGACTCTGAAGATGGATCTGCGGGCTCCGACGACGAAGACGACGACGACGAGGATGAGTCCGATCTTGATGGTTTCATCGTTGACGAATCACTTGGTGAGGGCGAAGAGTCAACCGCGGACGAGGTCGAGGATACGGTGGTGGACCAATCATCTGACGAGGATCATGTGTCGACATTCAATGGCTTCTCTTCTCCTCAAGATGACACCGGTCTGACTGAGGACGACGGCATCACAGCGGCTCGTTTCTCCAGCCTAGAGCCGGATCCGGATCCAGCTGGCGCTGACGACTCGGATGATTCCGTAGTCGAAGTGCCACCCCCCATTGCCAAGGCACACAAGCGGCATATCGTATCTTCTGAAGAAGAAGAAGATACGGACGACGATAGCGAAGCCCGCAAGAGACAGCCACGCCCTACCAAGCGCGCTCGGATTGTCCTTTCCGATACCGAGGATGAAGGCAACAGTGACACCAGAGACGAGGACCGAAAAAGTACGAAGAAGCAGTCTCGCGGTACCAAACGACAACGCGTCGTGCTTTCTGATTCCGAAGACGAGGACAGCGTTCAAGAGATCTCTCCACCTGCTAGACACGGTGGGGATGCTGCGGAGGAAGATGAACGCTCGCAGGAAGATTCTGACGACGATGACGGAGAGGAGGATTCGGATGAGGAGCCAGCTAAAGAAAAGCAGATGTCGCTCCTTGCTCGAATACAGCAGTTTCGGTCCGATGTCCCCGTCCCAGATTCTGGATCCGATGCAGAGTCTCGTGCCTCCGCACTAGACGATGACGACGCCCGCAGCGACTTCCAGGATGACGAAGATGACAAGGATGTCTTGGAACTAGGAGGAGATGAGGAATACGACGAGGGTGAGGATGCTTGGTAACGAGTTGACCACACACACCTAGATACGGCTCGCGGAATTCACTGCGACTCCCTGAGGGGTTTGATTTTGGAAGGGCTTCGCCATATTCAGGTGGTTGTATATCATTAGGGTGGCATGCGAGGCGTTGATTTCCACATATTACTTACTATCCGGTCACAAGGCCTAGCTTAGGTTCAGCATTGCAGCATCTAGGCAAGACATGTTCATGAATGCTATTCTTCATCGGTCGCGATTGGGACCTGCCAAGGGAACGCTGCTCTTTCCCGGGGCAAGGGGGGGGGGGGGGGGGGGGGTTATTGACCTCACTGTTGTCGCCAGAACAACAACTTATTTTGGACACGCATCGGGTAAGACTCTTCAAGAGCACTAAGCTACATGCCAGGCCACGATGACAACCTGGTAGCAAGAACGCGATCCGATTTATCCAATCGAGCGAAAGCTAAAATGAGAGAGTCGCTACCCATCCATCTAGGCCCGTTATCGACCATCTAGTGTTGGTTTACTCTCAGTCTCACCTCCTCAACTTCGCCAGTTACCAACTAACTTACACCTAAAAGTTGCTCGGCACAACAGGCTGGATTGCCTCCAGCTTCCGCACGAGCTCAGTCCACACGGGCTCCTGCAGCGCCTTGCCCCCGATTCCCGTACACAACTCGGACGTCCGGCCGACCTCGCAGTCGTTCAGGTACTGGCCATTGGTCTCGACGCCGGCTCTCCGGGTGCGGCTGCCGACCTCGGCGGTCGAGCGCGCGAGAATCAGCCGGAACAGCCAGAACGCGAAAGACGAAGACTTGCGCGCTAGCTCCGACTGGCACAACTCCGGGTTGGCTAGGGCTGACCGTGACGGGTTTTCGGAGTATCCGTTGGCCGGGTGGTGGCTGCTCGGGCAGGGCGTAGAGGGTGTACAGGGGAGAGCTTGGAGACGGGGTACTGAATCTGTATTTACTTTGGGTGCTATCAAAAAGGCCAAAGAGGCACGAAGTATATGAAGCCTTATATCCAGGGTTCGACAAAGTGAAGTGAGTCCTACTATCAATGCCGGATGTGTGTTGGTCGGGGTTAGGGAAAGTATCATGGCATTAAAGTCCGGATGCCGAGAGGGTGAATCCCAGTGCCAAGCAGGAACATCCTCATTGAAGGTATCAAGACGGAATCGGACTTAACAAACAGCTGCCATACGATGATGCAAATGGCGGACACCTACTTCTCACTTGGAGACGTCCTGGCTTCGAACGGGCCGTACCTGCGGAGGGATCTTCGCTCTCCCACGCTCGTGGCCCGGGTCCGGGCCCGGATCACCGTCACCAACTCTCTGACCTCGGCCAACGGCCGGAGCGAGCCACTTGATGGAAAAGTAGTTACAGACCACTGTAAATCCGGGAGCGAGGACTTGGGTTGGCGGAAAGCGCTATTCATTGCTGGTAATAGCAGCACGATGATTGACATGTCGCCCTATTGTTACGCGCGCGGAAGAGCACGCGGAAGAATGGTGAGCTGGTATGCAATGAGTCTAAGAAAGACGAGGGCATCCACTTGACACTGCTCAACCCAAGGCTCATCGTTGCTGCATGGGTATTGTATTTGGCAAGGGCCATCCACTGGCTCCTTCACTGCACCAATGCATCATGATGTAGGCAGTTCGACGGGGTATGCAAGGATGGTTATCATCACCCCTGCCGCCTCGCCCAAGCACCACATGGAACTAGTCCAGACCATGAAACATCTGCGAACAGCCGTGGTCTCTTGCGGCACCTTCACGAGGCACAGATTACAACTGGACTCTGAGCCGTCGAGCGCGCATCTTACAACGACCTTCGGAGCAATCAGAGACAGGACCAACAGGCTGGTCGGAGGCGCCTTCAAATTCCACATTTGCTGCTCGACGCTCGAAGGAGGCGGAGCCTTACGGTCGAAGCTCGTCATGTACTCCGCGGCACTGAGTCTGGCCATTGGGGTTGTGGTTCTCTATGTTGTACGAGCAGTCCGCACTTATTACGCCCTCAGTCAGTTTGGGGGCCACGGGTCGGCGGGCTGGTCACGGCTATGGCTTCTACGGACCCAAGGAAGTGGCGAGATAAACAAGAGGTTCACAAAGATCAACAACCAGTATGGTGAGTAACGTTGTGCCATTGTATTGGGGCCGTAATTTGTCCAGAAATCTCCGACTCGCCAGTCGCGCTTCGAAGTCTCACCAACGATGGGGCTTCGTGTTACAGCTGATCACATCACCTGAACGTGGTGGCGTGGTTGACATGCCCTTGACGCGTTCGCTAACGGTTGCCGTGCAGGCTCAACGGCTCGCATTGGGCCTGAGATGCTTATCACGTCCGACCCAGAGCTATTCCGCCGTATGAACGCGGTACGCTCTTCCTTTACCAGAGGACCATGGTATAAAGCCTTGAAGCTTCATCCAGAGCGCGACAACATCATCTCGTACGTCGACGAGCGTAAACATGCCGACATCCGCAGCCGCATGGCGCCTGGGTACAGCGGGAAGGAGAACCATCACACGGAGCAAGACGTGGATGACCAGCTTCTCAAGTACCTTGAGCTAGTCAACTCCAAGTACGTTTCCAAGCCTGAGGACGGTATCTTCCGGACAGTGGACCTCTCACGCGTGACTTCTTTCTTCACGCTCGATGTCATCTCCAAAGTCGCCTTTGGGCAGCCCTTCGGTTTCTTGGATAAGGATGATGACCCTTTCGGCTACCTTGCAAGCCTGGCCGAGATGCTGCTAGCCGTCATTGTCTTCGGTGTTTACACCGAGATCACCAACCTCATGAAGATCCCTCTCATCAAAGCAGCACTGCCAAAGTCAACCGACAAGCGTGGCCTAGGGCGCGTGATGGGCTTTGCCGGGGACATGGTGCAGGAACGGTTTGGTCAGGACGCCGTCGTACGACAGGACGTGCTAGGTGCTTTCGTCAACCGTGGTCTCACGCAAGGCGAGCTAGAGAGCGAGACACTTACGCAGATCACGGCTGGTTCAGACAGCACTGCTTCGGCGCTGCGGATGACTTTGCACTTTATCAGCACCTCACCTCCGATACAAGATCGGTTGCTTGCTAAAGTCAGAGCCGAGATCGAAGCTGGTAGGATCAGCAGACCCATCATCAAGGATTTCGAGGCGCGTCAGTTGCCCTACCTTCAAGCTTGCATCAAGGAGGGTCTGCGCATGTACCCTCCAGTAACGGGCCTGATGGCAAAGATGGCGCCTGAAGGCGGCGCCGAGATCGAGGTTGACGGCGTTGAGAAGTTCGCTCCTGGCGGCACGCAGGTTGGCTGGAACAGCTGGGGCATGATGCACGATCCTGCAGTCTTCGGCGCTGATGCCGACATCTTCCGGCCTGAGCGGTGGCTGCTGTCAAGGAACAGCAGCGATCAGGAGTGCGACCGCGTCAATCGTATGAACGAAACTGCGACGCTGTGCTTCGGCTACGGCAGGTTCGGCTGTCTTGGTCGTGGTGTCGCGACCATGGAGCTGAACAAGGCTGTCATTGAGGTATGTGCGCTGTCAGTGTCAGTAGGTTATCACGAGTCGTGGTGTGCTAATGTCATGTCATGTCGAGACGCTGCTGCGGTTCAATCTCCAACCATGCAGCCTCGCGAAGCCCTTCAATGAGAAGATCGTGGGTTTCAATATTCACACCGACATGTACTTCGTCGCTACCGAGCGCAAGCACTTTACGAAGGCGGACTTTGCGACTCTCAATGGTGGCAACATCGACGCTGGTGCTATCGCCGGCGCGTACGAGGCATGAAGAGATCGGGCATTCCCCGCCGTAGATGTACTTGCCAGAGGATGGCAGTCATACCTCATAGCTGGTAGTCGGAGCTTTGCGGCCGGTATGTGGAGTCTCTCCTGGCTCCATCTGTTCATTCAATTGGGACTTTGTTTACAGACATGGCGTCAGCGACTATAGCAAGCATAGCGTTCTATTTCCAGTGGCACGACTGTCACTAATAGCACTGGAATTCGATCACTGGGCAACTGCAGCCATGGCCCATTCTTCTGGCGTGTGACTTATACCAGAGTGTAAGCTCTGTGGCATGGACGTACGCAGCCTCTCCCCAAGCACGCAAATTTCTCCTTCCATGTCTGTGTGTTTCATTGCTCCCTACGGTCAGTCCGGATTAGTCCACACATGCGCACTTATGGTACGAGCATGAGTCAAACATCATACACCAGAAGACTCCTGAGAGGAACGATGCCTGTCTTTGCACCACGATGTTGCTGATCGTCCTGACAAGCAGCAAGCCAATGCAGTCAACGGTGGAAAGAACAAGGTATTAGATCGGAATCGGCTTTAACACAGCGCTCCCATACGGTGACGCAAGTGACTACCTGCCACCGACTTGTTCCTTGGGAATGTTGCTGACTTTGAAGGGGCTGTAATGGCGAATGGCCCGGGCCCGGATTACCGTCACTGACTCTCGGGCCCCGGCCGACGCCCACTACATAACAGGCAGACCGACGCAGTGCTTCATTGAGGGTGGTGCACATGATGGTTATCAGATATTCGATAATTCACGAGAATACCTTTGCGCATCTCTATGGCGATGACGAGACATCTTGGTTGGCAGTACACATCGTAATCAGTCTCACTGTCATCGTCGGCGCCTTCATCCACGTATCGCTAGCAATATTCCAACTACCCCGGACCCGTACACACCATTACCACTATAATATCATAGCACCATAATTCGTCAGGGTGGCTCCATAGTATGTCCTTATTATCGGGGGTAACTGCGGCTCGACCCTCATTGGGCAACTGCTGCCGTTGGCGATGTTCCGCGTCTGCGGCTGTGATGGGAGCCTTGGGCGTCACACTGCCGAGATGGTCGCCACCTTCGCGTACCCTGCCGGCGCAAGATCGCCTTCTTCTACGTGGGGAACCTCAACAGCAGCCGGTTTCTCACCGTCTTCATCCGTTACGACTGGATCAAGCTCGGCAACCTTGTGCGCCTCGTCGAGTAGAAGTCGCCGCAGGATCTGGTATGGTACGCCGGCTTGGAATCTCCCCCGGCTTAATGGCAAGGGGATTACGCGCTACTCGGCCCCGCAAGCGATGGGAAGAGCTGGCCGAGGCTGTTTAGTGCTACTAGCAAAGAGCTCGGTGATGAAGAAACGGTATCTAAAGTTCACCCGCGCGCGGAAGAACACGCGGAATAATGGTAAGCCGGTTTGCAATGAGTTTGGTATTACAACATCCACATGCATTACTAGAGTCCAAGACTACCGAGTCTCTACAGTCCTCCTACACTCAACTTCCAGCCTCCTTGAAGCTGTCTGCCGGTACATCGGTGTGCCCGTGCCCATATCATTCCTATGGGGAATTTCGAAGGCAATTGCGTAAACATGCTCGAAAACCGTCCTGAGACCAGACTCTGACTTCCATCAGGCGCGCGGACCCCATTATCACCCCCGGGGATGGAATGTTCCAACGAGGCAACGTACGGATCCCACATTATTTCTTCCATTGCATCATTCCTTTCGTGGGTATATGGCATGCATTTCGCTTGCAGGTCCGATGACAGAGCTCTTGAAGACGTATATGTCGAGACTGTGCACCTCACTCCACGCCGTGCCCCATGATGTATGATATAACTGCACAACTATAGGATCAAATTTGAGTTTCCATCTATAAGTACATGTACTAAAATGTATAACAAGAAGAAGAACAGCTGGCGGGGTGTTCGAATGATTAGAAAATATTTACCGTGTCCTTAACGTACTACATGGTATACCCGATGCCCAAGCCCGGAGCCCCATTCAAGTTAAGTGAGTTGCAGTCCCACGGAGTCTGCGATCAACTCTCCGAGTGAGGTTAGAGCGACGTCACTATATACTACCAACACGTGTTTACCGCAGAGTCAGAGACAGATGAGGGCATGAAGCCAAACAGGCTGTGTGATAAAACATTTGTAGGCATGTAGTTGCTTGTGGCTGGCGATTAGATTTCGCCATGGCCAAGTACACGTCACTGAGTACATACACGCAACGTTATTCACTCTCATCATAAACAAGTATTGATCTCTCTAGTCAATGGATTCCATAGTTGTGACTGTATTCAAACTACTGAATGCTCTCAACGCCCGCTTGACATGCTGGATGACTATAGAACCGCATCCTATACCTCCACTCGCCTCAAGTCTTCCGCAAAAATCCAATAGAGTCCAGCTGCTTAGCCTCGCCAACACTCAGCGATATGTCTTTCAGCTCTTCGAGTTCTTTCTTGATGTTATCGATGTCCATGTTGATCATACCCCAAGCGTCCGCACCCAGGGGAACTCGAATCGGGATCTTCTGCCCACGGCTCACCAGCTTATGAATGGCTGCCGCAATGGCGGTAGGCTCCGCCCACATCTCGCAGTTCTTGGGGTCCATCATGTATGCCGTCAAAGCATTGGCAGGATAATGCGGCTGGTCGTAGGCCGGATGACTTTTCGCCATGCGCTTCAGAGACGAGGTCGCGTAGTTTGTCTTCACGCCGCCAGGCTCGATGTTGCAGAGATGGACTGCGTGGTTATGCGTATTAGCGATCAACACCCTTTCAAACCACTCCGTATCAGGTGCAAAACGGGATGAAGAGGTGGCAGCTTACTGTTCCACTCAACCGGTAGCTCCTTTGCAACGGCTTCCGTCCATCCTTCCATGGCAAACTTGCTCGCATGGTAGAACGAGCTCCCTGGGTACCCGGACCACCCCCCCATGGAACTTATGTTCAGAATCACGCCACCCTGCTGACCACCGGCCTTGGGGTTGTCATCCCGCATGATTCCCAGTGCCCTCTTCGACACACCCACCATGCCCCAGAAGTTCGTGTCCATCAGGGCGCGGCTCTCCTCGTCGCCGGCAGCCTCGGTGTCACCCACAAGCGTATAGCCTGCGTTGTTGACTACCACGTCGATGCGGCCGAATCGTGCCAGTGCGGCGCCTAGCGCTGCATCGATCGAGGGGAGTGACTTCACGTCCAGAGCGAGCTTGAGCACGTTGGTGGCGTCCGGGATCGCTGATAGAGATGCTGGATCGCGAGCTGTCGCCACTATGCGATTCGAGGACTGGGCGATCAGTTGTGCCAGGGACTGGCCGATGCCTGATGAGCATCCGGTGACTGGATGGGTGGAGTTAGGTTCTGCAAATTGGCTCGGCCAGACCAGACAGGGGACTCACTGAACCAGACTGCATCGGTTGGCAGATGATATGGCTTTGTGTTTGATGCATCCATTGCGACGAGTTGTGTTCGAAACTCTTGAGTGTAGGTAGCTAAGGACTGATGAGGAGGCGTACTGTCCTAGAATGACTTCGCTGTATCATAAGTACTGGTAAAGGCGGATTCGGCTGCTCTTATAAGGGATTTCGACATTCATATCCAGGAGCTTGCTGGCGTCGGCCGAAACAAAGGTCCACGCGCAAATCTCATATCGAGTATGCAGTGTCATGGTGACACGGCTCTATGCCTCCTTATCTCCCTGGGCGGCATTAAATCCGTGTAAGTCCGTGGCGAGTCGAAGTATCTGCCTAATCTAGGGCGTGAGGCTGACACAGATGTACTTTACCAACGTCCAGGAGGGCAGTGATAAGCTATTGACGTGGTTCGGTCATCTACTGCCACTTGTCAACACCAGACTGAAGGAAGCTCGTGCGAAAGGCCCACCCAAGATCGTGCTCCTGCCGGACTGGGTTGCTCAGCTGGAAGAGCACGGCGCAACGAACGACAATCCGGCATTTTGATTGCTAGACTTTTACGAAAAGCTGGCATCTTCAGATCCTCACTCCGGTCTTGGGGCGAATGTTCACATGCGGAAGGCTACGGCGGCAAGTGCAACCTTCCGGAGCCTGGCCGTCAAGCCGGTGCAGGAAGACGTTGTTTCTAGTTTGTGGTTCGAATGTTTCAAGAGTTGCAGGTGCTGAAACCCACTAGAGCCGTGACCGCACCCGAAGCGTGCTTTGTACTTGATCTGCTCAGCGTTGGCCTTCATCGATGAAAGCCGAGAGCTCTGTAACGCGGTCGTTCTGAAGGCCGCGGCCCACGATCGATTGATGGTCCGCAAGATGCCAGAAGTTCAGTACCCATCAGGGCTGATGGGTGACGGCGCCCGATATAGCGATCCCGGCACTGGTATTGGCGGAGGCCCGTTGTTAGCCAACGATGCCATAGTACGCCGAGTGACATGACAGTATTTCTCAGGAGAGTATGGTCGGTGATTTTCATCCAAGGCCATCCGGTTGCCACTTCTTACAAGCGCCTCAGCCCGAGCGATTACGTCTGCCAGGTCGAAAGGTTTCGTCTACAGCATGTGTCAGTAAGTCTAGATAGTCGGTAACGCATCAACATCAGCATCAACTCACAATCTGTTGGATTCTGGGCTATGTTAGCCCATCCATAGTCATCCTTCAGGATCACCATCCCCATTCGTGACTCTGTCACATACATGGCCAATATAAGGCCACGTATCCTCTCCTTTAGTATCTTGGATATATATAGGGCCACTCTGGCCGCTCCAGAGTAGCTGGAATTCCTCTCCTTAATAGAACACTTTGAAATCTCACACAATCATGGAATCCATGCCAGCTTCTACGGCATAGTCCAATTGCTGCTGCCGCGCATTGGCTGTGATACCTGTTATTGGTACGTGGCGTACAAATTCGGCTGCTTCTTCAAGCTCCCTGACACGGCGTGCGAAGGATGGTCCATCGAGTATGGGCATCTGAGCAGCGCTGGTCAGTAAGCAGAAAAGATGGTCTTGGGGTTTCATGACTCACTTCGCAATCCGTCAAGACTATTGAAATGGGGTTTGCGCTGGAGTCATTGCCTTTTAGTAAAAACTGTCGTCATCAAATCGTCGAGAGCTTCTTGGCCGTCATTTGCTACTCGTACAGTTTTGGCGCCAGTCTGTTGTAGTACCTTCTGGTTCACCAAGTTGTCTTCGACCACTGGGATACATGTCAGCACGAAAGCTCTAAGTATGACTTGCTGCAGCGGATCCAGCTTGCCTAAGATGTGGAAGATCGTGCATGTTGAACTGGCAACTTTGCGGGCAGGAGATGGAGGCGGTTGTGCCGGTCTGCTCGACAATGAGACCTCCACCTTGCCGCCATCAACATTCTGTCGCGGGACGAGCTTCTCGATCAAACGAGCCTTGAAATAGAACGCGAAAGTGCTTCCGATGCCGGGCTCACCTCTCACGCCGACTTGGCCATCGTGAAGCTCCACGAATTCTCGGCAGATAAACAATCCCAAGCCGCTGCCACCGTAGGTCTCATGTGTCTTGGGGTTGGCCTGCGAGAACCGCTCAAACAACCGTTCTCGTTCCTCGCTTGTGAACCCACATCCGGTATCTTCTATTCTCCAGTGGATGTAGATCTCATCACCGACCGTGTTGACCAGCTGAGGATCGATCCTGACGTTGCGCCCCGCGCGACGAGGTACGAGATCCACGCCGAGGTCGTCTGCAGTAGGGCGATGGCGTGTGGCGCCTACCACCACATTGACCATCCGACCATGCTCGGACTCCCTGGTGAATTTGAGTGCGTTCGAGAGAAAGTTCACCAGACCTTAGCCCATCCTCTTGAAATCGAACAAGACTGTGTCGACGTTCAGATCCGTGTAGCATGGCAACACTTTCACGGAGCTTTTGACGCCTGCCGCTGTGAAGCCTGCGCTCATGATCATCAGGTTGTGCTCCGCGGAGCTTATTGGCGACGATTCTTGTAGGACTAGTGAAACAAGGTTCGAGTCAAGCCTGGAAAGCTCCAGGACGCCAGTGACGATGTTCTTCTGGTGATCTATGCATAGAGCTATAGTTTGAGCCGCATCTTGAATTGTGGCCAGGTCATCGGTGGAAAGCGCAACGGAGGCAAGTGGTTCATCAGGTGGCAAATGTCTCAATATGCTCTCAACGAGTAAGTGCATACTCGAAAGAGGATTCCTGATTTCATGGGATATCCTGGAGAGTAATCAGTCTCTACGAGTCGTAAGCCAGCGTTTATGAGCCAATACTTACATGTCCAGGAATCTCTCTGCAGCTCTTTTGTTCTCCAAGGCTTCCTGCAGACGTTCGTCCTTGACAAACTCAACGACTTTGCGACTAGAGACATCAGTCACCCATCCTTGGACTGAGACAACATCACCATTCGGGGCTGTCTCAGCAAAAGCCATGCCTTCAATCCAGCGAGGCTTGGTGTCCTGCGGCGATCTTATTTGATAGAGGTAGTCCACATAAGGTGCGCCATTATACAGTGAGTCAAAAAGTGCCTGAGAGTGTTTCCGATCGTCGTCAGATAACAGCAGATCGGGTCGCACAAAGCCAGAGTGCATCTCGTTCTTGAAGTCGGCGACGGTGGTATAGTAGAGCTTGTGACAAGCGTCGTTGGCATAAGTTGGACGTCTTTGCCAGTCAAATACATACATACCAGCGGGTGCGTGCCCACCCAGGCGTTTCAGTGTCATGGTTCTTCTCCGCTTTGACTCGCTTAAGCCGGAGCTCATCCAGCAGAGCCAGATTGGCCTGCTGACCTTCCGTCGCTCTTCAGGGAGGCGAAACATGGCGGCAGAACGCACGAAGAGATCACGCAACGAGGTGACGAAAAGACGATTTCCGTCAACGGGTCTCCTTGGGTTCATTCCCAGGACGACGTACGCGAGCATGGCGCCGAGAGTGCTTGTCACCGGTACGACGTATGCCGGAAAGACGACGCCGCGCCCTGTCTCGATCGCAAGTTCCAGGGAGAGTATCGTGCCTGGACTCCAAGAGGACATTCTCATCGCGACACCGTTTAAAGGCTATTTGGAGCTTTTCTGGTGCGCATGGGGCAAACTGTTTAGACTCGATACCTCGCGCCGAATGAAGGACATAAGTAGGAGCCTCAGGCGTCATGGGCGGTGAATTGGGCCAGCTGTTGTCTATTGAATGATACGAGACTGTGTAGAGAAGGGCGTAACAAACGTCATCTGAATCTTCGTCCAGAGATTCCACGATCGTTGTATAAAGCTTGTCAAGCGTCTGGACGTCTGATGACGTGATACGTGCTACCACCTTTTCCCTATTCCTGGAAAAGACCTACGCGGTCGTGTCGGCGTATTCGAAGAGGAAAGAAGAGCAATGTCCGGAAGCATCCGGAACAGGGGTGAAAGTGAAATCGTGGAAGCTCTCCTCCGTCCACGTTGCCCCTGTTGTTGCATTCGCGGCGTTGCTGAGAAGTGGTACATCTCTCATAATCGATGCCATTCCGGTTTTGATGGTATGCCGTATCTGGCCGTAGTGGTGATCGTGCAGGCCCTGGCCCCAGTTGGCGATGGGATTATCAAGCGCTTTCGAAGAGTCAGAGAGCGTATGGCGACGCGGAAACTTCAGGAAGGAGATTGGGAGGCCTACCCTTAGGATGCATGGCGCCTAGACGAGGAACGCAAGCAGCATTATACATCATGTTGAACTCGGTTCCCCAGAAAATCCATCGCGGCTCCGGGTTGGCCATAATGCCAATCACATGGGCGCGCAGGTCCATGTCAGTCCAGGTTGTCGGATGGCCCATCTTGGTGTTGTTCCAATCATGCTCGTCCAGCAGGTATGTGACCCAGGGATCTCGAGCGAGCATAGGGTATAGTGTCCAATCGACTGGAAAGCAAGTGATGGGCCGCTGCGGAAGCGTCAAATCATCATCGTCTCCCATCTCCAGATTGACCGAAACCGCGCTGTTATCCTGTGCCCTGTGTGCTGAGGTGATCCAGTCCTTCTGCGTGCAATACACCACCGTCCAACCGCAACTCAGACTCTTTCCCGTCCAGTTTCTGCTTCCGAAGACGCCTGCTAACATGGCGTTCGAAGCTGGCGTCGCCGTCAACCCTATGACAGTCGGGAGCCATGATTCGAAGGCTGAAGACGCACCCACGGCCATAGTGTCGACGAAGGTCTGGAAGGCATCGTTTCGAAAGATGACGCGAGGCGCGGCCGCAGGAGTCTGGTGATCGGCAGTTAACGGGACTGTGGACAACCATGATTGGAGTTGGAGCGCAGGCTGCTCGAAACGTAGGCAGGTCGTCGGTAGAAGTCAAGTCGAGTACAAGGCTCGTCCTGTCATCGGTCATGGTTCCCTACGGATCATTGGTATTGTGCGGACGGACATGGTGCGCAAAGTTGGAAGACCGAACTTGATGGCAATGCATACTGGAGGTGTACGACGTCGCAGCTTGGAAGTTGGCCCTGCCATGTCGGTCGCAGTGTCGCACGCCACGCCACTCTCTATACTAGAAGATCCTCCTCGGACTTTCATGCCGGCAAGTGTCCATTGATGATTGATGATTGATTGTATTTATCGTGGGTACAGTCCCTCAACAGGGCAAACCACGCCTCCCAGAGCCATTGCATCGCAAGGTTGTAGAGGTGTCAGTCTAGATACATTCAGATCCGCGCACGAGCCTATCCTCGCTGTAGCGGTACCAATCTGGAATGTCCAGATAATTTTAGTCAATACCCAAGCACGATTCTGTCAGAAAAACCTCCTGTCCAGTGACAAAGCGACCCAGTGAATCTCAGTCCTCTGGTGTACACATCGTTCCAGTAGCCGTTCCTGGTTGTCGACTCGCACAAGCCGGGTCAGAAGGGGGCCATAGCAGGATTCGAACCCACTTGTTCTCGTCGCCCACCGCACAAACGAGAACACAACCAGGCGCATTTGACCATTGCGCCATACGGCCGCCGGCAAGTATCCAGTCTAGAAGAAGTAGCGCCGAGTCCAGACTTTGCTACGGCCGACCCGTTGGTACGAGTCATACGAGACCGCCGCTGCCGGCACGTGATGTGTTTCCGTCTTTCTGTGTCTCCGTCTGGTCGTCGGCGAGACGGTAGATGTCGGGCACCGACCGTGTCACTGCATAATTAGTATGAAGCTGGGTACCAAGCACTTCGGGCCTCCGGCATGAACTTTACGAACCAGATGATGCAGTCCTTCTCACCGTCGCCCGACATCATCGGTATGCTATCCTCTGGCAGCGTACATCGACAAATCTGGCTCGAGAGCTTCTCAATGGCCGCCGTTCGTTTGATGGTCCACGTGAATCCTCTAGAAGGCAGTTACCCCGGGCGGTGGAGGCGCGTCAACCTTTTACGCTACCCCCTGACCCACAGTTATGCGGGAGGCTCCGAATAGGGGTCCCCGATAGGAGTAGTGGTGTTTTGTTTCTGCAGTCAAAACAGCGTCGCTACGTTAAGGTAGAGCGTACATCTGGCTGGAATGTGGCTACTTGCTCGCGAATATCGTACACTATCCCGATGTAGGGTATGTGTTACATTTGCACTTGTGCAGTTTTCGGCAGTCAGCCACCGGCAGTACCACCTGTACACCTGCGCGCCGGATAAATTCCATGCTGCGTCGACTTTGGCTTAGAACACATCAGCCAATTTCAGAGATGCGAAAAGGGTGTCGATGTCGATGCGCCTCGCTGACATTCTCAGACTGTCGAAGACTGATAGTGTTGCAGGCAAAATCAAGGCAACTCTCATGGAGAAGGAGAAACATTCTGGTCGGTGATGAGGGTTATTGTGATACACAGAGAAGTGCTTCTCCAATAAAAACCTGCGTTGATATTGGTCAGCGCTATTTCCCGTTAAGGTAGAACGATACCAGTATCTCGGGGTTTGTATACAGAGGCAATTCGTCCCCTTCACTATCCCATACCAACTCTTCATTTCTGCACCTGGATCTCGCTTTCTTCAAAGAGACTAACCGACTCACTTATCATTTCATATTCACCCCAGCTGTACATCCAAGTGCAAACATGCCCAACTTCCAGATCCAGGACTGCAGCGAAGCTGACATACCCCGCTTCACCGAGATCGTGTCGGACGCATTCGCCCACGACCACGAATATGTCGACGCCGTATTCTACAAGCACGACACTACCGAGGGGCGCAAGAACAGTGCTGAGATTCTACTCAACATGTACTGTCACGATCCCAACGGCCATTTCCTAAAGGTCGTCGACACCGACTCTGGAAAGATGGTCGGCGCGGCAAAGTGGAACATCTACAAGGCCGGCGAGGTGCCTGCGCAAATTGAGCTGGCCGGTGATTTCTGGCCTAACGAAGAGGAGGCAGAATTCGCCAAGGCCATCTTCCATGCGTTCTTCGCACCGAGACAGAAGGTCTTGAAGGAGAACGATGGTCGCCTTGTTGGTACGTCATAATTAGGTATCCTTCGCTTCAGCGCGTATGCTTGCTGACATGCACAGCGCTAGAGATGCTCATGGTCGACCCGGCTCATCACGGCCAAGGTGTTGGTAGAATGTTGGTCAAATGGGGTACCGCGCACGCCGATAGATTGGGCGTCGAGGCAAGCTCCCACTTCTTGCTACACAGAGACCTGGATCTGACCGAATTAGACTTTTGTCGAAGGCTCGGAGAGAGGCCAAAGACTGTATCTGTCCGAGGGTTTCGATGGCCCGTACTATATCGTGCCAGTGCCCGAGAAGTTTGCGGCACGGCGCAAGCAGGTGTACTACGCGATGAGGCGCCCGGTGCAGACGAAGGGCACGGAGTCCGCTGCCGAGACTTGAGGAGAATGACACAACAATCAAGGTGCAGCTACCCATCAAATCATAGACCCCTCGACCAAACATAGAGCTGGTACGAGCTGACTTAGGGTGAGGCTTATTTTAAGCCCCGGGGGCACGCCCTATGTCTTGAGTTTACGGAATGGCAAAGCTCCACAGTTCCGAGATTGGGCTGCCCCCTGAATACTGGAGGCTGACAAGGAGGCGAGATCAAGGGATTTGGCTAAACGTGACGGCGGACTTCAGAAGGGCGTACTTGTTCCACAGTTCGGCTAGGGTATATAAATGGGGCTATGCAAAGTAGATATTTTCGACCTTGGTTCGTAGCACTCGAGCCCTCCTGTCTACATACAAATTGGATGTTTCTCTCATGTAGGGTTTGTCAGAGCCTTGTCTTGTGGTGGCCGTAGTTCAGCGACCGGCTGGTGTGGTTCGGCATCTGACAGATGGCGCCACTCTCAGTGTCACGATTGCAGTGGGATGCAGCCATTGGGGCTGTGCCTCACCGAAATATCCTGGCTCCCCAGCCAGCCAACGAAGAACATGTACAACAATTTCCCTCTTCCATGCAGATCACACAGAGTGTTAAGAGGGCGTCTGACAGGCAACCGGGTGGTGGTTGCCTAAAAGTCAGGTTCATGTTGCACTTCCAACGTGAGGTCCTCGTCTGACTTCTCGTGTAGCCCGTAGGGGTGACTGGTGGTATAAAGACCCATGATTGTCATTGCATTGACAGAGGTAGGAGGATATCAACATCAGCAGGGTATCACGACGGAAATTTGCCATCAACAGCATGGCCTTAATCGGAAGACTGCGAGTGCTTCGATTACCAAGTATACGCAGTCAGAGTCGAAAACCATTACATTCTCAAGAACTACCGTTGGAGAGCGTCGACGAATGGGCGCTCTACGAATATCTCAGAATCACACGCGGCTCTCCTGCAGAACTGTTGCGAGGCGGACATAGACGTGGTCCTGATTCAAGAACCGTGGGTCAGTGTAGATGGGAAATGCCGCTACAGCTCCCACCCCCAATACGACGCATACGTTCCGATAGACCATTAGGAGGGTACATCGGACAGGCCAAGAGTTCTGTCATACATACAAAAGACGCCGGACTCGAGACACAACAAAGCAGGCCAGCCCCGTCCAGAGACATCATCTGGCTCACAATAAACGGAGTCACACTTGTGAACTTCTACTGCCAAGGAGAGGAAGCACTAGACCTGTTGCTTGCCTGGCCACCTCCTGCCCACTGCGTAGTAACAGGAGATTTTAACGTAAACGACCCCTCTTAGGAACCAGGAATACCAAGAAGAACCCGAGGCGGGGAAATTACACAATGGGTAACAGAAAACCAGCTCTTGTATATTAGGGAACTGGGCGACCCTACACACGACGATGGGCACGTCCTCGACCTGACCTTCTCGAACATCCCCTTTGCAACCGCAGTAGTCAACTACGCTATACACGCAGCCGCAGACAACTGGCCACTACAGATCATGATCCCATCTAAAGAGAGACAAAGAGTGGCTCAATAGAGATACACAGTATCAGATGACAAACTACCAGACTTCTGTGAGATAATACGTATGGGAACCCCACTACCAAGCCTCAGCTCGAACCCCACAACAGAAAAACTCGACAAAGCTACCTCTGCTATTATAAACCTCATCATGCTGGCCCTCGAAACCGTTGGCAACAAGCCAAGCAACAAGAGACGAAACGCTCCTTAATGGGACGATGAGTATAGGAAAGCAAAAAGGACGTACAAGCTGGCAACGAAGCAATTCAGAATAAACACCCCTACGGAAAAGAAACGCGCGTATCGGGCGGTAGTACGACAGGCAAAAAGAGAATACTGGAAAGCCCATATCAAAGGCATACAGAAAGACTCAGACCTCTTCAAGATAATTAACTGGCATAAGCTAGGTCTGGACATAAAATCACCACCACTAAAAGTCAGCAACTTGACAGTAGAGGACACTACTGAAAAGGCATATGCCCTCAAGCCGGCCTTACTAGACAGGCACTCAGCCGAAGACGACCTCGTACACGACCTGTTAGAGATTCCCACCGCCCCCCGCACTGCATTGGAATGGGACTCTGTAATATCGCCAACTGAACTTGCTAAAATGGTTCTCATGGAAAACACAGCCCCCGGAATAGACTCTCTCTCAACACGGCTCCTCAAAGCGGCATATATCCACCTAGCAGAGCCGATTTGGCTTCTATTTCAAGCCTGCCTTAAAACAGGGCACCATCCCACCCCGTTCAAATCAGCAGAGGTAGTCATGCTCAAGAAGCCGGGGAAAAAGGACTATACCACCGCGAAATCATACAGGCCGATTGCTCTGTTATTATGCCTTGGAAAGGGCCTTAAAAGGCTAGTTGCGAAACGGATAGCAATAACAGCCCTACTAAGAGGGGTGACCAGCCCAAACCAAATTAGGGCGCTCCCTAAGCGCTCTGCGGTCGACCTTACTGCAGCAGTCACACACAACATTAAGTTAGCCCTGGAATCCGGGCAAAAAGCCCTTCTTGTCACCCTAGATGTACAAGGGGCGTTCAATGCAGTACTTCGTCGGAGATTGATCCTCAGGCTCTGCCAGCAGGGCTGGGCACCAGCCCTTATAAAATGGATAGATTCCTTCTTATCGGACAGAACTGCTCGGGTTAGACTGGAAGGCGTTACTACTAAGGTATTCAGACTGAGCTGTGGGCTCCCACAAGGATCACCAGCTTCCCTGATCCTCTTCCTGCTGTATATTGCAGATATCTTCTTAGAGGATAAGCATAACAGATTCAGATATGTAGACGACGTCGGCATCCGAATAACGGGCAAAACCACTACCGAGCTAGCAGCCAAGGCAGCTAGCATGGTAGACAATATTCTACGCTGGGGCCTAGACAACAAGGTCACCTTTGAAGACTCCAAGGTTGAAGCCATCTATTTTGATACTGGGAGGAGACCTCGGAGACCTCTCACACCAGAAATAGTCACCCCCGGAGGCTTCACCATCAAACCAGCGCAGCCAGTGAAAGGGGCGGTGGTCTGCTGGCTGGGGATTTTCTTCAACAGGTCCCTGAAGTTCCAGGAGCATGTCAAAAGACGGGCAGCCAAGGGCCTTGTTGTGGCTAGACATATTTGAGGTCTGGGCAGCCGGGGATTATAAGAGAGCAAGAAACGGTCAGGCCCGGGACGTGAGCACCCGCCAGAACGGCCACTCGGGCAATCTCGAAAGAGTCCTTACAGAGGCCATCAGAGGGATTCTCACGGTCTGGAGAACTATACCAAAAAAGGTACTCTTCAAAGAATCAGGCCTACCAACGGTACAAACCATACTCAGCAAGATCCGGATGCGGTTCAGCCTGAGAATCAGAGCTATGGATAACATGCATCCATTAGTCCGATGTGTTACAGCCCGGAACCCTACCATGAGCAGAGGCCTGAGGGGTCTAGTTAGGATAACCGCAAAGACACGGCTCCAAAGGACGTATGAACTCACACCGGATTTTCTAAGACCAATCCTAACAGAACCAAGATATACAACGAACGCTGGTAAAGCTGTTATAACAAGAAACAAAGCCAAAAAAGCCAAAGTCTTTACAGACTGGCTAAAATCGCTTCCGCCTTCATACATAGTTGCCTATTCTGATGGCTCGAAATCCCTGAAGGGGGCGGTGGGCTATAGATACGTGATCTATAGAGGCCGGACAAACGTAGCCTCGGGCTGTGGCAAACTGGGCCACCCAGCTGAGGTCTTTGACAATGAGATCAAAGGGGCCCGCCACGTACTCAGACAGGCCCTAAGGCTCAGCAGCAGCGCCACCATCTGTTGAATGGGAGCCGGAAATAGACACCGGAAGATCTCCAGTGGGGCAGAGATGCACAGGGCATCTGACCCACCAAGACAGATGATCAATCTCTATACGCTGAAGAAGCAGAGAAGGACAAGCACAATAACAGAACACACTTGATAACCTGAATAATCTGAACTCGCTTGCATCTGACAATTAAGAGTCTCATTTGCTCTGAAAGGAGAACACCTACAAAAGATCAAGCGATTTTTAGATCTATATATCACCAAAATGACGACACCAAACAACAATCACACTATCTTCTCTCGCCCTGAAGACTGGGAACGATTCAATGCCGAATTCCAGACCAAAGCCGTAGCCTTTGACCTCTTGGATTACATCAATCCAGAAGACAAGGTTGCTTGGCCGACACAGCCAGAAGAACCCTCATACGCCAATTACCCAAAGAAGCTCGGCTGAGGAACGAGAACATCAAGCTCGATAACCGTCGGTGGAGAAAAAGAATCGGTCGACCCGAATAGAACGCCAACAAATACCATGGAAATGACACAGATTAGGAGCTCGGCATATATCCAGGATTGGAATCATTACACCCACAAGAGCAGGGAATACACAGAACATCGGAAGAACGTCAAATCCATGACTGATTGGATGCTGAATACCGTTCAACAACCATACCAAGCAACAATTTGCAAGGCCACAAAAAAGATCGACCAGTGGTATAAGGATCTCCAGGACATTGGGGATGTATATACATCCCGCCAGAAGCTGGAGGCTCGAAACCGATACCAACGGGCGACGACACATCTCACAAAGATGCCAAAAGACCTGGGTGTATGGATATCGCAATGGGAAACTGCTGTTGCGTATGCTATTGAAAAGGGGGTGCCAGAAGCTATCGATTCAAATTCAGTGGCCATAGATCTGATAGATGCATTATCGTCAGTAATGGGCGACTGGACGACAAGCTTCAGAATGGGGCACAAGAAGGAAATTGACGACGGCTCTATCAGCTACATACAGATGGCAGGGTTTCTGCGAGAATACGCCAAAGACCATCACTGAGCAACAGTACCACGGATCGCCAAGGGCGCATTCGCAGCTACCTACGGATATGACGAAGATTTGTCAATAGAAGACACAAAAGAGCTTGATTCCGCCACTTCTGATCCATTGCCCCCAATAGACAAAACGAAGGGTCAAAAAGGAAACCAGGAGAGACCACGTGGACGCGGGACGAGAGGAGTTCAAACAGGCTCCAAGCGAAGACAAGCCGACACAGAAACGAATCCAGATGGGCCTACCTGCAAGGCGTGCCTAGGATTTCACGACATAACCCAGTGTTATTATGTTATTGACAGGAAGGCACCAGAACATTGGCATCCAAACAAAGGATACCGGAAAGTTATCAACCAGCGAATCAAGGAAGATATTGCCCTCGAAGAACTGATCAAGGGAACTAACCGGAAGCCAACACCCGTCAAGCCCGAATGACTAGTGCGGACAATGGGTCAGACAAAGGCCGCCTTCCTTACAGCCGGCGCTGCCGCGTTCAGTACTACCACATATCTATTGAGGAACTCAGCAATCCTGGATTCTGGGACCACCTTACACATATTCAACATGATCAGCAGGTTTTTAAACTTCCGGTCGGCGATTCAGGGTGACGCAGTATTTGTAGGAGACATAGTAGTCCCTATCCTAGGCTACGGAGATATTGATATATGCGTTACTGGCCCTTCTGGGTCAAGAATTATGCGCTTACATAATATGGCATTCTGCGAAGGCTTTGCATGCAACCTGGTATCACTCCGACTTCTCAAGCGCTAGGGGTACTAATGGGACAATAAAGGAAGCAATAACTATCTTCAGAGGAAGAATAATTCGATCCTCTACGAGCTGACGGATCGGCATGAGCAATACGTGATTGAATATTTGCCTGAGTCTTTGACAAGACGTGCATTCTTTATCCGAAGGAAGAAATACAACTCATGGACCGAGAGGGCGCCTTGCACTGCCGATAGCCGCCGATGGCACCTCAGATTAAGTCACCCAGGGCCAGATGCTTTGATCACTTTGTAGGCCACTTTTGGGGGGTGAAGATCAAGGACTTAAAGCCTAGAGATTCAGCAGAAGAACGTATCACAACCGTGAAATGTGACGCATGCGCCTGCGGGAAGGCTAAGAAGCAAAGGAGACGTACACGGCGGGATAGACCTGGAAAGCCCGGAATCCGCCTAGCAATCGATTTCCACGACCTCGACAGAGATAGCAACGGACTGAACAGCATCATGCTTGTTACTGACAGATGGTCTGGATATATTTGAGACTTTTATCTGAGCGACCGAAAGACGGATACACTTATAACAACTTTTAAGTTGCTATTCGGGATTTTGGAGCACCAGAATCAGGTCAAGCCGTAGGTGATAGAATGCGGCAACGAGCTCACGACCCAGAAGCCTCATGTGTATCAGTTTCTCACCATGACCAAGAAGATAAAGGTGGAACCCTCAGCGCCTAACACACAAGACCAGAATGAAGGCACCGAGCGCTTTGGGGGTGTGATTAAGGACAAGGCCCGTTCGATACGAAATGGAGCCAAGTTGCCAGCATATCTGTGGGTTGAGATCTTCTGAACAGTGGTATATCTATACAATCGTACCCCTAAGTACATCTATAACTGGATGACTCTTTATGAACGTTTCTATACTTACCTGGGATACAGAGATGGACTTGTAGGAGACCAAAAGCCCAAGCAGGGACACCTCCGAGTATTTGGATACAAAGCATTTGCTTTGACAAGCGATGCGCAGCTGAAGATGCAACGGAAGAAGCGGCTTAATCCAAAGGCTTGGATCGGCTACCTTGTCGGTTACAATTCGACAAATATCTACCAAATATGGAATCCCTTAACCAAAAAGGTGATAGCCACTCGAGACGTCATCTTTGACGAAGATCAAATGTTCAGCGGAGACCTCCAAGATTTGAAGGATGACCTCCTTCACGTATCTGAAGAAGAGGTAGTCAAGCTACTACATGACGTGGAAGTACCTGGTGCTTCCAGTCTTGAAACTGGTCCCGCTATCAGCGAAGAGGATGAGGACATCAGTCCCTTCATTGCAGAAAGTAATGAGCGCGGTCGAGTAGAAGGGAGCAATGATGTGGTGAATTCGGACGTACATGGACCCTCTGACGAGGACTCTGGAGAAGCGTGTGAGCCTGATCAACTCTACACAAACGCTTTCTTTATACCGTATCCGACGCCTGAACACACTCCTCCTCCTGCAGCTTCACTTTTTACTGCAGCTATCAGAGAAGCTGGCAGTACAGGGACAAGATCTGCAGCTATGAGCGCGGCCCCTGTGTTGTCCGGGATAACCACAGAGTCGTCCTACATCGGAGTGACACCACGCTTGAGCTGCTGGGAGGCCACGTTCAATGCAGGACGCCTAAGCGTCGCGGAGGTAAAGCACGGTGAGCCGGTGAACAAGGCTAAGAAAGCCCGGATGGTAAACCGTCTAAAACGCCACCCTGATAGCACACAAACTGGACAAATTGGACTGCCCCAGAGATCTTCAGACCTTAAGAGGCTCAAAAGAAAACTTGCTAGTGGAGCTAGAATCCACCGGAGCGAGCTCCCATCACTACCGAGAACTCACAAGGATCTACGAGACCACTTGATGGGTCAGGGGTTCAGAGGTGCAAAGCGAATGCATCTCCAGAGCCACTATGAGATGAGCTCATGGAAAGAAGTTGAGAAAAGCACAGCTAATGGCAAACAGGTGTTAGACTGCATGTGGGTATACGTCTACAAGTTCAACAACGACGGCTGGTTCCTGAAATACAAAGCCCGTCTTGTGGTACGAGGGGACCAGCAGCCCACCGGACAGACCGAGAACACCTATGCGTTTACACTTGCCGGCCGTTCCTTCAGAACACTGATGGCTATAGCAGCTCGCTTCGACCTGGAACTGATACAGTATGATGCTATAAATGCATTCGTCAACGCCAAACTAGACCAGGAGATATATATGAAGATGCCTCCAGGGTACCGGAAGCCAAGAGTATTGCTTCGTCTCTTGAAAGCCCTCTATGGGTTGCGAGAATCCCCTCTCTTGTGGCAGAAAGAGCTGACCAAGACCCTCACAAGTATCGGATATACTCCCGTGCCTCATGAGCCATGTTGCTTCACAAGAAATGGAGTTCTTATATTCTTCTATGTGGACGACATAATGGTTGCATACAAGAAAGAGAAAGAAGCTACAGCCAATCATCTGATTAGTCGGCTTAAGATGGCCTACCAGCTTACTAGAGGAGATGATCTTCAGTGGTTCCTTGACATCGAGATCATCCGAGACCGGAAGAGACGGCTCCTCTGGTTATCTCAGTCATCGTATGCAGAGAAGATATCCCGTCTAGCTGAAAAGGCTTGGACAGGCAGAGACGATATTCCCATAAAAAACGAAGAATTTCTCCCCTTTGACGGAATAGCCACGCTAAAATCTATCCACAGATATCAGAAGAAGATTGGATCTATTCTGTATGCTGCTGTGATCACACGCCCAGACGTAGCCTTTGCGGCTTCTCGACTATCACGATTCAACACAAATCCTAGCCAAGAGCACCATTCCGAAGCAGATCGACTCATTCGATACATCTCTCGAACTCAACATCTTTTCTTACAATACGGCGGGTCAGACACATTCGAAGTAGCTAGCAACGCCTCCTTTACCGACAATTCCATCGATAAAAAGAGTTCACAAGCATACGTCATGAGACAGTTCGGAGGGATTATTGGTTGACGAGCGAATAAGCAAGCTACAGTGACTACTTCCACCACGGAAGCGGAGTTGTTGTCCCTTGCGCAGGCTGCTAAAGAAGCCATGTTCGTCTCCCGCCTAATCCGCGAACTTGGAGTCCGGCTTGATAGCTCTCGAATCATCATACACTGTGATAATAAGCAGATAATCGGCCTCGTCAACAAAGACATCGCCAAACTACAGACTAAGCTGCGTCACGTTGATATTCACAATCATTGGCTACGACAAGAAGCTCAACAGAAGAGGATCAAGATGGAATACGTTCCTATTGGGGATATGATGGCAGATGGTTTGACGAAAGTACTCCTTGCCGCAGCATTCAGAAAATTCACGAGGCAATTAGGACTTGTGGATATAAGAGATCGGATACAGCAACGACGAACCAAAGAGCTCTTAGATAAAGATCTTCAACATATGGAAGATCTATTGCCCGGTGGAGAATGTGGTGATGTGTACCTATCACAGGAATCATCAGAGAACCAGACCAAATGCTCAGGAACAACCCCAATGGAAGGAATTGTTCCTGGGGGGGGGTGTTGAATGGGAGCCGGAAATAGACACCGGAAGATCTCCAGTGGGGCAGAGACGCATAGGGCATCTGACCCACCAAGACAGATGATCAATCTCTGTACGCTGAAGAAGCAGAGAAGGACAAGCACAACAACAGAACACACTTGATAACCTGAATAATCTGAACTCGCTTGCATCTGACACCATCCACGTGTGCCTGGATAATACAGCAGTGATCTCCGGACTGTGTGGCGAACCAGCTCAGAGCTCCCAAGAAGCTTTCCTAGAATTCCACAAAATCTCGGACACGTACGCCGACATACAGGTCCGGTGGGTGCCAGGGCACATGGACATCCAAGGCAACGAAGAGGCCGACGAAAAGGCAAAGGAAGGCACCACCTTGCCAATCCCTACCGGGGCTAAACCCACGCTTGCAGGCGTCTTAGGCCTTCTTAACGAAAAGACTCGACATGAACACCAGCAATGGTGGGACAAGAACATCACTGACAAATACAAAAGTCTCGGCCTTTAGAAAACTACACTCAAGTGCCCAGAAGAGCTCAAGCTGGACAGGCCAACGCTCCACAGGCTTATTACATCTAGAACTGGCCACGGCGACTTTAGCTGGTACCATAGGAGGTTCAAGCATGAGGAACACTACAACTGCTCTTACAGAAGAATCAAAACGCGAGCCTACTTTGCTTTCTGCAACAGAGCCCTTACGAAACAGTCTAGGTGGCCACAAAGAAACCGCGGACACAACGGAGAACCCAAACCAGAAGGGAGAGCCTATTGGAAATGGCTGATAACGCACCCGAAGGAATTCGGAGACTTCTGCAAGTGGACAGAATTCTACACGAAAGTCTGTCCCAGGGTTACAGAACATCAATTCATTGATCACCAGGTCTAACTGCGCCTGTTACCATATCTCTTTATTACTCTTATTATCTTTTCTTATGTTTTTATTTTCTTTTAGCTTATAGCCTTTTAAACGCGAGGCACTAACTGTCAAAGCGAGAGGAGCTCCTTGACGCTATTCGGACTACTGACTACGAACCAGATATCACAGAGCACGAGCCCAAATGGCGGGGCCAACGGGAACAGACGGAATAACATGTGGGCCCTCGAGGTTTGATTTGCAGGTTATTGTGGGAAATAGGGAGTCATGCCCTGCTTCCCGTACAGTAAGGCTTGTATATTAGCCCCTGAGATAGTCACCTGCACGCCAAACATCCACAAGGATCTGGAGCCTAGAGCCCCTACGGCGTTAAATAAACTAAACTAAACTAACTATACGCCAGCACAAGGCGATCAAGTATTGCGTCCAGAGAGACATACACGACTTACTTCTACCATTAGAGCGTCCCTCTGGCAAGAAGCGAGGTTTACCATCCGACCCCCCGAACCGGCACACCCCCCCAACCGGCACAGCCAAACCCCACAATCACCACCAAAAGTCCCCTTACTCACTTACACGGATTACAGCCCTTTTTGAGGGTATCTAGACTTTCTTTAGATGGTTAGATAGCCCTTTTCTTGGTGTTTAGTGGAATGTAGATTATTTAATTGCTGGGCCATTGGCATCGGCATTTAGCAGCCTCCGTGCCCCGCCCTTAAATGCAAATTTGCTGTAGAATTCTCTTTGTGAACCCCTGTCCCTCATGCACCACAGCATCCTGAAGCCAGCCACGATGCCTCCGCCCAGGTATACAGAGGATGATGTGGTGGATGCCTACCTAGACGTCACAGATAATGGCATATCCGTGAGAAAATCCAGCCAAAAATACGGCGTCCCGGCCAGCACGCTGTCAGCACGCATAAGGGGGAGAGGGACTAAAACGGAGGCTCACACCACCGAGCAGAGAATTTCTCTCGAGCAAGAAAGCAAGGTAGCAGCCTGGATATTGCGCCAAGAGACTTTGGGGCTTGCCCCTTCTCACTCAGCCGTCAGGGAAATTGTGGTAGAACTCCTAAAAAGAAAGGGGGATTTCGCACCACTTGGGAACCACTATATGGACAGCTTTAAACGACGCAACCCTACCATTCAGACTAAAATCGGCAAGCGAATGGAATCCGCTCGGTTTAAGGGGTTTACCCTTAAGTCTGTGAACTGGTTCTTTAACATCTTGGAGGACTACGGCTGGGTGAAGCCAGAAAATACGTACAATGTCGATAAGGGCGGCATCATGTCGGGTTTTGGTAACTCTTTCGAGCCTCCTACCCTCACAGTCAACTAACTACCCTTATAGGCATCGATTCCCTAGTTCTGGGAAGTTCTGAGACGAGGAAAGCTTTCCTAAAGAGCCCCCAGGGCCGCTCGTGGACATCTTTTATCGAGACCATTTCAGCTACCGGTAGAGTACTCAAACCTGGCTTGATTTTCAAGGGAAAAGATCTTCAAGCGCAGTGGTTCCTCAAGGAATTCCAGAAGATAGCCGACTGGTACTATATAACGTCGGAAAACGGCTGGACCAGTAACGATATCGCCTGCCAGTGGCTTGAGCACGTTTTCATACCACAAGTAGATGAAATTCGTGGCCAGGAGCAGTGTGAACCAGTCCTTTTGATCCTAGATGGCCATGGTAGCCATACCTCCGTACGTACACCAATTTTTTCTATTTTATTTACTGGTTATTTAATTTATTTTGATTTAAACAGCAACTAACTGTAGAAAGGACGAATTTATGATGCGGTGTTATTTTGCCAACATCTTGCTATGCTTTTTCCCAGCACATATCAGCCATGGAATGCAACCACTGGATAACGGCCCCTATAACGCCCTCAAGTCCTACTACCAGAGATTCCTCACCCAGTTAAATTCTCTGACTGATTCCTTTCCTGTTAATAAGATCAACTTTATCCGCTGTTATAGCAAGGCAAGGGACATGGCGTTTACGCCAAAAAACATCCGCTCGGGCTTCCGAGTAACGGGGTGCTACCCAATTAGCCGCAAAAAGTGTCTAGACCATCCAGAAATCCAAGAAGACAAGCGGAAGACCCCCGAGCCGGAAGAACAGGAAGACTCGGAGCCGGAGGACCAACAGACCCCTACCACGAGCCGGCAAATCCGGGATTTCGGGAAGAACCGATCCCCAGCCACTCGGCTGAAGTTCCGGAAGATCTCCCATGCCTTTGAGAATCAGGAGACGGAGCTGGCCATAAAAGACCAGAAGATCAGGGCCCTGGAGGCTGAACTGGAGCGGCTACGGCCCAAGAAGAGGAAGAAGATACTAAATCCCAACAAAAAGTTCATGACAATGGTAGAAATACTAGCCCAGGGTGGTAATCCATTAGTTCCGGTTGCTGTAGAGTCTTCTTCTTCTTCTTCATAGTCGGAGGTTGTTGAAGACGGGGTGGAGGAGGACGAGGAGGTTACGGACGCTGAGGAGGCTGTAGAAGCCCCTGTTGCAGAAGCCCAGATGACTAGATCTGGGCGGTCAATCCGGGCGCCGGCTAGATACGTCGATTGAGCAGCCAAAACACCACAGAATGATAATTTTGCTGATTTTTTCGACCCTATACAGCCTCAAATGCGTGTAAGTGAGTAGGGGGGTCTTTTGGTGGTGGTGGCGGGGTTTGGCTGTGCCGGTAGTGGGGGTGTGCCGGTTCGGGGGGTCGGATGGTAATTTCCAAAGGGGCTTCGACCAGAACTGTGCCCTTTTTCAGCCATTGGCAAGCCGAAGAGGTAGATGCGTTCTTCCGTACTCAGTGGCAGTTGAGCCCAGCATTCTTCGCTAAGGAAGGCGAAAAGCTCAGTCATTACAAGTTCCTCTCTGGGCACGTTCTTCCCTTTGTGTTCGTAGAGGCCAACCAGAATGAATCGGAAGAAGAACGCATGCGTGGCCACTATGGTAGGGTCTCTCCCTATAATCTGCACTCCGACCAACAATCGCTCGATCGTCACACGGTACGTCTGCGCAGCTGGAATGCCAACCTTCTCAGATTGACTGACATCAAGTTGTAGCTGGAAGGTACCAACGGAAGGGTTGCGGTAAAGGAGTTGAACTCCGAATCGGAAGAAGCTTTCCGTCGTGAGGCCGAAGTATTGAGGCGCCTGACAATCAGTCGCAAGCAGAGTCCTCACTTGGCAAAGCTTTTGGCCACATATCAGCAGCCGTCTGGACCAGACAATCGCTCACTGAAATTATTCCTCATGTTTTAGCATGCGCACTCGAATTTGGAACAACTTTGGGCGGTGTGCCCACGCGAACTGGAGACAGAACACAGATCAACTTATGCTCAGATGGCTCAATGGGTTTTACGTCAATGTACGGGACTGGCTGAAGCCTTGCAGATTCTGCACAACCTTCCGAGGACGAAGGACGTAGCCGACAAGGACAAGGGTTTCACGGAATCCATGGTGACATCAAGTCGAAGAACATCCTACGATACAAGAATTGGAAAGACCCAGACGATTCCACCAAGCCTTTGTACGGTCCGCTTGGTGTTCTTCAGATAACTGACTTCGGTTTGAGTGGATTTCACCATACGGACACAGCCGAAGACATCAGAGACAAGGTCGCCAATTACGCATACAAGCCTCCCGAAGTCCAGATGGTCTTGCCTATCTCGCCTTCCTTCGACATCTGGGCCATGGGATGCTTGTTTATTGACTTCCTAACGTGGCTTGTGATGGGTCCGAAAGGTGTCAAAGAGTTTGGGGAGATGAGGGAGAAGACATCTAAGGGACTGATCACAGACACCCACCCATGCTTCTACGAGGTTCGGCGTGAGTGGCGTGGGTGGCGTTCGACTACGATCCAGGTTAGCCGAGGTGTCTACGAGGTACGTTACAAATTGGAAAGTAGACTACTCGCATGGCAAAATGCTGATCAAGGCAATGATAGTGGGCCGAGAACCTGTGCGAGTCCGAATACAAGTCCCAGTTCGTGTGCGACCTTGTGGAACTGGTCCTCAGTCGAATGTTAATCATTGAGGACAAGTCCCTCATGACCGACGGATCCTTGCCGTCGCGGACAAGGAGGATCAACGCCTCAGAACTCCTTAAAAAGCTCAGAGAACTCTGCGGACGGAACCAGCCGCCATCATACTACACGAAGGTCACTAAGCCGCTCAATGTTCCCAATTGCAAGAAAATGTCCTACAAGATCAAGACACATCAAAGTATGGAAGAAGTCGAAACTGGAGCACGCGACAGGTGGAAGTAAGTAGTCCCCGAACTGACAATTGTGAGATCTTGGATCAACATGAACTTACGCTGCCCGATATAGACAGCAAAAGCAGGAAGCGGATATGAAGGCATCGCATCCTAAACGACAAGGCACAGGCGACAGCCTCTCATCCGTGAGCCACGCTAGTTCGAGATCTATGACCAACGCCTCTAATCGCTCCGCCTTAAGGAACGGATCCCCGTGAGAGGGCAGGAAGCGGCAGTAAACTCTACGGGTTCTTCCTCGGCTGCGACGCCGCGCTGTCCGAGACGGTATCAAGCGAGTTCAAATCGAGCCGATCCGCCGCTCTCCTTCCATTCACCCCAATGAAGCTGTTCTTGGAGCAGGAGAGGCGCAACAGGCTCAACGAGGTCGACAAGGCCGTCAACAGCTTCTCGCTCTCCATCGACCGGGTCACAAACCATCAAGTCAACCCGCGGGAGATTATTGAGATGTATCTTAAGGTGAACCTGCTCAAGAGCAGCCTTGTGGCTTGGAAAACGCAGCTGGAGAGGATGAAGGGATGGGAAGAGCTCTCTGCTCCGGCTGTCGGAACTGACAGCAACGATATCGATCCCAAGGCATATCTCGAACACCTGATCGACGACTACGACATCAGGATCAACGATTGCGAGACCGTGCTGCAGGGAACATCACTGGCATTCCAGCTGGTAAGGAGCACCCCTGTCGTCGACCTATAGTCGTGCCTTGCTGACCGTCCAGGAAACCATCCTACAATCGAGAGAAGACACGATGATTGCTATCAAAGACGGGAAGGCGATGAAGTCGATTGCGGTTGTCACGCTGTTCTTTCTACCGGGAACTTTTTTTGCAGTAAGCCTTGCCTCATCATGATTGATTGATGTGCGCATCAAATACAAGCTAACTTCCGATCACATGCAGACTCTTTTAGCTGTTCCAGAGTTCAAAGCGCTCGAAAACATCACCGTGATACCGTCCTGGTCTGTGTACCTGATCATGTTCCTGCCATCCACCTTGATCCTCATGATGGGCTACTTCTGGTGGATAAGCAGGAGGACAGAGGTCCCCTTTCTGCCCACGTACAGGAGGCAATGTTAAATGATGTTACGAATGTCGCAAGAGATTGCTTTCCGAACGAGCGATGAGACACCAGACTCGTGCTCCAAAGATCCAGGTACTCTATCTCGGCTGGAGTGGGTAGGTATTGGCTGCAGGTGAGGTAATACATGGATGATTTTGCAAGGCTTCTTGGTATTTTTTGCGTTTACGGTTTATAATGGTCTGATACTTGGTTGGCGACGGAAGCAATCACGACTAGAAGGAACACCCGGCGAACAAGAGTCCGATGATTACATTTGTGTGTAGACCCATCGCGAGTAACGGTGTATGGATTTTGCGTGCTGATGAGACAGTCGGCAATGTTGGTGATGGTGAGAATATTTTAAAGACGCTAGGCACAGGGTTGGCGTGCGTAACGAAACGCTTTGGTGTGACAGTGGACTCTGATCAGAACGTATGACAGGTGTACAGAGGGAAGCAATCTGGCGCTGGCAATGAGGTTAGCTTCGCGTGCTGGTAAGTGCATCCTGTGTACACATCAGAGGTACATCACATCTGTGCAGACTTACCCGAAGCGATGTGTTTGCTGTTGAGGACCGAGGGCAACGCCTCCATAGTACTCATAGTTCGAGAAGGCATGTGTAGAGATAACGTTAATTGGTGCCCCCGCGATTAGCAAGCAAGGGGCAAATATGTCCCCCATCTTGTTAGCAACTGATCTTGACATATAGTCCCTGGGAGGAAGAGTCATATGTTCCACGCCGAGAGACATCTGAATTGAGCGTTGAGGAACAGAACGATGTAAATTAGACAACAACGAAACTCTATAATCAAGGAAATCCAGTCCAATACCAAACCTTCTTATATACTCTCATACTCACCTCAGAATTCGCTGTCAGACAACTCAGACAACTCGCTCTCCGAGTCTTCCGCCGCAGTCTCCCGGGCTTTTCGCGCGGCCGCCTTCTTAGACTTATTGACGCCAGGATGGAACTTGTACGTGGGAAAGGCCTTGCCATGGTTCTTTTTCTCAATCGCGGCCAGACGACGGTACCACTCGCGCACCTCCGGCGTCTCGCTCTTCCAGCCAAGTCCCGCATACGAAGAAATAAGCTGATGGTTCTGGCCGTTCTGGCCCTTGAGGTACGCTTTGACTCGGTTCTGGATGGCTTTCCGGTAGAGGAGGAAGGCGTTGACAGGCCGCTTGATACGCCCGCCACTGTTCTGGTTCTCCCGTAGGCGGGTTTGGATACTGCGGTTAGCGAACGCCTCGATGTCGATGTCCTGCGCATCTACATCTCTTAGTAGCTCGCTCAAGGGGGTCTCCAAAGACTCTGGCAGATCGCCCTGGGCGATGCGTCGCTCTTTCAGCGCTTGCTTCACTAGCTTCTTTGCCAGCCTCTCCTCTGAAGATATTTTCTTTGCGACCTCCTTCTGGGACGGCTCCGAATCTAGCTCTCGGAGGCTGCCCTCTGCATGTCCCCCTCTGGCTCGCAGTCTGCGGCTGTGCATCGTTCTCCTGCGCTCGAAGCTCGGCGTCTCTGCATCCTCCATGTCCGACTCTACCTTGACTGGAGGCGTAGGCTCCTGGACTGGTGGCCACTGCGCTGGGTAAGTCGGGTATGACATCGGCAACATCATCTGTCCGGCAGGATAGGCTGGGTTGTACCACGGCATAGGCTGCATCTGCTGGGGGTGGTGTTGAAAACCACCACAGTTGTAACAGTGCTGTCCTGGAAACGGTTGGGCACCCCAAGATGTGGGAGGCAATGGTGCATCAAACTGCATCAGGGGTTCTTCTGGGTATGCAGACATCTCCACTGGAGATTGGTCAATTTGTCCGGTAGCGGGCGTATCCCCCAAGGGCAGCGCATCTACTGGCAAGAACGAGGGATCAGCCCAAGACACATCGCCCTCTGAAAACAGGGCTGGGTCTATGAACATTTCAGTGGGGTTGTAGGGAGCAGGTGCCTGCGGCACAGCCGCGTTGACAGACCAGGTAGTCTCTTCAGCGTAAGTGAAGTCCATGGCAGCGGAATATAATTAAAGAGGGATAAAAGCGAAGGGGATAAACTCGAAGGTGGAAGTGTTATGGATATGGAACATATGGGTCTGTTCCTGTGAATTCGAGTTGTGTGAAGGATGGTGATGAATGAGTCCCAGAGAAGAGGCTGCAAGGATGAAGATACAGGCTGCTTTTATGCGAGATCTTGACGGTCTCATCAAAGAGGACAACGACTTTGTTTTCGGACAACACGCTTGTCTGGACAATGGAACACTGAAGGAGCCTAGTTGATAACAAAGCTTCCTCGTGTGCCACGTCCGCTCCCTTCTTTGTCGATTGTGGAATTAGCTTCACTTCCAGTCCAGTCCTCTTTCTTGTCGAGCTACCTTGTTCACAGGGTGGTAGCGTTCTTTACGAAGTTGATAGTGTTGAACAATGGACTGCTAATTCTGGGTCGCCCTCTTTCATGCCCTTGATAACTTATCGAGTTACCCTCACTACACCATTCCGTAACTCTACCTGGTGGCAATACTGTCTCGTCTAGGAGGTCACTAAGGAAGTATTGAGCACGGTTCAGGTAAAGCAATTCTGATTTAGCTTGACGCACCCACTCGGCACTACTCAGGTCACACCCCTGGCCCATGTATTCAAACCGGGCAAGTTCTATTACAATGAAACGGCCATGAAAAGAGCCGTGACAACGCAGATACCGAAAACGCCGACTGGCGCCCTCGAGACCTGTGCGCCACTGGTGTCGTCGTCTGTAATGGTTCCAGATGCAGCACCCCACATACCAGCCAAGACGGACTGATTACGGTCATTCAGATCAAGATAAGGAGCCCCGGCCGTAACTTCCCGTCCAGTGAGTCGTTGGAACAACCACCGAGGATCCCCGATGAGCGGACCATGAACGGCGTCCAGTAAAGCGTTTTGTTCATGCCAGGCTCGACCTCGAGAATGGGGGAGATGTGCCCCCAACCACCCAGCTCCGACGTGTCGACGCTGGCGTCGCGAGAGATGAACTCAAAAGTCAAGTTGCCATTCACCAACTCGCTTCTGTAGTTTTGGGTCGCAAGCTTGAAGATGGCGTCGGCCTCGTCAGCCGGGAGGCATAGCCTCTGCGCACTACGTATCTCGAGGACTCGCTCGATCGTGATGTCGTACGAATGTGTTGGGAATGCACAGTCTTCGCCGGAATCGGAGGGGCAGACTAGGTTGTCGACGAAGGTGTTGTAAGTTGTTGTGAAACTCGACCCAGTATCTTGGTTAATTCCTTTGTTTCCCATTCGGTACACACGGCGTTTGATGTGCTGGCTAATTGGGCCACAACTGTGAGGGCAATGAAGCTGGTGGGGATTCGAGTGTAGTGGTGCATCTTGAACAGGCTGGAGTGAGAATGTCCGTTTGATAGGGAAAATGAAATCACGAAGGGATGTTGTATATTTTTCCTTGGAAGCAGTGTCTCATTCAATACGACCAGACACGTTATAACACAGCCGACCTGTTGCTTGGCTCGTGACTTCACGTTTCCTAGACGCCGCCAGAGTGATACGGTGGCGGCGTCTGGTGTCGGTCAATCAGCCCTGCGCACAGAGAGATCCTCCTGGTTGTCTGTCTGACGAGGCGATCACACTGTGTCTACTCGTGTCATCCTCCGGGCACAGTCGGCTGGCTTGGCTATCGTCATATTGCGACCATGTCCACACACCACAAACCCTGCTGACTCAGAACCAATCCCTACCTATAATCGATCCAGAGGGAAGCATCAGCGAAGGCTGTATCATTGTGAATTGCGGTAAGACACGTCGAGACGAATACCAACAGGTCGAAGCCGTGGATGGCATGGTTGAGGCGAAAGGAACATGACTTAGATTGTTTGGAATCAGTTATTGGGATGGGAGAAGGGAAGCCATCCTCACGTAAGATTCGTTGAACATGAATGCGGAGTATTTCTCGAAGCGTCGAGTTAACATTCAGCCTAGAAGGCTATACACATAATCATGGTTACTCCCGCGGAAAAATGAACTAGCATAACCGGTTTGGGCTGATTTCTAGACAACTACGACGGCTCCAAACGGGATGTTTCCATCTGCGCCCATCAAGTCGCATCTGAAGCAGGCTTCACAGCATAGACCTTGTACGAGCCTATAAGTAGTGGTTAGCCCTGTGTTGCAGACACGCCACTGTCGACAACGGACTTACCGGCCCACTCGTTGAAGTCGAGCGATCCCTTGGCGACTTTCTTCTGAATCTCGGGTATATTCCCCGAGGACGGAGGTGAGCAGCAGCTGCTTTGGGCCCCGTCACCAGATTCGAGGTACGCATTCAAGTTGCTATGCGTGTCTGAGATCAAAGAGTCTGCATACTGTGTTAATGACTACTGAGAACAGAATCCAAGACGCAGGACATGCTTACCCCGAAAGCCCGCATTCGAGAGATACTTCCTGTACTCGTCGACCTGACTAGCCCCAGCAATGCACCCAACATACAGCGCCATGTCGTTCCGCAGACTCTCCGGCAGCGTCTTCTTGGCCAGGATATCCGAGACCGCGACCCGGCCGCCCGGCTTCAGGAGGCGGAAGATCTCGTTGAAGACCAGCTGCTTCTGGCTGTCGGGAACCAGGTTGATGACGCAGTTCGAGATGATGCAGTCGGCGGTGCCGGCCGGGAGGGCTATGGCGGTGATGTCTGACTCGATGAACTGGACGTTCTCCTTGCCCTGGTCTGCTTTGATCTTGTTTGCGCGAGCAAGCATGTCCTTATTTAGTGAGCAATGTACTGTGACTGATGAAAGATTTGGGTCAGCGCACCTTGTTTGAATCTACTCCGATGACCTGGCCGGTGGATCCGACTTTGTTGGAGACTTGGAAGACGTCGAACCCGGCGCCGCTCCCGAGATCGATGACAACTTCTCCCTGATCGCGAGAGCAAGTGTCAATGTCTGTATACAAGCAAGTGTCGCCCGGTAGAATAGCCTGTGAAATACCTCTCGAAGCTTGGCTATCGCAAGCGGGTTCCCGCAGCTCAATCCGAGATTTGCTTCCTTGGGAGCTCCGGCAAGGTCTTCCTCGGTGTATCCAAAAGCAGTTGCGATGGAGCGGCTATACGCTGCGTTGTTGCCTTGCGACGCTGCACTGTAGTGCTGGCGCACACGGTCGGTTATTTGGTCGTCGGACATGTTTGCGGATTATGAGTAGATGTGAAAAGAAAGTCGAAATAAGAAAGGGGGAATTGTAAGTGAATGATCTGGAGAGAGTGCACCAAATGTATGAGATGCCCAGTTGGACCTCGACCTCCTTTAAGCACCTCCTTAGCCCGCATGCATGACCTCAGCAAGGGGGGCGGTATGTCACCAGAATATTACTACATTCGTCCTAGCGCCGACGAGTCATGGTAGGGCTCTTGGCGCGTGGAGATCATGGAGCAGCACCGGCGGCGGCAATTGGCGGATTTCCATCAACTGCCACCTCCATCTCTGCCACCAATCTGGCTCGTCCTTCGGCAATCCTGAAACATATCAGTGTCAAGAGATACCCACGAAAGCCAGCAAACAGGGCAAGGTCAGGATGATGCACAAGTGGTCCACGCGGTCCCCTGACCACAACACCACCCGAGTGCGGAACAACCAGCGTCGCCACCGGGCGAGGGTGAAGTCGCACACCCAGGACCTGGAGGCGCGCCTCGCTGATACACAGTCAAGGCTCGATGAGGCACTGGAGAAGATAGGGCAGATGAGCGAGGAGATGGCCCATCTACGGCGGGAGCTCCATGGCAGCCAAGCTGCGACCATCGCTTCTGATGAATGCCCCTCGCACCATCGGCAAGACGAACCCGAAGATGCGGTCAATGAGACCGGGAGCTTCTCCGATCAATCGGAGTTGGTTGCGAATAGGGACCCGCGGCTTCGGCTTCAGCCACGGCCACAGCATGAGGGAACTACTCCGCGTCCAGAACAGAACTCGCCATCGAAGTCGAACGGCATACCCCTTGACCGGTCTCAAATCGTCGATGTCAACTTTGACCAAGTCTGCGGCAGTGAAAACTTTCCAGCCTCGCGTTCAGGCGAGTCGACGACATCCTGTACCGCAGCGTTCGAAACCATAAAGCAACAATGCGCGCAAACAGACTGTCTCGAGCTACAGACCGTCTGGGAGACTCTCAAGCCAGCTTTCCGCTGTGCACCCACTCCCGGCGAAGGTTGTCGCGTCGAAACGCATTTTCTCTTTCGTTTGCTGGACATGATCACGTCGCCCTCAGATTGGTAGACACTCTGCGAGTGGGATACGGACCAATATTGCCCGTCGGATGAGATGTACATATAACTCATAGTGTCCGATTAGGACGGAAATTGCTTCCAGTATTCTGCCTCATAACCCTCCATGTGCTCCACGAACTCGCCGCCAGCGCCTGCCCAACCTTTGATGCCACCGGAAAGAATGACGCTTTCCATGTCCGCGTCGCCTTGGTCCTGGATGTGGTCGTTGAACCAGCCGGCAGCGCGCGTACCCCGGCCGCGGGAAGAGCCTTCCGTCGGCAATACTTCGCATAAGGTTCTCATACTGTAGTTCGAAGGGGTGAATGTGCACTACGTACCGCAGTACCAAATCACCTGCCGCACGCCAGCCGCTTTGAAGAGGTGGTATAACGTGGGAATGGACGGGTAAAGGCTCTGAGCTGGGAGGTTGATGGAGCATTGGATCGTTCCGCCCTGTGTGATGGGGTTGAGTGGCTGTTAGGCTGCGATACCAAGGCTGAAGTTATTAGGTAGATCACACACCTCATGATCGTTGCGCCGCAAGTCGACTAACACGACATCTTGGCCGATTTTGCCGGCGCGCAGCATGTTGAGGACTTCCTCGCGCGAGACGGACGCTGGCTCGGTGGTCCTAGGGGAAGGATAGGCTGCGTACCATGGTGGCTCTTGTGCAGCCATCTTGGGGGATCACTGAAATTCCTACAGATAGATAGTAGTGGGTTCGGTTTGGTGCTCACAGAGAGGCTATTCATGATGATTCCCGAGTTGGACCGCTTCGACACTGGAAGCTTCCCATCATTGGCAAGGGAGGGGAGCCCCACGACTCGTCTTCCCCAGAAGGACCATGTCATGCCCCGCGTTGATTGGGTGGAACAGCACGAACGCCACAAGCCAGTTGAAGGCGTTGAACTGAACTTAAAGGGAAAAACTAATAATATATAAAGGAGTTTAATATAAAAACGAATACTTTTCACTACTAATTATTCAGATTTAAATAAGGGAGTAAAAAAAAAAAACCCCGGAAAAGCTAAATTATTGTCACGGAACAGCTGGCAGCTCAGGACGAAGATGCCCATCTATTACTCCAGATGAATAAGAATCTACTGGTGAGGAGGGAAGAAGGATCAGAACCACCAGCCAATTCTGGTGGGGGATTAGATCTTCAATCCCGCTCCACAATTGTCTATAGTGAGTGCAGCGGGGCAACGCGTCCACCCCACCAGATCACCTGATGAGCGCACGTACCACCGTGAATGGATGGATGGATGTCAGATCCATCACAATTATATATATCTTAATATCAAAAGCCGTACGATGTAAAACAAGGTATTAAACTTTATTTTCAATTGTATCAATCAACAGGTATAAATATTAAAATAATACCGTGTTAAACTTTAAAGGCGCTATGATATTTTCTTTAATAAGCGTTAGTTAGCTATCAAAAACATGCTCGATTAAAATAACGACTTATTAAAAATATTTGGCTTAATATATACTGGATTTTTTTAAACAAGATTTACTAAAACTGCTAATACCGTAAATCTTCAAGCTTAACTTAATTGAAAATGTTATTATTACGTTCGAAATTAATAAGATAAAACTTAAAACGACTAAGATTTAAAAGCGTTACTTGTTATTTTAAATAACGTTTGATTAACGTTAATTAAGAGCGATAAAACGCTGATAAATAGTAAACAAAAAAAAGGGGGGGGAAACGTAAAAAACAATAAATAACTAGATTTAAGATTACTTTAATATAAAGCTTAATGTGATAAATTTGCCATCCATCATGGTGTGTGCGCTCCCACCATGTGACTTGGTGGGGTGGACGCGTTGCCCCGCTGCACAGCTGGAAAGATAATTGTGGGGCGGGATTGAAGATCTATCCCCCCACCAGATTTGGTGGGATTGCAGATCCTGTTAGGTACTAGCACGAATATGTTGACTGAGGGCCAGAGATAGACACCGGAAGATCTCCAATGGGGCAGAGACGCACAGGGCATCTGACCCACCAAGAAGACAGATGATCAATCTCTGCACACTGAAGAAGCAGAGCAGAACAATCCATAGAATTGTCAAACTACAGGTCCGTATTTGTATGCAAATACAGTACTAACGCGTCCAGTTGCCGTAGCGGCTGAGAGGTGGGGCAACGGTCACCAGTTGACCGTTCCCATGGCGCACAGATCACCCCTGATCCCCCGCGCACAGACCACCTCCAACAGACACCCTGACCCACCCCATCCAACAAGAATCAATCAACATCCGTGTATTTGTTGGATGCAAGCGAGTTCAGATTATTCAGGTTGTCAAGTGTGTTCTGTTGTTGTGCTTGTTCTTCTCTGCTTCTTCAGCGTACAGAGATTGATCATCTGTCTTCTTGGTGGGTCAGATGCCCTGTGCGTCTCTGCCCCACTGGAGATCTTCCGGTGTCTATTTCCGGCTCCCATTCAACAGTATTCAACAGATTCTTCTTCCCTTCTCACCAGAGTATTTTTGTACAATACGAGTAATTGATGGGCATCTTCGTCCTGTGCTTGTATCTGCCCCGTGACACTTAATTTTAACAATAATTATAAAAGCGATTTAAATGTAAGAACGATCAAAAAAATACAGAAATAAACTTATATCTTATAATAAAGCGATTTATACATAAATAGCGATTAATAACGACATAATAATAATAATAATAATAATAATAATAATAATAATAATAATAATAATAATAATAATAATAATAATAATAATAATAATAATAATAATAATAATAATAATAATAATAATAATAATAATAATAATAATAATAATAATAATAATAATAATAATAATAATAATAATAATAATAATAATAATAATAATAGCTTTAATAATAAATTAATAAGAGTTATAGTAGATTCATAATAATTATAATTAATCATAATTGTGACGGTGTACAGCCGTATCTACCTGGATAGATGGATGCTTAGTCATCAGGTCACGTGTAGATTATATAAGGAAGGAACGGGACCACCACTTAAGGTGTGTGCTGCTGTTTGTCACAGAATAGCAATTGACCAGCACACCAATTGGCTAAGCTCCCCACAAAAGGATGTGGAATATTCAGGATGGCAACTGAATATTCTATGGTGGTAGATATACCTGACGTTCCACAGGCTCCAGGGCTCTGTCTCATTCGGACATACCTGTACCGTATTAGAACGTCACACTGTTAGATTAAAGGTGAGCCGAGAGCGCACCTGGATAGGTAGACACCGGAGCCTAGTTGTTCTGTCCCGATCCAGCCCCCTCTGGCACAAAACTGCCGCGGTTGCACAAGGACACTCTAGAGAGACAGAATACACACACACACTTCAACCTCACGATTGGCTCAAATCTGACAGCTGCGCACACCATCTTGCTGGCTTCTCTTTCCTTCTTCACCTTGTTATTTTTGGAATACAACACCAGATTCCCACACAACGCCGCAGGCATTGTGACAATAATTATATAAATTAGTTAATATCATTCTTTTTTCCGTTATAAATGATATATATATTATAATATATCATCATATATAATTGTTGGATCCATGCGATTCCCACCTACAAACCATCCACACCAGGTCCACATATATGAGTAGATAAGAGACTAGGTACCGGATTGTGACGACACTTAGCCAGACCTGCAAGTCCAGCTAGACCTCCCAATCCAACCCATCAGCAACATCATAAGTTTGACCCATACTTGAGTATTATGATTGATCTTTCAAGCCTGTTCCAACAATAATAATATACCTAATCAAGATAAAATTAATATTAAATTTAAGTATTTATAATAAACCGAGTTCAAATACGGGACCGAGTCGTTATTTTTAATTTATAAGGAAAAACGACTATACAAATAGGTTAAGTCGCTTAGAGACCTGAGGAGTACCCGTGGACTGCCCTGATATATGAGGAGAGCTTGGCCCTTATTGCTGCCCTAGAGTCCGCACTGTCATGCCAAGGTCTTAGAGGGCCGACGAATAAGGTATCACATCAAATGATGCACCGAGGAATACTTCGCAGTGAGTGTCCAAGAGGACGCGGGCAACGGCAGAGGGTGAGATAATCTGGAGATTATTCGGAGTCGAAACACAACGGTTTGAGCCATCCTGCCGGGGGGTCGTCAATTGAGGAGAACCCCAACCAAGAAGTCGGTTGCCATCGTGTTGCTTGCAACCGCCTGGCCTAGACAACACCGAAATAACCTGGAACATCTGGCGAGATGAACTACCTAAGTACCCACTCAAGCCTAATCTGATTCGAAGCAGGATGTAGAAAGCAAGAGTGAGATGAGCGGAATAGAGTTCGGCTTCCATGCTGTCTGGTAGATTGATGGGATTGCCTGGGGGGCGGACGGGATGAAAGGAGTTGGATTGCCGTTCCTGTTGCAAGGGAAACAATGGATGGAGGATGACGTTCACATGCTGATGGTGTTCCTTGGTCGAGACCCGGGATCGACTGGAAATCTAGTCCACTGTCCAGTTATAATTAATCATTATTAGTTGGGGGCGCTAACTGAAACCGGACAATTCCCTGCGGGCCGTGCTCGCTGGCTGGACACCCGCAGCCACCCGCTAAGACCGCTGCAATCCCGAATTAAGGTTGCGCCTTACCTGGGTACTAGGGTAGCACTCCTGGCGGTGTCGCTGTGGCAACCAGTAACCGCGGCTGTTGTCAACTTCTAGGATTCTAGGAAGGCAACTGCTCCTGCACCCCGGGCTCCATTTTACCAGACGGGAAGCTGCAATCGCACAACGTCAGATCTGTCTGTGACCTGTCTGTCTTCCACACCACCACCTGCAGATTCCACATCTCTCCCAATTCGAAGACTTGTCATCGAAACAGACCCTCATCGAATCATCTGAACCTTCATTGACTGCGGTTTTCGCGAGACAACTCTTACGTCAAGCTACTGACACCCGCCTGAAGAAGGCACTTACACGTATCTAGTTCTCGCCCACCAAGTTCGCCCGCTGCTGAGTACAACCTAAGAGCCAATTGCCCGGCCAGACTGGCTTGCGCTGCGTGAGGTGAGTTGCCCACCGGTTCTCTGATGTTCTCTGATGTTCTCTGATGAACGAGTATAATGACCACCGGGTGCTTGCAGTTTCGGACCCAATTGATAGTCCCATATACGACAACACAATCTATCGACAATATCCCCCATCCGGACTCGACTCCCTCACGATGCTGCCCAACAATCCCCTTGCGGCCCGTCAACGGCAACACCGCCGACAAAACTCGTCGCCCTCGGGCTTCGAGTCGACGGGTACCGCCAACAACCTGCCCAATATGCATCAGGCTCAACAACAGCCACACCAGCAACACAACCAACAACAGCGACCACGGGTGTCCCACCGAAGAGGCATGAGCCTGGACATCCGGCGACAGCAGATAATGGACCGACGACAACAGATGCATTCCCCAACGACACCCCTACGGCAGGAGTTTACCATGGTAAGTAACGATACTAACAACACAGGATTAACAAGCACTCAACAGCATGTGCTGCGAGAAGCGCAGCAGCAAGACCTGGCACGCCCGGGCCCCCAGCATCAGCAAGCGTACGCGAACTTGGCTACCGGCGAGAACTACCTGGTGTCGCCCCATGCGACACCGCAGATACAGAACTTTGAAGGCCCCTTTTTTGACGGCCTTCCAACCTCGCAGGATATGACTTTTAACTTTGACATGTACAACGGGCCGATGAACGTGGTACTCAAGAAGAACCAAGACGGCTATGCTCAGAACATGACAGGGCCTCAAGACTTTGAACTATTCCCAACCAGCACTCTGTCCACGCCCACTTTCATGAACTTCCAGGATAGTCCCACTGGGGCTCCAGGCTGGATTTCAGAAGGCGAGACCTCCAGTTCGAGGAGTACCTCGCGCAGAGTCAGCAATGGCATTATGGACAGAGTGTCCAAGTTCGAGACCATGGGCTTCGAGCAGAGACCTCGCACACCCCCAAAACAGAATGCCACAGGTAAGGAACCCTTGCCATTGAGCCACAGCAAACCAGATACTGACGACAAGAGAAGACTACTTCCCACTTACCCCTATGGAAACTCCGCATGATAGAACCATCAGACACAGTCAGCGTCCACAACGGTTCACTGAAGGTTACGACGAGTCGACCGAGGAAACTGTCAAGCCAATGCGACAGTCATCGAACCGGCGCCCCCAGACTACCTTTGACGAGATGCGACAGGCAGCTGAAGCTCAGCCGACTATCCCAACTCCTAACCGAGCAAGCACTATGCCCATGCCCAGCTCATATGACCCAGCTTCTGTCACCTCGCCGGACTTCTTGAGCATGAGCCAAGCCAACCATGGTGACTTGCGAGTAGACACCACCTTCCACGGACACCTCGATATGTCGCATCCCCTGAGCGCGCCTTCCAACTTCTCCCATCAAGCTTCTCCCATGACACCAAGCTTGGTTGAGTACAGTGGGGGAGGTTTCGACTGCAAACCGGACCTTGGACCTTCGCACGCACGTTCTGACGTACCCTCCAACCAAGACGCATTCCCACCGACGGAGACGCCATCTCGCCGAATCTCGCCCCACCGTCGCACCGAATCTGTCGCCAGTATTGCAAGTGCCGCAAGCATCGCCAGTATCGACATTGACCAGGCCAAGACAACCACGGGTATCACCACCGAAGATATCAAACAGTATATCCAAGAGCCCGACCCTAGAGACAACTTGTGGGTTTGCACTTTCAAGGACTGCAACAAGAAATTTGGCCGCAAGGAAAACATCAAGTCTCATGTGCAAACCCATCTCGGCGACCGACAATACCAGTGCCCGACGTGCAAGAAGTGCTTCGTGCGGCAGCATGATCTCAAGCGCCATGCGAAAATCCATACCGGGATCAAGCCATATCCATGCAAGTGCGGCAACAGCTTTGCCCGCCACGATGCGCTCACTAGACACAAGCAACGCGGCATGTGCATTGGGGCATTCGATGGCATTGTTAAGAAGACCGCCAAGCGTGGACGCCCGCGGAAGCACCGACCAGACAATGAAGAACGGAAGGAAAAGGCTACTCGTACTCGCAAGAAGAACCTGTCGATCTCATCCGCATCGTCTCACGCTTGGTACTCGGACAGTTCTGCTGTCAACTCGCCCGAGAATGCGGAGAACGACGACTTCGAAATGCTGGATGATATCATGGATGTGTCGATGGGCGGAACGTCGATGAACCCAAGCAGCCTCCAAGGTGGATCATCGTCCGCTCCCATGCCAGCGCTTGCGGCCGACCCAGCAATGAGCGCGCACTCGCCATCGGCTGGCAGTATACACTCGTATGTATCGCAACTGTCGCACATGTCTCTCCACCCCGAAGCCACGGGAGAGGCGCTCCCATCGGAACACGTGTCTCCTGCCGACAGCATCGTCAGCCCATACAACGAGCCCCCGGAACTGTCTCATTCATCGTCTCGACCGACGTCAAGCCACTTCTACGACGTGGAGCCCAATTCCAGCGGCCTGGAGGCGGCGATCAGCTCGGCGAGCGAGGCATCCAATCTCGGAAGTCTGGATGGCATGCCGGAAGACATAGACGGCAGTTTACTGCTAGGTTACAGCAACAGTGGCTCGGCAATGTTGATGAGCCTGTCCGGCAGCAAGTTCGACGAGGCTTTCGACAGCGTCGACATGTTCACCGACAACGATGATGTGTTTTTCGGCAGCGTTTGAAGCTGACATCGTTTCATCGTTTCTCTCCATTGGTGATGCCTTGGCGTACAGCGTTTTGATTCCAATGCGATGAGCTGGCTTTGCTTTCCAGGTGTTCGACTAGAGGGATGGTAATAACGGACGGGAACGAAAAAAAAACTCACGAAGCTCACGTCTCGGTGTACTAAATAGCTCTCGAGCTCGGCCGGCGTGTTTTCTGCTTTCTGGCCATTGTCAAAGATCATGTAAGATAGAAGCGGCGGAATCGGGTTGCGATCGCCATGTCTTCGTTTGATGTGTTTGGGGCTTTGGGATAGGCAACTTGGGTAGAGGGTGGACTGGTCGTTTCGGCGTTTGCGCTCCGTCACGAAATATCCATCAACTGCCTTAGGACTGGACGGATGGATGGGGGTTTTGGATGCGCTGCTTTTGCCATAGGAACAATGAATGAAACGGGATTTGTGTCTGAAACTGATACGGGTGCTTGTATGTTGACCTGTGAAGAATTGTGAAATACTGGCAGTAAATGGAGAAACGGAGCAAAGTGCCAGGAGGGTTTGATGCTCTGGAGACGTGGATGATTGAAGCTGCCAGGCCCGTTGCCGGGCTGTACTCCGCTGCAGTCTTTCGACCGCCCTCTGTCAGGTCAAGCCCCGTCGATCGCATCTCTCAAGCCCTTATGAACCCAGGCTAGATGCTTTTCGCATAAGCTTCGGTCAAGATGTTCACTCCGGCTATCGTATCCTACGTCAGGCAGTTCTACCCTCTCGGCAACATGCCTGCCGTGAGCTTGACGAGGTCGCTCCCGCAGGGTCTCGATGCCGATATCCTGCTCCTGGGCTATGGAGATGTGAGGAATGTGCTTTATACTGCTGACTCGGAGAGGGAGTTTCGTGAGTTCTCCTGCACATTTTTCTTATTATGTGTACTGGTTTGAAGAGCGTTTGTGCAAGTTTCTCTTGCCAGCGCAGCTTCTGCTTCGACTCAACCGTCCACTTATGCTTCTGGGCTGCTTCTCTCGACCCCTTTCGCTGACTTTCCCCAGCGTCTCGGAGACTTGACATCACATGTTGCGATATTGACACGAACATTATTGGTAAGACCTCCTTTCGAGTGTACGAAAAAGACATCCGCTGACACAAGATAGCGCGCAACGCCATCTTGTTTACTCTGCACATCGATGGAGTGAGCGCAGATGTCGCAATGGACATCTACTACCACTTCTACATCAGCGAGACCTCAATAAAAGTCTTGAAGGAACAGGCCAACAAGCTACTCTCCTTAGCGAGCAGCATTGATGAGTGGAATAAGGGCCAATACGGCTCCCTGGTGAGCTTCTGTGGTGGGGGCTCTCTTCATCGCGTCAAACAAGTCTGGGCGAAGTATGCCTCGCCTCCGTCCGAGTCACGGAGCAAGGCTGCCTTTGAGCAAGATCTGCGAAGCACGCAGGAATACAAGATGGAGTCGAGCGGAGCCGGCGGGACCAGCCTGACACTCACGGGGATCAGATCTGCTTCTCCCCTAGCCATAGCTGCCATGCTAGAAGTACCAAAGGTCTACGACCACTACTGGAAGCACGGCATGTTCTCGAAACACCCGGCCTCTGAGGTCAACCCGATGTTCGCCGAGGCACTCTCCGCGAACGCATACCTCCATCACTCAACGGACCCCATTCTTGGGTTTCACCTCGCTACTGCCTTCGCCAGACTTGCCCCTACCTCTCCCCTTCGTCCCAGCCCAGCTAGGGGCGGTGAATAGACCGAATCGTCGAGGCGGCAAGAATTCAGTTCTGTGAATGGGTCACAGCGTTTAAGGTCATCGCGAAGGACAGCCTGCGAATCAGATTCGCAGTAGCTGATGCTCTCAATTTCAGTCACACATTACAGCATAATTCGGTTGCGCCAGGTACCCCGGCCAACATATTTCGACGTCAGCTAGACGCTTCAGTGATCGACCTCGACCAGAGCGCCTATGGGGAGGGTGGCACGGCGCCGTCACTATTCGACGTTATCGACACATCCAATCTCGCTGACTACATCGGAGCGTTGAAATACTCGTTGCGTGCGGCCCTCTGTTGAAAGATTCGGCATCATCTACACTACATGTCGAGACGCTACTCAAGACACAAAACACCCGCAAGGAACAGTTTGATGCTCTCTTAAAAGGCCACGCTGCTACTATATCGCTTCTGCTGGGACTCACGCCAATCGACTATTGGACCAATGCGACACACGTATCATATGTCGACGAAATGGTCGTCGGGGCCCAACTTTCGGCGGGTTCAACTGTCGGACAGGTAATCTCGCGCTTGTCATGGAAACCAACCCGATGCTTCTCCCCACAGGACACTGTGTCAGGACCTGTGGCAATGGAAGCGCACGCACTTGTCGAACCGGTGTTCCAATTTTTCAAGCAGATGTTCGAGTACGAAGACGTCTCGAGCCTACTCGCGAGTAATCTTTCCCATGAGGAGAAGGACCAGAGGGAGCGAAATGGCACCTATCCGGCGTTCAATCGCGGTAGTTCCGCAATCCTTTTAAACTGCTACGAGCGAATGTCTCTACCGGTTGGCGAGCGCTCTGGTCGTTGCTAGACGGGCCTGTGAGGGAACACACATTTTGCGAGGGGAGCAATGCTGAATATCTTGAGGAATACGCTGCCCAGACTCGAGTTCATGGCGTTTCGGATATGGAGGGGACTCGCCTCGAAGTTGAACCAACATCCAGTTTGGGTGGTTTCAATGCATGGCCAAATGTCCCCGAAGTTCTGTGTGTTACAGTCGTGGTGCCGCGACAGAACATTGAGCACCTCTACAGCACGAAGACCAGCAAGCTCAACGCGCCCAGACTCGAAAGCACCATGACGTCGAGCCCGCCGAGCCCCGTGGAAGGCTTCTTATTCTCTTCTGTGCAAGTCATGTTCGGTGAGGTAGAGACACAAGGAGCCAGGACAGACGACGACTTCTCAATAGTTGTTAGACCGGACGCCCGTGGCTGGCAGGGCAACTGCCCTATGATCGCATCCTTCTACCTCACGACGGAATCGTTCCAGTCCGCAGTGAAAGAAGGAATGGTCGGACTGAATGTACGGAAGTCGGTCGCGAACCTGAACACGTATCAACATCTGCAGCCGCCGATGACCGTCTACAAGACAAGCATCAGTGATGAATCTCATGTGTTCGTCACTCGATACATGCCTGGAATGTCAGGATATCCTATTGCGTGTGCCCGGGCAGGAGCCGGAGCTCAAATTGGACACGCTGGAGGTTCTGAACAAAGCAAAGCAGAAGGAATATCAGCCACGAGAACCACAATATCCGCAGATCAGCAATCCGGCAAGATTCACATGTTTCCTGGACGAGTTGATTTCCTAGGGGAGAAAGGTAAGGCACTTCTGACCGAAAAGGTGCCTATCAATCTACGATGGTTATCCCCTACGTCACTCGAGATTGTATTTGGAAAGGATACTATGGTGTATCCTGTCTCGTTTCCGGCGCCAGTCCACCAGGGAGCCGCCAAGACGCAGATTGCGCGCAAGTCAAGCTACACTGCTGTGATTGCACCTCTTGCAGACTCCCTTACTTCGGAATCATTGTCATCTTACATTTTCCCCATCGTCCTGTGGTCGGATTCTGTGCCTGTTACGCTCAATGGCCACCACGTCAACCTGGATTCACTGCCCATCTTGAACTTGGAAGAAGCCGACAAGGCTGCCAACCAGTGGCTTGTGACACTGACATCACACCAATACTCTCTGCGAGAGCGGCAGATCCGAACGACGGGCAGGTCGTCTGATGGCCAAACTAGTTCGCCACGCACCAACTTCAAGGAGTCACTCCTTACGATGTCACCTTTCCTGGTAAAAATCATCCGTGCGCTTACACTTGTTAGTGTATTTGCGTGCAGCACAGTAAAATCTTTAACACTTGGCATTACGCCGTAATCTCAGACAACAACACCAAGGCCAGCATCTCGAGATCTGCCTCGTTCTACCGAGGGAGCGAACTCAGTACTCGTTGATGGCGGCCTTCACAACCCCCCAGCGGCCTACCCAAGCCGCACCTGACGCCGCTCAGTTTACATGGGAACCTGAGCCCATCACCCCTTCGAATCTCGATCAACGGAACAAGAAAAGGAAGCCTGCCAATGTCTAGGCTCCCCCAGCAATTGACCTTACTGGAAAGCCCGCTACCCGACACAATGACATTGCTGCCAGCGTATTCGCATCTCACTTAAAGGACCTTGAGCGACAAGCCCGTATCAAACGTACTGTCCTAAGACAGTTCACCGGCTGCCTGAACGACTTTGTAGGCATTTATAACAGACCACAACAGTCTGAATACAAAAAGGAGGCCCACTTAATGGTTAAAATAATTTGTAGCCATTTAAACACTGCTATCTTTTCTAATACTGGCGGCACTTTCTATGCGCCCATTCGTGTCCAAAGCTCTGGACCTATTGACCCTACCACCACCAACACTACCACGACGAACACGCCAGGGCAAGACCTTGGGGGGAGGTCCTCCAAGCAGGTCTCCTGGGCGGGTATTGCCAAAGCAGGCCACGCATCGAACGCAGGGGGTAGTGCTACCGCCCATGCTAGTGCTGGACCCTCCGCCCGTACGTCCCGCCACGGGGCCACAGCGTCTGCCCTAGCCAGGGATGAGACACCAATTTTGATACGCCTAGACCGTTTCCACACGACCAGACATAGCCTTCGCAATATCACGCCTCGCTAGATTCCTCACAAACCCAAGTCAGATCCATCAGAATGCCGCCGACCGAGTCATCCGATACCTATACAGAACAAGATACCACTCTCTCCAGTTTGGAGGAGGAAACGATTTAGTGGTGGCCAGTGATGCTTCCTTTGCCGACAATTCTCTCGACAGAAAGAGCTCTCAGGCATTCGTTATGACTCTCTTCGGAGGATTGATCGGCTGGAGGGCTAACAAGCAAGACACGGTCACTATATCTACTACAGAAGCGGAACTACTCGCACTGGCTCAGGCAGTCAAAGACTATGTACATCAGCCGGCTGGTTATGGAACTTGGTGTTCAACTTGAACGCGAGAAGATCAAAGTGGAATGCGACAATACACAGACAATTAAGTTAGTGACCGCCGAAATTGCCCTCTTGAAAACCAAATTACGGCATGTGGACATACACAACCATTGGCTTCGACAAGAAGTGGAACGAGGAACTGTCAGCATTAAGTACACGCCTTCAGCACAGATGAAAGCGGATGGGTTGACCAAGCCTTGCCGGCTCAACAGTGGGCAGGAATTCTGGATCAGTTGGGATTGGTAGACACTCGGGCGAGACAGCTTGATTTGAGGTCACAGGAGGGAGTCATTGAGAAGAGAGAAGAGATTCTGAGTCAAGACCCTGAAGTAATCTACTCTATAGACTAGTTCAGCCAGAGCCGTTGCCTGCCTGGCTGAGGGGGTGTGTTGGATTAAAGGTGAGCACAGAGGGCACCTTGATAGGTAGACACCGGAGCCTAGTTGTTCCGTCCCGGTCCAGCCCCCTCTGGCACAAAACTGCCACGGTCGCACAAGGACACTAGAGAGACAGAACACACACACACACTTCAACCTCACGATTGGCTCAAATCTGACAATTGGGAACGACGTCAGCACCATCCCTCACCCGGAGGAGGGGGGACACGATGGGAACCGCTGTTTAGATACAGTGGCTGTTTACGGACGAGACCTGCTAGCTGGGCAGCTGTATGTATATATATAGTATAGGACCTAGCCTAGCACGCCCGCCCGCCCTTTTGGAGGCCCAGGGCCGCCGCCATGCGGCAGGCCCCCTGGCGTTAAAAGTTACAACAACAACAACAACAAAATGCTAGCCCTTGTTCAGTGCACCGCCACCTCCCCGACGCCACGGTGGCTTGCGTGTTATTCAACAGGTTCTTCGACGGACAACTCGCGACCTGGAGGCAAATCTGCGCGGCGGCCCTCGAGGGCGGCTTCAAAGAAAAACTTTTAATCCCATAACACGCCAATCTCGCCCACCGAACAGGTCGCGAATGGCACGGCTGCGACAGCGTCGTCAATCCCGCGTGGCGGACGAACAAGATGCACACCATATTGATGGACATGCAGCTCGCAGGGCTCGCAGGAGGCCCGGGACCGCGATGCTATCTTGCAGGGATGTACATACCCGCTAAGGAAGGTGTCGCTCCGCGCGGGCTCGTACATAGACGAAGGGGGGATCCTGGCGAGTCGGACTGCCAGCAGGCGGTTTATGGGCACTACCATGAAAGGCTGCTGGAGATCAAGCGGAAATGGGATTTGTTGGGAGTTTTTATGGGCGCCGACGACAGTTGGGAGTGGGGGTTGGGCTGTTGACGCTGTTGATGGGTATTCCAAAATCCCAGAATGGGAGTCTTTACCCTGTTGGGACGGAACAGCTTGGGAAAGGTATTGGACATGCACATGTAAGACGATTCATAGATGGAAGGAGATTGAAGTTTTATTAGAAAATATTGCCTGCTCCTTGAACTCGTACGACGAATAGTAGTCGACCTGGCCCAGGATCCAGTTGAGGTTTCACTCGAGCAGGAGACCGACCGCGGGAACGGCCCTGCATCACACATTAGGTTGCGCGTCTTGCGCTGGAATCCCCTCCACCAGCTTCACGGGGAGCCTAGCTTGCCATTCCAGAACCCCCTCATGACCAGTGACCCTGAATGCAGATGGTGGATGCAGACGTAACCGCATAGACGTCCGACGCCCAAATTCAACCACCCCCATCAGTCAGGAGGCTGGCGAGCTTGCCCACGTGATGCTCGTTCAGGGTACACACCCAATCGGAAATGTGAGGATAGAGCGAGGAATGAACGGTTCAGCTTAACTTAGTCCCTTGCCATGACGTCGCTCTCCCGGTGGGGGCACCCGAAGAGATGGCCAGTCTTGTGAAGATGGAGCTCTCAGGTCGGTGTTGCTTGACTTGGTTTCAAGAAGCTGCTGCTGCTGACGATAGGAGCGGCGAGTCGAGTTGCTGTGAATCCTCGTCAACATTATCAATCAGGCCCTGATCAAGGTCGCCACGACCGTGGGCGCCCAGAGGGTGGGTTTGATCAGCTCCTGGTCATTGGCGAGATTCGCTTCATAGCAATCTACGAGGGTTTTGACGGCGGGATTGCCGTAGGAGGGATTGCGATTGTATCCTGCAAGAACACCGCGGGCGGCGGCTCGTTCGGCCTCCGAAGTAGAAGGAGGCTGGGATGTAAGCATGGTCGAGCTTTCAAGCTTCCAGATGGAATCAAAGAAAACTTACCATGACTGCAGCGATAGCGCTAGTAAAACGCTCTCAGGGTCCCTGGACCAGGATCCCAACATTGGGGAGTTGGAGCTCATGCGCCAATGCCGATGTTGGCAGCTTCCCAGGGCTTCCAGATTCGTTGTAGTCGTTGGCAACATCGGACTGACTGCGGAGCATTGCTTGCGACCCTAGTGGCGATAGCATTGGCGTCGCGGCCAGACGGCTTCCGACTCTTGGGAGTAGTCAGCTTCTTAACTTTGCTAGCAGACACCTTTCCGGCATTCTTCACTGAAGCCTGAATCTTCTTGGGCGCTCGTACCGGCGCCACGGTAGCCACGTAACTTACTGCGTGGGGTTGGTTCTTCGCGCTTCGTTGGGGCCTTCTCCGCTGTATTGTTCGAGTTGGCGGCTTTTAAGCTTGTCGAGCATGTATTCAACGGGCCTGCGCCCCTTAAATACAAGGCAGAGACGTTGCTCTTCGAATTCCGAAGCTAATTCTTGAAAAATTCCCGATGGTGTTCCGTTCGGCAGCAAGTACGTAAGCACACGGGAGGCCCCTGCGCATTTTGACCCTGACCAAAGCCGCGATCGTATCGGAAATCGCGCTTTTTCTTGCACCGCCGAATCAGGATCTCTCGCCCGTGCAAGGGTCTTGGCCCTAGCGGACTCGAACCGAACGCCATATCGTCTTTTCTTTTTCACTTATCCTAGCGGTAAAAGCGGCAATATATCGGGCAGCTTTCGCGCATACCTCGAAGGCTTTGGACGCCTGGGCGCAGTACCGGATGCCGTTCTAGTTTACCGAATAGCCCTGGGCGGCCATGCTCGCCACGATAGCTGCTTAGTCCTCCTGAGTGAACTTGGGGTCCAGGACTTCGTAGATGGACTGGTACAGAGCAGCGTTCATCTTGTCGTCCCACTTGCTGGATTTGGGCGCCATGTTTGCTTGATGAGACCTAGGAAGAGAAGCGGAATTCTAGCATGGCTAGAAGGCTCAAGTCGCCTTCCACGACGGTCAACACCTCGTCCATGCTGTAGTAGCAATGTCGTTGGAAGAGGGACTGGAGATACCGGCGCCTACCCCCAGAGGCAACCCTATGATCATTCCCAGCTCCCTACTCGGTAGGGTTGATCAGCTTTCCCGATCGCCTTATCGCCGGGGAAGAGACCGTCCTCCCATCCGGCAGAGACTCACGGAGCGCAGAGACGCTTCCCGTGGCAGTAGCCACGGGCAGCTCCTCGGAGGATGATCTCCGGTATCATAGGTCGGGGAGGCAGCGCGAGGATCTGGTTGTTGTCGTAGATCTTTTCGGCAGCATCCCAGAAGTTCTCTTCCTCCTCGTCCTCTTCCTCGGTTTATGATCTATGCGGGGCCGCTGACCAGGATGACGCGTGATCTGTTGCTCGGACCATGGGCCTTTGATTCATCCTCATCCGCATTGCCACCGTTCGTGTAATCAGACATCGCAGGACGTCGTTGCCGAGTCCAGGAGTCTCGTCCAGACGCTTCCAGATGCTTGGGTTCTTGTAGTTTGCGACAAGCCCCTAGAAGAATCTTCGCGAATATCGGGGTCAAGTCCGCTCGGGTCAGTGCTCCGGAGTCCCAGGGAGGAGTCTCCAATCTGTCAAGGGAGACGAAGCTCTCCATCCCTTGGGTCCGTATCCAGTCTCTTCCAGCTGCTATTCCAGATCCTCAGATCCTCAGATACCCATCAGACTTGATGTGCTCAGACTCGACCGGCACAGCAATACGACGTTGAGATTGCGAAAGGTCGTTCTAGGACCCTCGCTGGATTTTTCGCAGATCGTGCTTCTGCTGTGCCGTCGGCGAGGTTCTCTTCGGTAGAGAGGGGTTTACCACCAGGAAGGTAGTTGTCAAGGACGAGGGTGACCTGGTCGCGAAGTGCCTGGGTGGCGTCCATCTTGTCGGTGATGGCGTGGTGTTGATGGTGGTTGGTCCTTGAAGCAGCGACGATCAACAGTAATGGCTCTCGCCCGTGCAAGGGTCCGGGCCCGAGTTAACACAAACCGAACGCCACAGCGTCTTCTCTTGTTCACTCATTCCGGCCGTGAAGTACCCCGGCCAGCCTTCGTGCACACCGCAAACGCCTTTGAAGCCTGGGCGCAGTAGGGAGAGAAGCGGAATTCCCTGCAGGGCCCCAAAAGGCAGAGCTCCGAACGGCCTCGTCATTCTTGTCGTCGTCGTCGTCGCCCTTGTCCTTATCCTTGTCGGCTTCGTCGTCTGCTGGTTATACGTTAGCTAAGTACTATGGGCATGGATGGTCTCTCATGCTCAAGAGTCAAGACTTCACGTGCATACCTTTCCGGCACTTAGGCCTCTTCTGCCTCAGCCTCACGGGACCAAGCAGCCGCCAGAACTGTGAACTGATGGTGGCGTGCGTGGCGGCTGGCGCCACTCCTGCCTGCGAAGTCGTTGGTGTTGGCTGGAAGGCTCCCGTCGCCTTCCATGATGGTCAACACCTCGTCCATGTCGTAATAGCAATGGCGCTGACTTCGTGTTCCCAATCCAGAACATTGAGATGATATCGATGATGTGGAATCAATTCAGGCTCTGCCGCAACCTTGAGCCAATAAACGATGGGGTTTTCTTTTTTGGGTGGCTCATGGCTGAACTCGCTTCGTCTTCTCCCTCGCTGGCGGCCGTGGCGGAAATACAGATCAGACTGAACGGTAGTCCGTATGCCATGAGGTTACATCAATAATAAATCAATAAGAGATCAATGGTGTCAACGTATATTTACGGTAACGGCCCCGGCGGGACGAGCAATGTCGCTGAAAGATACTGGATATCACATGTAGGACAATTCGTGGATGTAAGGAAATATAATTAATATTACAAAATTCTGACACCTAGTCGACCTGACGCCGGATCTGGTTGAGGTTTCGCCCGAGCAGGAGACCGACCGTGGCAATTACGCCGCTCTCCTGATGAGGGCACCCGAAGAGATGGACAGTCTCGTGGCGACGGGCGCCAATGCCGATATTGCCAGCCTCCCCAGGAGCTTCCAGATTCGAGGTAGTCGTCGGCAAGGTCGGACAGCGAGAGCGTGGTCGTGGTGCAATAGGGGAGCCTCGGTAACCGCGGTATTCGACCATGACAGCGGCATGAATATTCATGGCAAGAGCGACCATCAAGTCGCTCTGGCACTTGGCAATGGGACCGAACTTCACAAGCTCGTATCGAGCCTGTTCCACGTCGACGTCCATATCCGGCGACACTGAAGTCAACAAAAGCACCTGTTATTACGTTGCGTTAGCTTTTCGTGACACGCTCGAGATGACAGAGACGGCAGAGAAGAAAAGACACTCACGGTTGGCCTTGACCCTTCTCAGTGGGTCAAGCACGGCCCTCAATCAACACTTCCCTTGCCTGCGACCGCAGTGGTCGGCCAAGACTTCGACGATGAAGTGTCGTCGGCGAGGTGCATGTCGGCCAAGATCAGGATCCTTCGCCAGCGCAGGGGTCCTGGCCCCAGCGGACACGGGCCGAACGCCACAGCGTCTTCTCCTCATCGCTCATCCCAGCAGTGAACTTGGCAATGCCCTGGCGAGCTTTCTCGCACACCTCGAAGGCCTTTGAGGCCTGAGCACGCCAGGAAGAGAAGCGGAATTCTAGAAAGGCTGGAAGGCCCCCGGCGCCTTCCATAACGTTTAAAACCTCGTCCATGTTGTAGTAACAATGGCGTTGGAAGAGGGCCTCGAGATACGGGCGGTTGATGATTTCCGCCGGGCCGCTGACGAGGATCACGCGGGATCTGTTGCTCGGCCCTTCGGCCTGCACTCGAGTGCGGTTCATGGTGACATGTGGCAAGTAGTTCCCCACCCGGAACTCTCCCCGGCTGACTTTATCTAGTAGGCGGCCGGTTTCTGCTCGCTCGAAGAAAACGACTTTCGCGCAGGCGGTGGAGTGGTTCGTGTCCGGAGGGCCGACGTTACATGCGAAGATCTTCCCGACGCCCCGAATTGCCGCAAGCAGCATGTGGGCGTCGCAGTCAAGGGGCAGGTTGGTAATGTAGACCGACATGCTCTCGCTCTCTTGAATGTTGGCAGATTGATTGCCGGAGAGCGATAGGTTTCCTTGGTAGCCGGAGTATCGGTGGTTGTTCGCCGGTCCCTGGTAGTTGAATTCGTGATGGAGCTGCTGGAGAGGTATGAGAGCTTGCGGTTGCTCAAGTGGTTGCCATGAAGGGGTAGCCGAAGACCATCGTCCACTGCCGATCGGTTGCAGGTTCACATTCGCTTCACCTCGAGGTGCAGACTCTGAACCCTGGAAGAGCTCCAGACGAGCAAGTCGCGAGTCGAATGCAAACGCCATTGTTCTGTAGCCCAGGTATGTCAGAATGCACCAGTCTGCGGCAGTGAGGAAGAGGCTGTGAACCTTACCTGGTAAGAAAGAACTGCCTGTAAGGCTGACCAAGGACGGCAGATTGCCTCGTGCTGAGAAATGGAGTTGACTGGGGGTTGGAAAATACTGCCGGTTCTTGAAAGGGCGAGATGTATTCAGTGTGAGGAAAGACCTGCAGTCTGGGTGGGTAGATCCAGGATGGATACCATCCGTCAATCTGCTGCGTTGGGAAAATCAAGTCTAGGTGGGTGAAAATGACCAGTTGTGCAGATGTAATCGCGCTATTCCCCTCCAAATGTTTCCCAGGCTACACAGCAGTTATTTCACTGTCGACCACTGTGTTTAAGGTAATTAACCACCTAGCAGGCCTGCCATTGCCTTCAAAGGCGGTGTAGCGCTACAGTATCATTTAGTTAACAACTGCAGGGCAACTAACTGGTCACTGTGAGAACGTGCATCCGTGCTGTAGGTAGATAGATATATAGCGGTGTTCTTCAGGCGTCGCTGACACAATTTGGAAGCACAACTGGAGCTACTGGCGGAGCAGCTTTCATATCAGGAGTCTCATCGACTGGCATTTTGTTTTTTGTGTGCTTGTTGCCTGGTTGTTACCGACTTACTTCTGATTGTCAACCAGTCACCCTTCACCCAGTGCCGATGGACCCTTTGTTACATCGCCTGCTCTTCTTGGTGAAATGTAACATGTACTCACTCATGGTAAACTATGTCTAACGTCATTGCCTTCACTCGTGGGGCTTGCTACGTCGGGACATACCTAATTCCTGCTCCACCACTGACTCTTATGTCCTGTGGCTAGGCGATCCTGTCTCTGTTTCTGGAATTCAACAGCACACAGACGAGAATTCTACCCTGCAGCTTGCTCAAGATAAACTTTCCCATGTCATTCTCACAGTGAAACAAGCACACATATCACCGACTGCCAGATAAGGATGCGCTCATGATTAAGGTTACAAAACTCCTCTTGTCTAGGGGAGGAGTGTCCAATTTGTCAAGGGACTCTTCACTTGGTTCCATATACAGTCTCTGCCAAAAGATCCGCTAAATTACATACCACGGTTGAGTACTAAGAATCACGGTAGTGGAGTTGTGCTAATGTCACAACGACCACAGCCTGGGCTCGGCTGCTATTAGGGAATGGGTGAAGTTAGGAATGGACGAAGATTAAAAGTCAGAGATGACCAGAATGAATCTATTGATGACGTATGAGCTTTACCAAGCATAACCGCGACCTAACCTATACGGCCGCAGAGCATCTCCTGTACCTGCCTGCTGAAACAGACATGCGCTCTGTCAAACAGAGCGTAGGGGCTTTTAGATGGGTGAAAACGTATATCCTGGTGTAATCCGTGTTCTTGTTGTATCTCTGTGAAAATCCTTCTGTGGGCTAAGTGGCCCAAGAATGCCCTATTGGCCTTGTTGGTGCACTGCCACTTCCCTGAACGCCACTGTGGCTTGCATGCCATTTGACACCTGGCGGCATGAGCAGTTTACTATGGAAAATTTTCTCATGCCTTCGTATGCAAGGGACGCTACCGTATGCCATTAAATGGCCGAGCCTCGCCGGACGATTTAAGCTTGTCCCCTGTTCGTGTCTCCTCCCTGATTTGCGCCGGCAGCACAGATATCTTGGCGGCTATGGCCTCCATCATGGTGTTGCCATTGTCCCTGATCTCTTTGGCGAAGAGATTGGGGTCGATCAGCGGTCCAGGCTGCTCAGGGGCCTGCTGTCCGGCCTCCTGAGCAGCCCTTCGCCGCTTCCCAAGCTTGTGGAAGCGAGTGTCGGCCTGGTTGAAGGCTAAGGCCTTTCTTGATATTGAGCTTGCGCTTCTTGGTAGGAGTCTTGGATTTGTCGTCGTCGGAGTTGTTGTTGGAAGCCTTCTTCTTCTCCGTATTCAAGGGGAACACGAAGTCAATGGCGAGACAGCACAGTTAAAGCATGTTATCAGGAGTTATGAGGAAGCATTCATATTGTTTCGCCCGACCGACCAAGTCTGTCAAAGGAGAAATCTATCTATCCCCAGGCAAGAAGCTTCCAAGGCTATGGCAGCGTGCACCAGCTCGCAATCCTGATCCTCTACCAAGTATGCAACCAAGTCTCCTTACTCTTCCCGACCAATATCCATGCTCGAGAGTGTTCTTGGATTCGGAGCTCTCAACGCCAATGCCAAAGACGCCGAGCGGCAATGAGTCTCCTCTCGAAGGACAACGGGAACCCTGGTTAGAAAGTTAGCAAGTCATTGGATCAAATCAGAACGTGTGAGGCGATGTGTATAGTTTACCTTGTGATTACATGCTCGGTTCGTCGCACTCAGGGAGGCACCGTGGCTAAATGGGTACCCGGCTGTGGTAAACTTTCCAGCGATGACCGCCAGACGGCACGGGGTATCGCCCGACTTGTGCTGAATGTCACAGCGTCTTCTGTCCCTTACCCATCCCAACTATAAACCCGGCAGTACCATGGTAGTTCCAGTTTCCCAACTAATCAGAAGCATGTTATGTCTGGTCTAGTGATGACAGCGCCGGGTCGAAGTAGAGGACGTCATCTGAGCTCATGACTTGACCGTTGGAGAGGGTTGAGAACGTGGTGTCCAGGGCCATCTTAACCAGCATCTGGTGCTGGTTTACCACCTCAATTTCTCCATCCTTCGATGCCTCGAATTGGAGGATCTTGGGCTTCGGCTCTTCTCCGTTGCTGGCTATCTCCCAGATGGCGTTTTGAAGCTCGGCAGGCATTGCCACGCAGGAGAAGTCGTCTTGGAGGCATCATGATGGTAACGGGAGCGGTGCTGCTGTCGACGTGTGCGTTTGGAAGAACAGAGAAATTCTCCCGCATAAGACTTCCGTTCACTGCCGATCAGTGGCAGATTCACGTTGGTCTCACAACAAGGTGCAGTATTGGATCCCCGAAGGAGCAGACTAAGTATGTCAGAATGCATCAGTATGCGACAGCAAGGAAGAGGCCGTGGACTTACCGGATGTCAAAACCACGTGCAATCCTATCAAAGCAGGGTAGACTCCTAGCGCCACAGTTGACACCACTGTAGTGTCCTTGACCTGAACCCTAGCCACCACCATAGGTGTAGGCTCAGTAGGAATTCCCGGACGGTGTTCCGTATCCGGTATGGGCACAGCATCGGGTGCCAAAGCTGCCAGTGTTCACAGCACCAACACGAAGAGAGGTAGACGACTCCTCTTCCTTCTTGATAGTGGAGACTTCAGGGCTCGCCTGTGCCTGCACCTGGCGCTGGATAGGAAGAACATGAGTGACACGGGGGTGGCGGCTTCCGTTCGGATCTTTTGCTGTTCTTGCGCTAACTGCTTCAGTGCTTAAAGGACGGAGTTGGTTCATAGGGGCGAAGACTTATGGCCTCTGGTCTCCTATCCCATGTCCCTTTCAGTGAAAGAGTTATAGTGGATTGAAATGATAATAGAGATTAAATCTTCACGGTGTGGTGAGTGAAGGGACAGCTGAAAGGTGCAAGCGCTTCTAAGGAAATAGGGACAATGCAGATGGATCAGAAGGGATCGCTGATGGTTGAAAGGATGAGACGAACCTATCAGGGAGAATCATGGGAAAGCCTTGCAGTCTGGGTGGGTAGAAGTGACTGGTTGTGAAGGTGTAATAGGGCTGTTTCCCAGTACGAACGGTGAGTCCGACTGGGTAATGAAGGGGATGTTGAGGTCTCGGTCTATTAGAAACGTTAGATCTGGAGTAGAAGTGCAACCGGGTCTCTGAGTGGCGGTCTCTTACCTCGATCGAAATCGAAGATCCTAGGAACGAGTTAGTAACGGCCACCAAAGTGAACGAAAGGTGGATGAGAAAGACGTGCTTATGCCCATTGGCTGGGCGATATGAGGCACCTGGTGCAGTGGCGCCGGCTCCCGCGTCCCGCACGCTGTTGAGCAGCATTGCAACTGTACAGCGAGACGGTAGTCCAGTGAGGAACAATGAGGTATTCATTTCGTCCGAGACATTGGCTGAGTGGTTCGCTGCCAGTCTAAGGCTCCCGCGATAGTTGTTGCCTGGGTGCTTCAATGTCCACAAGCGAGAATTATGTCGTGTAGTTCTGCTAAGGTAGAGGGAGCTCCGTATCCTTGTATAGGTATATCCAGCTGGCTGGAGGGCTTGTATCACCTTAGCGAGACCGCACAAATTCAGCCAATGGACGTCTCAAATACTAGAATCTCCTCAATGCCTGTATCGTGGCAACAAAACCTTCCCTGACAGTTGTGCACGCAGCCTGGTTCCCCCCCAGCACCCCACCACCTTTCAGTCGCCAAGCGAACCACCGCAACCCCACAACCATTCGGCTAAACTCTTTCATCACAGAAATAATTGATATCTGAATACCTAAAGCATGTGCCTGAGCCTCTCTCACCTACCCGCACCCCTTATACATCACCATTTCCCTACCCTCCTGGCCACTCTTTCGCCTCAAAAACTCGACAATCACCAAGGTCAAGACTGACAACCACTATCAACAACAGAACAGACAAAAGCACCAACAGCACCATACGGGCCATGGGCTGAATTCTCCCCCAAGAAGACCACCAAGCAAGAAGAGAAGGCAGACTCGGAGAATGACGGGCAAGATCCAGTCGCTAAGGTTGATCCAATCTCTTCCCTTCTTCTTCTCCTACCAACCCCTTAACCCTTCCACCAACCGCAAATATGTGCGGGGTCCCTGGATCTCCTGCATCGTGACGACAATTTCTTGACTGCTCTCAAGAAAAACAGCTCGCAACGGCTCATCAGCAACCACAAAGCCACACAGCCCTCTGAGATCATCACCGCTTTACAAGCCTTTTTATGTTCTCTCGAGAAGATCATCACCATTGACACCGACAGCATCAACCTCACCCTCACCCTCACCGACATCGTCACCACCCCACGCACCGACATCACGTCCTACACCGCCGAGAACGCCGTCCAACTGTCCGATGAGGCCCACGATGCCCTCATGAAGGCACTGGTGAGCCGGGTTCACCTCACCAGCGCAGAGGCGGCTGCAGGCATCAGCCATCTCCTTCGTAAGTAGCAGCAAACCAAATTCTGAATCAGGCCCTCAAGGGGTAGCTTGGTTGTAGGTAGATCTCTTTACCACAAGCCCTATCCTGACATCCAATGGCAAACCACAGATTGACTTCACAAGCTACCGCAAGAAACAACCACCAATTATGGAATCGCAGCAGAACGAGAAAAAGCGTACTGCGCCCAGCGACGAGGGGGGCGAGAAGAAGAAGATCAAGGAGAATCCGGTGGAGAATGTCTTCATCAACCACATTGCGGAGAAGTCCCGGTAAGTAAAGAACGGCATGAGCGCCGGGATAAGCACTGGCATACGCACAGAAACAAGTCTTATAAGCAAGACATCACCCCCAGATCCGGAGCTACTCGCTTGAGCGCCGCCGCCAAACTCGGAACATCTCTGACATGAGGTGCACCTCTCAATTCCATGGGAGGGAATGCTTCTGTCAACGCCATAGAGATGGGGGTTCTCCTGTCCAGCCGGATGCCCGAAGACCTAGTGTCCCATTCACCGCAGAGGGTCCATTTAGGCAGGACAAGACTTGCGGAAAAGCCGAAGGCCGCACCTCGATCCACTAAACAACCGGTACCGACGCAAAAGCCGAAAAGGGCTCCTCGACCCAAGAAGCGGAAAGTAAACCCGGTCTTTAAGGAAGCGAACGATAAAGCCATGAAAGCGGTTTGCAGTGACGTAAGATGCCATGGAGATAATAGTGCCCCTGTCGACGCCATAGAGATGGGTGTGCATCTGGCGATGTCATGGAAAACCTATCTCTAACATGGCACCGCAGCTCGTAGCAGGTAGGTCTTCAAGAAGCCCGCTAGGAAATCCGCACTTGCTAACGTTTTGGTCATTCATAGTTGCCTGCTCATACACCTTAGCACAACGGCAAATCTCATCGAGCTCGTCGGAAGCTTGAATGAATTGAAGAAGGGCAAAGCTGCTTCAATCAAGGTTGACCACATTCCGTGATTCTTCAAGGGCCCCAGACCGGGCGTCACGGAGCTCAAGAGGACATACGCGGTCCTCCCACAGGACGAAGGAGGAATCGAGATCAAGTCAGCTGTAGCTGCGTATCTGGTCAGGATTTGGCGCCTGTGCGACAAGTTCGACAAGCGCGGTAGGAACTGCGTTCCGCGCATACCTCGATCGAGTTCCCTTTGAACTGGGAACGTCGGAGTAACAAATACGAGCCTCCCCATGTTCGCACTGCTTCTGCCAGGTTTGTTCTCCTTGCATGGCATCCTTGGAGATCCGCGATTAACGTATATTCGAAAGAATCAGCGATTCCTGGTTGAAGCGGTCGATGACGAAGGCGTATTTGGCGCTCAAGTCGCTCCCCACTACAGCCATAAGGAAGTCGTCAACTTCCCGGTCTCCGAGAGCATGAGCGCATACAGCCGTAGCCAGACGACCATGTCTTCGCTCATGGCTGCCCAGGTTGGACTCTCGCGCCTCCGGCTAGGAGCAGCATGTCCCCCTTTTCCCGACCGATGCATTACACTCAGGCGAGCGTTTCGAAGTGCCACAGACACACCCGGCCGGGGATTATACGGATAACCCGTCACGTCGCTGCCCCTTTTGCCACCAGGCTAACTTAGGTCATGCTCGAGGACATCGTCGCACTCCACGGGATGAGGCCCACAGTTGAGCGCGTGAAGCGCTGCATGCCCAACTATATGCCAACAGTCAGTGTTGGTGTCCCAAAGTCGTCTCAAGAAGGCTCCGCGGCAAAGAAAGATGCCTTTGAATGCACGCTTTAGCATGGCCCAGCCTTTTGCATTGGGGGCCTGTCAAAGGGGGAATCATCCAGCGGCTGTGCGGAATCTGTGGCAACGGCCATGGAGGGAACGAGGGCGACCATACGCCCAAGCTCGACCAGCCCCCTGACAACGGCTATGGTCAACGCTACCAGCCAGACAGTCGGTCGAGGTTTGGCCTGACGAGACTTTGGAGATTGACTTACTGACCTGTTGATGTGTGCCGAAGGGCCAGATCCGAAGCGACCTTGCCTAGCGGACGGATGTGAGATGCGGTATGATTACGTGGTGTTGATGGAGACCAGGCCAAGACCCATAAGAAGAACAAGAAGGTGTAACCTCGATCTGTGAAGATGACGATGAAGCTTAGCCGAGGAGAGAGACCCAAGGGTTCAACCAAGCTTTGTCACTAGAGTCGGAGGCTCGCTCCCGTGGCAGTCGGCCAAGGGTATCATACGTCGAGGTTTCGCACGAGCTCATGCTCTTGTGCCGGAGGGATGCGGAATCGATCAACGGGCCTGGCTTGCTATGATTCGCCTTGCTGAAGCTGTTCAGGAGTGCCAAGAGTTGAGGATCAGGTGGTCACTGACGATGGGACCCTCATCCAGTTTAGACAAAAGGAGGTGAGTTCATGATCCTGCTTTCAGAGAGCCCTCCCAGAGAGTTTGATTGTTGAGGTGTAAGACATCTCCAGCATCACTGACGTCATTCGTTCATCAGGAATGGACTTCTTCCAAGATCAACCTCTCAACAGCAGCTATCCCCGCGCGCACTCGCCGGCTTGTCCTGGAAGCACATGGACAGTTCTGCAGCAGCCTCTTTTGAGAGCCACGAGCAGCACACAAAGGGTTATGATCAGACGAACAAGATGGCTGTCCTAGACGTGAGTCAAAATGTGGATTGTTTCAAAACATCCAGGGCATTCTTCCTCGTATCCCACCAGGCGGATGCGACTTCGCGACCAACCGTCAAGGGGCACTGAGCAGGACAAAGGGGCCGGCAAAGAGCGGCAAAAATATACGGCAGTAGTGGCAGGAGCGAATAGGCTCCAGTCAAGTATCTCTGAAGTGCGACAAGGGGTTCTTCTGATTGATGCCTGTTGTTTGTTGGCGTAGACACGATATGCGGCACCCCGGCCTGCATTCCCAACGACATGACACTGGTCACCCAGGTAGTCTGGGCTCGTTGGATAGGGTTGCTGTATATTGCCCTCACTATTGCCTCGCTGACTGGAAAGACACGCACTGGTTGGACCAGGTGGTCGTGGCAGTCCGAGCTGATCAGCAACGAGCATGGCCAAAAGGTTGTTGTGCTCCAAAGAGAAACTCGAGCAGTCGGCTCAGCATGCTGACGCAACTGAGAATCCTCCTCGGCGCCTTGGAAACCAATGGTCGTTTCTCGGATTCCACTTTCCCGTGGACGAAGAGCTGCTCGAGCTTGCCTGGATCACCCTCTCACCTTTCTTGGTCAACGAACCGCCGGCCTACACGGTGCCTATCATCATGACAGACTCTCAGCCCCGAGAGACTGGTCCGTCTAGATCCGCCCACTTGCCCTCAGTGAAACGCAATCTCAAAGAACACGGAGGCTTATCTGTTGCTGATATCCTGCGACCGTCTGCGACTCCGATCAGGGGCACCTGCTTGTACGTCAGAAAAAGACATGAGAAGGATCGCCCGTGTTGAGAAAGCCAGTCAAGCCCATGACATGCCACCCTGGCGGAACCCCGTAGTACATGGCTCGTTGATGGGTGGTAATGCTGGCTTTACTGACCTTGGCACCTGCTCCATGGTTCTCTCTGACAAGTATGAGGATCTCGACGAGACGTGGGCGCATGTGCGAAGGGAAGCTTTACCGAGTACTACGCCCAACACCGCAGCAACAGATGTGCTAGTCTGGCATGAAGTCTAAAAAGCCTGTGTAATTGCATGCTTCCACTCGATGCCCCTTGGGACGAACGCCGCTTCGGAGAATGACTCCGAAATTCTAGAAGACAAGCGCCCGAGGGGGACGAAGAAGCTGTGAGGGCAATTCAAGCTTCCGCCGATGTTTATCTTCGCTGGGGTGCCAAGTCCATCCCGACTGGCGCCGCCGCGTTCACTTGCGACATGGCCAAAGAGATTGTGAGCTGTGCCTTCATGAGTTTCACACTCGTCGGAGGGTTGCCGTTACTGGGCCCATTGAGATGGTCGATAAATGGCGAACAACTGATCATCTGGTCTCCATTCTGCGAAGATGTGTCTCTCTGCGTCTCACCTTGGTTCACTGTACTGCCGACAATGTCTTCCCATATCGCATGACAGAGGCTCTTGCAAATATTGCACTAGAGACTCTAGGAGAGCTCGGGGAAGTGGGAGAGATCTCGATGGAATTGGGCGAGGCTGGCGATACCAAGCAATGGACTGCGGGACGGCGCGTGGTCAGGAAGGTCACCGTCAAATATGGAGGTCACTAACGCTTGACATCTTGCGCTGACAGCTGCTAATTCGCAGACAGGTCATAACACAATCATGAAATGGGCACCGGTTGCCCTCGAGGTCACTAGGATATTCCGCGATACCGAGACGGGTGAGAGATGAAGCGAACATACATATGCGTATTGAATCGCGCACCAACTCAAGCTGCGCAAAACATGATGAACAAAGGTTGCATTGGCGTGGATGCAGTAGTGCGGGGATTCTGCTCCCGGGGTCAGGATAATGCAAGCGATATTTTATGCAGTTCTGGAAGACATACGACTTGCTGCGGTTCGACCGAAAGTGGGCGGCGGTGTAGTTAAAAACAACGTCGCCGCCGCTATGGATGATTGATCGAAGACATATCGCGCTGTATTTCTAGGAGCCGAGGACAACCATGCAGGCGAAAGAATATGTGTCGGGCATGGAGCCCAGATTAAGAACCTGCGTTCGGTCAACCGTCGAGGTTTCACACCATACGTAGGTCGATCAGCGAGATCAGAACGTACTAATGTCCTGCGAAGGCCCAGGCGTTAGAATGACGACCGCTCCTCCTACAAGCTACGATGAGCCACCTGCGGATGTTTCTGCTGCTTTCAAAAGACATCTATGCTTAAGGGTACGAGCTCGGGGGGTGGGGGGATTATAAGGCATAGTGTGACGCAGCAGTAGCTGTCTGCAAGGTCCCGACCAAGTCAATCCACGTCAACGGGACCCTTTCGTTAAGTTGAGTTGATACTATCTACGATTTCGTCGTTATTAAGTTAAGTTAAGTGTATTAACAAGGGATTTCCGTTAATATTAATTAAAATCCACTAATATAATAAAATACCTATAAATAGTAAGAAATAGTAGGGTAGCGAAAGTACCTTGGCATGACCCACTATGACCCGGATATTTTAGTATGGTTAAAAAAAGATTTATCAACAATACTTACGCCAATATCAACTCACGATAGCCTCGTCGTTAAGTTGGTTGCTAAGGCTACAAAGGTCTTCGTGGATTGAGTTGGTGTGGATATTGACGTCAACTCAACCAACATGTTGATATCCGTTGAGTTGGTCGGAACCCTGGCTGTCTGTGAAGGTTCCAGCCTATACAGATGGCGATGGCAGCGAATTTTACCACTAAATGATCTCTCAGATGGTCAGTTAACTAGTCAATCCCCATACAGCATTCAGAAGAGTGTGGGGTCATGGGTTCGATTCCCATGCTAAGACTGTCTGCATTGTCCTTTAGGGGTAGATGCGCACCTCCTGTTTCGGAGAATTACAAGAGGCTGTTGCTATGGCCATCGTCACCCGCATGATTTAAGCTTGAAATAATAGTATGCCTGGGAACATGCCCATCGAGTGGGTAGCTTTTTATGTTTTGTTTATTAATGTTCCTTGTCCAACTAAGTTCAATGCATGACGCGTACTTAGTCAACGCGACGGCAGCGCATAGCAAGTCATCCAAGCCCACGCCGAGCATCATAGCGGACAGCACCCCCTGGAACGTCACTGCGTAAATGATTGCACGTAGCATCAGGGGTAAGACTAAGAGGATCACAGCGCCTGGCTATCAGGCATAACACCACGACGCATGTGGTCCTTGGTATCCCAAGAACCGCAGTTGAGCTAGCAACGAGGCAGCGAGTATACAAGACCTCTTGAGGGAGGATGCACTGAGAAGCTATTTGCCCCCTCCACGATGGAGGCTCTAAACCTCTCGTGGTCATCGCCTGGAATGACACTGGGGACGGACGGCATCCCAAGAGAGACTGTCATATGACTTCTGGTATCGCAACAAACAGAGCGCGACGACGCCGCCGTATGTCGACGATACCGGAGAACATAGATGTTGGATTCCTCAGTGTGGGAAAGAAAGCTAGAGTTCTTGATTGGTTTGCCAGTGTCAAGCTCTGGCCTAGGTACAACACTGTTAGGACACAACATGCCGCCGACACCTAAAGGTGCTAGACTCGTGATATTGTATAGACATATGGCCTGAAAGCAGGCAGCTCTACATATACGCAAGGCTTATCTTGTTTTACTCTAGGCGTGGTTGTTATTTACGCTACGTCCATGAGATTGTGGTTTGCATTGAGACTTTGGTGTGCAGAGGAAGTGGCTGACTGTGGCTGACTGTGGCTGTTTGTGGCTGGTTGTGGCTTCACTCTTTCATCCAGATCACGTGCCAGGGCAGTCAACGACACCTCGTCAGTTAGGAACACCATAAGAGCCCCAAGAACCTTTGCGGTCTATTAAATGCAACAGTAAATGTTTCTATTGCAATGAAAGCTGTCAGATGGCTATCTAGCAAGGGGATATGCGCGAGAACGGACGAGCGTGGGAGCGGCACTCTAAGCTCGCGGCGAGCACGACAAATGTTACAACAGAGCAATCTTCTCGGTCACACCATGGCTCCAGATTGTACAAGTCGAGTAGGCATATGATCTTACATATAATGCGTTTGCAGAGTCCTGGGGCCTTCTGAATAGCCTTTTGATCCGTGTCATGTTCAGCCAGAGGGATCGAATCACTCCGATGCAAGGTCATCACTTACTCACAGCCTTAGAAGTGGGCGTCTTCAGTCGCTTCCAGGCAGGAGACATATTATCACAAGCTGGTGTCCTTGGTGGTAGTCGCCATCGCATATACGGTGGAATGTGGGGTGCATTGCTGCTTCATCTTTATACATTAGGTACACATTATACATTGACAATGGGAAAAGTTTCGTCCTCGTTACACCCCATCGTTTCTCTGCCCGTGCTACCACAAGGTTTTCCACCAATATTTCGGAAATGTCCCCAACAAGCGATGGTGCGTGCGCCGTGGTTACCAACAAAGCTTGTCGACAGAGGTTCCGGAAATGGCGTTGAAAGGTGATGCTTGTGACGGCCTGCACAGACCTTCCCACATGACAAGCTGATACTTCCCAATAAGGGAAGGATCTGACCAGAGGATCCCCTTAAAGGGGCAAACTCCCGCTATACCTATCTCTCTATCTTCCTTTCCTCCCTAGTCTTGATATTCTTGTCAATAGAGTAATAGCTGCTTGCTGCCGGCCCTGTCCCAGCTCCTCAGTACGCTCGCCGTGACAATGCTGCTTGCGCCGGTGGTACCAACAAGTCGCTGGACGAATCGTCAAGCCGTGTTCGGATGACGGACATAGGTTTCCAGGCGAGCTCCCAGCAGTCATCCAAGCACAGTTGTGATACCGGATGGCTGGGTGAGACAGCTCAGATTCCGATGTTGTTGATCGCATCCACCATGAATACGTCGGTCTGGATGACTTCGACCTGCTTCTCGACGTCGGCCATGTCAAAGCTACGCTCCTCCTGATGCTTCTTCTGCTCGGCCTCCTCGTTGCCGCCGAGCTGTTTGAAGAGGTCGTACGCTTCGACCTGTGATATATAACGGATCAGTATGTCATCGTCCGAATACTTCCTCTAGGGTTGCGTAGTAGCGAAGAGGACGGGTAGTGATGCGCAGTGCGGGTTTTTTCTTGTGTGTAGCTCAAGGGGAAGATGCTGAGAGATCGAAGAAATCACGGAGAGGGTGGTGGTTCGTGTTGTACGTGTGTGTGTGTGTGTGTGTGTGTGTGTGTGTGTGTCTTCCAGGTTGTTGCTCGAATGGGTTCATATGAGGGGCTAGAGCGAGAGATAACTTACGGCACAGAACCACGTTTCTTCGATCCTCCCTCTTGTTGGCGAACTCAACGAATTGGTCGATCGCCAACGCCATCTTGCAGTGACCCTTCGAGTCGAAGGGCGCAGTGGGTCGCACGTGGTATTCCTGGCGGGCGTCTACGAGTTCGCAGAAGAATTTGGTGAACAGCGCATCGGTCCAGTGGTGCGACCATCCCAGCTGGAGCTTCAGATGGTGGCAGAAGGTGTGCACCCCCTCGGATCCGAGTCTGAACTTGAGGAGGTTCAGCATCTCAGCAGTCATGGTCAACTCGAACATCTCCGCAAGGGCTTCGTCGACGTTGCGCTTCTGCTGGGTCGTAGTGCAACGACCGTTGCTGCGGATTGCGCCATTGGCGCTGAAGACGCCCGAATAGTCGAACGAGCGGTCGAATGATTGCATCGCGGTTATTATCGTCGGTGATGCGGCGGAACTTGATATGCATGTACGACATACCAGCTCGAGGCATAACGTCTGTGAGGAAGTGGACGGGACTAGTTGAGGTGGTCATGGTTGCTGGGCTCGCGATGTAGTCGAGTTGTCGAGAGATTGTGTGTGATTGAATAGGATGTCGAAACGAAGTTTGAGAGACGATTCGACAGAGTGCGGCGTTTTTGGCAGGGAGCGATTGTGGTGGTGAGGTGGGAGAACGTGCTCTCGCGATGTAGTCGAGTTGTCGAGAGGTTGTGTATGATTGAAGAGGATGTCAAAACGAGACAATGCGACAGATTGCAGGGTTTTTGGTAGGACTCGATTGTGAGTGGTGAGGTGGGAGAAGCGAAAGGCGTGCACCAAGGGTGTTGGAAGATGGTTATGGTGGCGGGTGAAAAATATTGATTGACAAGTACAAGGCATCAACATATTTCAGTAAGGCATCTAGGCTTGAAGATTTCAGTTCGAAGGGCATCCCGTGGGTTGAAACGTTTGTTTGGCACGGGTCGAGCCTATATAGATGGTCACGGCGGCCAATTCTAGTACCAAACAATCTCTCACATGGTCAGTTCAACTTGCCAACGCCCGACGGGACTTTCGCCGCGTGGTTCGGAAAGCTAGGAGAGAGTACTGGCAGACTTTAATTGATTCAGCGACTGAACCAAAGGACCTGTACAGAATCGTTTCTTGGCACAAGCTGTCAGCAGGATTGCGTTCTCCTCTAATCATCATAGGAGACCAAACATTTGAGTCACAAGAGAGCAAGGCAAATGCACTACGCTCAACCACGCTTGAACGAAGTACCCCAGATAACGATATCATCGACCCCTGGTCCGCTCAGATCACAAAACCCAAGCCACACATCCCCCTTGAATACTATGTCAGACTGGAAGAGGCTGAAGAGTGCACTATAGGGACCAAGAGCAACTCCCCGGGAGTAGACACCCTCACAGTACGGATTCTGAAAGCTTGCTGGCCAGTCATTAAGGAACATATCAGAGCCCTCTTCCAGACCTGTCTACAGATTGGACACCACCCTAAACCATTTAAAATAGCTAAGATAGTGATGATCCCAAAACCAGGCAAGACAGACTATTCCAACCCCTGGGCCTACAGACCAATATCGTTATTATCATGTCTTGGTAAAGGCCTAAAACGATTCATTATGAAAAGAATTACCTGGTTTATTATTAAACTTGGAATTCTAGCTCCATAATATTTTGGAGCTCTACTAAAGCGCTCTGCCACTGACTTGGTAGCTGCACTCATACACGATATTGAGCAGGCCCTCGACCAGTGCCTCGTTGCAACGGTAGTCACGTCAGATGTGAAAGGGGCTTTTGATGCTGCCCTAATGGGACGGCTGGTGGTTCGCATGAGAGAACAGGGCTGGCCAGGCTTTCTCATAAGATGGGTCCAGTCATTCATGTCCGAGCGGTCCGCAAGGGTTTGGTTTGAAGGTATTGTGACCGATATTAAAGCTCTTATTTGTGGGCTATCACAAGGCTCATCAGCCTTTCCAATCCTTTATATGCTGTATACAGAGCCAATCTGTGCCCGACTTGCCATGAAAAAGAGACGCTTTAGATATACAGACAACCTAGCGACTCTCTGCATTAGAAAGAACGTTAAGGAAATAGCTATAGAGGCTTCTGAAAATCTTTACTTATTCAGTCAATAAGGACATAACAATGTTATTAAATTTGACCCTGACAAAACTGAGATTATGCACTTCTCAAGGAAAAAGAACTCAGACAATCCTCCAGTCCGCCACAGGACAATGAACAAAATAGCAAAGGACTCCATGCGATGGCTGGATGTCTTCCTAAATAGAAAACTAAACTTCAAAGATCACGTTTCTTATTGGGCCAAGAAAGCTAATAAGGTAGCAAATCACCTTCGAGGACTATGCAACACAGTCAAAGGACTTCCAGTAAAGTCAACCAAAAGGGCTGTGAAAACTTGTGTTATTCATATTCTTACACACGGCCTGGAGGCCTGGTACCCAGGAATCGAGAAAGTTGGGAGCTTAGGTGGGACATCAGCATGTCGCATTAAGGGGCTTCTTAGAACAAGAGATGCCGTACTACGAACAGCGATCAGGGCTATCTTGCCAGTCTGGAAAATGTCACGGCGAGCGTACTGAGGAGCTGGGACATGGCCGGCAGCAAGCAGCTATTACTCTATTGACGAGAATATCAAGACTAGAGAGGAAAGGAAGAGAGAGAGAGAGATAGGTACAGTGGGAGGTTGCCCCTTTAAGGGGATCCTCTGGTCAGATCCTTCCCCTATTGGGAGGTATCCACTTGTCATGTGGGAAGGTCTGTGCAGGCCGCCACAGCCGTCACAGAAAACACACCCTGGACATATCCTACACTTTGAATCGCAGATTCCCCCAGCAGGAGTTCTTGCAGAGTCAATAAGACGACGTCACGGCCTCCAACTAGGACGAATAGACCAGAGACACCCTCTTGTTGGCAGGCTCCAAATACAAGCTCGCAAGAATCCAACAAGGCTACAAAGGAGCTTCCAGCTAGTCCCTGACTTCTAGAGACCAACACTTACCAGGCCATCATGAAAGAAGCCCTCAATCCGCAAAGACAAAGACAAAGAAACAGAGCTCTTCAAGCAATGACTATAGGAGAGAAACGTGAACACTGACCTTGTCATCTATTCAGATGGATCACAGTTGGACGACCAAGGCACAACCCGTACTGGATGGGGTTATACCATCAGGAAAGGCGGCACTACACAAGAAGTATACCGGGGAAAGGGCAGACTTCTCCAAGCAGAAGTAGTAGATACTAAAGTCTATGATGCTCTTCAAAGTCTCGCAGCAGCCAGGGCAATTAGATGCGGAAAACGGCTATATGTCTGCCTGGACAACACGTCAGTGGTAGATAGGCTCAATGGGACTCCACCCGAGACATCACAGAACATTTTTCTACGATTCCAAGAACTTGCCACGGCACACACTCCCGGAGTGACCGTCAAGTGGATTCCTGGACACAGAGATATTAATGGCAACAAAGCTGCTAACACACTAATAAAAGAGGGTGCCATGCTAAAAACAGACGTGACAAACCTTCCCATAATCTCTTGGGTTAAGAGAGATCTCAAAGAAAAGAATAAGAGAGAATTTGATTAATGGTGGAAAGACCAATCAGAACCTAGGTATCAAGAAGTATACTCATATACAGTAACTAAAAAGAACCTTATATCTTTTGAAAAGAGCAGTCTATACAGACTTCTAACGGCCAGATCTGGACATGACGATTTTGCTAGATATCATAAATATTTTGGGCATACAGACTCAAATGACCACTACAGCTGCGGTAAGAAGAAAACACCACAACATATTTTCTTTTGTAAGAGGCTTGGGAAAAACTGACTACTGCCCAGGTACTCGCCTAGGGCAACCTGTTTACAATACTTGGGGGAGAGGAACGCGGAATGGGCAAGGTTTGTTGAGAAAAGCAAGTTCTTTTCATCAATCTGTCCCTGATAGATAGCTGTTCTTAAAGGACCAGATGGATGACCCCAAAGTCATACAGCCGCAACAACGGGAATGGGCTCGGGAGCGGGACTGACTGTACTTATTATCTTGATACCTCCATAACCCTGCGATGCAGAGGCTCTGGGAGGCGTGGTTTGCACTACTGAGGAGCGATCCCCCACGTTAAATACAATCAATCAATCAATCAATCAATCAAACTTGCCAACCATACAACATTACAAGTGTGTGGGGTCATGGATTCGATTCCCATACTAAGACTGTCCGCACAAATTCTTACAGTGTGCGGAATCCGTGGGTTCAATTCCCACAAATTGATCATCTGCATGTCCGCAGGGGGTAGATGCGTACCTCTTGGTAGAGATTTCCAAGAGGCTGTCAGCTATGTCTATAGTCACCGCCGTATAGCCCGAGTGTACGCACTCTTATACCGTTACGCCCGTCAGTAGGTAGCTCTTTTTTTTATGTACACTTTTTGATCTCCCAATAACTGACCTAGCTACTTTCCTTGCCATGCCCTTCTTTCGCACCGTTATTGTCTGCCAACGGCAGTGCTTTCATGATGCCATCTGCTTCGTATCGGCTTACATTGAGCACGATTTCATCACTTGCTGCAACCCTTGCAGTAGCATTAGTAAGGTAGTGACGCGATTCCATGTTGCAGGTAAGGCAATGAGTTTGCGACGAACGCGCAATCTCCATTGACCACCGCACGGTTCGAAACATGGGAAATAGGAAGGCTCGTCCTAGCCAACTATTGTCTTTACTTACATTACTCATCACACACGTCTATCGCCAGCGACAATTGAGGCGGTCTAGCTGTCTCCTACTAAGCTGCAGTACTGGGAGGCCGGTCGTTGAGAAAAGGGGCTGTACATGTCACGTGATGATAAACTGACCCTAGCCACACACCCGCCACAACCGCCTCCGGACATCAGCAGTGAGAACAGATCTGGATGCTTGTGGCATGCGAAAGCCTCCCATTGCCCCATGCTCCAGCACAATCTCATCCCCCTTGGAATCACGGAAATCAGGGTCCAACTAGCAAAGCGAGGTAGACATAGGACAGTAGTACAGTAATGAACAGTAACAAGTCCTCCTCACCCGGTGATCAAGGTCCATCCTGATCCGTACTACCAGGTACATAATCCGACACAGAAAGCTCACACAGATCCGCACGTACCGCCGTCGCATTCATTCAACGGCTACCAGTAAGTGTTCCCGTATCACGACGAGTCAAGTGGGCAATTCATAGGGGTTTGTTTTGTAGTCAGCAGGCATGAATTGATTGATTGATGACCGTACGGTCCAAGCGCCGCTGTCGCTGTTGTGGCTCATCAGCCGGAGTGTAGCGGAGCGACCCATCGGCTAGAGGGAGTATTGATTATTATTTGCTAGTGGCAGTGGCGCTACGGCGCCAACGTGTGGGATTGACAGAAAATCCGCGTGCGGCCGGTTGTAACTTGTTTACTCGACTGGCGCAAGTGCCGCTGCTACCGCTGATACGGGCCGGGCCCCTTGGGTCGCTGGTGGTGGTGGTGCCGGCAGGCAGTCGGTTTGACGACGGTGTCAGAGTACAGGACGAGGTGCTGGCCACCATCGAGGCGTTCGCTGAAGATGTGCAGCTGATGAATGGGCTACTGCCGGTGTGGTTTCGCGATATGTGTGGCACGGAGCAGAGCACATTGGAGGATGACATGCGAGATGAGTGGTGGTGCGTCGGTTTCGGCAGGCCGAGTTGGCCAAGGGCTGCCCGCTGCGCCTCAATTGGCATCCTGCGCCGACCGAGGTTCATATAAAAACATCCATGATCCCGACAATCAAAACGTGCAAAGGTTTGTAGAGATGAAGCCTCTCCGACAAAAAGCTTGAACCTGGCAGTGATGAGATGATGCAGCCCTTGATGAGAGTCGATGCGACCGGCCCACAACAACATGCACGTCCTTTCATGCCGGTGCCCGAGAGATTTCCAGGGGTCAAGTCGGGGACACATTGACACGAGATTGATTGAGGCTGTGCTGCCAGGACGCGACAACGCCAGGGCTGCTGGTGCCAACTCCAAGCAGCCGCGAGAAGAAGAAGAAAGAGAAGATAAGAAAACCAAGAAACAAAAGAATGCAATGTGAGGCACGGAAAACGCGGGAGGAACTTATTTAGTAAGAAACTTTTCGCAGTATCGGATGACATCCCACCTGCAAGCCACGAAAGCCGCGTCAACAACGGCCTGCAGGCTTTCAGGCTTTCCACTCCAGCCGGGACTCCGGATAATTCTGCCATTTGGGGGCCGGCGGCTTGGCAGCGCCATCCCCTCACATCCGACGTTTTGAGAGACGGGATTGATCGACCAGGTACGGTAGGCAGCGATCATGGTGATCATGATGGATCTGTTGAATCACTGGATCGCACAAGAACATCGGCCTTGTCGTCGCTGTGTCACTGTCACCTTTGCTTCTTGACCACCGCTTCGGTGATGCGAATGGATCACGAGTCTCTTCCCCCTCCTGACAAGATCATCAGGCCATTGGAAAGTGAATGCAGATCAACTGACCACTTGAATTCCCAAAAGGATAATAGGTGGTCAGGGCTTCAGGGCTTAAGCCTAATTGGGCTAGCCACACAGTAGCAATTACTAATTGGTAATTACGGTTAGGCGATAGTAATACTTGCAGCTATACTTAATGTATATTTCTTTAAATTTTAATTTTTTTGGGTTTTAATTATATTAGTATTACACGTAATAAAACCTAGTTATATACCTATTAAAGACTTATTAGTAATTATTAGCAAAATTTAATAATATAAGTTATATAAGAATTTATGTATAAAAGTGTCAGATGTTGGATCCCAGATATGGTGCCCTTAGGTGCAGTACCCACTATAGGGCTGTCAAAGGAACAGTGGATATACCCTGTCATGGTGCAGTATAGTATTTAGCTGTAGATTAGCCCTGCCTAGCATACTTAAGAATGACAACAACATTTGCAGCAACCGCTCACACCACCAAAGCTTGTGACCCTTCTAGAATCTCACATATAATAACCTATTAATTTTCGCTCGCATTAAATAAATCGAGCTTAAATAAAATAATATCTATAATACTAAGCTTTACAATATAAGTAAGAAAGTTTTATTTTTTAATTATTAAGACGTAATTGAATATATTCTCACGCCAGGCCTTTTCTATTTATTTAAACGTAGTTTTTGAATTTAAAAGATTTATTAGTACTGAAAAAACGTTCAATTTTATTTACTTGGCTTTTTCTTACAGCCTTATAAATGTATTATTACTAATTAAATCGTTCGTTTTTTAGAAAAACATTTGGTAATATTTAAACGTTGAAAATTTGATTAACGCTTTTAAGATTGGTGATAGATATATCTTTTTAAAAATCTTCTATAAAAGCCTTTAACACATATTTATCTTTGTTAAATAATACTTAATCGTTAATGTAGCTAATAATAATAATACCAGATTTCGAATTAATATATACGGCATCGTTTAACTTTATAGGGTAAGACATTTCTTAAAAATAGCCTTGGCTTTTTTAATTATATATTCTAAGCTTGTTTTAAGCCGTATAATAAGTTATAAAACTCGATGATCTTTTTTCAAGTAATACTTATATTTTATTGCTTTATAAAAAAAAACTCATATTCGTTTAAATCTACCGTAATAAAATCTGTTTAAATATTAAACTATCCGTTAATTATTATAAGAATTATGTATATTCTTTACGATAAAGTTTGCACAGTAGTCATAGCCATTTCATTATAAATAATGTTTTTTTACTTAAATCTTTGCGTATAAATTCGGGCGTTAAACTTATTAAGCTTGTTAATAAATAACTTTTCCTTTTTTAATACTTATTTTCTATTGATATCTTGTTCCTTCTTGATTAAATTTTTTAAAACGAATATATTTCTTTTAAAGTTTGAATGAATCTTGTTGAATATCGCGATTTTTGAAGATTTAATTCGAAGTTATTTATTATTTTTAAAAAGATAATTCGTTTGTGTGAAGCGCTTTTAAAAAGTTATATGAGATAAAGAATTTTATTAATATTTTAACGTAATCAATGTATGATTTTATATATACTTTTAATATTAATCTTTATTTATACTAAATATCCTTTTACGTAATTATAATTAAAAAGTAAAGAAATTATTTTATATAACTTTTCGGTTTTATCTTTACCTTTATAATTTATATTCTTTACGAAAACTGGTTTGAATATAAAAAGAATTATTAAAAACCTTTTAAAGCCTTATGAAAATAATGTTGTAAGATCTTACGTTTTAAGCGTTTTTTAAAACAATCCGTTGTCTTATAACATCTTTATCAATTACGTTATTATCGTAGTTTTAAATAAATAATCTGGTTTTGATCTTTTTATACTAATAACGTAAACGTTTTTATGTCGTAAAAAGTAAAAAATTATACAATATTAATAAGATTATAATCAATTAACGAACTGATATTTTCGTAAAAAGTAATATAAAAAGCAATTAAAAAACTACTGCTATCGATAATTTGAAAATCTGGTGTTGTATTCCCAAAATAACAAGGTGGGAGAAAAGAAACGGATGTACGTACAGCCGAGGCTGCAGCACATATGGTGGTCCTAGTCTCCTTATTTAACCTACACGTGACCTGATGACTAAGCATCCATTCATCCAGACGGATACGGCTGTACACCGTCATACTTTTTCGATCGCGTGGAAAAATTTCGTAGTTTTTTATTCGGTTTAATACTTTTCAATTTGTTTTTGGTAAAAGGTGTAAGTTTTTTTTTACTAAATAAGTGTATTTCTACTATCTTTTATTTTTATTTTTAAAAACTTTAAATTTTAACATTTTTATTAAATTAAAAAGTTGCATGCTATTTTCTCTGTTTTTTATAGCCGTATCAAATAATTTAATAATCCAAGTAATTGTTTGTTTCCACGCCGTGCTTATTAAAAATTTTAATTTATTGGTAAAAAACAGTTTTTGGCTTTTTCTTACGAGGTATAGCTTTTTATAATTAAATAACGTTTTATCGTTAATAGCCGATAATTTTGTGTTATTTATGAATTATTTACGTTATTTATACTATTTATTAATACTTGAGATTTTTATGAAATGAAAATAACAACTTTATAACATGAAATCAATTTTTTGAATTTAAAAGTTTTATATTTAAATAAGGCTTTTATAACGATATAGTAAATAATATTAGCGGTAACAAGGCCTGCTTTTTAATTAGTAACAAAAACTAAAAAACTATATATATATATATAAATATAACCTTTTTAAAACTTTTAAAGCTCTATTATATTGTAATAAAAGGATTACTATATGAAAATTTATATATAAAATTTTTAATAATTTGTTTATTTATAGTTTTATATTTACTTATTATAGATACATTTATGGTCAATTATAATTATAACGCGATTACCTAGTATAACATTAAAGTTATAAGATAACTGTTATTAATCCACAGTTTTTAAGGAGCTAAAACTACCTTAAATTTACCTGGTTTGCGTATAAACCACTTATAGCTATATTACTTATATTATTTTAGTTAATAAGTCTTAAAAATATACTTTTATTTATTCATTAATTTACCTTTTATTATAATAGCTGTATTTAAATGATTCATAACCGTAATACTTATTAGTACACTTAATATATATTTATTACCAGGTATATTTATTTACTTAGTTTATAAAAACTTACTTTTATTTTAACTAGTATATATAACGTACTTAATGCCTAAAGTGCAGCGTACTTAGTAATAGTATAACGCTATTAGCTGTTTTTCTAACATATAGTGTAAAAGGTTACAAGACATTTAAAGACTTAAAAGCGCTGTAGCTGAGGCTCTTTTGGGCTTAGTGGTAAGCGCTTTGACCCTATTACCCTTTTAGGAATTCAAGTGATCAGTCAATCTGTAGTCTCGTTGGAGAAGAAGCAATTGATTGTCCGCAGGCTCTTGATTGCTTCCCTCCTGCCCTCCCACCCCCTAGTGCGGTGTTTCTTGTTTCGAATCCGCCTTGGCAGCTAGCTCATCGGTGGTCGCGCGAGGTGGGCGTGCATAATCAGTGCACATCGTAATACCATAAGTGCAACTGCAACGTTAGTCTTCACGGAGCGATGATACGGTGGCTTTGGACTCCGTAGAAGAGAAATATCCGTGATGGGGCTGGGCAGTTGTTTGGCGAGCCCGAGATGGTCTGCGGATGAAGTGACACGGCGCGCATTGAACTACTACCAAACGAATGAAGGGATTTCAACAAGTTGCAGATCATTCAATCGATTATCTCCAGGCATTACCGAGATGCGGCAGAGATGGTCTGGACTGTGAAAATACTGGAGGTTGAACATCAGGGTCTCACGCGTGTACAGGGTCATACCTTTACGGATCAATATCTCCCGCAATGCGTTTGGGGGCCACGCAATGGGCAGAGGGCAGAGGGCAGAGGCACCTCATTGCAGGTGGTCTCGGTCTCAGTTACGGTCATGTCTGAGGCCTCATTAGCTCATGTCCCCGCGGCCAGTATCGTGCCACTACTTAGGTACTTAAGGTGACGGGAAAGTGAGTGAGGAATCGTGCGCAAATCAACATCAACGTGAGGTTGGAAGACGGCTGAATTGACGACGACTGTCTTCATGGAATGCTGTTTACGTGGCTGTACCGGTGTTCGTGATGCTTCTGGGCGGCGGGATTGTTTGCCGGCGACTCGATCCAACAGCCAATCACCCGACGGCAGAGGATGGGGCCATCCTATTTATGGCTCCTCATTGGCTGATAGCCCACCGCGATACGGCAAGGGGGCGTGCACTGTGCAGGTGTGGCAGCGAGGGATGACAGCTATCCCCAATTCGGCTGCTGGGCTGCAACACATCTTCAGGGGCAGATCCAACTACTGCTTGCCGCGTGTTTTTACAACAAGAACATGCGATACCGCTCTTGTCCGAGTCAGACAGATTGATGCTGATGATACCTACGGTATCACTGTGTTGATTCCTGATAGATGTCTGGCAGTCTGGGAAGAGAAAAAGGGCAAACCACTCCTCGCTCCTTTGTCCCTTGTCCCTTGTCCAGTGCAATTTCCCAACCTGTCGCTTGCGATGCTTCTTGCGGTAAAGGCACGGCCCACATGCAGCTAGACTTACCCACTGTGGCATCCGCTACCCCCGGACGTTGAGTGGGAATAGTGGGCTCCTTCAGGCCGTCTGGCCACTGACGAGCGCTGAACACCAGCAAAAGACAGCAGAGCCAGCAACCCACAGCGCCCGCCAGTCTTGCCAGTCCGCCAATCCGTGGCTCCAGCGGTGCTGCCTGCAGGTGCCCAGATCCACGCAGCCCAGGCCATCTGGATCCGACCTGCTCATTTCGCACATCCTCCTTTCCCTCTCCCTCCCGCCTCCGCCCCTTCCAGCAAAAACAACCCCATTCCCACACCACCGGCCAAACACGCTCCTTCGCTCGCACCGAGAGCAGTCCACTCGTTTCACTCACCACTCCTCGTCTGGTATCTGGCTCTCTGATCTCTCGACACGTCCCTCGTTCTGGTTCAGTGTGTGCTCTGGCTTTTCTGGTTTGTCGTTGTCTAGCAACAGCGGCGCCGTACATCGATTAGCCATTGGACTCACCCGACCAGTCCGCCCAGTCAGCAACAAAGTCAACAAAGTCCGAAGCCAGCCAAAGGGTGACCGACCAACCGACCAACCACCCAACAAGACATTCTCCACGATTCCGATCGACCATTGTCCCGAACCCTCGATCCCGAACGCCGTGACTCATACTCGACAACTCGACAACTCTCCAGTGATTCACTGGTCTGCGACAAGGCAATCAAGGTCCAAGAAAAGGACAAGGAACCACGACCAAGTCATTCACCACGTCGCCTATTGTTTCGCCGTAACGGTTCTTTGACGCCGTGACCCGAGCCTTTTCCAATCGACAAGGTGGAACAAGGGAACGTGCAAACCAACGTCACCCAGGTCATCCACCAACCTCATTAAAGGACTTGGGCCTCCATTTACAGGACTGACCGATTGATCCCGAAGTTGACAGCCCGAGCCAGCGTTGGTCTTCGCAATCGGCTTCCCCAGTCGCCATCAATACGTCCAGCTCCCTAGCGGAGATCCCTATCTTCAGTACAAATCATAATTACTACAAACTCTCGAGTCGTTGATCGGGTTGAGAGCAGCGGACCATTCGTCCTCATAAAGTACATTTGCTATTTCATTCGTTCATCACGTCAACACCATGTCGTTTCGACGTGTCACCGCCGCCGCGATCCTGGCATTAGCCACATTCGCTTTCGCCGACAACCTCGAGGTCGCTGCCCAAACCCCGACACTAGGCTCGGACACTGTTCACGGATGCTACTCAGATATCGGTCCTCTTAAATTCGACAGCAAGCCGGATTTCAACTCCCAAGGCGCATGCGTAAAAGTATGCAGAGACGAAAAGAAGCACGCTGTGGCCGCGACATACGCAGATTCATGCTTTTGCGGCGACTCATACCCGCCCAAAAGCGCCTTGGTCGACGACTCAAAGTGTAATGAGCCATGCCCTGGCTATGATACTCAAGCCTGTATGCAACCTTTGCTGCCAGCTGTCCCAAGGAATTAATTACTAACTGTGTTAACAGGCGGTGGCCTTGGCACCTGGACTGTCTACAACACCGGCTTGCTTGTGGCTGTGGCAGACGCCGCGGTATCCAGTAGCTCAACAACCTCAGCAGCCCAGACAACTTCTGCAACCACTGCAGCCTCTTCCACGGCGGGTATGGATTTGTCCTACTAATTGATCTTTAAACCGCATGCTAATCTTCTGCAGATACCGTACAGACTGTCACAGCGTCATCAGAGCCCGAAACCGACTCGAACAGCAAGAGCAGCGGTAGTAAAACTAACACGGCTGGTATCGCCGCTGGTGTTGTCGTTGGAGTTGTGGTTATCGCCGCCATTGCTGGTGGAATGTTCTTCTGGATGCGCCGCAAGCGAAACTCGGAGCTCGAGGAGGAGCACAGACGGAATGCTGCTGTCAACGCCTTCATCAGCGGTGGTAAGCCCCCCAGCAGTAGTGGCGGACTCTCCATGGCGGACTCTCGCATGGACCCCGTCATGAACCGAAGAGGAAGCGACGGCAGTATCGCCGACAACCAAGATTACTCGCGCAGAATTCTGAGGGTATGTCATCAAAGTTGTCCCACTGAGATATCCCTGACTGACGTTGCTTCTCTAGGTAACCAATGCGTGAGAAATCCCCATCGCAGCTATTACGATGAACGACTTCCGCTTGTACCTCCTTTCTCTATCGGCATCGACGGCGTTTCACGGTGGTCACTTCTAACATTGGATGATCGATCATGACGATCTTCTGGCGTTACTTGTATGGGGTGTATGGAACCAGTATCTTGGTAGCCACGGTCCGTGGCCGCGGGTTTCGACCACTGGGCTAAACTGCTCGCATCGTCTCTCTCCTTTCTTGACATCAGAGCTGTTTGTGGTGAGGCACCAGCTCATACACACACCAGTCGACATTTCTCACGAAGTCTACAGAGGATCAGGCCTTGTGGGATGGGTGGAAGCATGGAATGAGCGATCATGGATAACGATCACTCGTTCGCATGAGTGCGATAATAGAGGACAGCGAAACAGTTTTGCCATTGGTCTTCCGGGATGAGAGGCAGAGATACCAAGTTGGCTTGCTCGCGAAGAATTCCGAAATAATACCAGGCATATTACAGATCAGGGGACTTTGCTGTATATTATTCAGGTAATCCAAGTGATGGATCACTTTTGTTCATACGCTCTTGTGCATCACATGTGCCCGTGCTTCGCTGTGACTGTTACCTCATTTGACTGCTAGCTCAGGCTGTGCTCCCTACCACGACTGCCGTTTTTCGAAGTGGACAGTCTATTATGGATGTAAATCAGGGAGTTTGATGGGGCATTCGCGTGTAATTCCATGGTAACCGATGCCTAGTCTTGCCGTTCGGTGCCAAGTTACTAAGACCAACCGTCGGTGATGTCATGGCTGGGCTGTATCGCCAGCCTTCAGTTAAGCTTCCTGGATGTTTTCAGCTGAGTATATTGCAAAACTACCAGCGCCCACTCATTATGTTTGTATACTACCTACCTACCTTACGGTATAGAGCTCAGGCGTCGTCTTGACTCGTGTAGGCTCGCCAGCATGGTATCTCTATCCATACCTGTGATACTAACCCATCTATGTCCATGTGTGTGACAGCATATCGTGGATGATGAGAAGTCCCTGTGTATGAGTATGCGCACCTTGGCGGAACAGATCATGGGGACCAGGCATGATTTACCGTTCGTCTTGGGCGGCGGCGTGATGGATGCTTGTGATCCCCCGCACCGGATTTGGTAGGGGTCCTTCGCGTGCCTGGTTTTTGGGCTTGTGCTTGGGCTTGGGGTTGGGCATCGCGATGGGTTTGGGTTGGGCCTCTCTGTGTATGGGTTGACGGAGCGGGCGAGATGGATTGGGGAGACGGACGGGACGGTTTGGGGTGGATTGGGTTCTGGGCAATTGGAAACTGGGTTGCTGGGTATGACGTTGGTGATCGTCGGTCTTGAAACGGGAGGTGTGGGTGGGTTTGAACATTGCGGTTCGAGCAGACGGACCGGATTGGTACCGGTACTGGGTCTATTGGATATATTGGTTTGGCCCTTTGGCTTGTTGAACATTGAGTTCCGCACTTGAGGACTGATGAGAGTGTAGTTCTTGAAAGTCTAGAGATTTTTGGTCTTGGAGATTGGTGAAGCTGTAGATGTTGCGCCTGCGGGTATTTCCTACTTCCATTCTCCTCCTGTCCCTTCTGGCTTACCAGGTAGGGTAAACCAAACTCCTACATGGCGTATGATGCAAGATAGACCAGCGGAATAGATCAGACTAGCAGCTTGCGAGTAATAAACAGACGTGCGATCTGTAATGCTGGTGTTCATTAGGGTGTATAGAAGCTGCCTGATTCGGAGTGATTCCTGTACCATCACGACCGGTTTGGGAGGAGTGGAAGGAATCGTTCCTGGGGGCGATGCTTAATTGACGCCTCTGATTCCTCCTGTTGTATTGTCGGCCATGCCGTTTCAAGTATTCAATCCTACTTACTTGTGAGGTGCATTTATTAATATGTCAAGTCGGGAAAGAGTAGATAGGCATGCACTGGCGTCATATTACCGCATATGCAGCTTGGATGATGGGAGAGCATTGCGAGAACGCTTGGATCTATTGAGTCTTTCGAGTTCAGTAGGAGCGGTTTGAAAGGCACATATATACATAAATGGCATACGTGAAGGTCACATTGAAATAAATATGAGGGTAAGGTGTTACCTTAGACAAACACTGTGGTCATGGAGTTGCTGCTGAGCACCTGGCAGCATTGCAGCCCAGCTGCCCAGGTGCGGCCGGGATGTTTGTGAAGTCACGTGACCTCGAGATTTTGACAGCCCTCCCTTGAAAGATTGTCGCGTCACCAAGACCGGCGCGACTGCTGTCATTCCTGTGAAACCAGCCCACAATAATTCTTGCGAACAACAACGGCAACACATCTTCAATTGCCTTCTCTTCTTTCGATATCTGGTCCAATACCTAACCTTATCGAAGCCCAGTTCGTACATGATGCCGGAAATCTGATCAATTACCGACCTCTGCCCTTCTGCCCTTCTGCCCTTCTGCCCTTCTGCCCTTCTGCCCTTCTGCCCTTCTGTCCAATATTCTCCGTCCATTCGGCTGCAGCTGAGCTTCATCTCAATCTTTGGAAGCTCCCGCGATGGCTCCGAATACTGCACCTCGCATTCGTCGCACTGCGCAGAACACACAGTACACGTATGACCACAAGCTACAACTGAACGAAGGCTCGTCATGCTGACTCTGTGTCTACAGGTACAACCTCCCTCGCCGCATCCACACCGTCCAAACCTACCCGATCCTCTCACCTCAGGGTGCCACCATCCTCATGTACGGCCATGAGAATGGCATCACCATAGTATGGCGCGGTGGCCGCCGATTCAAGCCTCAGGTTACGGAAGAGGCCGAGAAGGGCCACAAGGGCAAACAGAATGGCCAGCCTCCACAGGATGCCGTCATGATCATCGATTCCGACGATGAAGAGGAGCACGTCGCCGCGGGAGCTGGTGGTTCGTATGTTGACATGCCACAATTCGAGAACTTCCTTGACGAAGATGCCACATACCCGGAAACCACGCAGACACTCGACCTCGAATTCGGCACCGCCGTCTTCCACGTTGCCATACTTCCCCTAAGCCCTTGTTTGGCTGCGGACGCGGCATTCGAAGGCACCGAAATTCTTAAGGAGAAGATCGTCTTCGCTGCGTCTTGCGCCACGCGCGAATTGTTCCTAGTCACTTTACCAATTGTACCGCCATCACCTTTGAGCAAGGCGCGAGAGGAGCTGCAGGAGTCGCTGCTGGCTGGAAAGGCAGGCAATGGAAAATGGGGAGAGACCATGACCTTGTTGACAGGTCAAGAGAAGCCCAGTGACGGCCTGGCCATGACGCTTATTAGGCCGAAGACGGCATCCGATCGAAGCAAGTCGACGGATCGGTCACGGTCTGCTTCCCGAGCATTGCCACACGTCGTCGTGGCTTCACACTCGCGAGAAGCTTCAGGCACTCTGCGACTATGGGATGTGCCCCTGGAGTTCTCCACCAAACCCAGCCGACGTACCGAGCCCTTTCAAACCGAATACCTACCCAAGCCCTTGACCTCTGTCTCTTTTAACCCGACACAATCCACACAACTCCTCTGCAATGCATCGCCAGATGCGGTGCGTATCTACGACTATACCATTGCTTCCATGCCTCCCGACGACCTCTCCGAGGGTCCTTTTCCATCACAGGGATCTTGGATCATATCTCTTTATCCACCTTTTGCCCGACCGTCGTCCTCGAGAAAGCCCATACTTGCAGCATCATGGGTAGCCCACGGTCGTGCGGTGATGGTGCTTCTTGCTGATGGCCAGTGGGGAATCTGGGATATCGATGGTGTGTCTCCCCTAGGCCCTGCTCTATTTGGCAAACTCGGATCTGGTATTCGTGGAGACGCCCTCACCGAGTTCAGCGTGGGTGGACATGTGGAAGGCACGAGTCCCTTACGAAATCCTGCCTCGCAGCGGGCTTCTGGCGGCAGTGCCGATTTCGTGCCTATGACGCCCCATTCGAGACGCGACGCCATGACGACGACATCCTACGGTCCCGAACGCCTAGCATCGGTGAAGGGAGGCATTGACGTTACCCCGCTCCCAGCTAGTGCAACTACCACATCAGACGAGAGTGTCACACTTTGGATTGGTGGACATGAGCATGTGTTTGTCATTTCTGGCTTGCTCAAATTCTGGGACGCACAGAAACGCAAAGGTGCCGGTGGTGGCGTAAATCTCTTCAGTGGAGCCCAGCCCACGCGCATGGTTCGCCTGAGCGATTTGACCGTCGGACTGATGGGCGAACGCTGTACTGGCGTTCGCGCCATTGTCCGCTTCGCTGAGAATGGCGGTCAGAGTCTATCGGGCAGCGAGGACTTGCCTGTTGAGGTTCTGGTATGTGGCGAGAGTCGGCTGGTTGTGGTACGAGAGAGCGAAGCTGTCGTCGGTACGAGAATCGGCGGTGTCATTGGCCGACGAAAGAGGTTAAGCGAACGAGCAAGGGAGAGCAGCGCCATCATTGTGCACCCGCGCCCGGAACAACCTGGTAGTGTTGCCTACAACCTGTCCGTCGGTCCCCGGAGAAAACTCTCAAGACCATCAGTGGAGGGAATGTTCGACCAACCGGCGGAAGAGAGTGCCATGGAAACGGAGGCAGAGCAGACGCCAGTTCCTCTACCGGCCAGACCCAGGAGCGGATTTGCGTTCACCGACAATTTGGACGCTGCCGCCGACGTCGAGCAGCAGTATGTCGAGCAGCAGTATGAAGATTACGAGAGAGATGTCGAGGTTGAGATGCTGGATATCATGGAAATCGACCACGAGCTGGAAGCCTTGGATGGCGGGAGAGAGGGAGGCCGTAAGAAGGTCATCTTTGACTCCTAGGAGTAGTCACCCTGCGCGAACTTCCCTAGCCCGGCAAGATGGCCGGCGGAGATGACAGAGGATAATGTACGATACCCCATGCTGACATCTACGATGCTTAGGTTTACTCTCATGACGAGAACATGAAGAAGACACAAGCTCCGTTCGCCCCCATCTACTCTGTACGGTTGCATTTTCTTCGATTTGGGTTTCGCTGGCTGGCCTTCTTCCCAAGACCATGCAACATTGAGTTTTCTGACAGCTGCCTTTATATCTGATCCATGCCCTCCGGTAATTTACGGCCCATTGCTCGTTCTCCCCTCCCCAGCGTCTGCTCATTAAACACAAGGAAATCTTTTCTTTCTATCCGCGCGGCAAGGTGGAGCACAAGGCGAGATCATTCCTTGAAGCTCTGTAATCCATGCGGTACATTGAATGTGTCTCCTTTTTTTCCTATGACACGGCGCCGACGACCTGTGGAGGGAAACTTATTGGGCGTGGGCATGGGTTGGTTCGGCTTCATTGCGAATTGACCATTTGCCCTCCCATCCTCTTGGTCCTGCTATCTGCCTGCCTGCCTGCCTTGCGCGGGTGGGTAGGGAGGTAGGCGGCCGACATGGGGATGGGGGACGGGGTCGTCGGTACATACTTTGCTTGCTTCTGTGATGTGTGTTGGTGATCGCCTCTGTTTGACATGCGCATCCATGGATTTGTTGTCGGTGTATTAGTGGGTGTATTAGTTGGTGTATTAGTGGGTGTATTGGTGACTGCGTTGGATTGTGCTGTGCTACGCCTGCCTTGTCTATTTCGTTGGTCCCGCTTGTGAGATGACGCTGCTTATGGCTGCGTCTTTCTGTCAAGGGAATACACAATACTCTACTGCCTACCTACCTATCTAGACGATGACGGTGCCCTCTGTGGTGATCGCGCCCTCTGTGATGACCATATTCTTCCTGTCGCGCATGCAGAGCCCAGTTCGCTCGACTCGAAGGCCATCTCGCGAACGACGATAAGGCAGGACCTGCAGTTAAACATGGCCTGTATTGCTACACTCAGCCCTCATAAGTCTCCGTGCCCTCATATTGATAAAATCTCAGCTCACCCGTGGAATTCTACAAAATACTAGAATAAGCACACATGAATAAGCAGCTTTCGTTGGATGCGCTACTTCCCATGCTTACTTCAGTGTTTATTCCAATTCAATAAGTATACCACTGTCTTCTGGACGGGTGGTGTACGGAGACTTATGAGAGTTCGGTGTAGTACGACATCTGCGTAGCCATCTTCTTGGTGCCCTCGTGCACTTTGACGAGCTTACGCACCAATACCAAGGACACAAATAGGACATTTGGGCGCCGACTGACTCCATCACTAGCCCACAGACAACCTACGCCACCACAAGGCATGGAGAAAGAGACGCTTTGTTCCAGTCACAATAGGTCAGGTAAACGTGCGCACCTAACTCATCACATGCGCCACTGGGACGAATGTACCTAGTACGACAAGGTGTCGGCGACACAAAGCGTACCTTTGTGTGTAAATCAGTATAGTATTGTTGTGCGGATGCTTTGTATTCAGCCTGGTGATGGATGGCCTTTGTCAGGAATCCATGTTCTTGCTTCTAACCATGGAGAGGGCGGGCTGTCCTCACTACTGGGTATATAATAGGCAGCACCGAAGACGTCGTCTCTGTAACTGCTTCTGGTTCTGCATAGAGACAACAAACTGCGGCCGAACAAGTATCGCGGTACACATTTAATCAGTGGTAAGTCACGTAGAAGCTAACAATGGCAAGATTCTCTTGCCATCACGATGCAGCCAGGTATGGGACCGTCCCAAAAGCGGTTCTGGCGCAACTTCCATTCGAGGGAAGCACTAGATCGCGGTGCCCGGACTGCAGAACGTCCACCCCTGAAGGTCTCCAGTTCCTCCTAGAGCGGATGCTCGATCCGCGCTTCGAAGCTCCCACCAGCCGTGAGCGCCTCTTGCAGTACCTGTTCGACAGGGCTGCCTCGCAGCGCAGGTCACCAGCCTTCAAGGAGCACTGGCCAACGCTGCAGAAGTGCTGGGCTAGCACTTCTATCCGTCTGGCGAGCATGGATCAGATCAACTACGTCTGCCAGGAGATCCGCACGAAATACGGTGCGGGCCTCGAGAAGCAGACGTTTGTGGAGCTGGGCGACGCCATCTGCCGGGACCACGGCGTCGACCAGGGGCTTGACAAGACGGGCGACGTGGCAGAGACCTTCGACGCCTTCGTGGTGCAGCTGAACAACATGAAGCACAACATCGAGAACATCGGCCAGTTTGAGAGCTTCTGTACGTCGGCTGCCAAGATGGCGGAGCTTAGAAAGGTCACGGTCGAGACCTTTGAGCAGCTGGGTAAGGCGCGGGAGAAGTGTGGTACTTCCAAGAAGACTGCGACTGCGAGACCCGGGAGTTCGGGTAGCGTAGCGCTACGACCGGGAAGGTCTGATAGTCTTAGACCAGGGACTTCGGGTGGCATGACGTTACGACCTGGAAGGTCTGACAGCCTCCGTAAACGAGCCACTTCGGGTACTCTTCGACCGGGGACATCTGCTAGTTTGCCCTCTGCAGGTCTGGGAGTTGGGAGATCTGGCCCTTCTCCTGGTGGACCGACTGGTGGTCTGGGACTCGGAAGATCTGGTAGTCTGCGAAGGTAAGAAGTCGTAGGGCGGGTCACTTGTATTGAAGTATTTATGTGAGCAGAATCCACCTGTGTATGTAAGCAGTATATGATGGGCAGCACGGATATCGGGGCCCGGGGCCCCGACCCCCCATATAAGGGGGGTTTGCTACCAAACGAACAGTAGATAGACTATTATTAAGACAATAACGCTATTGTGCCTTGTGGTAGCGGTATCCAGAATAAGGACCAGGGTCACGATAGGTGGCTATTGGTCTGTATTCTGGAAGTTGCTTGATTGAAAGAAAGGATGGGTGGTGCCCCCATCCCAGAAGTAGCTATCATCCCAGTTGGGTACAAATCAGGTACAAAAGGGTACCAGTTGGGCTCCAAGGTACCTTGTATCCTAGTCCGTGACCCATCCGTCATTGTCCTATACCGCTTTCTCCCATCAGGTGGCATTGCCAGAACTGACAGACCGAGGGCAGACGTCTACTGGGCGCTCGTCATGTGGGCGATCTTGTTCACGGCCGCTGTTACCCTCGGACTGTGCATGGGCTTTGGCTCGGGTGGCGTTGTCGCAGATACGAACAAGCCATTCTACATTTACTACTCGCTCGCGAGTGCTCTGCGACACGCTGCTGACATACGATGGTACAGGCTCAATTGCTGCGGCCTTTCAGCCAGCCGCGTACGGAGGCTTCACGCCTGCTGGAGGCCTATTCGCCACGCTGACAAGCCTGGCAATGTTGGGGATCCTGGCGCCCGCTATCGCATTGGTTGGAGCGATGGTTGCGCTGCTGCCAGGGTACCTCACTTTCATCTACGTGCACGACTGAAAGATTTTGCGGCAAGGTTACGGTGTCGATCCCCACGAATGGAACATACTAAAATTTGGGATGTCGATGTTGCTCTGGGATTGAGGGCGAATGAGTGACCTGGACCTGGCACTTCGGCAGGTTGAGCAGGTTGGCCTACCCATGTTGCAATTATCACGAAGATCCTCCAAATCAACGATGCCGGTCTCACAAGTTTTGCGATCCAGTAAAACATCTCTCCACGGTGGTACCCATGAATGCAGGTAGAGACGAATGGAATTCAATGGGGGGCGGGGGGGCTATTGCTTCAGTGTCAACGGTCGAAAATGGCTGTGATATATGTGACAGATATCTGATACTATTTCCTCAACCAACTAGTGAGCAGGCTTAAGAAGGAACCATAGCCCTGCCAACAGGCGCCATCCATCGCGTTGTCCTTGTAGCTGATTGGGGCGAAGTTCACCACGTCATGCTTCTGACCGTCCATTCTCGCTATTGCCTTGGCTGTAAGGATTTCTTGTTTCAGGAAGCTGTAGACGGTTGAATTGGTTGAAATATGCTACCGGTTTCAAACTCTTCTCTGCGACACCAAGTCAGTCGATCGTTGTTGTGTGTACGGAGGGAAGCGGTGTACCTCTCTATGCTGGACCGAGGAGACTGCTTGCTCTCGTATGTTCTTTGCTGGTTGCTTGCGCGCGTGCCTGGGCAGGAAGTAGCAATGGTCTGTATCGATTGGTGAAGCTATATTGGCTGTTACTGAAAATCAATTGACAAATTGGCAATGGAGAATTTAGTGGAGGAACAGGAGGCTACCCCGTAAGTCTGCCCGGGTCAGAGGGGGATGGGTATGGTTCATACAAAGCGCAAGTCGGTCTACATATTGGGACTAATGCCACCCGTAGCCCACTAGGCACACCAAACGTGGCATGGGACGTATATTCATTGTGATGAGACACAAAGGGCGTATTGATCAGACGAGAAGCTGGACGTAAGCGGTACATGTACCGGACAAGGTACGGCTAGCCCAACGATGTTCTTTGTTGACAGCTTTGCTAGACGATTACCATAAGACAAACAATATAAGCAACATCGCTCCTTAGCAAGTTATACTTGTGGAACACGCGCATGGTTGCTTTCCCCCGGACGTCGAGGCCAAGGACAAGAACTAGCCTACATTTGTAACTACGAAGTCTCCTACTTCGGGGCTATATGAGTATACGTTGCATTCGGAAAATGGCACTGAATATTTGGGGGACCATCTATGGCTAATTTCGTGAACTTATCCCGCTCTGGAGCCTGATGTTGGCGGTGAGGATGCTTTCAGGTCAAACACAGGTACTGTACAGAGAGCCTGAGTGACGATGTAGCCTAACCCGACTCGCAGTGGCAAATTGACGAGGATATTTTTGGTGTAGTTTTCTTCGCTTGTCCCAGGGCTTTGGCCGAATGTTTTGGACCCCTTAGTTGGGTCCGATACAGTGGCTTATATGCACCAGCGGTTCGCGGGCTTACACCACGGTTTCTTTTTAAGATGTCGTGATGGGCAGAAGGAGGAGATCAAAATGAACTCAGCTGCTATGCCCAGAGCCATCAGTCAATTTCTCTTCCACGTAAGGTGTTCATCGCCTTATGGTATTCGATTCTGTATTGTTAAGAGCGGCAGCAGCTGTGAATGACTCGCACTGTAGCTGGTTCTCTCCGTGGGACTTCGGTGTCGCCTGAAAATTCACTTAGCAAATGACACATACTGGACTATGAATTAGAGCGTAGACTGGGAGACTGACATGGTTTTAACTTCAAAGGGGCAAGCCGCCTTCTCGGTGGTCTATGCAGAGAAACAGTCATGTAACGTACAGTACCCAAAGTCTCTTTTTCGGAGAGCTTCAGGGTTACCGGATCTGACTGTTCCCTTGCGGCCAAGGTGCTTAATAATGAAATCAGATCGATGGTGATGAATAAGACAGGGCAAGGAGTGCGACGTGCCACCGATCTGCGGAGGGGCATTCTCCGCACAGGAAAATCACTGACTAAGTACCCACCCTGCCAGCCCATTTTTCCTGTTATAAGCATCAATAAATGGTCGACATGTTGAGATCAACTTCGAGGCATCAACCGTAATTATCATGTCAGACTCTCAGACCACTCATCGTCAAGCCTGGCGTCGAACCGACGACCTTACTCCGGGTGCCACTCGGATCAAGCTCGTCGAAGAGGCTCTGCCGCTGCCACTCGATCCCACCTCAGCCTTGGTCAAGGTCTACGCCGTGGCCCTCAACTACAGGGATGCCAATATCGCGAATGGTGGCAATCCTTGGCCAGTGATACCAAACGTCATACTCGGCAATGACGCAGCGGGGGAGGTCATCGCTATTGGCGACAAGGTGAAGACCTTGCAAGTCGGTGACCGCGTGGCTCCTATCATCGATACCGAATACGTGTCTGGTCGCGAGATTGGCCGTTCCTGGCTCGCGGCCAACGAGGATGGTGTCATGGCGGACCATATCGTCTTTGAAGAGACCAAGCTGGTGAAGCTGCCCGACCATCTGGATTGGATCAGCGCCGCCACCATTCCGTGTGCCGGCGTTACGGCTTGGTCTGCGATCAAAGGTGCCGGACCGGGCAAGACGGTCCTGATCCAAGGTGCGGACATGTAACTGAGCTGAGTTAAATGCTGACGTTTTCCAGGTACCGGAGGTGTTTCCATGTTTGCACTCAAGCTTTGCAGAGCCGCAGGGGCGAGAGTCATCCTGTCTTCGTCAAGTGACGAGAAACTCGCCCAGATCCAGAAGCGATATCCAGCACCCCCAATCCTGACCGTCAACTACAAGAACTCCGATTGGCATGAGGAGATCATGCGCCTTACAGGTGGCGCGGGCGCAGATATTGTTGTCGAGAATGGTGGCGCACCCTCACTCGTGCAGAGCATGAAGTGTACACGACGAGGCGGGATTGTCAGCCAGGTCGGCTACCTTGGCAATCAGGATCCGGCGCAGCTGTCAGAACTCATCCCAACTATTATCGACAGAAGGGTGGTATTGAGGTGGGTGGTGAGATGTTACACACATGTCAACTCCAGCTGATGCCAGTCTCAGGGGCATCAACGCCGGGTCGAAGTATGACATGGAAGATCTGTGTGCTGCGCTGTCAGCCAGCGAAACCAAGCTTGACGACATTATTGACAAAGTTTTTCCGTTTTCTGAGGCTGAAGAAGCAGTGCAGTATGTCTGGGAGGGAAGGCAGATCGGAAAGGTCATTCTGCGGCTATAACATCTCTAGCTTGTTGTAACATTCGATGTTTTGTTCATATCCGTCGCTTGTCCTACCCTCCCTAGCATCCCGTGCTTCTGTCTACCCACAGCTCACGATGAACGATACCGGGCCTGAGTGTTGAAGGGCATCCTGTCCTCATGAATTCCTTGCCCTTTCATCGAGCCTCTCATACGCCTTCCTGTTGCTGCTATCCACCATCGGTTTACGGCATTGGGCTGACGTTTTCAAATTAGCCACGTCAAGTTATGATTGCCAACCAACAGGACGGCGTACTCAATTTCTACTTTGCCGTCCTTGCCAATGGCTCTGCCCCGATCTCCGGGGCCATACCGAGGGCCTTCGGGACCATAACTCTGGTAGTCCTTCAACTTATCCTTCTTGCCGAAGAGACTCAAAACCTTCTCCTTTACCGTTTGACGCGAGGGAGTTGAGGGTTGGCCAGGCGAGGTGGGCTTGGCCGACGGTCCCATGGTAACACGATCAAGACGGAACAGAGTTCGGCGCCGACAGATGCAATATAATCGGCGGCAACCTTCTGAATCTTGAGTATGCTCACTAGCCGGGGTTCAAATGTGGGAGGCAGATCTTTGGACCTTGGGGTGTGAATGATGGACATCTCATGCTTCCACCTCTCAGGGCCGCCTACTTTATCAGGCTGGGCTTCGCGTACCCTTGCAATTTTCGCTCTTTGTCTGGCACTTCCGCTGTTGGTGATACCACAGATGTAGGTTCGGCCGCATGAGGAACAAAGGGACCCACTCCATGAAAAGATCAAAGAACTGCGAGGGTGAGAAAACAGGTTGGAACATTCAAATCTGGTGGTACGAAAACATCGCTATGGCTCGTTCAGCGTGGAGTTGAGAAGCTGTTGTTTTCACCGGTCTCGTACAACACCTTGCTGCGGAGATAGCTGGACAATTCATGTCTTCACGCCCTCCGTACTAGATAGCTTAGTCGGTAAATACATGTCTAATGAACTCCGCCAGCCTCTTCGTGCTTGACCCCCGCCGAAGCATCGTGAAATGGTTAGCATTGGATATCCGCTCAATGGAGACGATCTGCTCTGGCCCTAGCAGGACATCCCATCCATTCGGGCTGAAGTCCGTGCGGTTCTCCAAAAGCCATTGCATCTCCCGGGGGTCGTCATCGCGGTATTCAGGACGCGGGTGACCTGGTAGCTTGCACACTCCATCCTCGGCCCAGATGAGATGCGTCCTTGGTATCAGCGCAGCTTCGCCCGGGGTCCCAAGTAGCGCTGTGCTCCAGGGAACTGGCTCGTAAGCATCGAGTGCGTCGATAAAGGCTAAGAAATGAGCAAGTAGCCAGTCCGGTGCGCGCCGACCCTCTTCGCCGAATATGCCCTGTCCGTTGAGAAAGTCGAACAACCGTGGAGGCAGCTTCTCCAGGCCGATCGGGCCCGGCGAATCCAGCAGGATCAGATGCGTGACCGTCTCGCCCTCGCGGGTGAGCTGCAGCGCCGCCTCGTACGCGCAGATGCCGCCCGCTGACCAGCCTCCGAGGCTGTACGGGCCGTGCGGCTGCCGCCGACGGATCTCGGCTACATATAGCGATGCAAGACCCTTCAAGCCGTACTGGACAAGTTTCTCGGCTGACTTGAGCCACGGGCAACTGAGCCCCCAGAGGCAAGTGCCTGCGCCTACCTCATCGATCGTTACGTAAGATGTCGCTGATCCCGATCCATCCGGGAACAGGAAGAGAGTGTTCTTGGCCTTCTTGGGACTCCCCTGGAGCAACGTCGATGTGGCGGCATATTGGAAGAGCGAGGCATCATAGTCTGGATCTTCGCCGGCAACGTTTCCGTCGGCAACACCACAAAGGATTTCCTCGATGGAGGCGAGGGATGTGTGTTGGCTGAAGAAATCAGCTTCCAAGTCAAGCTCACATTCCTCGCGCAACCGACCGAGTACAGTCAATGAGAGCAGGGAATCCAGACCCAGCTCTGCCAAATCGCTACTTGATGCGATTTCGGACGGGGAGACCCCGATCTCGTCCGCTAGCGTTGCACTGATTTTACTCATCAGGGATGCGTCAACGCCAGCACGTGTTGGTGATTTCCCAGAATCACTGGTCAAAGGGGTCAACTGTCCGATTTGGCTCGTGCTGCTGGTTGTTGGGGTCGACGTGGCGTGAGGACTGTCGAGGTTCAAGAGGGCTTTGAATTGTCCCAATGTCTCACACCTAGTGAATATGGACGAGTCGACGTCCATGTTGAGTTCTTCCCTGATCCTGCCGGTGATGGTGAGCGAGAGCAGCGAGTCAACACCGTAGTCGCTGAAAACAAGATCGTCGGTCAAAGCGGTGAGGGGGAGGCCAATTTCTTCTGACAGCATCCGCAGAATTGGTCGCATTTGACCAGTTGCCATGACGTCGTCAGGAGGTCGCTCATCTAGCACAGGCGCGGTTGGTTCAACCCTGTGGGACAGCCTGGCAGTCGGTGGAGTGGCAGATGACTGCTTGTGTCGCGAGATCTGGCTCGGTTTCAGACCCGGCGGGGGGTGGATGCTGTTGAGCACCCGACGAGGGATTCCTTGAAACTAGTTGATCAAAAGTCAGTGAGTGACCTTCTTTCATGGATATGAGTCGATATTTACCGTTATGCCACCATACACAGCGATAATTACGTCATGTTCCAGGACGTATACGTCCCCACGATATGTTGTGCCTTCAACGCACCGCATGCGGACGTAACTTTGATAGACCGTACCTTGGTGAAAAGGCTTTAGGCATCGCATCGACTCCCAGCCGTGGTTGATGAAGACCTGGTCGGGCGCTGTCAAGGGATGGCAGTTCATCATGAATCCAGCCAGTTGACCAAAGCTGTCGATCCACAATGGGTTCCACGCGAAGCCTCCTTCGGTGCTCTGAAGCTGGACGTGAGCTGTCCCTTCATAGTCCGCACTGTTGAGCAATACGCTCTGTAGGCCCTTGTATGCCGCACCGTACTCCACGAGCGACGAGAACAGCTTGTAGACCATGCCTGAGGACAACCTGCTATCGAGTCGGTCCTCCGCCCGCCCTTCGAGCCATTGGATGCTCCTCTGGATCAAGTATTTGTCCTTCTCCCAGCACTCGGTCCATTCTCGACTGTCCTGGAAGCGCAGTGTACAGCGAGCGTGCGTCTGGGGTTTCGAGCTATTCGGGGCAACGCTATGGATCACCATGTCGGCCTTGGTTCCGTCCACGTCATATGTAACGCCGACCTCGAACTCACACTTTCCGCCGTCATGGAGGATCAACGACTTGTCTACACGCATATGCTCGACATTCACCTTATAACCCTGAAGGTCGGGCCGATACTGCTCAAGGAGATATTGACCCAATGTAAGACCGATATCGGCATACAGAGACTAGAGACGATGTCAGTCGTCCGATCGGGATGGATATGAATGAACGAGAAAGGGACGAAGTAAAACGTACCGATGTGCACATCTTCGTGCCATTGACCTTGTGGCCCTGCGTGACTTCTTCCAACTGCGGGCCGGCCAGGTCGGACTGGGCAGTGAGTGTCACCGTGATACCCTCGACCGACTCGCGCTCGATGCGATGGACCGAGGCAGTGGAAAGTTTGGAAACGGGTGCGGGTAGTGAATGCGTGACTCTGGATCCGGGATCATCTCCCTTGGTCAGGGTCCAGTCGTGTACGTACTGGATCCAGTACTTCTTGTTGTCCCAGCTGTAGGCCGGCAGTGGGAGTACCTGTTGACAGGCCGGAAAGTCGCGGTGATACTCGCCCCAGTCCAGTGTGGCTCCAGATGAATAAAGTGAGCCTACCGTCTCTGCAAGAACTTTCCAACCGTCTTCGTTTCGACGAAGCGATGGAAGTGTCATGGTTTCGCTCCCCAGTGTGGACTTGACAAACGACGAACAGTGCGTGTGCGGCCCAATCTCGATCCAGACGGTATTGTCGTCGATTAACCCATCGGACTTCGCAGCCTGAAGCGCGCCTGAGAAACATACGGTCTCGCGGCAGTGACGGCGGAGATATTCGGGCCCGAATGGCTGCTCGTCGTCCGGGCGAATGCTTCGAACTAGCAGAGCGGACACAATGGGTATCCGGGCCGGTCGGAAAACGACCGCCGACGCGCATTTCTCGAAGTCGTCGAGAACCGGATTCATCTGCGCCGAGTGGAACGCGTAAGGGACGTCGAGCCGGGTCGCCTTCATATGACTGCGCTTCAGTCTGTCCGACAGCTCTGCGATTTCGGCATCTTCTGCGCTTATGACAACCTCTTTGGGTCCATTGACACACGCGATATCGTGTTTATTCGGGTCGAGCAAGGGGTTGATCTGCGAGAGGCTCGCCCGGACGGCCAGCATCGAGTGGCTTCTCTCGACGCATGCCTCTTGGAGGAGACGGGCCCTCGTGCCGATCAGGTAGATCGCGTCAGCTGCTGAGAGGACACCCGCGACCTGCATAGCAGCGTAGTGACCAAGGCTGTGGCCGATAACGACGCTTGGCTCAATACCGAGAGACCTCCAGAATTTGGCTAGGGCCATTTGCAAGCAGGCCGTCCCGAGTTGTGTGGCAACAGGACCCGGGAACGCGTCAGTGCCTCCCCCTATTATCGGTGAGACGGCCTCAAAACCCTGGGCACAACAGACAGCATCCAGGTGCTGCACTTCGGCCCGGAACACAGAGTTGTGTTCAAACAGATGTCGTCCCATCCCAAGATACTGTGATCCCTGGCCGCTGAAGACAAAGCCTATGGCAACGGGGGATGCGCGAGTCCGTCTGAAATCATCCTTGGCCGCGGCGGCATCCATTGCGAGGCCAAGCTGTGCTGGGTCCCGCGCCGTGACTGCGAATCGGAACGGGTGGTGCATTCTTCGCGCCGTCAGGGTGTATGAGAGTTTTGGCAGCATTGTGTCGTCACCAGCCTCAGCCGCCACAAACGAAGCTAGATTCTTCAGATTCCGCCTCAGTGACGACGCCGACTTGGCCGATACAGCGAACATGTGGACGGAGCGAGGGTCTGGCCCCAATCCCTCCGTTGGCCTCCGATCCGGGGCATCCTCAAGAAGAACAGCTGAGTTTCCACCGGCGGCCGAGAAGTTGTTCACGAAGGCGCGACGCTTGTTGTCTCCCCGCTCGGGGCGACTCCACTGGATAGCCTCCCGTGCGATGTGCACATTTCTCTGGTTTAGGTCGGTTGGAAACTTGTGGTTGATCTGACCCTTGATGCCACAGTGCGGCGGGATGGTACTCTTCTGCATCATCATCAGGACCTTGATGAGAGAGGTGACCCCCGAAGCCGACTCACCGTGACCGATGTTGGCCTTAGCAGACCCAAGGTGAAGAGACTGCAACGACGAGCGACTATGATCCGGGGCGAAGGTATGCAACACCGAAGCCATCTCGGTGGCATCGCCCGCTTGCGTTCCCGTGCCGTGCATTTCCACGTAGCTGACTTGCTTGGGATCGAGGCCGGACTCGTTGAGAAGCTTGGAGAAGATGTACTCTTGAGCCCCTGCATGTGGCCTGGTGATGGATGCGGCCTCAGCGGAATGGTTTGTGTACGCTCCAATGATTATACCTAGGATTGGGTCCTTATCCGCTTCAGCATCGTCGAGTCGCTTGAGTACGACAGTGCCCACGCCGTCTGCCCTGCAATATCCATCGGCCGAGTCGTCAAATGTCTTGCAGCCGCCTTATAATTATGGCACGGTTAACTTGGAATAAGCTGGGGCATACCTCAGGACAAGACTTACCTGTTCTTGAGAGGAAGTACCCTCTATCCAGTCCAGCGAAGTTATCAGGGTTTGTCATAACATTAGTTCCTCCAGCAATGGCAGTGTCACAGTCGTTCCTCCAGAGAGAGTTACAAGCCATGTGGATCGCTGCGAGGGACGACGAGCAAGCGGTGTCGACACTGACGCTGGGTCCGCTGAACTTGAAGAAATAGTTGAGCCTGCCGGGCGTAAATGCCCGGTTACCGCCTGCAATTATTGTCAGTCGGCGGACGGTTCACGGTGACGAAAACAGCGTTGGTCGCCCCTGGTGCGAGATGCGTCATGGATAACAGCAGCGGTAGGACAGGCCAGACTCACCAGGGATAAAGTACGTATCCACGTTCTGACCGCTGTTCACCTCACGCCAATCGTCGCTCGTCATGCCGTAGAACACGCCGACTCGCTCCGTCCGTGTCGAAGGTGTCCTGTCAGGAACGATTCCTGCCAGCTCCAGTGCCTCATACGCGGTCTGCAACGCGAGACGCTGGCCTGGGTCTGACTGTTCGGCCTCTTTCGGGGATATGTTGAAGAACTTTGGATCAAAGAGTCCTGGCTCGTCAATCCAGCACCCGTGTACCACCTTGCTGGTGTTCTTGCGCTTTCCAGAGGCATCGTGGTGTGCTTTGGCGTTGAACCTGTCCTTGGGAACCTCCCGGTGCACATCCAGCCCTTGGTGTAGCAAGTCCCAGAACGCTTCAGTGCTCGCGGCCGAGGGAAACCTCCCAGACATAGAAACAATGGCTATTTTTGAATTCCCTGGAGACGAGGGGAGGGATGCGTGATCTGTGATACTCCTGTGCGCCTTGAGCATTGCACTGTCCACAGTGAACCACTCCTTTCCGGCCGTCCCGAGGGTGGAAATCAGGCTCCCTGCAATGTTTGTTCCAACCGGCATCAAAACACATCTCGAGTGACCAAGAGTCTGACCAAGCTGGGCGAGCTTTGATGAGATAGCATTCACATCCAACGGCAACAACAATATTTCCCGGGCGGCGGCCTCCAGTCTGTCATTGAAGGTATCCTCGGACATAACTTCGCCCGGGTGTCCTGATATAACCCGCATGTTAGGCGAGTCCCGCATAGAATTCTTCTCGAGTCCGTCGAGGACTGCATGAACGTCGTGGGTATTGAATAGATGAGGCGCATGGTACGGGCTGAAGATCGGAATGGCGAGCGGCTTCGAAGCCTTCTTAACACAGCTTTGGACAAATGCATTGACAATCGTGGGAGGACCGCTGACAGTCACACTAGCCAGATTGTACATACTTATGTAGGGTACCGATGGTCGAGGTATGCACTTGTAGGATAAGGTCAGTTGAGAAAGGTGTTCAGCGTTTTGAGACTCACCTGTCCCTTGATAAAAGCCAAAAGCTCCTCTTCAACCGCTGCGGTGGAAAGGCAAGTGTGGGGTATGACGTGGGACCATAAGGCATGTCCATCCTCAACCAGGCCTTCGCCGCTTATGGTACAGCCCATTCGGTAGGCGCGAAGGCTGATCCTCATCGCCACAAGGACCGCGTCAGTCCCCTGGTCGCAGAGCTCGCCGAGTGAACGTGAAACGCTCACGGCTGCGGCGGCTAGCGAGCCAATGCATAGCCCTGCGACGTATGTATCGTTGGCGTCGGGATACGATTGCTCATGCTGCCCAAAGAAACTGAACTTGGAGGTGAGCATGAAGTTAGGGTTAGGGTTAGAGTTAGTGTCACATACCTCATGAACGAGCACAACTGGTAGAAACATGTCAAAGTACCATCTAGCACCGTGTTCCGCCTCTGCGTCTTGATGCAAATCAAGAGATCTTGAATGCTCGAGAAAGGGGGAAACAGGTTCCGCTCCGTCGACGGCAGCCTCGCAATATTTCTCCTCAGCGTCACCTGGACTCGCTCAACGAAGGCAACAAGATAGGGATTGTCTTTCTCGCGCAACAAGACTGGGAGTTCGGCAGTATAATCGAATGTTTGGTCTCCAAAGAGAAGAACTTGCAGTTGTTCGCCCATTGCAGCGTTTACTAGACGGTATGGTGGAGATCTTGAGTGGTGTCGTGTCCAGTGCGTCAAGTTACCGTTTGGAGTCTATGGGCAGGTGAACTATCTCATAACGTCATATATATTAACACCTGGACGGGTTGAGCCCAAAAACTCAATTCTAAGCACATAGGAATCTTTGCGCTCAGACTCCACCGAATGTCAGACTGTTTCGGGCACTTGAACGCCACCAGAGTCAGGACACCGACTGATTCGTTGAACTACGCCGACCGAGATACAGGCTCGGCGAGGCTATCGGAGTAAGACGAGGTGTTCCGACGGGATGCGTTTACAAGTGGATTGCTTGTTTCGGGTTGTAGATCGGCTGGAGTAGGCTCTTCGGGATACTGTGTATTCAACGAAAATGCCAGGCAATCGGTCCGAGGGCAGCACCACGACTTTCACCCCGTGCACCGGGCGTAGCATGTGTACTTAAAGAGTTTGAGACGGGCCGAGTTCGAAGACTGATTTCTACCTACCAAGGCACTCGTTGTGTCCACCATCCCAGCAATGTCCACCGCCCAGTTGATCTGCCTCACGATTACGGCTTACCGTAAGCCTGGGCTCGGCGAGGACGAATACCGAGAGTACATGACAAATGTCCATGCGCCGCTGGTAAGCAGCTTAATGGAGGAATACGGTATTGTTCGGTATACCATGGTAAGTGCTTCCGCAGCCCGACGTTGCTCAGCTCGATGCCTATGGATCCTTCCACTTACTTGTCGTAAAGGCGCACAGCACCAGCCAATCTAGGCCGATGCTTTTTCAGCTCTACGATCCGCAGTTCTCGAAGCTTTCCGACTACGACTGCATTGTGCAGTTTGTCTTTCGGAAGCTCGAGGATTTTCGGCGCATGAAGGCCGATCCCGAATTCCTTGCCAAGATCGCCCCAGATCACGCGAAGTTCGCCGACACAACGAGATCTACGTGAGTGGCCCATCGCAATCCGAGCATGTAACTTTTAGGCTAAGGAAGTGTTGAGAATGACGGTTGGGTTCTTTGATGAGTTTGTGTCTGATGGCAAGGTTGTTCCACGATGACTCAAATCGGTCGGGCAAGAGTCCTCCGTTGCAGGTCGCCGTTGAATCTTCAGATTTCGTGTCCTGAAGACGAATACAAGTTCTTACGTCAATGAGTCTACAGTTTTGAAAAGTCGCGTGATATGTGCAGCCTATACCATGTGTTTTATGAGCGTCCCGTCTGTCTTCAATAATCGACTTCGGGCACCATAGGGACTGTAGGGGAGAAGTCTTGGACACATTGATAAGCAAACAAGATCACCTGCAATGGTCGGTCAAAGACCAGCGTCTGGTGAGCGCTGAAAGAATTTCTTTGCCCCACACCTTAGAGTGGACGGTGTTTCTCAATGGCGTTCAATCCTCCAGAATCGGTAACTTAGTAGGCCGAGACCCCAGCCCCTGAATCACGATGACAGCCCCACTTGTGTTGATAGAAATGAGTATACAGTTTGAAGGTATCCCGGCAAAAGCTAGTGCTTATTTCTGCGAGTCTTCAAGCTTACCTTAGTGCTTTGTATACCACTGCATCACTAGTTTCCCCGACCCGTATCTGAAAGTCACTTCGACGCAGTATTCACCCCTTGCTATCCCTCGAGCTAGGTAGACCTTAACGACACGGTCATGAGACTCATGTGACTCCCTGGGGGCTGCGTTACGCTCGACAAGTACAACCGGCCGTCGACTAAGCTGAGAAGCGACGTCCAGTCGTCCAGCGTCCGCTCTTTGCTGTTGAACACTTGTCTCATCGTAAGGTCCCGGACGCGGAGGGCTCGCTCTTGAATCGCGGGCACAGCGCCAGGATCCGGCAAGACCGTATCCATGAGGAGAATGACGGAGCTCGCGGACATGGACGAGACTATGTTGGATAGTATCTTGATAGCGTCGGCATCCGCCCAGTCGTGAAGTATCATCCGCAGGAGATACACCGAAGCTCCTTCTACCGGCTGCGGCTGGAAGAAGTCGTGAGAACGGAACTGGACCCTCGTGGCTAGTGACTCTGGATGTTTTTCCAGAAGACCCAGGCCGTTCTTGGTCACTTCTGGGAGATCTTGAACCTCGAAGCGGAGACCTGGATAGGCACTAGCGAGCGCGAAAGTCCCATGGCCAGTGGACCCGCCGACCTATAGCATCATTAGCCAAAACCATCATTGAGAAACGACTGAAGTAAGAAGCGGGGAGGTCTAACATCAATCACTGAGCATCCATCTGCCAACTCGCCCCAAGGAAAGCCGTTGACCAAGTGCGTGAGATCAGTGCCTTCACCACCAGTCACGCTCTTCATGTACCCAGAGAACTGCTGGTTCAAGGTAGGGTCTTGCGAAAGGTGGGCAAAGAACGGGAGCTCATGTTTGAACGCGATATTGTAGGCAGTCTCGGTCTTCTGGGCGCTCTCTGGCCAACGTTCTGTCGCTTGGATCATGTTCGCGGCGGTTGGGATGGACGCACGACACATGAAACGTGCCCAGTCGAGCATGTTGGGAATCTTCAGAAACATGGCCGAAGCTGCGCTGTGGGCGAGCTCCTTGTCAGCGGTTTCGCAGAGAACCTTGCTTGTCATGACCATGCGAGCTACGCTTTTCAGCTGCGACTCGGGGACTTTGGCGGCTTCAGCGACGGCGGTGTAGCTGATGGAGCCTTCCGGCGGTATCAGGGGAAGTATCTCGAAGTGGAGCAGCCACTGAAAGGCAAAAATCGTTTGATACTGCGGAGGTTCATTAGCATAGCGTCGCCTGGTTTGCCATCGTGTGGACCACCCACGTTTGCCATGAAGTTGGGAAGCAGCTCGCTTGGCCCGCTGACCAGCTGGAAAAGCTCAGTGCAGGCCTCGGAGATCGCAGCACGGGATTCATGTGCCGCAGCTGGGGCATTGGACGGGAGCACGTAGACTGGACTATCTGCGGCAAAGGACAGCGCAGGCTGTTCCACGTCACGGAGCGCCACGGAAAGAGTCTTGACATTCGCGGCGATATCTCCACCCAACTTCTCCAGCAATGACGGGAGATCCTTGGAAGGCATGGTGATGATATCTGAAGCTGTTTACTTTCCGATAAATTTGTTCTCTGGCAATGGGAAGGGGTGACGACAGGCTGTTTGAGAAAGTTCAGGAGACTTCCACGATATGAATTGCTCAAGTGGACCAACTCACTCGGGAACGGACCAGAAGCCAGATAACACATCATTGTCGTTTCCACACCATCCATATTTCCATGCGGGCGAGCTTCCCCGCGTTCGGGATTTTGGGCGAGCTCGTAACCCTTGGACCGGCATTGCCAATTGTGGCGGCCGTACCAAGGGGTTCAGGCCGACGCCGCTAATGTTCCAGCAAAGCCCGCGTGAAGAAAACATCGGCCCTCTGTTGCTCTCTAATTCCTGCCCAAGCTGTACTTCCGTAATGCGATCGTCGCGAGGGGAAGTGACAGTGGCCCGACTTGTCGGAGCAAGCCCGGCGTAAGAACCGCCTTACCCCGATCGCCGACAATCCCGGGCCGCGCCCGATTGCCCATTCCACATGCGCCGATCGGCCGGCTCAAGGTTGACCCGCATCACCGTCCTTGCATTCATCGGCGATTCCTCGATTGGCAGGGTTCATCCGGTGTAGGTTTTCCATCGAGTGTTGTTCTTCAAAATACATCGATGGCAGTCACCGGCACGACAAGTGGCAAGCGAATCGGTTAGTAGTTAACAGACAGACTCCATCCAGGTCGGTATCTACAAGCAAAGACCTAACCGATAAACACCATACGATGGCGCCCACGGTAGCTGTGATTGGTCTCGGTATGTTTGCTTCTGGCTCTTGGCCATCGGATGTCCCACTGATTTCGTGCTCAAAGGGGCCGTTGGGCTTGTTACGCTCAAGAACCTGCTGGAAGAGGGCTTCGATGCGACTGGACTGGAACGTAACGACTACCTAGGCGGTCTATGGCGCTTCACGGAGAAGCCAACTATCAGCGTGCTGAAGTGTAGGTGCCCTACTACGACTAGGGCCTGAACATCCAGATCGTCCAAACGGGTACTGACTCGGGTGTCTCTGCAGCTACTTGCTCCAATGGATCCAAGCAGAGAGTAATTCTACCTTCTCCCGTCGCCGAGCATTGCTAATGTTTGATAGGGCTGCTTCACCGATTTCCCGTATCCAAGTGGTATGATTTGTTTCTTTACGGCTCCACTTCCCCTAGCCAGTGAGTCTAACCTCGTTGTTTAGATGCACCGGATTTTGTCCCGGCAGAACAGGTACATGAATACCTACTGGCCTATGCAAGACATTTCCATCTCGAAAAGCACGCCCGTCTCAAGACGAGTGTAAGCAGCGCTGCCTGGGATGAGAAGCGACGAAAGTGGCGGCTGCTAGTGACAAAGCCGGAAAGCACTGGCCCCGTGGAAGAATTCTTCGACAAGGTCGTCTTTGCTATGGGTAGCGACCAGCAGCCCATAATGCCCGAGATACCCGGCATCGAGAAGTTTGCGGGATTCACATCCCACTCAGTCTCGTTCAAGGAGTAGGTAGTACCCCTCTCACCAGCCTTGCGAATACTGACAGTGGCCTTTTGTACAGTCCGAATCTCCTTGCCGGGAAGCGGGTCATGATCCTTGGGTTCGGCAACACTGCAGCTGATATGGCCACCGAAGTGAGCAAGTGTGCCAGCAAGGTCTACTTAGCCCACCGTAACGGAGCTATCATTGTATGTAATAAGTGTAACTCCTGTCAATGCGCAACAGTGCGACAATACTGATGGGTTACTACAGCTGCCCAGATGGGTCAACGAGCAGCCCGTGGACCACGTCAGGACGTACCGGAAATACTGCATTCTGCAGTTGATGTCCCGCTACACGCCGTCGCTCTGGACGTCAACCATGAACAGCGTCATCAAGAAACTCCAGCATCAGGTCTTCGACATGAACCCCGAGTGGCGGTTCGAACCGGCGCCATCCATCATCAACCAGCGGCCGCTCGTTTCGGATGACCTGGTGGACAAACTCGCTGCAGGCACCATAGTTTCCACCTATGGCCTCGAGCGCGTGCTTGACGCATCAACAGTCGAGACTTCCGATGGAAAGCAGTACGAGGTTGACGCCATCATCTTCTGCACGGGTTTTTCTGTCGACTTCTCCGTCGTGGGCGACGCAGACCCAACTCGCGCAACGACCAAGGCGTGGGAGGAGACCTCCGGCTCGAATGGCCGCGCCTTGCCCCGTCTTTATCAGAACATCTTCTCGCTGGACCACCCAGACTCGCTAGCATTCATGGGCTACCTGTCATTCATGAACCCGGCCTTCTTCATGTTCGATCTGGCGTCGATGGCAGTCGCGCAGCTCTGGAAGGGCAACTCGGCGTTCCCGCCGCAGGCAGAGATGGAGCGCCAGGTCGACCAACACCACGCGTGGGTGTGCAGCCTCGCGGCGACCGGCTCGGTGATGCCCGCCATCGTGAAGGCCTCGGACTGGATGGACTGGGTCAGCGACGTGGCCGGTACCAACCTCGAAACCTACCTGGGCTATGGCTTTGCTGGCTGGTCTTTCTGGTTCTCGGACCGCCGCTTCTGCAGCTGGCTCATGGACGGGCTCCTTAGCCCCCATATGTACAGGCTCTTTCCGGGAAAGAGGAAGTCCTGGGCCGGCGCTAGGGATGCCATCATCGCCATGAATGAAGATCGTACAGCGCGGTTCGGTCCGATGGCATGATGCATACCGTCTCACGTTGCCGAATAGTTCAAGGGCACCTTGTCCTTGGGCTCATAGTTATTAGCCCGTGAGTATTTCCCAAGCAGTGGAGCAGGGAGGATTCAACACCTATTCTCAGCGAGGTGACAATGACCTCGGCACAGGGTGTTGCTGGAAATCTGAAGAGCCAAGATACCTTAGATAATAGACAAGGAAAAGCCGCCGAAGGCAATATGACTCGCATACTAATGATCTACCCCGTGACGTATGCTGGGCTATGAGAGATGACGAACTCAATAAATTTACTAGACGCCGTCTCGTTGGTTTAAGTCCTTTTTCGAGCAGTGAATACTATCATTCGCTCCATACCGTCCTAGTTCTGCTAATCATGCTATTTGTTATGTTCAACTTAGATTGATGTTATAGTTCTACATGTCAAGGGTGGATATCACCAATGCTAATTTTCTTACATCGTCCTGTTCAAAAAGACTTGGGCGTATCGAAGAGATACATGTTATACCTTTCATATACCATTCTAAACTAGGGAGCTGAGATATGGCGTGACACCATGAGTCCTACCTTCATAATGCAGTAGCCCTTCTGTTGATTCTTCCGTCGTATGTTTTCCCACAGCCTATCGTACACACTATCACCCTCGGCATCCCAAGAGCGTGACGGGCACCTCCCATGCCCAATAGAAGCGCTGGTGAGCTCGCAAGTCTTGACCCCTCCAGTGAATGCATCAAGCAATTATGTGGCAGGGATATTGGTGTTGCCCTTCTTGATGGTCCGCCATTCCATCCCCGAAGCCGGCAATACCATGGCCGCTGCAGCAGCCACCGCCACGATGAACGCCTTTCGCAGGGAGTCGTTGTAGACTAACAAGACCGCAGCGAGACTTTCTGCTGCTACAACCTTGTCCAGGTCTATAGCGCCAGCCGCAAGAACGGCCGGGACGTCAATGCCGGAGACCCGAGCAAGGCTCTGTGCAAGAAAGTTGCCAAAGACGGACTGGCCGATGCTGCTGAACACGGCCCCGCCAAGCGACTGCGAAAAGAACATGATTGAGATGCCAATGGACACATCGACCTCGGGCAATACGGTCTGGGCTGCCAAGCTAGGCTGTTGCAAGCCGACGCCTAGCCCAAGACCGAAGAGGGCCTGGTATCCAATCCATGCCGGACTCCCCGTGTCGACGGTAAACGTGGTGGTCAAGCCTGCACCTACCGACATCAGGACGACGGACACGAACATCCACGGCACATAGTACCCGGTTGCCGTGATGATGCCACCTGAAATGATAGCACCAGCGACAAGACCCAGCACCAGGGGAATGGTGTCGATGCCCGACTGGACTGCGCTGGTCCCTTTGACCGCCTGGAACCAGAGAGGCAGGGAGTACAGCATGGTGATGAGCCCTCCACCGACGCACATGGCGTAGAGCGCGCCGCATGCGATGCTGCGTTGAGTTATGATTCGTGGGGGTGTTGTAGCGTCTTCCTTTCTCCAGGCCTGGACCAAGACAAATGAGATGATAAGGACCCCCGCCAGGACGAACAGCGCGATGACCCGGGCACTGTTCCAGGGGTAGCTGGTACCACCCCACTGGAGAGCGAGAAGGAAGCACACAACTGCTGGGAGGAACAGCAAGGTGCCAAGGGGGTCCAGGCGGATGAGCTGCCTCGAGAGGGTACTCTCAAGCTTCTGGTGACGTACGTGGAGAAAGGGGATGAGTACCGCGAGCACTACGGCACCAATGGGCAGACTAGGGTATGACATGTCAGAGACCACCAATAATGAGTTCAACCTGTAAAAGCTTACTTGATATAGAAACACCATCTCCATGTGACGCGGTCCGTGAAAGCGCCCCCTATCAATGGGCCTATGATGGACGATATTCCAAACATCGATCCCATGAGACCAACATAGATAGGCCGTCTCTGCAGAGGCACTATATGTGTGAGGATGACGGTAGAGCCGGAGAAGATGCCCGCAGATCCGGTACCTGCTATGGCACGACCGACGATGAAAGCTGTCGAGGTGGGTGCGGCACCACAGACAACGGATCCTACCTCGAAAACTACAATCGCCACCAAGAACAGGGTCTTGGTTGAGTAGAAGGTGTAGATGCGCCCCCATAGTAGCTGAGTAGCGCAACTCGTGATCAGGTAGGCACTGGCATACCAACTGATATCTTTTAGGGTATGGAATTCGGCCGTGATACGTGGTACTGCAGTGGCGATAATGGTTCGATCCTGATCGTAGTTTTGGGGATCAGCAATCATTTCTACCGATCAAGCTGGACCTGCTGGGCACTTACCAATGCAACGAGGAACATGGTGGAGCATAGCGCCGTCATGATCAAGGCCAGCTTCGTACCGGTCACGTAGCGTTCGTCTTGCTTCTGTGCAACGGGCCCGGGCTGACTCTCGTCGGCATCGCTGAGGGCTGTCTTGCTTTGCTGGTTCATGTGGTTCAATTGCAGCGTGGACGCATGGTGGCGATCAGAACTTGCTCGCTCCCCTTCAGGGTCCCGCCCGCTTTGTTTCTCCGCCATGTTGGGTTTTTCAGGGGTTGAATGTTTCGTGGCTGCAAAAGCACAGGATGAATCAAGCCAGATCCGGAAAGACGTTACGAGAAACTGGTCAGGCAGGGCTTTGTGCAGCGAGAGAGATCCAAGTACGGAATATAGATAGATTGGTAGAGCGATGTATTTATCTGAAGTCCCAGGGTCGCCCTTCTGTGTTGTTACCGGACACGGGGTGAGACATCCGACCACGGATTAGGGCGGATATTATCTTTGGTGGGGCCCGGCTCAGGGGGGCTGAAATCAACACGGGCTCGGTCCCGTTACCCGTCCTGAGTGGGGGCCCGGGACCGAGCTGCCTTGTATTCAGGTACACACATGGATGCAGCTTCAGCTTCAGTCCATCTTCCGGGCCATGCAACTTTCTTCATCTCGCTCTAGATATTACCTGGGGCTGTAGATGTTTCAAGACTAGTATTCTCGAGCCTCCAAACTTACCCTAACCCTAACCCTAAGTGCTGTCCTCAGCCTCCAGTTGTTACATTACCTCCATGGTCCGGCCACAGATCTGCATTTCGTTGAGTTGCATATACAGGCTGAAGGCCAGAAGGCCAGAGGGCCTGAAAACCCCATGGTACCGCCAATACATTGCTCGTAGAAGTGAAATTTGTGTGTGGCTCTTGAAAAAGTTCATCACTAGATTCTTATGCGGAGATGCGTCTTCATATCAGGGCTGTCATCCCCGATAGATAGCTTTTCTTGAAGGACCAGATGGATGACCCCAAGGTCATACCGCCGCAACAACGGGGATGGGCCCGTGAGCGGGACTGACTGTACTTATTATCTTGAGACCTCCACAACCCTGCGATACAGAGGCTCTGGGAGGCGTGGTTTGCACTACTGAGGAGCTACCCCCCACGTTAAATACAAAACAAACAAACAACCAGGGCTGTCATGACTTGTCGGAAAGAGAGCCAAAGACTATTTTCCGGGAGCCATAATAGCATTCAGGCTGAGAGGTATAGTTAAATTCAGGGACGCAGTTCTTCAATCTACTAAGTTGTAAACCATGAAGCCAGTATGCCACCGCCGGTTAATAAGGAACCCTAACCCTAACCCTATCCGCATCTCGTTGCCCTACTTCCGTACCAACCTAGGATGAAGTGTCCTGTGTGTCAGATATGAGTGACTTCAAGAAGGCCATCATTGCTTTCACTGTCGTCTTCCATCCCTCCTGTTCGTGCCCAGGCTCCTGTGTCGCCATAGCGGGGATTGACTTCACTGCCGCGCACTCTGCCACGCCCTTGACTGGGCCACCTCCTGATTGCAGTCCAGGCAGGGCGCCAACGGGGTACCCTCGCTGATCGGGACCGTACTCAGGTGGTATCTCGGGCCACACATCAATCCCATCCAGAATTGCGACCGCCATACCGCCTGCCAGGTGCGTCTCGATGTGGCAGTGAAAGAGCCAGGGGCCAGGGTTGGTGACCTGATAGCGCAGAACCAACCAGGCAGGGCCGTCAAACGAGGTGACGAACGTGTCGCGCCAGTTGGGATTCACAAGGTTGAACCGCGCCGGGTTCGCCTCCATTGCTTCCTCCACTGACGAATAGTTCCAGATCCCGTCGCCTGCGCCGATCTGCCATGTCTTTCCGGTATGTTTGTGCATCATGTGCGGGAACTCCTGTGGCTGGTCTGGCAGGGACCCGACCTGAAGTATGAGGTCGACCCAGCTCCCGTTTTTGGTTCTGATAACGAGGTTTTCGTCTAGCGCATCGACAGAGTGTGGGTTGTACAGCAGCGGCTCGTAGGCGCTGCGGTCTTCTTGGTACGTACCCCCGCCGGACATGGTGTATTGCCAAGGAGAACCCCATCGGTGAGTCTTTAGAATGTGCTGGGCGTCTGCGTGAGGAGCTGGAGGATTCGGCGGGTATGGGGGCAGATGTTGGCGGTCCAGCGTGACCACGCCGCTACCGTTCTGTCCACCGTAGGATATCGTGGCTATTGATTTTGTGCGGTCAGTGCCGCCCCTATATCTCAGTGTGGCGTACTCGGTAATAATCTGCGTCAGGCCATTGTCGGCGACGCGTATAGTGTAGTCACGGGCGGGCTTGTCTAATTTGATGAGTACCGAGTACCGTTCTCCCGCGTACATATGTACCGTGTCCACCAGCTGCGGCTCAATGGGTTCTCCGTCAACTTCATAAACCCACATCGGGTGCTCATCGACGGAGAAGACGATCGTCTTGAATGTCGCGGCGCAAATGAAGTTGAGACTCGCCCAGCCTGAGTCCGCGTCGACCTCGATTATCTCTCGCTCCGCTATTGACGGGAGGCAACCTTCTTGCAAGTGCAATGGGATGAGCTCCGGTCGGCTAGCTCGCAGGTATGGTCCTTGGGTTGATTTCATGTGCGGGAAACATCTGCTTCGTCAGCCAACTCACTGTCTTCTTGCTCGCAGTTGCACTAACCCCTTGTCATTGACCTGTCGTGGATAAAGACCGTACTTCATATACGTGCTCGTTTCGTCAACCAGAAAGTCTACACCAGGGCAGTAAACACTGCCCTTCCCATTGATCAAAATGCTGTCCACGCAGCTTGAGTGGCGTTAGTTTCACCCTAGTCTAATATCAGTTTCGCCATGTCAAGACTCACAAAATCGCCAAAGCTGACTTCTCTTCGGCTTCTATGTACTCCCAGGACTTGAACCTAGACCAGTCTGAGATCAACATTAGACTCGGTTCTCTCGTGGCCTTGTCCATTGTACTGATATCGGCGGGATCATCTGAGATCAGATGCCATGGTGTTGGTTGGTCAGGGCTTCGCCTGTCAAGAAGTTTTAGATGCTACTTGTGCCACTAAGAAGAAGGTATATGACGTACCGGATGAAAATGGGCCCATAGAGGCCATCGAGCAGAGTGGTCCTGGAATGCGAATGGTACCTTTGTATGCCAGTCAGCCCACCGTTCGGCAGCGAGTCACCGGTGCCGCAAATACCAATGAGTTCCGCCGGGCGAAGCTTTGAAACGATAGATAAAACTCTGGCCCATCTCGATAGGTTTCTGAGACAGACCTGGTGTTCCGTCTGACCACGGGGTCCCATGCATCCTGTGTGAACCTGTCAGTGCTACCCCACGGGATGGCAAGGTGGAACAGAGAAATTCGTGTCATACGCAAGGCCATGCCAGTGGACGCTGGTGTTGAACGGCATGTAGTTGCGGACGGTGATTTCGATATCATCGTCCTCGTCACAGATGAGGGCGGGCCCTGGAAACTCGCCATTGATTTTGATCATCTCTCTTTCCTGTCCATTCGGTGCGCCAGAGGTCCATGTAAGCGCCCAATCGTGCTTGACAGTCGCCGCAAGGGCTCTGCTCACTGCCAGACAGGAGATGACGTATGCGACTTTCATGGCGAAAGACATCGCAACGGTGACTGTACAGGTTGGTTGAGCTGGCACTGGCAGAAGTGTCGTGAAGTTGAGCCAGCCTAAACTCTCTATCCGTCAATGAATACTTTCTATGTGACTTAGCCGTGGGCATGGCGGCCCGGTGACTAAACTAGGCGCAGGGCCCCATACTCGGACTTTCTTGGTATCGACGGCGTAGCCTCGGAGCTCGGTCCGGACAGGGAAAGGAGGTGAAAGAAGTAGCATTACTTGCGGAACGGTGTCGGAGAAAAGACAATACAGGTTAGGCGGTCGGGTCTTGTGCGGGCCTAGATACCCAATATCACGGCGCTTCCCATTTCTCATGGGTCCCGAATGCGCATTTACTGAGCACACTGATGAAAAAGTATATGTAAAGACTCCCCAGAACGGTACGGAAAATAGATTTGCCAACGGTATTGCTTTTCAATCGCCCATTATGATGAGATACAAGCTCAGGGGCACTCTGAGAAGGGTTTTCAGGGTGACGGCAGTCCTCGTTGCCTTCCCAGTTGTTGCAATGATCCTCCTTCGCTCGATTTTTTCGGATACCACACCGCAGGAACGAATTGCCTTTGGCGACGAACCTGCTAGCGAGCAGAGCATGACCGTCTGGGATGTCTTGCAACGGGACGAGCGTGTCTCCAAGTTCGCCGACATCGTGGGAATGTTCGACGACATCGTTCTGGGACTATCTACGCCGCAGGCCAAGTTCACCGTCTATGCTCCTGTGAATGAGGCTTTCGACGACATGTTCTTCCCCCCGGACCTACCATGGTTCTACTGGAAGTTCCTAGCGGGCTACCACATGGGACCGGGCAGCCTTTCAGAAGCCGATCTGAAGTCCCAGAGCACGATCTCGTCATTTGTCAACGCCGACGTTTTTTTCACATACAAACAACGAATAAGTGTCCAGGAGCGAAGTTTGGGCAGGGTAGGATTAAATCACGCAGCGATTGTCCTGCCGACGGAGCAGGTATGGCAAAAGAGTGCGATCCTGAAGGTGATGGGTGCTGACACATTACAGCGAGACCAAGCATCAGCGACCAACGGTTTCGTACATCACATCGATAGCGTCCTCGAACTACCAAATTCAACGGCTCGGGTAATACAGCAGTGGCCCGAACTGTCCAGATTCAGCGAGGCCTTATCCCGAACCGGGCTTTGGCTCCCGACCGGTGACACCAACGGCCACGTCGGCCAGACTATTTTTGCCCCAAGTAACGAAGCGTTCAGCCGGCTCGGCGCAAAGTCAACTAGTTTTTTGTTTAGTCGCGGCGGCATCCCGTATCTGACGGCCTTGCTCAAATTCCACATCGTGCAGAACCACACCCTGTTCTCCGACGTGTACTTTCCCCACGCCGATCAGCCGCTCGTCAACTTTGCTGCTACTGGTGCCGCGACGGGATCTGCGGGGGGGGGGGCGGCACAGGCTCATGTAAGCTCACTGCCCAGCCTAATATCCCGTTCAGATCGCCTGAGTGATTGCTAACCCCGCGAATGTCAGCTACCCACCCTCCATCCAGGGGTCGACGTAACTACCACCCTCCGCCGTCAGCCCCACGAGAAGGTCAGCCTGTGCGCTAGGCTCGTAGGAAGTCCTAGAGGAGTGGAGACGGAGGAGATCGCGGCCTCGGTCCCGGATATCGTGCTTATGGACGGCGTGATCCATGTGGTCAACTCGCTGTTCCTTCCCACAGCCATGCAGGAAGGGGACAGGGGCTGGCATTGGCTGAAGACGCCATGGTCGCGGGGCGTATCTGTTGAACAACTCATGGAAATACTAGATCCCTGGGTGGCTTGGTAGTAGGTATCTGGTTTGTCATGGGCCAGCAGGCTGTAGACTCGAGTCTGTCCGATAATCACAGCGACGAGCAAATGAGGACAGGGTTGTCCTTGACACAAAAGTCCTTTACCTCGGAGATTTATCACGCCATATATGAGAGGAAATAGAGCGGGAATAAGTTCTGCAAGTCAGCTTAGCTCTCCCTCGGCGAGTGAGCAAATCAGGGCCTGTCCCAAGTCATCGGGCCTCAGACAGCCATTGGGTCACCGCCTTGCTGTCAGGCGCGTACCACATTCAGCTCCCGGATTTATGCGCATTCTACGTACGAATGCACGGATTATATAATGCAAGGCCGTGTGTGCTTAGTGTTCTGCATATGAGATCATATGTAAGCCACTAGTAGCGTGGATGACAGTGCATGCAGTTGGCACGCTTTCGCTCGTTTTCGTTCGTGGTTCTTACCCGCATGAAGGATTCTTCTCAAGCGACAGGCTATACTGAATCAGATGAGGGATGCACTTTGCATGTATGTGGCGGCGGCAAAGTGCAGCTTGGGGGGGACTAGAGGACTCCTTAGAATGCAGTTCAAAGCGAAGCTCGCTGATACATATCTTTCGGCCGTGGCACCTCTCAAGGTTATCTCTTCAGATGCCCGCTCCTCCTCCTCGTGCGCCCAGGTTCATCTCATACGACTTTCAGGCCGTCCTACCATGAACCCAAATCACGTTCAGCGCCACCCCTATCCGAATCATGTCATCTGAGACGGCGCCGCCCAAGAAGTTCCGGGCCAGCTGTGAGAACTGCGCTAGGTCAAAGGTCCGCTGCGCAAAAGGAAACTCCCGCTGTCAACGCTGTGCCAGGAAGGACCTCCTGTGCGAGTACGGTCCTGCGCAGAGAGCTCGTCGGAGCCAGTCAGACACAGAGTCAACCGCCGTGGAAACGTCCAGTGCCGGAAGCGGTATGTCGGGGCCACGTCAGGCATACACCAACGATGATTTTTGCAGCATGGATTTGGATGTTACCACACATGGCTCGTCCATGGGTTCGGTAACGTCCCCGGAGTTGGGTAATTACTTAGAAGTGGAGGACTTCATGGCCGGCATTGCGCACCCAGGAAGCCCGGACTTCCTATACTGGCTATCACAGCCACCCAAGGCCGTTCCTAGGGCCGAGGATTCTACCAAAGAGGACATGTTCCCGGCTCCCGGTGGTGTCACAGCCCATGCCGGATTTCCTGGTGGTCCCGACGGCACCGAGAATACCATTGCAGACGGCAATGCTACTGCAGGATGCATCAGTAACTGCGCCATCATGCCGCTCAACATCCTCAAGACACTCGGCCCCAGCCTCGATACATACACCGATGCGTTGAGTGATCTCGGGACGGTCCTCAAGACTAGCCGCACAGCCCTCGACAGTGCAACCCTAATGGTCTCCTGTCCATGCTCCGCAACGACGGATATGGCCTTGCTCGCAACCTCAGTCATCCTCCGCATCCTGTCCTGGCACTTGACGATTTTTCACAGCTTGCAACCCAAGGAGAAGAAACAATCCGGCCAGGCAGATGCTAAGGGTCGTCTGGAGCAGCAGGGCCCCAGTACAACACACGACCTGGGTCCAGACGCGAGGGGCTCCGCCACAGCTCAAGGGCTCTGCATGCCAGCAATCAACATCGGCACCTATGAGCTGGAGCTGGAGGAGCGGCCGTTGCTGATCATGCACATAATTCAAGGCGATTTGTCAAGAATGGAGGCTGTGCTGGACCTGTTTTCCAAGAGGTTCTGCCGCAGCAATGGGCATCCCTTCGGAGAGGACAATAACGAGAAGCTTCATCAAGTTCTGGAAATGTTTCTGCGCAGGAAGCACAATGCTACTCTGGCGGATATAAAGAAAGACCTCGGACTAATGTAAAGTCATTCCGGTGACGACTATTTTCATCCGCAGATAGCTTGCTCGTCTTCGATCATGTTGCAACAGTTGTAACATATGGAGACTAACTGCGTTGCTTCGATTCCTAGTAGTATAACTAGACTAGCTACCCTGACTTGGTAATCTGATCCTCAGATCCTGATTCACGCTCTCTACATCTACGGAGTCGCGATAGCCACATGCGCAATTCTGGGACTGGCTAGATTTAATTGTCACTGTTAGAATATTGGACTTCGCTTTGTTTGATTCAGCTGATGCCGGCGGTGGCTCGATGGGCGGCAGCTTGCTTACGTTCACCTTCCTAACAAGGCCTTGCGCAGACTGCAGTAAGCAAAAGTAGAGGGGTTCCAGGCTCGCCGCTGACCCAAACTCTACCCCCGCCTTTAACCAATGGCGCAGAATAGAGTCACGCTGGGACTCGCTGCCCTGCAAAATGGCATGCTGCAGGGTCATGATCCCCACTCAGGAGTAAGCTGCATTGCCGGCAACCGAAGTTAGATGAAATGTAGTTGCGCAGGAGCAAACGGGATATGACTCAAGCATTTCTCTCACTGGAGACGGCGTACGAGTCGGCGTACGGTTCGGCTTGAGATACAGCCTAGGATTCCGTCTAGGCCGAAGGTCGGGCTAGGCTTCGGGCTAGGACACGGCATAAGATACGGCATAGGATACGGCTTAGAATTGGCTTAGAACTCGGTGTATGCTCTACGCCGTTACCTTGACCCGATCACTGACACGGCAGCGGCCGGGTCGCGACAGCATCAAACCCATCGATGACTAACGCCCAGTCGGCGGACAAATGGGTGGTCGAGCCGTACATGTAAAATGATGTCCACGAGAGATTCCAGCGACATGGTCATCCCCACCGCCAGGCATCCCTAACAGCAAACATGGCGCGCACAGAGACCCTCGTCTCCCGCAACGAGAAAGGCTCGACGCCACTGGGTTCCGCGACCTTCATAGCCCTGCGCCTGCTCGACCCCTTCCTGCAATACGGGCTCCTGATCCACGGCTGGGGCGATCCTCTCATCCGGCTCCTAGGGGGCCGCCCCCTGCCGCTCGAGGGGCCAGTCCTGGTGCTGGGCCTGCCGTACTGGCGTCTGAGCATCTTCGCCATGGCGGTCGCCGGGTGCGCCAAGACCATATTCTACCTGGTCTACGTTTCCAGGATGGCCATGCCCGTGCGTGCCGCTGTCTTCGTGGGGTTCTTCAAGCTCTTCTCCACCACCGTCAACACGCTCCTCTTCTGCACGACAGCCACCTCGGCGGCCTCTGCGTTCCTGTCGGCCCGGAGCGTCGAACCCGACACGATCCCGTTGCCCCCGGTACTGCTGGTCGCCTCGTGGGCCGTCTTTGTCGTCGGCATGGCCATCGAGAACGTCGCCGAGCTGCAGCGCAAGGCGTTCAAAGATGACCCCCGCAACAAAGGCAAGCCGTTCACGGGTGGTCTCTTCTCCGCGGCTCGCCATATCAACTACGGAGGCTACGCCATCTGGAAGTCTGCAGCCGCCATGGCGGCCTGCGGCTACTGGTGGGGCGGCCTGACCCTGGCGTGGCTGATCGCTGAGTTTCGGCGCCGGGTGATTCCTGAGATCGATGCGTATTGCACGGAGAGGGTAAGTGCTGTATATTCCTTATCCACGGTGGTGTCATCGATATGCTCATCACGTTCCACAGTACGGTGCTGGATGGGTTAATTTTAAGAACACGACCCGTTATAAGATGATACCGTATATTTACTAGACCTGTCCCTCGACATACCCTCTCGCGTTGCTTTCATTTGGCTGAAAGAAACATGTCATTTATGAAGAGCGCCCAGTGGAAGATGTCGGGGTGCGACGATGGGAGGGCTAGGGTTAGGGTTGGAGTCTGGGTCAGGGCTAGGGTCATGGGTGGCATCTTCGTAGCTTCTGCTGGTAGGAATGAGTAAGGGTAAGCTACTGAAAGTCAGGTACCGAACTCATTAGTACTCTCATGCTATATACCTACCTTATCTATGCCCTTGAGCATCAACCTTTTCCGGCTAGTTAGTGCACAATATAAATCGCGAAGTTCCTGTTCACATTGGCTTCGATGCAATACAGCCTCTCAGGGTTTCCGTTGTATTAGATGTAGCTTTGGATATACGAAATGACATAAAGGCTTACACAGGGGGGGGGGATGTGAATCTGTCCCAAAGCTGGAGCACATGAGACGTCTTGTGTGGAAATTCATGGCTCGGAAGCTGGCAGTTGAAGTTTAGGTACATATCTACAATGCACCTTACGCTACCTCGAGCAGTCTTCATTACAGGCGCTTATGAAACTGCAGCACGACCGATGCTTTTCTATCTGGACCTCGCTGATGCAAGCGGTTTGGATCATACAAGAGTCAATCGACGAGGTGCCAACTACCATCCGTCCTCAATCGGTGCCCAGGGAACAGCCAGGTCACCGGCCAGGAATTGCGAAAAGTCCATGGTTCGCAGAGGTCCATCGTCATGTCCCTCTGACCAGGAACCCCCACCGTCCTCGACAGCCGTCGGCTGGGTGAGCGCATCAGACTGTGCAGCATTATTCGGCGCCCGCGTAGAGCGCTGTAGCTGCAGAGTGCTAATAGCTGAGCTTTTCAGCAAGCCTGGGGAGGCCAGCGGCGCCGTCTGGGCCTCCCCCTCGCAGCAACGATGCCAGGCCTTGACGGCCAGATTACCAAGAGCAACGTAGAGGGGATTCTTAACATCTTTGATCAATTCGGGATGGTCCTCATAGGCCCGGCTGATCACATTCCATGCACGCTGGAGCTGGAGCTGGTCGCCGGGCTGTGTTCGGTTGAGAAGGTCCGTCAGGACGAAGATCAGGCACTGGAAGGGGAAGCTGTATCGGACGTGCCAGAGGAAGCCCTGGAGGCTTGGGTGGGAAATGGTCAGGCTATCGTACTCCAATATCTGTAGCGCGAGGTGGAAGATGCGGTCCTTGGTAGCGGGGGAGTTGGCGTTTTCGTTCGCCTGCAGTGCGGAGAATCGCATCTGGCAGATTGCCGACCGTCCAAGGAAGACAGACATCAGGTATAGAGGGATGGACTGGTCGCAATGCTTCAGCAATGAGTCTAGCTTCTTTTCGCACAAGTCGATAACTTGTTGCTGCTTCTCTGGAATTGGTGGCACAGTGCATGTCCGCAGGCGCAGCATACACTGCCCGATCTCACATCGAATGGTGCAGAAAAGCATCTCGGTGGGGCCCTCGTGACTAGTCAGGGCCTCCCTCATGAAGGGGGATAGATCGCTATCGCTGATGTTCGCCGGGAGCTTGGTATCCGCCGTCTCGTGGAAGGACGCATCGCTTGATGCGCCTAAGAGCTGTCCCGACCGGCTGTCCATGATGACGATCTGCCACCACAACCTCCTGCGTATCTCAGCTTCGAAGGGCTGAAGCTGTTTCAGGCTCTGCTCTCTATGGAGCCCCATAGCCTTTGCGAGCCGACTTGCGAGACCAGTGAGCAGCCAGAGGCTTTGCCCGTCCATGCGGCGGCGGCTCGCGAGCTATTGATTTGTCTCAGCTAGAGCTAACCAGGAGAGGAGCATACTCACCAGGAACAACGTCAACGCTTGGAGTGTCACTGGATTCGTAGCCTTGAGAAATTCGGCCTGCTGGAGAGCATGCTGCGTCATGGCCGCGAAGCGGGTCAAGAGGGTGCCTTTCGGCTCGTCCATTTGGGTGATGCATTCTTCGTCGGTCAGGGTTGTAACTGCGCATAGATAGATGGAAGACCAAAGAGCCTTGCTGCTCTTATTGAGACTCCCATCGCCGGCCACCGCCTCGTGGATAGTCGCCTGCACTGTTGGGGCATGAAGTAACTTGATGAGTGGGTTGAAGTTGTCGATGAAGACTTGCCATAGCTTTAATATCTGAGGGATAGTGGGACCAGGATGGTTAAGCTCTCCAACGGCTGGCGACCATTGATTAAAGATCAGGTTTTCTGGTGTGGCTGGGCCCCAGACCTGCCCGTCAATAATCTCATCGTCATCGCCATAACTAGTGTACTCATCGTCTAGCTTTGCGTAGCTGTCAGTTTGGCTCGGCTGAAGTGCAGATGACCTGTAACTTCTTACCTCGTCACTTAGGGGGTTCCATATGGTACTGTAGGGGAAGTAATCAGCCTCGTGGCACCGCCAACGGACCGAATTGGGTGGTAGGTTCGTACTTATCAACAAATCGTGGGTGGCCTCTCTGGATGATAATATGGCCATCGTCTGTCTTAGATGCCGGCGTACCAGGCTCAGTCATGGCGAGATCGCTATAGTCAGCGACATGCTCTGGGAAGGGGATGTCATTTGCGGTGAGAAGCGACTCGTAGTGACGGAGGCGGTCGAGGAGGGCCTGCTCGGTGATCCTAGCCTCGCGCACGCGTGTGAGAGTGGCAGGCCGCGCGGAATGGCAATGTGCAGCACGGGATCCTTTCAGGCAGGAGGAACACGGTCGCTTGCCGTCGCATTTGACCTTGCGGCGTGAGCACTGTGTGCAAGAATGGCCACGGGTGACTTTGTTGTTGATGTTTTTGCTGTGCTGCGCAGCCACGAGCCTGGCCTCGTAGTCGTTACCATGGCTCACCATCATGATCTACCTAGGTATGATAGATGAACTTGACTCTCCACCGGTGGCATTTAGGTGCTGTCGAGCATGACCCGACCGACGACTCCTTTGTTGTAGACTTGAGGTTGTTGGCATCTGTCATCCCTGCCTGTCGGATGCACATATGCAGGAGGCATAGGCATATATGCAAGAGGCAGAGACATGCCTCTAGCGAGGTCCAGGAGGCCACGGACATCGGTCCCGAATTTTCGGTCCCGTGTCGGTCCCGTGTCCGAAGAGGCAACTCTTCCCGAACCGCAATGTACCCATGTATCTATCCACAAGTACACCGGTCAACCCCGACCCCCGCCCCCTGACTTTCTTATTCCGCAGCTATTTGGAATCCTGGGTAGATTCAAGCTGCGCATGTGGTACCAGAAGACCGTGACTAGCACCGACTTTACCGTCGCGACGACGCCCTTCTGGAGCGGCCAACCCTCCAAGTTCCGCCGATCAACATCAGTCCTGGCCGCGGCCCGCTGGCCCTGTGCCGATGCTTGGACCGACGACCCTGCTGCGCCGAGCTCACCGGCCGGGCACGCGGTCCATGCTTGTGGCCGTGAGGTCTCACCATCTTTCTGGCAACCTCGCTCCAGCCCCCGAATGTCAACCCGTCTGGTAGGTACTTATTCGTGGGAGGAGCTGGAGCGCCATGTGACTCTTGTGCCCTCCAAGTATGCATCCGCCCATCGTATTGGATATCTGTTTCACATCTGCCAGTGACAAATAAGTGTCTATACCTGAACTGTCGGTGGTACTGTCCCGTCTTAGCCAACCAATATGGCCTCCCTATTCGCAGAACGTGCTTTCCGCCACGACAGCATCCCATTCGATCCCGCTCGAGACCTCCAGAGCAGCGACAACCCGGTCATCCAAGAACTGCGCGAGACGGTTCCCGATCTCAAAATCTACACTCGCTCGTCTCCACGTTACGAGTCGGTGCGTCAGGTGTACAATCTCTTGAACAAAGCACAGCCGCTGGTCATCTGCCGCCCCCAGAGCATTCCCCAAGTCCAAGCCATCGTGAGGACGGCGGCGCGTTTCGATGCCCCCCTCGCCGTGCGATGCGGCGGACACGATGTCTGGGGCCGTGGCTGCATCGCCGACTCCGTCACCATCGATATGCGGGAGATGGATACGCAGCAGCTGGCCACTGGCGGCAGCTCTGTCACCATTGGCGGCGGTGTCACCAGCGACAACTTCGTGGGCTTTCTTCACTCGCACGGTCTCTGCACCGCCAACGGCACCGCCGGCCATGTCGGATGGACCGGGTGGGCCATATGGGGCGGCTACGGGCCTCTGAACGATTATGTTGGCCTCGGTGTCGACAACATCTTGGCCGCCAAGATGGTCACGGCTACTGGCGACCTAGTCGAGGCCGATGAGGACCTGCTCTGGGGTATCCGCGGCGCCGGCGGCAACTTGGGTGTCATTGTAGAAACGAGAGTCAAGGTCTACCCTATTCATAGGATTCTCGCCGGCTTCATTGGGTACTCATGGGATGAAGCCGAGGCAGTGCTCCTCAAGCTACAGAGTCTCTTGGACAACGGCGTGCCGAATTCCCTGTGTGTCCAAATCGGCTTCATGAAATCAGAATGGGGTATTGGCATGACGCTGATCTTCATTTGGCCCGCGCCAGACTTGGACGAGGGCAAGAAATGGCTAGAGATGGTGAGAGACCTAGGAACGGTCGTCGTGGACACCGTCGCGGAAAGTGAGTAGAATCATTCCCTTAACCCTTCGAGCCCGCCGAGCTCCGACATTGCGACTGACCAGATTTTAATGTTAGCAACTTTCAAGGACTTTCAGAAGATCACATCGCGTCCTGTGACCGATCCTGCCAATGTCTACACGCGCAGTGCATCTATACCCAGCTTCACGACAGCCACCGTCGCGGAGCTCAAGCAAAGGATAGAGGCCATTCCCGACACGCGCCAGTACAATGTCATCGCCCACATCGGACATGGCAAGAGCACAGAGCCGAATCCGTCTTCGTGCTTCGCAACCCGTCAGCCTCACGTTCTCTTCCATATCAACGCCTGCGACGAAGCCGACGAGATGACAGGTGCGGCCGCATGGGTTGACGAAGTGGTCTCCGGCCTGAAAAGTACTGGTGAGTTGATGAAGCCGGTCTACGTGAGTTTCATGGGCGAAGACGAAAACACAGATCAGAGTTTTGGGGATGGCTGGGAACGGCTGAAGGCTCTGAAAAGGCGTCACGATGCGAAGGATACATTCCGCCACGCTCAACCAAAGCTGCCGCCTATGTGAGGTTTGATTCTTGGCAGCGAAAGACATATACGTATTTCAAAGAAGATGTTTCTCATCTAGAATTCTCGCAAAGCTGTCCTCCATTGTGGAGTAGGTTAAGTTGAACAAGGAAGGCCACTTTGCCACAGGAAAATTCGAGTCGCGTGCACACTTGCCAACTATAGCTGAGTTACCTGGAGACTACGCACCATATGAAGAATCTTGTCCCTCTATTTGCTGCTTCCAGGGCGTACTCGAGTGGAAACGTCCTCAATATGGAACACCCCACCGCAAATAACCGCGACAGGCGAACCAATACCGAAGTGGTTGGGACTCGGGTCATCGATCTTTTGCATTGGATCCATTTGTCGGTTTTATCGCGGCGCTTAGGACTGGGCCGTATCTGCGCTTGGCCTTCCTTCGGGATCACCAATCCCCACACGCAAGGATCACTTCCTTCAGAGGCGAGTATGGCCCTAACCGCGGCCCGTCCCCTCTGGAACTTATAGATGTGCCATGGTGCCGGAGGTGCCGGAAGCCGCGTGAGCACCATACCTGAACCGGGTTCGGGAGTTAGGCAATCAAGCTAACACGGTTCATTTGATGTGCTGCAGCACCTGATACGGAAATCTCGCCTTTCGAGGGCCTGTTTGCATTATAAGGCCAGACAGACCTGTGCTGAAGGCCGGACCAACGATTATTGGCCCGCGCGTGTCACAGGGCCTGCCCTGCCTGTTGAAGGAGCCAGGCCTTAAAGCAGGGGCCAAGACGGCGGGGCCGGAGGATTGAGGACAAAAGGGTCAAGCAACATGCCATATCAGATAAAGTTCCCGTAACAGGCAGCTATGTCGGTATATAAACGCTCCACAAGGATTGATAGTATCCATCGCACGCCGGTTGTAACCGACAACTGTTCATATTAGTTCACAGAGTGTCACATGATGGTCAATTTCCCTTAGGTTCAAACGGGAAGTCCAGCAGTTTATACGGACCCAGAGACCCTAGCATATGGAAACGCTACGATTTACCATCCTGGATACCTTATCTCTCCAGTTCCATGGGTGATCCACAAGGCAAGGCTCAGAGTCAAACAGTCTACCCTCTCCCGTCGTTTCATGGTCGGCCCATCATGGAGTCCGATTTTCTGCCTTCATTACTTCATCAGGGACCGAGGCAAGAAGTTGCTATCTTTCTTCACAACGCCCCTGTGAGCTGCCACTCCGGCTTGAACTTAGACTTGATCATGAGGTGATGTTTAAGGCGTGTTTTTGTGTAGGTGACTCACGGTGTGCTCTCGTTCCAGCAAGCTGGCTATAAAAGCGAGGCCACTGCCCCTCGGAAGAGCCATGTTAAGAAGATCAAACAGACACACACACACACACTTACGATCAACAATAACATCAACTACAGAAGCTTTTCACCCGTACTTCTGAACAACCACCAGGATGAAGACCGCACCCATTGCCACTCTGCTCGCTGCCGCGGCCTTGGGGGCTGCCCATGTCTTACATCAATCGTCTTCTGGAGACCTTGTGAGTCGTCTTACGCAGCATACATATATTTCGACCGTCGCTGACCCTTCTCCAGACCCTTCTCCAGGAGTCCGCCATCCTGAAAGCAGCAGATCGGCTGGAGGTGGCCAAGGGCCACGGCGTGGCAGTCAGCGCCAACCACAAGAAGCTGCAGGAGATCGACCCAAACCATCCGGACGATGTTGTTTCGGACACTGATCTCTCTGACTTTGACGAGGACGCAAAGAGAGACGTGGTAGGCTTCGGGGGCACCGGTAGTCGCGGCTTTACCGCGTTCCGACCCCGAACGGACGCGGTGTACAGCCCGGAAACAGCTGGAGGGAGCCCGAACACACAGTGCCCTGACAATGCTCGCCCGTGCAAAACCGACAAAGACTGCAAGGACGACAGCACGCTCCATTACCAGCTGGGCCGTGTTAAGGTTTACTGCCATACATGCACCATTAAAGACGGAAAGTGCAAGGCGGCGTAACCTGATGAAATTTGATTCTCACTCTTGCAGGGGCAGAGTACAGGATGGAGAATTCGTGGTGGGTGGTAAAGGTGCGAAGCTCGTCATTCGTTAGACTCTCTTATCAATTGGGTGGCGTGTGAGATTTCAAAGTGTTCTATTAAGGAGAGGAATTCCAGCTACTCTGGAGCGGCCAGAATGGCCCTGTATATATCCAAGATACTAAAGGAAAGGATACGTGGCCTTATATTGGCCACGTATGTGACAGAGTCACAAATGGAGATGGTGATCCTGAAGGATGACTATGGATGGGCTAACGTAGCCCAGAATCTAACATGGCGCCCCTGAAGGGTATGGCGTTTGTGATTGGGAAAACACGGATGTACTCATACTGGCACGGCTACACTTGTTTCAAATAGGATCTACATGGAGAGGGGTATCTTCTCTGTATTGGGGTGGGTGTTCGTGGCCCAAGGCGCATTGGAGATGAATATTTACTGAGAAACGGCGATGAGCTGAGTACGTTCGTGAAAGGAACTGGGAAAGTGTTGAATTGCGCTGACAGCCTGATCGTGGTTGATGTTCGTGTATACAGTGCTGATCTTGATGATTGTGTTGCTCTGAATGATTGTGTTGCTCTGAAGTCTTGTTGCATGTGGTGGCTAGGTGACCCCTGAGCAGTGCACTGCCATCTCCCTGACGCCACGGTGGCTTGCGCGCCATTCAACGCCATCTTGATGTATCCAACTACATGCTAGTATGAGTATCCGTTGACACCATGAAGTTTTCAATTGAAGGGCTGACAGGAAACGACATTGCTAGTCATACGTACGGGTAATTGTTGCGCGGACAAAGCAAACAGCTCGTTTGAGCAAAAAATGGTGAATTCGGAACCTGTTGCGGCACGTCACTAACATGTCACGATGCGACCCTCATTGGTACCTACGAATAGGTAAATATCTTGACATTGGACATCCAGTCGTGTGGGAGGGAAACGGCGTAGATCACCATGTCAACATGCAGTCAAGGAAGATGCTCTTGGAGAGCCGCACACGGCTGCCCGTGTGAAAAAGTGCCTTGCTTCATACCCATGGAATGAATTGTCAGGAAATGCTAGTAAAGAAACACCAGTGCACCGTGAAATCAACCGACCCATTACCCAACACCACGCCCAACACCACGCCCAAGTGTCCCAGGCTCGGCCATAGATCAAGATTTGCGTTGTGATCTATCCCAAAGTAACACACCTCTATCCTTACCGATGGCCAATCGCAAATACCATCACCACCCCCTTCTTCTCGGTTGGCACAGAACTTTTATGTGACGAGCCGTCTAACCTATAAGGCTAAAGGGTTCTATAGGGTTCATGTTCTGAGGTAAGTCAACACAAAGGACGATAGAGGCTTCTGTCAACTAGAAGACACTCAGATGCTGGGGCTTAGTCTGATCCAGGGGATCACTGAATAGTCGAGTCGTCAGGAGATTTCTCTCACCTTAGGGTTGGCTAAGATGCTTAGATTAATCATTAAGGTAGAGACTGTCTATCTGTCTAGTTAAGAAATGTCTATCCTTATATATCCAACCTCTCCCTCACTAATGAGGCGTGCTCACTGTTGCTCGCGGGATCAGACGTGAGCAACCTTCCCTTGCTCACCGTTGCTCGCGTAAGCAGACATGAGCAACTCTAGTCACGTGATCCTGGCTCCCTGGATCACGTGCCTGGATGCCCTGCACTGTTTCGTGTTGTGCCCCCGTTCTGATTGGGTTCCCTCGTAGGTCATCCTATTCCCTTCAGGCCTGCCAACGGGCCTGTGGTATTTGTTGGTTCGTAACATCTGCTGCCGGAACGCGATATCTCAGCTTTCGGCTGTCTTCTGAAGAACGCCGGGGACGTGGGGAATCTGCTGCCGGATCGCGATTTTCTCCATTCGGGTCGTTTTCTGAGTAATGCACGGATCCTGATTCCCAAACGCGATATCTTTCCATCGGTTTTTCTTTTGGTCCTGTACAGCAGCAATTGCTCATGTTGAGAGTGGACGGGCTATTCCAGGTGCGTGCAAATAGTGGTATGTGGTTGTATCGTTCGTGGGAGAGGCGCAAGTTGAGTTGTATGATTGAGGCGTGGTTCGTTGCGACTCGTGAGCGTTGAGTGGGAGTGGAGTGCTGACTTCTTGATACTGTTGCGGCGATGTGCTGATTGAATCATGGTTTGGTGTATCCTGGGCTCGAGTCGGAGCCCATACTTATAGACAGGTGGGAAGCAGCACGAGTCCATCTGAAACATGGTATCTTTGGGTTGCCATTCAAAGTTTTGGTGTTGGTGACACGAAGGCGGATTGGAGCCAACATTCCTTTGTCGTTGAGCAATGTTGGGTTCGGATGAGCTTTGGCTCTGTGAATAACACCAACTCCCGAGCGATATGCGACCAACTTCTTTGTCCTCAGTTTCGCGAGGTCTGCCAACACCAACATGACCCAGTCAAAGCTGCGAGCCAAGAAATATCTGTTGATTCCGTTTTGGGATTGAGCGATCGTAGTTGGCTGCATCAGCGCCTCGACTCGCTATCCTTGTCCAAGTATGGCTGCATCCTCTTCGTCTCGTCTCACTTTGAAGGTCTGCTACATTGCAGGTCTACTTCTCACAGCTCATATATTCCGGCTAGTCACCAGGATGAAAACATCAGGGTCAGAAGTTCCATGATTGTGTCTGATTCGATCATTCACCGTGCATTGCTCATCCGAGCCCGCTCACGGAGATACGTTATTTGCGGGTGCAATGACATTACCTCATCACCTTCAAGCACCCAAGGCCGTCGCGTCATCTGTGTTTTCTTCGGCCCTCGATGTCATGCACAGCTAATCTAGGCGAGGGACTTGAGAGTGTCCCTGGGTGGGCATATCTTGTGACGACCTGAAATCCAGGTTGGACATGCATTGCTATCTTTCGATACTCATGACCATGCGCGTCTTGGTATTCCGCGTCAAAAGGGGGTTGGGGTATGGGCCCAGCAGAGCCAATGCCTCCAGCCTCTATTTCCCTTCGTTGATCCAGTACGTGGATGATAAGAACACAGCATGGCATTGAGTATCAGTTCCAATCTAATCATATATCGATCATGACACATTCCCAACTTGTCGCAATCTTCAAAGGCGTGGCCCCATTTCGACTCCCCACATCACCGCCTCCTGTGCCATTTCGACTATCAACTCGGCAGTCCGGCCGGGCTGTGAAAGAAATGGGCTATGACCAGCCTCAATCCGCCTGACCCTCATGCCAAGAATCGAAGCAACAAGCTGTTCCTGCAGCACAACCAATATCGCTCTGTCCAGCTCACAGATCAGGTAGTAGCGTGGCATAGTCAGGTCGGCTGCCACGTACTGGACCGGTGCCTCAACCGCGTCCTGTGAGTGGGTGACAAGCCTGTCGTACCATTCCTGAGCGTCCTCGTGGGGGAGGTCATTGTAAAAGATGGACTTCGCTTCCGGTTTGACTCTCGACAGCGAGTTCTGGTGTATGTTAGTCCAACTTAAGAGTGGAGAACTGGGACCCGCTTCAACTCACACCCTTCCTTAACGGCAATTCTGGGCTCATCCAGTCTGGCAACACGCCTCCCAGCGTCTCCACGAGATCCATCCCCTTCATTGGCACAGCGAAGCCAGCCATGTATATGATGGCCCGGAAACCTCCGCGTTGTCCAGCCTTCAGACGATCGCCCACGCTGAGACCCTCGGTTGCGGCGCAGGCGGGTATGCCCCCATAAGAGTGACCGCAGATGACGACCTCCTTGCCCTGTTCGAATAGGGGAAGCACGAGCTCGTGGATCATAGCGACGTCGGCCTCCCACGTCAGACCTCTGATTCCGCAGACTGTTGGTAAGCGTGGTACTAGACACTCGTAGCCCAGGGCCTCGATCTGCGTCATTAGCAACCCATAACACAGGGGTTCGTGCCAAGCCCCTCCTATAACCAAGATGACCGGCGAAGATATGGCCATTGCCTGTGCTGGAAAAAGGTAAAGTGAGAGGCGTTGGTAGGGTGAGGTGGAGTGATGTTGGTAAGGTGAAGAAATAGAGCCGCAACGGAGGCGGTGGCAAAGAGGAGAATTTCACGCACAAGATATAAGTCTGGGGTCTTACTCTGCCGCCAAGTTGCCAGCCGCCCACCACGAGCTGGTCCTACTCATGGCACCTTGACGTGGCCTGCGAGTAACCGTCATACCGAAGGCCGGTGTTCCCAGCGTCGGGCGGAAAGCGAATGTGATGTGTTCTTGCGGTCCGCTTTGCATGGTACAGACTGCCTGCCGGGTGTGACACAATCAGGCACCGCCAAGGTAGTCCACGGTGGGGGGTGCGACAATACGGCATGGTCAGACCCTCTCTGTACAAGAGCAGGGCATGGGCCGCATGGCACAAAGTAGTCCTAGCGAATCAAACATGGCTACAGGCTAGGGCACCGCTTGTTCCGGACACTCGGGATGTGACAGCCAATCGCAAACACGACCATCGTGGATCCCTTATCAGCCTCCTTCTCCCATTTCGTACTTTTGACCGAGCTCGGTGCCCATGTCTTACATTAGCCACCACTTTCCCTTCACAGTACGAACTCTACGCAAGGTGTCCTTCCGACGGACGCCCAGGTGCAAGTGCTCTCTGCGGGTAAGCGATCGACGAGTAGGTACCATATACCGCGCACAATCGCATCAATGATCAAAAACACACGGATCTTTGCACGGATGCCTCAAGTCAGAAACCAATGAAAGTGGCATGTTTTGTAGTACGTACTATCGACCTTTGGCTCCAAGCCAGAACGATATAGTCATCTCGTCATGAGTCCTGCGTGTCAACTATCTTATTCTGGCCAAATGTTTCCTTCTCAGCACAAGTTCTTCATCCCAGCGTTCGGTTCGATTCCTCCCCTCGTCATCTACGTCGACTTTTCCTGCAGAGGTGTCGGCGTGGGCATGTGTAGAACAAGACTTTCAGATCCGGGCCTCGTGCGCAACGGCACGGCGACAAGAGTCCCACCTCGATAGGACAGACACCAAATGAGTGGATTTCGAGTTCGTCGTGCTTCGTTCGGCGTTGTCCACTCGTGGCTACACTAAGTGTATGTCCCATCACCATGCTTCTGTTGGTATCACACTGCACGTGCTTGCTGAACAGGGGTAGTAAGCTCTACCTGCGGCTTCGGTTACCCATATCAATTCGCAAGTACAGTTACGGGAGCAAGAGACGGCAAATATTGATACTTGATGACAGAAGGCCAACCATATTGGGGGTGAAAAGACTCGTTGTTCTGCAGGGAGCTACAGTACTAATCAGGCGTGGAGGCCCTGTGTATGTACATCCAGGGTTCCTTTGTTCCCAGCATGCTTCCTGACACTTGGTGCTAGACCAATAAAAGTTCAGAAGCGCCTCCTAAGCTTCTGTAGGGCCCATCTTAGAATTGGTGGCATCGTGAGCGCTCAAGCCTACCAGAACTTCCCTCTTCGCCCCGGTTCGTATTGGCGGAACTGGCAACGACGTATGCGTTGCAATTTGGTCCATGCAGTGGTCGAGTCGATTCGTAAGCACGCGTGGGAGTGAGGAACCCCTTCTTCGTGTGAGATCCTCAAGCTCGAAGGCTGCTAAAGGCGAGGGGCCGGCATCGTGTAGTGTTTCAGAGCTAGACGCCCGTCTAAACCCAATCTTGGAAGATAGACGATTAGCGATGATGTCGACTCTGTCTTGCAGTTTGCGATATACAGGCTTCAATATCGGGAGACTGATGCAAAGGATGGCAAGGTTTGGCTCGAGGATCGCGTAGTTCAGGGACGCCATCGCCGTTCCTGCGATGTCGAATGTGTAGTCGGTACCGATGATGGCATCGAATCGCAGGAGTGCGATGGCGAGAGTGCTGGTTGGCGAATTAGTCATCCATTCCGTAAAGCCAGTAGGAGAGGAAAGGAAAGGACGTACGCGAGACCCAGAGTGAAGATAACCGTCAGACCGACTTTCGTGTTCTTCTTCATCTGTAGCTTCCAGATGGGTGGAACCAGCAACAGCAGGATGACCACGTCTCCCACTGCATTGAATACGCAGACAGCAATGTCCATATACTGTCTTGGTGGACAGAATCGCTGGTTCGGGCCGTGACAGATGGCGAACTCTAGGATGAAGTTCGCAAGCCACCAGACTGCGAAAACGCAGATCAGCACCTTGCAAAGCCTTTGCATACCGGGTCCCACGAAAACTCGCAAGTAGAAGGACAGCGCGCTGAGTTTGACGAAGGTGATGAGGAAGATGAATGACACTCTGAACGCCAGGAGAAGCTGAGTGGAGTAGGTCAGTCCCATCGCTTCCCACAGTGAGATGGCTTAGAGCTCGTAGGGGAACTTACGCGAAATATACTCTCAATATTCCCTTCTCCTATGTACGAGATGTGGTACCCGAAGTCCAGGCTGATGACTTGAGCCCCAGGTACGTTAGAGCTGTCCGATGAATGCAGGAGTGGTTCTGCCCAGACGCCCTCGATGACGTACGGAAAGCAGCCTGCATCAACATGACATTGACTAGTACCACTGCAGCCCAGGTGAAGCCATCATCATAGCCAAAGCCCACTTTGGTTATCTTTCGAGAGTAGATGCGGAGTGACACCACGACCAGCGTGATGAGGTTGAAGACTGCATTCACGACGATTATTCTCCACTGCAGTATCTTAGGTCAGCAAGGTAATTCTCCAGAGAGGCTGCGTGAAACTCAATCCTGGAAGCCCAGGCTAGGGGTTGGAAGGAGCCCGGAATATGCATAGCCCATGGTCGAGAACCTTGTAGAAGGAAAAGGCACGCAAGTAGGAGTGTCTCAAGTGCTACTCACGGCCACGTTTTCCTGCGGGCTGGCCATAGGGTCCAGGTCCATAGTGGGCGTAGAGCCCAAGACTGGTCTCTGCACTATGGGCATGGTGGGACCTTTCCGTCTGCTCGCACTTTCTGGGGAATTGTAGACAGTGACCGACATATATATATATGCTCTCGTTTGGTCGTGGTGTTGTCTACTCGGTCTCTACCAGAGCGGGTAAGGAGCGACATGAATTTGAGGAACGGTAGCTGCAAGAAACGTGTTCTTGCATTTGCTGATAAAGGACTGGAGTCTTTGAGTTGCCGGACCAAACAGTGAGTGTGTATATCCTGTGAGAGTTCTGTCAGAAGCCCAGCTTCAGTCATCCAGGAGATGTTCGAGGCTCGTCGTGTAATATGCACATATAGGCGGTAATACATAACGATAGAAAGGACTCGCAGTCGTAGATGCGCCAAGGCATCTATATAAAATGTTACATGCTTGTATAGCTACCAGTACACCCTCGTTCCAGCAGAACTTCGGTGTATTAGCGAGGCGATGAGGCCGGTAAGGCCAAGAGATGGGATCTGCGGATTCGGAGGCCTGGTGAATGTCTCCAGAGTCTGCTCAGTAGCCGATTCTTTGATGACGAATCAAGGGGCATGTCTTCAAGCGGCATGGCGGGACCTTGTGAACCACAGTGTGGCTTAGTGTGTGCAAAACCAGACGAATCTATGACATACGAGGCTACATTCAAATCTCCGATTGTCATAGAGCTACGAGTGTTAGGCAGTTAAATGAGCATGTTGCTGGCCTCTCCTAAGAAGTGAATAATATTTGGCAAGGTGAATAATAATGCACGCCGGTATTTAGGTACTCATGAGCATAATTGTTTGCTGAAAAGGCGCCGAAGTGGCTCACATTTGTAACTCGCAGAGTAAACCATGGTGGGCTTCGCATGCCGTAACTCATAGCTTCAAGTTCGTACCAGAACTTGAATGTTCTGCTAGCTTCCACGTATGGCACGGAGAATCACAGTGTATATCCGCATGTCAGAGCTTTCCGGCCTGTCACCGCTAATCTTGGAGGTCGAGGCACGCATCGGACGGTGTTTGAAGCTGCCCAAACATTGGTTGGAGATCAGACCGCAGATTGCCCAAACACACTCACACAGACCCAGTTCAATCCAGTATCCACACAAGAGTCGCCAATGGCGAGGTAATGCTTGGAATGATTCCACGAACTCTACCCACACAGCCCGTTTGGCTTTTAGCTCAAAGCTGGCAAACTTCAGTCGCATAAGCAGAAACCATTCTGGGAACACCTGGCTGATTTGACCCAAGGCACTCCTGACATACTGTGAAAGAATAGCTCAAACTACGGCGAGGCGAAGGTAAGGGTTGCGACGGTGGGACGGTGTGTGTGTGGGAAGTATGGTGGGTTGGGTTTTATTCTCTCTTGGATAGACCATTATTGTGTCAATCAGGGCCAGATTAACTACTGACGGGTGATGGCTCGAGGCAAGATGAAGTCGACATGGCATTTAACCTAAGATACTCTGGTCGCTCGCCCTCCTCAAACAGATCCCGGAGACATCATGAGGAACCGCCAGCAACTAAGAGCCTACCTACCCCCAGTCTATCAAACCTACTCCCGCCCCCTTTCGCACCAAAGCCGCGACAGCAACCTCTCAATCGAACCCGCTCCCTCAGCAGGACCGCCTAACTCCTCTCCGAAGACCGCGAAAGCGGCCTACGCATCCCACAGCTCAGGCCGAACGATTTCTCCGTGCAGTCCTCAACCCACCCCAACCCCAGGCCCCAGCATCGAAGCGCCCGCGCTGCTATATACGCAAGACCGCTACTACATGTTTCACCAACAAACTCACAGATTGGGACCCCAAATACAACGTGCACAAAACGGCGCCCGCTCCGGCGGGGCCGCCGAGCGCGTGAAGGGGGTTTGCAGACACAGGAACCAAGATCTACAAGAGCCAGACGAACTTCGTGCTGCGGGCCGGGCCGGCGGACCTGGGGGAGGGCTGACGAGCAAAAATCCTATGGTTAGCACGTATGTGTAGCTGCCACTGGCAATCAGCGGGGAGAGCGTGAGCATTATGAACTACGTATCGTGGGTACCGAGTTTGGGGAACGGAAATGTATCCGGGCCAGGCGAAGTGGTCCGGCCCGTCGGCCGAGAATTCATAGGAGGGCGCGGTGCGCAATGTCTCGTGCGGTACATATTCCTGGCGCGCGGCGGGATATATCGGCCGCCCGGACAAGGGGACGCTGACGCTCAGCGGCACACACTGCTAGCAATGTTGATGGGGGGACGAGCCCGTATCATCTGTATTGTCCGTTTATCTCATCATGCATACCCCTATTCCGACCTCTCTCTGCTGCCCCACTCCGGTCCGGGCTCCAGCGATCGGGTCTCCCGGGCCTGAAGACGGCCGGGGGCTGCAGAAAGATATCAGCATACAGTACAGAAGAGACATCCCTACCAACCCACTCACGCCCCCGTACACACACAGCCATACACATCAAGAACCAGAACCGCGAAATCACCATGCGCTACGACACGCCGCCGTCAAGCTCAACAGCGGGCCCGCGTCTCGCGTTACGTTGCCGCCGAACGGCGGCGACCGACCCCTCGAGCAGCACGCCGCACGCGGAACTGAAGGCCGGCAGCGCGAACACGCACGATTGTGGTGTAGGGCCTGCCTGGATGGCGGATGGGGGGCCCCATGTTCATCGACCGTCTGATGGTGCCGATGTCGTGAGTCCAACCTCACAAAAGACGACCGTTCCTTGTTGGTACCTTGTGGATCATGAAAAGCAGGTACCGCGTGGATGTAGATAGCCGAAGTGAGCGCATGCATGCATGGGGAGTCAAACTCTTCCGAGCACTGGGCCAAAAATGTAAAGTAAAGTGGTATTATACACGAGCTATATAATCATTCATGGGATTCATCAATCCACGTCATTGGAAATGGGGAATCAATGGTCTAGTGACCCTTGTGTTCCCTCCACCTCCTGTCTCATTTCGTTCAAACGTCCGATTCCGCCTCATATGTATACGAAAAGTCGTCCGCGGATAAGTATAGAAGCACCTGACCCAAAAATCCCGCCCTAAGAGATGAAATGCACTCAACAACAACTGTACTGGAACCGCCGAGCCGGCCGAGAAAAACGCACGCAGCAGTAGAAGCACGCAGACATCTTCTCCACGTCCCATTAGCCACTTTCTTCCATCTTCATGCCCCGTGTGGGGCACCGAGGATAAGATGGTGTATCATTAACGGTATCCTCATGTCGCTGTTTCTCCTAGGTGGCGTAGCGAAGCCACCGAGACCTCCAGCGCCGTTGCCTCGATACCCTCACCAAATAAGCCGCCTTGAACACCATGTCGACAGTAACAGACCAAAAAGCCACCAAATCCGAGTTGTAGTGGAGAAGGGAATTCGTGAAAATAGTATCGAAGACAACAAGGGTTGTTGGATGAGATGAGCCACCGCGAATAGTCATGGAGGCCTTCGGTCTGCAACTTGAGGGTCGTTGGAGGTTTCTGGCCAGACAGGAGGAGTGGCAAGTAATCGACCAAGACGAGAAGACTATTACCAGGCGGCAGGGTGAACCGCGGCGGCGGCACCACGAGACGAGGAATGGGGCGAAAGAGCAGAAAGCTCAGGTATATCAAAGAAAGTGGTATCAAGTCGTAAGGAGCCGAAAACGCCACGCCATGTCGCGAACCAAGACAGCGCAAGCCAAGGGATACAAGAGTCCGGGAAGGCCCGATTGCTCCATGCGGAGCCAAGGCTTTACCAACCCTTCTTCCTTGCAAACCGCTTGTTCAGCAAGGTCAGCACTTTCGTGACGTTGAACTGGACGTATTCGAGGTCCAGATCATCCTGATTGTCTTTCTGCATCTCCAGTAGGTCATCGAGCTTAAGATCAAGCTCTAGAAGCCCACGATTACGACCTGATGTTGTTAGTGAAGGACAGTTTCGAAATAACTTGGTTGACTCACCCTTGTAGTGCAGGGATATGACAAACGTTCCCGGCAGGGGGCTGGTGAAATTGAAATAGATGTTCGCTCTCCTATTGTCAGGAACATTACTCTTCTGTATGACACCTTCCTTCTCCAACTGCTGGTGGGTGAACTTGTACGGCCCGAGGACCTGTTGCTTCTGCTGTTTCCGCCGTGTTCCCTCAGACTGGCTGCGTACGTTGTGTAGATAGCTCTTGTATGTCTCGAGTTGGCCGACAAGGTACGAGTTATGGTCCCGAATCGTCTTGTACACGTCCTCGAGCTTCTGCGTTTCGATAAGAACACCGTCCTTCAATGATCCTAAATGTTGCAGTTCCTGTTCGACCTCGTCCCTAAGAAGGCCGAACTGATCCGACTTGTCGATGACTTTCATTTCCTGCAACTGGCTGAGTAGTTCCATCGCCCGGATGCCCTTGCGTACCATCACAGCGTCGTTCCGGGATGTGGCTGCTGCGTCGGCAATTCTCTCGAGGCGTAGCGGCCTTCGGGCGACGGAGCTATTTTGCGGAATGGATCGCATGATCTGTACAAGTATCGATTTCGCCTCCATGAAGAAGATCTCCTCCTGAGTAATATCCAGGGCGGCAGTCAAGTTGTCCATTGCTTGCTCCCACCTACTGAACAGGGGCAGGTTGATAGCCCTGTTTTCCTTCCGAGGGACCTGCGGGGGCGCATGGCCTAGCTCCGAGATGATGAGCGCCAGGTGTGAGTTCTCGTCCCTACAGAGTTCCCCACTGTGCTTCTCGATCATACCGTGCATCGCGTAGATTTCGTTAAGGGTGATGGAGAGCTCGAGATCCTTCTTCGAAAGCGCAACGTAGTTGTCCATCTCCAAACTCTCGTAGAAGTCTTGCACCTCGCATAAGTCCAACATGAACTTATTCACCCTGTCCTTGTTCTGGTTGATGAATGGTGCTAGCTTAGCCATGTATGGTTCCTTCGCATACGATGGCTTATTCGCGAGGTTCTGCAACATCTTGGCAATCAGCGTCAGCGTACGGCGAGGTCGCTCAGCAGGCATCCCATCAATGAGCATGTAAGATTTTGGTGTGACGATGGCGGGATTCATGAATCGCAGAAAGAAGAATCCTCCGATGAGAGTGCATATGACCTGGTCATTCGCATCGGGGTACTTTCGCTTCGTCAAGCTGCGAATTTGCTTGCAGATCCAGCGGATGCCGTAAGGTGCCTCCTCGAGCCCTTCTATAATCGTGTTCAAGAAACCAGTCGCGATTTCGGTCAACATCGTCAGACGCGGCTCGATGATAGCTTGGACTTGAGGGTTCTCGGCGGCCTGTTCGCCAGTGATTCCCTTCGGTAGCGATGCCGGCAAACTACCCGTGTCCTCCTCGATCTGTTGACACATGCGCTCGTAGACTTTCAATGGATTGATCTCCAGGTCCAAATCTTTCAGCTCGATGAGACTGTTGATCCTATCAGCCAGTACGGTTCGCAGAAAGCTCTGGCCTGGTCCACGCCTGGTGTATGTAGTCATCATGCGAGACACGGGGGTGTTGGCACGGAGGAGAGAGGAGTATTCGGGAGTCGTATCAAATTGGTACGTCAGGACGGACTATAGTTCGGAAAGGTCAGGGAAGAGTACCGTTCAGTACAGGGGGTAAGTCGAACGTACCTGGAACATGGTCAAGAGGAGATGCTCTTCGCGACTTTCGTACTGGTTACCGTAAATGGTAAACATGACTGTCTGCAGAAGAGAGTCGATCTCAGCCATCGAGACCAGTCGGCAAAGGTGAGCTATATGTCTTGGTTCTGACTGCAACAGGAATAGGAGATTGCCGTATTTTTGTGTCTTGTCATCGTTGGGAAAGGCGCCTTCTTGGAGATCGGTCGCATCTTCGAGGTGGCTGGCCACTTCGTTTTGCTGTTTTTCAGTTAATTGCCGCTTCCCGGTGTCTCGGTGAACAGCGACGTACCTCTTCCAGAGCCATACGGTTCTGAATCAGCAAGGCAATTCGAGAATCAAGGTATCGAACGTCCTTTTCAAGCACGAAGTTCTTCTTGGACTGGGACGAGATCTTGGTCTTGAGATCGCGTAGTATCTTTTGAGCTGTCCAGACTGGTCAGCAACCATGTACCAGTGCCACCCAGCAAACCTTCCTTACCTTTGGCCAAGTCATCGTCGATTTCTAGGTCTGTCTCGTTCGCTGACATGGACATGTAGAGTGCGGACATGGAATATCGCTTGGATTGTCGCGCCGAACGCGTTCCGTCATAGGAAGACATGGTGTTCTGGCGCGAGATCGGCTGGAAGGAGGAGGAAGAGGCCGTAGAGGCTCGGGAGGGTGTTTGCAACATGACTGACATGCCTGATGCCGAACACTCGTAATGAAGGATATTATGTCGTGCTCTCACTGTCCCACTGGACTGACTGTCCACGACGCAGATTCAAGGTCCACAACTGGGCGTGACCAAATCGACAGGAACAACAGCGTCGTGATTGGTCGATCGGGTGTTCTATAAAAAGGAAGGCGGACTCGCGCAACTGTAAGGAGGGTTTGTTTATTGGGTGTAGGTCGGTGATGGTATAATTAATTTGATGAGTAACTCGACGTCGAAACAATATGGCGCGCGCTGTCTAATCGCATGTATAGTAGTGCTGGAGTAATGAAAGCTCGCAGTTGTCGAAACGCGATGTCTCCTCCGGGGGATTGGTACTTTTTGTCTCGGCGGTCTGGAATGGATCGGGGTTGAGGTCGGCACAACGGGCCAGCGAGCGCCCAACACAGTGTGGTTCAGACCGAATGGCCGTGAGCCGTCATTTGCTATACCAATGATTCGGATTCCCAGACAGCTAACCCCGCGAGATGTATTGCTGGGCGATGCTGGAGCCTGAAGAGGCGTCGATGACTCGATTGCGACTGGGCAAGTGCGGTAGTAGAGACCAATGCCAGGTTCAATGGTCGACGGTCGACGGACGACGGAGAACGAGTCGACAATGGCTCCAACGATAAAAGTCAACAGCTCGCTCGCTCGTTTTTCACTCGAGGCGAAGTACGTATGCGTGCCCTTTGCGACTTCCGTTGTCAGCGCATATGTTCAACACCGCAAGGCAATGCAGTTCTTTTGTTGGTGGCTAACCAGAAGTATGTCGCTACGTGGGAGATGAAGGATGAAAGTTGAAGTGATACGCGCGCTGGGCCTCGTCGTCGAGACACAAGCAACACGCACACGCACACACAGATCGCTCGCTCGCTCTCGCAGGTGGGATGTTGCACAGAATGGGTTTCGGTTGACTGAAACGAAGACGAGGATAAGGGTGAAGGAAGAGGGTGAGTGAGGGTTGGGAGGAGGGGTCGGCGTACAAAAGGACTGATGACTTACCGGGTGGTGAGTTCTCACTGGCTTGGCTTGCTCGGGATCCGCTGCGACAGGGCGCAGAGGGCGGACAAGAGGAGGGTGAGTCGAGGAGATTAGATTGTCATTTTTGAGGAATGCAACTGGAATTGGAGTTGGAGAATCCGTTGTGCAGATGATAGAAAGGGCGCTATCAAATGCAAAATTGTGCAGATGAGGTAACTAAGTGGATGAGTTTAGGAGATTTACTGTGTATAATAAGGGGAATATGGGGCGGCGCGCGACGGGTGATGCACATTCAGGGGGAGGGAGACGATACGATTGATTGATTGATTGATGATGAATGACGAATGACGGACGATGAATGTTCAGATGAAAAGAGAATGGAGGGATGGAATCGAAGAAGTGGGAGTTCGAATGGGCCCATACTCCATGGGCGGTAGACGAGGGGGGGCAATCAATGAAGATTGAATGCAACGCGGATCATATGGGGAGAGGGCTGGATTCCCATTCTCAATACCACCACGAGTGAGGACGGGAGCATTGATGAAGCTGTTGGTGTGTTGCCTCCCATCCCAGCCCCCCCAGCTTAGGTGGTGCTGTGACGTTTGATTGCAAGTGTCTGCCTCTCCCGCAATACTTCTCGTAGGTGTTCTGTCCATTTATCGGTCGCTTCAATCGTTCTGCGATGCCTGGATGATTGAGACGGTAGGATGCATGGGAGCGGGCTCTGCCGGGTTTGGTGTTTGGTTCTGCTGCCAGGGGTGCAGGTGCATGGCCATTGGCTAGGGCGCTTTTGGCGGTCTGGACTAGCGCTTGTTACGGATTTCATATCCGTTTGGAACGGTTGCCTCTCGTGCATCTTGTAAGTGCCAAGAGGACGCCATTGCAGATCATGGTATTGCATTCACCCAAGCGCGTCTCAATATGAACCAGTGCTTGTCCAGTACGCATCTTCTATATCTCTACCTTGCCTTCAAGGTTTGGGAGTGTAATATGATTGTAGTACCGAGAGTGAGCTTATGACGTTGGCAGTATTGAGTGCCAGGGACATACTTACTACACTATGGTCGGCTTTTACAGTTGGGAGGAACGGGAGTTGAAACCCCGTGCGTTTCGTGAAACGCCCTTGTCGATCATCTCAAACCTCAGTGCTCCAACTCAATATGGGATCCCGGAACCTCTCGAACCTCGAACTGAACCTGATTGAGAAGGAATATCGCATCGCGACTATCACTCAGTGCTCACGGAGTAGTCCAGTAGTAACCGGATTAAGACAGCGATCATCATTATCAATCTGCTGTGGGGGACGGGCAAACTTTGAGTCACTGCTGGAATATGCAGGGCGCAGGCACAGCGGACGTAAGCCGGAAGAGGCAGTAGTTGATTTGGAAAGCTCCTGTTTCAAGTTAGAGCACTACCTACCTTATGCATGCACGTATTGATAAGAAACGCGTCACTTCGTCACGATCCCATGCACCGGACTGGACTTTGGGGAAGAGCTACCGACTAGCATAACTGATAGCGCAGAGATTCAACCATATGACATACCTTGCTCTGAAGATAAGCTCCAGCCCGGCGCATACTAGCTCCGGAATCCAGGAACAACAGGTGGACGAACGGTAAAGCCACGGGTCAGGGTAATGGAAATGGAAGTCGGAGCCCAGGAGGGAGGGGAGCGCAAGAGGGGTACCGCACGATAGGTACCTAGGTAGCCGCGGTACGCACCGTCCCCCGGCCAAAAACTACTGCCGCCGCCCGCCGCAGGTGAGCTGATACCGTACATGGCGGTCACGATAAGGCATGCACGATAAGCTACGTATCCAGTACCGTACTTCTTGGACGACCTTGGCCTCGTTCCCATCTCTGCGGGTTAGACTCCCAGTCGAATCAGGAACCGTGTCTCCCAAATGCAGCCACTATGTCTTGCATCTCGCCTAACAAGAGATTAACGATTGCCGCCTCAAGCGAGCGTTCACGAAACAAGGCCATTTGCAGTAGTTCTGTCTTATGCCCAACAAAGGATCTACCCGGCTTCGAGATACCACAACGACGGGGTAAATTGTGGCCATTTCGCTCTTCTGGACGATTGGCATTGGCAGGTCGTGCCGTGTGTCGAGCGCCAGGAATTACGGTGCTACAACGCACACATTCAGAGAGTTCACAAAGTACCCAAGGACTGGCTGAAACACCAGCAGGTCCTGGAGGCGCCTCCAGGTGTCTGACGACAAGCCCATTGCTGCGCTGTTTTTAGCCGGTCATGGTCATGCCTTGTGAGGTTGACGTCAGGGAAGGCAAAGCAAAGACCGATCAACCCCATCACCTACCCTCCGCACCGACCGGTATATCTCAGAATGGACTGTGGTACAGCCCCGAGCAGTGCAGGCTTGACGTTTGCCTCGGTGATGTACTAACGAGAGGTTAGTTGGAGCAAGTACCATCGCCAACTCTCTGTCACCCCAACAACGCCAGTTTTGTGATCGTTGCACGGATTCATGGTGGGGTTGGGTTTGACGGTCATAGGAACGCAGGCGTTACGGCATGAGTTTGGCTGGCTCGTGGAAGATTGACCAACAGCAAAGTTGCCCACGTCCCCCATCTCCAACGCCTTGATGCAATTGCCAGATCATGCAGGACTTGGCAACTATACGCATAGTATGGTTCTGCTAGGCCCTGCGGTCCATCTAGTTCCTGCATGTGTTAGACGCCGAAGCCCTGGCCTGTTCAGCTTCTGGATGCGCCTGAAACATCACGACGCAACAACCACCAAGCTGGTATGAGGGACCACTGCATCACTAAGGCCCCTTCGACGACCAACTTTCTCGAGAATAGACAACAACGTTCGCTGACGCAAGACTGCGGTGCCATACACCCAGGTATCGTTACAACTACCACACACAGTATGGGATGAAGTCACCAAGCTTTGCCTGCTTTGTCTGGACCTGCAAGAGAAACACTCCAACGACTAACTGTCAGACGGCTATCCCCACGACACCGGCCCCAACAACATTAGCTTCGGACCCGGCACTCCCAAGCCTCATACTTGTTCCAAGAGATTGTCCCCCCGTCATCGAGTCGCCATCCTCTCGATATATCGCACAGCCATCCGGATCCGGGTGCTACCCTTCAGCTGACCGTCTGTCTCCCTTGATTGTGCTACCAGGCAACTTACTCCCGCGACAGGGCTGCATGCTGCGTTGCGCAGGAACACACACAATCAACAGCACATGTCAGATGAGCTCCCCTGCGAGCAGAATAGGTGATACGAAGCCGCTGTGGCGGAGCATCGCCTACACACGCCAGGCTTGATGAGCCTTCGCCCCCAACTTCCAAGACGTGAAACACAGCGCATAACCGTGCTACGTGACGCGGGGAAGGCTCAGCCTTGCATATGACAGGTCCGACATCCCAGCCAACATCATCCATTGATGATATGTTTGACAGTTTGAACGCCGTGCTACTATCACACAGACTTCCAGCGCCCGCCTGCCACTTCCGGCCGACATTTTTAGAACCACAGCGGTGCATCATCGTCGGTTAATGATCTGGGCACTCGGTACTGTCCTAGGTATCGCGTCAATGGGAGGGATTTGCGGTCAGCCGCTAAGCTCTCTCTCATTTCGGTAAGTTCGGCTATCCGCGTTGGTGAGGAATATTCTCCGAAAGCAAGCAAGGTTGAACGGTCACCAGACTCACCACAGACCACCAACCGTCCGCCCTGCCAGCGGTGCTCAAGCGGCCTCCAAAGTTTGTCTTTGAAGTATCTGGATATCCCGGAAATTGCTCCCTCGTGGTCTACCGAGCCCCTCGAGCTGAGCAGGGTCCGGAAAAATACTAATAGTAATGTTACTTAGTATCGTATCGTATCGTAACGAAGTTTATTACTATATAATAATACTATAGTAATTGTGACGGTGTACAGCCGTAACCACCTGGATGGATGGATGCTGAGTCATCAGGTCACGTGTAGATTAGATAAGAAGGAACGGGACCACCACTTAAGGTGTGTGCTGCGCACACCACCTTGCTGGCTTGGCTTCCCTTTCCATCCTCACCTTGTTATTTTCGGAATGCAACACCAGATTCCCACACAACGCCGCAGGCATCGTGACAGTAATTATAGATTTACTTCATAATATTAAAAATATTTACTATATATGTTGGAACAGGCTTGAACGATCAATCATAATACTCGAGTATTGGGTCAAGGTCATGATGGTTGGATTGGGAGGTCTAGCTGGACCTGAAGGTCTAGCTAAGTGACCTCGCAACCCGGTAACTAATCTCTTATCTAATCATACATGTGCGTCCTGGTGTGACGGAACGCTCACCATAACCACCATGCCACGGCTGTTCCTCCCAAAAGGATGTCGAATATCAAGCGTGGCAGCTTTACATTCAATGGTGGTACATATACTCATGTTGTCACGGCGAGCGTACTGAGGAGCTGGGACATGGCCGGCAGCAAGCAGCTATTACTCTATTGACGAGAGAGAGAGATAGGTACAGCGGGAGGTTGCCCCTTTAAGGGGATCCTCTGGTCAGATCCTTCCCTTGTTGGGAAGTATCGGCTTGTCATGTGGGGAAGGTCTGTGCAGGCCGTCACAAGTATCGTATTTTTCGGACCTTGGAGCTGAGTATGAGACGATTTTGTCTTCTGGGCTCCGGGTCGGCCGTATGCTCCGACTACTTGACTCATACGTCTCTTTTCTTCACTTCGTCAGGGGTATGAAGCTTTGATACGAATTTAAACCCGGCTAGCGTCGTTCTCCACGACGATCTGGACGTCACTGTTGGCTCCACCAAACCAGGCACCAGAATAAGCGTTGGCTCGAGCGATTCGGTCTCGGTTAAAAAGGAAGATGAAGAGGCTGTCACGATGTCCAGTACTCGAGCCTTGCAACACGTGATTGATTGGATGGTCATCGGTGATTCTACCTCTGTACATCTTAAGAGGCCATGTTGGCGGATAAGTACTGACTCTGAATTAGAGGACACAGACAGGAAGTGACATAGTGTCATCAGGTCGGACTACATCTTCATCCTCGCTATGACTATCTCTTCCAGTAATGGGTATACCACATCTACATCTCCCGTCAAAGCTGGAGCTCCCAATATATAGCACCATCCCCCTGGCTATCGGGATCGTCGCACTCGTTCGAGCCGCATGGGGAGTCTTGCGCTTCATCAGGTTTCACTTGCTGAACTTCAACTCCAAACACGCGCTGGAGAAATACCACCACGGGCGCAGCTTCGCCCTGGTCACGGGCTCCGCGGCCGGGATCGGCTTCGGCTTCGCGCAGGAGCTCGTGCGCCGCGGCTACGGCGTCATCATCCACTCGCGCAGCCAGCACAAGCTGGACGAGGCAACGGCCAGGCTGAAAGCCATCCGCCCCGACCCCTCTGTGCGCCACCTCGTGTGCGACGCCTTCGACTTCACGCCCGACGCGCTCCATGCCGCCCTGAACGCGTTCGCGGACCTGCCCCTCTCCGTCCTCGTTAATAATGTTGGTGGCGGCGCGATCTCAGGCGACAATCACCATCGCGAGTTCGACACCTACAGCGCGCGCGACGTCGACATGACACCTACAGCGCGCGCGACGTCGACATGTCGGTCGCCTTGAACGCGCGCTTCATGGCGCATGTGACGCGCGCCATGCTGCCCGCGTTGCGTCGGGCCCCGCGATCTTTGATCCTCAACCTGACCTCCGCCGCCCGCGACGGCATGCCCTGGAGTGTCGCGTACTCGGCAGCCAAGGGGTTCGCGACGTCCTTCAGCTACGCGCTGACTCGCGAGTGTAAGTACTATTTTCTTCTCTTTCCGAAACCGTTCACTACGTCTTGCCCGTCATATATAGGGGTCTCGCCTCTCAACTACGCGCCAACCTTTATGAAGAGCACCGTTGCTAATTCGGGATGTCATAGTGCGCGCCGTGGGGGCGTCGGTCGACTGCCTGCTCGTCGTGCCAGGCACGGTGCACTCTCAGTACAACAACCGGAAGCAGCCGCGCGGCACACCGACTGCGGACGCATATGCGCGGATGACGCTGGAGAGGGTGGATGCGGCGGTGGGTTGGGGGTGGCTAGAGATGGTACCGTCGATGCACCATGATCTGCTGCTCGGGGTTGGGGCGCTGCTGCCAGAGATGGTGTATCAGAGGGCACTGGTGGGCCAGATGCAAAGATACTTGAAACCTAAAGACGGCAAGAAGGACTGAGCGAATAGAGGGCTGCTGCTGCTGCTCGAGCTGTTCTCCAGTACGTTGCCTGAAGAATGGGGAATAGCGTGAACCTTGATTCGCCTATCATAACTCGTAATCTTTTGTGGCTTCGAAGATTGCTCACCTGCAGTGCTTTCAATAATGCGACAGTCTTCCAGCGACCGAATGCTAACATCACTCCTCCTCACAACACCAACCAGCCTTGGTTTACCTAGCCGTCGATGACTGTACGTCCATCTCCCCAAACTCTAGCCTTTCTGATTACTGAGTACTTCGCATCGGCTCTACGCTCCCAGAAATACTGACACCATGAGCGTCAAAACCCGACTCCTGATCATCTCAGACACCCATGGGGAGGCGTTCGACGTCAAACCCGCCCACAAAGCCGACGTCGTCATCCACTGCGGTGACCTCACAGACGAGTCCAAGCTAACCGAATACCGCAAGACTCTGCAGTTCCTCGAGGGGCTCGATGCGCCGCTCAAGCTGGTGATCGCGGGGAACCACGACTTCACACTGAACCTGCCCGCCTTCAAACAACGAGTAGAAGAGGCCGTTCCGGCAATCGAGCCCGATCTCATCAAAAAGGAATACGGCGGCTACGGAGAGGCAAGACGCCTCTTCGACGAAGCGACTGGGATCACATTCCTCGACGAGGGAACCCACCACTTCATCCTGGCCAACGGCGCTCGCATGACCGTCTACGCCAGCCCGTACACCCCCTCCAAAAACGGCAACGTTTTCCAATACCCTCCGGCCACCGGGCACGACTTCGCCATCGCGGACGGCACCGACGTGGTCATAACGCACGGCCCGCCCCATGGCATAATGGACTACAGCACCGAATCACGACGGGCCGGGTGCCCGGACCTCTTCGCCGCCGTCGCCCGGGCGCGGCCGCGCGTCCACTGCTTCGGATACATACACGAGGGCTGGGGCGCGAAGCTCGTGGCGTGGCGGGACGCGATCAGCGGCAAGCCATCGCATTTTGCGGATATCGATAATGAGCGGTCTGTCGTGGTTGAGAAACTGGTGAACTTGACGGCGGCGAAGTTCGATACGACTGCGTCGATGGAGGAGAAGACGCTGAGGAGGGCGGAGTATGTGGATAGGGGGTGCTGTGCTACTAGTCATTGCGCTGGTGATGACAATCCCCTGGGGTTTCGACGGCATACGCTTTTTGTCAATGCCGCTATTGAAGGTATGAGTGATGAGATGCCCTTTCATCCACCTTGGCTTGTTGATGTTGAATTACCTCTAGCTGGGCCGGAGGTTTGAGCCAGCGCATAGGCGACGTGCGGCTACACTCAGCCCTTACAAGTCTCCGTACGGTATGCCTCTGTCAGTCCTTGGATGCCAATACCACATTCAAACTAATGAAATAAGCACCCTAGAATAAGCAGGTTTGATCGAACAAGCCATTCTTCTATGCTTATTCCAGAACGGTTATTCCATGGATCCCTTGTGTGACCTTGACAAGCTCGCTGCCGATGCTGGCGCCTTCTGTCAACTCGAGATTCTCATAAATGCGACGCGGCAATTCACATGGTTTGGAAGAAGTCTGTGTGTCATTACTACCTTTATTGTCTTTTTTGTGCTTTATTAAGATTACGTTGGCTAATTAAAACAAAGCAAGCGAACAAGGAAATAGCGGCAATGCTCACTTGAGCATCAGCCGTCTAGAGCTTTACCTCTGCGGTTTGGAGTCCAGCAAACCGCCGGGGTCGAGTTCCGGCCTCGCGCTCGCGCTCCGGATGTGTACCCTTGACCATTATGAAACCATGAAGGGAAAAGTATACTGACCGTGAACCCATGACCAAAAGAGAAAGGAATCTCGTCACTCGATCGAGAGCTCTCGGGTTCGGATCCCGCCGCTACTACTCACAGGCCCCCCTAGTGACGACACCTCACTCGTGTATTACGGGTCTCACCTTCTTGAACCCCGGGAATTCGTCAGGATACCGTTTAATGTAGTCCTCGGCAAGCTCCTGCATCTTCACCATCACTCGATGACATTCCAGACGCTCGAAGTACTGGTACCGCCAGAAGCTGGGGTAGGCAAAGTCTTCCACGGATAAGTTCTCCTCCGGCTCCTCGCGGAGGATGGCCTGAATTTCGGGTCTCTGCTCCGCGACCCACTGCTCCCAGTGGTGCACAAAGTCTGACTCGAGAGTGCAGTGCTTCTTTACGCGCCACCGTGCCTCACCCAGGCTCCAGTAGAGCACGCGCTCCTCGGGCGTCGCCGGCATCGTCTCGCCCCGGTTGCGCACGCTCATGCTGCGGGGAGAATGCCGCGAGAACGTGTACTCCTCTGTGTCGTCCCACCTCTGCTCGCACGGCGTCCTCAGGTACTCCAGAACGGCCTTCCCAATGTCCTTCACCTTATGCCTGGAGGGTACCTCCCGCGTGAAGTACTTACGATCCCTTGACATGACCACGACATTGGTCAAAGGCCCGCGGGGCGTCAGCAGGGGCACAACCCGCTTGGGCTTGGGCTTGAATGACAAGGCTCGGCTGATGTTCTTTACAGCATTCGTGAGGGAACTCAGGCTGCGGCGTGAGCTCCTGGAGACAGCGCCCGGTGATGGAGGAGGTTTCCGCGACACACCGGAGGTAGTCTTCGCATGGTGAAGCTCGGGCTTTAGACCGTGGAACTGGTCGAAGTTGGTTAGGGGAGGGCGACTCACGGGCATGGTCACTCCACGCAGCTTTCGGGGGTCCGGGCGGTTGACGAACGGGTCGTCGGCCGCGATGGGCCCGAAGTGCGTTGGGATCTTATGGGCGGCGACGGTGGGCCGCTGAGCTTCCTCCGGCTGCGGACGCCCCTGGCGCGTGCGCGTGGGGACGGATGGTCTGGCGGCCGGTTGATCGGCCTGTGCGGGACGGCTTGATGAGCTTGACGGCATCCAGCCGGTCTGGGCTCTCACCTGCCTTGGCGTCGGAGCGGGTGCATTCGTATGCGTGAGAGCCGGCCCCGAGGCGGAAGATCGCGGGTGAAGAGGCCGGTCTTTGAGCGCCACGGGAGGCTTCACATTCGTCGTCCGGCGTGCGGAGATCTCCCCGGCGGTGTTCCTAGAGGCCGTGGGACCCTTCTCGAACTTCGTGGCGGTCCGACGCAAGCTGTTCTTTCCGGGTGTGTCCTCAGGGGGCACAGGAGGCTGCCCACTCGTCGACGGCACGGAGCTCTTCCTTGGGCGGGCGTTAGCTGGCCGGCCCGCTTTGCTTTCCTCTTTCGTCGGCGGCATCGCGGCTTTGGACGGTGCTTCGTACTCCGGGTAGTACTGCGGGCGGCGCGAGCGGGCCATCGCCTCCAGCGAGTCAGAGTGATCACTAGGAAGACTCGGCCAGCTCCTGAGAGGCTGCGGCACAATAGGCTGCGGCACGAGACCTGGTCTCACTCGCGTATGCTCGTTCGCAGGCCCGCCACGCGTAGGAGCAGTCGCGGGACCGCCACGCCCAGGACGGCGGATCGCGCCTCGCCGCTCGAGCAAAGGGGCCGTCGTGGCCGTCCTGGATGTGTTAGTCCGGGCGGTTGTTTCTCTGGCGCGGCTTGAGGATGCGGTCGGAAGGCTGGACGAGGTGGTGCCTCGCCCTCTGGCGCTGCCAATTGCGCGGTCCAGTCGTTCAAGGTCTTGAGGCTCTATTCGTGCCTTGTCGGCGTTGACCCGAGACCGGAAACTGGTGGCGTCGTGACCCCTAGTGTTAGAACTTGGCTGGACTTTAGGCTGGAACCTACTGGCTTGGGTCGGAGCTTTGATGACCCTGGTGGTGTCGCGGCTACGACTCGGGTTGCTGCCTGGGAGGGGATGGGTGTCCTTGCGAGGGACAGGGGGTGGCGCAAGGCGACTGCTGTCCTGTCCTTGTCGGTTGGTATTTGCCATGATGAAGGTTCTGGCCCTGATACTTCAAGGCTAAACTGTCTTTCCACTGTAGGGTAGGGAGGTTAAGAGTGACAGGTCACTAAATTTCAGAGAAACTTATGTGATCTTTAGTCCGGAGACAAGGGGGTCGAGTGGAGGGTAATAGGGGTAACTAACCAGTTGATGTCTTTAGGTTAGACTTGTTAAAACAGACCCAACAACCTCTGGAAGTATCCTGTACTTCAGTTTTAGTGTTGGTGCTGCTTGAGTATGGTGGTGAGTTGTGCCTGATGCAATCGGCAATTTCTCGGCGACAGATGGGGTAAATGAGGACCTATAAACTTACTGAGTGGCTTATCCTTGCTTAACAATTTCCTTGTTCATTTGTTTATTACAAGGAACGTTTATGTCTTTGTGTCTACGTCTATGGCCGTAAAGCGGAAAGCCTAGGGCTGACTTGTCATGTTTCTCCCTTTGTCCCACGCATAATCAAACAGATGGAGCAGTTTCAAGATTTAAAACGAAGTTGTATATATATTATTCCTTTGTACTTGGTCTTTGTGGTACTGTGCAGGAGTGCGTGCGAGATTTTTAACCGTAATGCTACACTGTCATACGGGATTCTTTGTCTGCGGTAGATGCTGACCAGTCTAGATCCAAGCGTTCTCTCACAAGTAGCTCCTACTTCATACCATTACCCGCTGACGCATGTCAGTGCCATCGTTAATCCGGCGGATACTTTGAGGGGGGAGGGGGGAGCCGGTGCTTATGGACTCAATGCGAAATGATTTGGCTGTTTTACCACTTGAAAAGCCTTTAGGGGCTCAAAGGAGCCTTTGATCATCAGGGTCAAATCATCGCGCATGGCATTGGATTTCAAACTACACTTTTGGTGTATTCAGACAGTCCTGAGTGCTGAACACCCAAGTGTTTCCCCCTAGAAACTGTCTCCACCTATCCCAACAGACAACTCATACTCAACGCAAATGCAAGGAGCGACTCGTCGTATTGACAGCTCATCACTCACATAATAACGCCTGCCACTCGCTGAGCTGACTTCGAACAGTGAGACGGCCTCCATACGCGAGCTGCCTAGTCCGGAGCCCCTAACAACGCATGGACTTCATCGAGACCTCCAGGATGGAAGGATACGTTGGCATATGTGGACAAAGAACAGCGACCTTGATAAAAGTAAGAGCCAGACCACTCGCTCATCTATTAATAACCCAAAGAAATACCACACATTGTCAGTTGATTATAAGGTCTGTTTCAAAATGAAAGACAATGCATTTCCTGATCGATATAACAGAAGCTTGGGTTCGCGCACATGAGCTCTGAGAAGGACAAACACAAGACTACTCGAGCATCAACTAGCCAAACTCGACTGTAACACACACGACCAAAGTCCCAGGAGGATTTCGCGCTAACATTAGAAGACAGCTTGCCCACGATGACTGAGAGTAAGACTGACACCAAGTCCCGCCCAACACCGGCTTCCCTCCCCAAGCTCACCATCAAGCCCTACCACGGCCCCGAACCGGAGCACATACCATCCAGCAAGGCGCTTGGCTTCATACAGTGCTGCGCGCAGTACCGTCGGGCCCCCGTCACCATGCTGCCGAAACTGCCATCACCACTGGACTCCTCACCTTCGCTCCAGAACGAGCCCTTCCACCCCGATCCCTATCATGTCAACCCGCCGACTCCAGCCACACTTTGTTTCACGCATAATGACTGGGTGGAGATCGAGCAGCGCAAGGCCATCATCGGAGAGAAGCGTGCCGAGCACGCATTCTGGCTCGAGGAGATGCGCCGCGACCCGTCCGATCAGGAGGTCCTGGCAAAGGTACAGTTGCTGAGCAGAGACCGGGAGGAGAATAATGCCGAGATTAGTCGGATTTATGATCGGAAACGTATTCGCCGGCGGTTCAGGGCTGATTTCAATGGGGTGTATCCTGGGTGGTAGGGAGCTGGTAGGTAGTGACTAGGGCAAAGAGGCCAAGGGCTAAAGGGGGAAAATTAGAATAGAGGTAAGGTAAATACTAGGAAGGACCGCTGGCGGCCCCTAGGAAAAGTGTATCAGATGCCGTATTGCCATAATCAGATTAATCTTAGTGGCGTTCCAGTCTCCGTGTTCGAGCACAATTGTGCACCGAGGGAAAGATTGTTGACTCGTCACGGTGTCGGAGAGGCGATGTGACGGAGGTTCAGGTTGACAGCGGATATGAAGCGGTGCCAACCTCAGAAAGGGGGGGGGGGGGGTGGGGCTTGGGGGGTTGGGGTAATGCCAAGACGGGATCGATAGACCCCGGTCCGTGCCCTCCGCCCCCTACGATGTGACGTCTGTTCATCGCAACTCCTTTTGCGCCGGCTCCATCCGAGATCTACCACCATCTTGGTCGTGACTCTGGAAATTGGAATTCCGCAAAACAACACATCGCATCTTGGTCGCCAAGGCTCTTGCTATCCACCTGCTCGTCGGCATCTTGTCGAAGTCTTGGATTCGCCCCTGTCATGACTCGTCTTCGTCGACCTGTCCCAAGCAGACCATGATGCAACGGAGAAACCAGAGGCCGCGACAACGTCGACCAGCATCCTCCCTTGCAGCATTGTTGAACTCAACTTCTTCTCAACCTCTTCTGCCTTTATTGTATATATATGCTCATTTTATACTACCGTTCATCGTTACATTGACCTGGTTGATTCATGTAATTGAACTAAACTTGAAGCCAGTGTGACAAAGAATCAAATTCCAAGTCTGGCTGATTTCACGATGAGAGCTTCCAAGCAGAGAAGGGCTTTCGCCACAATATGGACGTGGGCGACGACCGCGATAGCACAGACAGACTCGTCTTCCAAACGAGGCATGTCATATATCAGCGACAATCACAACGCTGACTACGACATCCTACTATCGTGTAAGTCACCAATAGACTGGTACTACACCTGGTCGCCGTCGCCAGCACCATCCGACATCTTCTCAGACGGTGCTGAGTCGAGCATGGAGTTCGTGCCCGCGCTTCCCGGTATTGACAATTTGGACAACGACATACAAGCCCTCAACAATCTCCCGGACTCATCAAAGCACCTCTTCACTTTTAACGAGCCCGATGGGACGACGAGCTCGGGCGGTTCGAGTATCAGCCCCGGAGACGCAGCGAAGGCGTACATCGAGCAGGTCGTACCGCTGCGCCATCGCTTCCAGATATCGCATCCCGCCGTGACGGGATCACCGCGCGGGCTTGAATGGCTAAGCAACTTCAACTCGTCATGTTGGGACATCGACGAGAAGAATGGATGTCCGACTGACTTCGTCACGGCGCATTGGTACGGTAATTTCGCGGGACTGGCCTCCTGGATCGGCCAGCTTGAGGGCTGGTACAACCAGAGTGCCAGCGGTTTGAACGGAGACCTCAAGATCTGGTTGAACGAGTTCGGGCTGGTCCAGGCGGACGAGGACGCGACATTCGCCATGATGAACCAGACGCTGCCCTACCTCGATAGCTTAGGCTACGTGGAGAAGTACGCCTCGTTCGGGGTCTTCCGCGAAGACGAGGCGAACGACTGGACCGGTGCCGGGCTGTCTTTGTTTCAGAATGACGGTGGGCTGACCGAGCTGGGAGCGTACTATCTTGGTGGCGAGTCCAATGGGTTCGAAGCCGGAAATAAGGGCCAATCCAGTGGCAGCGGTGCCAATGATAATGGTAATGACGGCGGCGACGACACCGGTGGCGATGGCGGCGATGACGATGCTAACGCGGCTGCAGGTCTGAGAGCCTCCTCATTGGCATTCTGGGCCGCGATTTCGATCGGCTGTGTATGGAATATGTGATAGATGAGACGCCTCTTACGAAAGCATGACGGACACGAGAGACATGGATTTAAGTACCATTTGGATTTATATCGATATACGAAGTCGCCGAAATGGCGACTCGGACATATAATTGTATTGTATAAAGCCACGAATGGCCACCAAGTCTTCATTCTTCGTTGCTTCGCGTCCTGGCGCTTGGAGCTGTGACACTAGTGACGCGAATCAACATCCTGCGGGACGGGGAGCGCAGCCACGCCGCTGCTCTGTATGCCTATGCGGCGATGGTCAAGGGCTTGTCCAAGGTGCAGCTGTGGGCCGCAGACAGCCTCCGCTTGACAGGGTGGCTGACGCCGGGGATCGAGGGTCCCGGGCTGGCGGACGTCTCGTTGGCTGCTGGGAGACGATATCTGAAGCTGGGCTATGGGTGGGACTGCTTTGAGAAGGAGGAGTTGAGGCCGTTGGCGGAGTGGTATGAGAGGTTCAAGAGCCTGGATTGGTGGGTTGCGTTGGAGGAGCGCGAGGGGGTGCATTTGAGGGAGATGATGCTTGGGAAGGGATCGCAGGAAGTGTGAGGATGTACCGTTCGCCTGGAAATGTCGTGGCGCATTCAGTGGTGGTAACTTGCGTGAATGAGCCTCGGTCTCTGACCCAGAGTTCCGTAGCAAGGGACTTCTCTTTTCGTCAGCTGACAACCATACTTTGGCTTGGTGATCCGCAAGCAAAGCCAACACCAATGGCACTTGGTGGTGCATGCAAGGGAGCCAGGTAAGCTCCGTCTCGCGAACCAACCAACAGCTCATCTGCATACACCGGCCGAGATCGCTGATGATACGTCCATGGGTTTCGACGCCCGAACCAACAACTGTCTCCATTTGGAGCCTGTACTGTGCTCAGAACTCACTTATGCACTACGTGCAGTCTCAGCCCTAGTATGTTCTCCAACCTCCATTTTGCTTCACTGCTGCTCTTTCTCCTCCAAGTAAATGAACGAGCTGCTTCTTGAATCCGAAGCAAAGTTATAACCTCTATCATGTTAGATCTGTCCTGTGCTAAGACCAAGTCTGATCCGAATTGCACTGCGACCGGAGTAAGAGCTCGGGTCGATAGCTGCGTTTCCTTGCTGTTGAATGAGGATGAGACGATTGCAAATGGGTCGAATCCGGACCTAAATATACCCTAAATGTCAGGTAACTAGCTTCTCAATGGTGCTTAGTCAAAGCACATCCAGCAGTATCCTGTAGCCAACTTTCCCAAACTCCTGCGTGAGCGACGTGCTTCAGGCGACCAAGATATCGAACTTGTCGGGCGTGCATACATGAGACATGAGCTAGCCAGAAGCGCTGGCCCAACACGATCCTGTCGTTCTACCAGGACACGTGGTAGCCAGCGCGGACTCGACACAGCGTGGCGAATTTGAGAGTGACGATCACACATGGTTGAGAGTGCCTCAGCGGAGGCGATGAGATGGAAGTATTCGACGAAGGTCAGCACCGGGCCGTTCACTTGGTAAGGATGGGTCGAGAAGCTGAGGTCACCCCTGACGGGTGACGCCTAACGGAAACTCCTGCTCGCTTCGCACAAGGCGCCCGGCCTCATCTTTGCGACGGTTAGGAACATGTTGGGGATGCCTCCTCCGAACCGCCTTGTAAGAGGTCATAAGCATGAGTCACAGGGTGAAGAATTTCAGTTCTTCTGGGGTACATGCTGTGGAGAGCTAGCTACCCACTCGGCACGAGCGCAGAGCCCATCTAGGGCGACCCGGAGCATAAAGCAGCTCTTTCATCGTGTCTCGCATATGAAGCAATACCGACTATATGGGATGAAAGGAGCAGCGCACCCCCAAAAGACCCACCCTCGCCCATTCGCTGATGGCGCAATGCTGTCTCTCAAAGCATAACCAACCAAGTGAAGACTCCACCTCGCTTGTCCAACTCGCAAGACAACCTTTAGGCTTTCTCAGAACTTCCAGTCCTTTCTCAGCTTCCATCAGCTCCTTCATCGTCATCATGCTTACGCTTCGCCCACTTCACGATGCAGTCATTCTGCCCAGGCACCATCGACAACAGCTGCTCAATCCAGAACTCTAGCTGCTTCTGGCCCATGCCCTTGAACATGCGCGGATTAAGCCGGATCTGATCGAAGTTCATCGGTTGCCCATCCCGCATGATGTCCGCCACGTCCTCCCCATCCCTGATGCCCCTGTACTCGATGCGGTTGGTCCCTGGCGGGATGATCGCATATACACCGATCGACACGTTGGAGGAGATCTCGGGAATCGGCCTGCCGACGTGGACGGTGGCGGCGCGGTACTCGCACCCAGGCAGCACGAGGTTGCCGGTGCTGAAGGCGGGGAAGGCCGAATTGTCGCCGTACCAGGCGGCAGCTTCCTCGCGTTGTTTAGCTTTCATGGCTTCTTCGTGATCCATCCTTTCTATTTCGGGTAGGATGTGGTTGAGGATGGCGTCTTCGGCAGACTCAGCCGGGGGCGAAGGGCAGCGCACGGCAGGAGGCGAAGGGTTAACCCGAGCGGGCTGTTTACCTTCTTCGTCGCTGGTCTTCGGGATTGCTGCCACGTCCAGCTCGAATTTGTAATCGGTGTATCCAGCGCTTTTCCCCCGCGTTAAGCATTTTCTGCCCCTTTGGGAAGTGGAGTAATGGCGCCGAATGAGACCGCGCGGGACCGGAGTACGCTCACTGGGACAGAGATGCTGCGGAGTCGCAGTCGTTGAGGTTGCGCGGGAGCCGTGGACTGGTACATAGCGACTCGATGGCCCTGGAGTCGGACTGGATCTTTGCGACAATGCTTCAGATTGTCTTTTTAGGTAATCTTGCTCGAACCCCACACCGTCGTGTTGCCCATCGCTGGGTAAGTCGGAAGCTTGACGACTCGGCTGGCCTGGTTGGTGTGTGCGGGCGTATATGTTGTTGACGGGCTGTGAGTGATGCCCTTTCGGGAGCTGAACTAGATCATAACCTTGCGGTGATATAACCTGACCTTGTGCCTGGTATGTCGCCAACGCAGGTGATAACAGTTGGCGAGTCAGAGGCATATACGGCGGAGGAATCATGCCGGCAGCAAGTTCAGATCCAGCTTTGCTGCCGTCGATGGTATCTCCGTAAAAACTCGCGAGATCGTATTCTGAAGCAGGGCTTGGTGTATTGGCTTGTTGGGCATACTCAGTCAGTGACGAGACACATTGCGAACCGGTACTAGTACCGCTGCCAAGTCCATAGATCTGGGTTGCGTCTGTCTGGTACGGAGCCGCCATTATACCGTTCCGAAAGTTCGCGAACTGGGAGCTTCCATAGGCAGGCCGTTGTGGGAGTTGATTCTGGTGAAGTGCTTGTTGGGGAAAATAGGTTTGGTGAGCGGCTTGCTGTACTTGAGGACTTGGGTAATGGCCTTGCTGAAACCAGGAGCTCCGGTTAATGCCCTGTTGCTGCGTGTTTTGGTACGAGTCCTGCTGAGGTTGGAAGTCGCGTCGAGGCACATTCTGATACTGCGGGGTTTCGCAATGGTCCAGTACAGGGAGACCGTTGGGCGGCACGGGCATCCCGTTTCCCTGCCACGGGACCTGAGAGTCTCCAGGTGAACAGGGCAGCATGACGTTGACTTGGCGACCGCAGGTGTTCATGGCTGAGGGGCTTGAATCATTTAAAGCTGTATGCAAGCTTCCCTTTGTTGCTCGACTCAACCAGAATGCGTCGGAGCCTTGCAGGGTCGACTACTAACGCCGACATAGAGAGCTGCCTTCAGTTGTCATGCCTAGTCAGAGAAAGGCCAACAATGATTTTGAGCAACATGGAGATCGCAAGGCCTTAGGTAGTTTCGTGGTTTAGAAGTAAACGTGCGCCCCAGCGACCCTCATCGTTAGATGGAAGGATAGAGGAGTCAAGGCAACTCGTAATAAAGGCAATAAATCCTTGCGTTCTGGGGCCGCCTATTTCGCACTTGCCGGTAGCTACCAAGGGGAGCTCAAGCAAACCCATTGACTTATCGTTGCCTATGCCCAAACTTCGGGTCAGCGGATTGATTGTCAAACCATATGGCTCATTCATATGGGTCATATCGTGCCTGCCTGGCCACACGCACGCAAGGTGAACCTCATTAGCGCTGATATGCTTTAAGACGGATCCTCGCAAGGAACCAACAAGGCTACAAAGGAGCTTCCAGCTAGTCCTGACTTCCAGAGACCAACACTCACCAAGCCATCATGGAAGAAGCCTCCAGTCCGCAAGGACAAAGACAAAGAAATAGAGCTCTTTAAGCAATGGCTACGGGAGAGAAACGTGAACACTGACCTTGTTATCTACTTGGATGGATCACAATTGGACAATCAAGGCACAGCCCGCACTGGATGGGGTTGTACCATCAGGAAAGGCGGCACTATACAAGAAGTATATCGGGGAAAGGACAGACTTCTACAAACAGAAATAATAGATGCTAAAGTCCATAGCGCTCTCCAAGGTCTTGTAGCAGCCAGGGCAATTGGACGCAGAAAACGGTTATATGTCTGCCTGGACAACACGTCAATGGTAGATGGGCTCAATAGGACTCCACCTGAGACATCACAGATCATTTTTCTACGATTCCAAGAACTCGCCACAGCACACACTCCTGGAGTGACCGTCAAGTGGATTCCTGGACACAGAGATATCAAGGGCAATAAAGCTACTGACACACTAACAAAAGAAGGTGCCATATTAGAAACAGACGCGACACACCTTCCCATAATCTCTTAGATAAAAAGAGATCTCAAAAAAAAGGACAAGAAAGAATTTAATTAATAATAAAAAGACCAATCAGAATTTAGGTATCAAGAAATATACTCACATATAATAACTAAAAGGGACCTTATATCTTTTGAAAGGAGCACTCTACACAGACTTCTAGCGGCCAGATCTAGACATGGCAACTTTACTAAATATCATGAATGTTTTGGGCATACAGACTCGAATAACCACTGCAATTACGGTAAGAAAAAAATACCACAATATATTTTCTTTTTTAAGAGGCTTGGAAAAAACTGACTACTGCCTAGGTACTCGCCTAGGACAGCCTGTTTATAATACTTTGGGGAGAGGAGCACGGAATGGGCAAGATTTATTGAGAAGAACAAGTTCTTTTTATTAATCTGCCCCTGATAGATAGCTGTTCTTGAAGGACCAGATAGATGACCCCAAAGTCATACAGCCGTAACAACGGGGATGGGCTCGTGAGCGGGACTGACTGTAACATCTCACCCCCCCCTGCGGACCACCCCCCCACGGACCACTCCACACCACACCACTCTCATTCAGATGAAGCCATCTACAACCACCACAGTTGCTAAATACACTAAGGTCGTGGTGTTCTAACCATAATACAGCTCCCAGAATCCGATTCCGACCCTAAATCTTTACCAGGGACCTCTTGTGGGACCTCTTCGCCTGCAGCGGAGTCCCTATAGACCCTCCTGTTCCTCAGCTCCATTTTGGCCTCCCTTATGTTAGCCATTGTGACGAATCATTCCCCTGGTGTTGGTTTGACTGCTTTTCGAGTGGTATTAGCCTTTTTAGCCACTTGAGCCTCAAGCAGCTCATATTTGGCCCGTAGATTTGTAATGGTAGCAGCCTGAATATCCATGGCCTTGCCAGCCTTTTGCACCAATAAGCGCTCAGAGGGCCCCCCAAAGGAAGGGTCCTTTCTTTTAAGCTTTTGAGCACCCTCTTGCAAAGCCCGGCTTCCAGAGGGTGTTGTGACAATGGTTTTAGCTACCATCTCGAGAAAATCTGGTGTTGTGGCTCGCTCGGAAGCCTTAGGGTCCCTCTGGCGTGCCCTGGCCACCCCCTTGTCCTTCAGAATCACATATTTCGATTTCAACGCCTCCGCTCTGTTGTGAGGAACAATCTCAGTCTTTTTCCAGGCAATTCTGATGTTAAGGAGCGTCATTGTGTCCTTCCGGGCCTGCTCGTAGCACTCCAAAACCTCCTCCTTAGATGGCCTGAGTCCTAGATGGCCGCTGGGCGTCTCCTGGAGTAAGGTCTTTAACCTTTTCTTCACCAAATTGAAGACTCCTATATCTAACACCTGGACTACATAGGAGCAATGAGGTTCATAAAAGATCAACCATACTTTATTTCTCAAGCAGGTGGCTAGGAACTCGTCATTCGTGTGGGAGTCGTGGCCATCACACACCAAAACCACCCATGTGTTGCCGTGGACCTCCCGAATATGAGGAATAAAGATACATTAAAGTCATTCTAACATAATGGGATTCGAGGTCCATCCATTGGGCGACATAATAAACCTCCAGTCAATGAATTTGCCCTTATTTTGGTTGCTAAACCACTGGGCTTGTACGTTAACCCCCTTAAGAATCACCAGCGGCGGCAAGGTCTCACCAGATCCGCTCACACACTCTAGGGCAGTTATCCATTCACCCTTCTCGACCCCTTTCTTCATAGCCATGTTGCCGGAGGCCTCGGAGACCACCCAATGGGAGTCCCCAACCCCCTGGGCGATTCCCATTTCGTCGACGTTGTACCAGCGTGCTGGCATGAGGTTAACCACGTCAGGGGCGTCACACCGATCGAAAAAAATGTTGATATTTGCCGCTATAGTACCATTCACTCGGTTGTAGTCGATAACACGAGACTTTATTATCTTGACTTCCGGGTTTCAAGACAGGAACTTGGATGCCCAATTTTTCCTTAATTCTCGAGCATCCCTGGTGGCATGGAGCATCCGCTGGGTCATGAGACGGAACTTAGAGACCGCCGGAGAATACCCTAGCCGTGCTTGCCCCAGGGCCCAGCTTGCCAGCTTATGTTTGAGATACGGTGAGAGAGCCTGTTGGAGAGCGCTGGTCTCATTCCGCGTTGGGGTGCCAGAGATTCGTCGGTTGACGTACGAGCGACTGATTTGCCATTCGAGGGCTGACGAGCAGACTGGAGCTCCGCGTTGGATGGCCAAAATGGCGGCTTCAGCTTTTATTTGATGGTTGTAAAATGACATCATGAGATTCAGCAATGGATAAGGATTCAAATAGTGTACTTTATGAAAAAAAAGATGCAAAAGTGATGGTGTAGATGGTGGATCACCATAATCCTGGTGGTTGGTGAATTACGCGTTTGTGGGTCAGAACGCGCTGGTCCGCGGGGGGGTGGTCCGCAGGGGGGTGGGAGATGTTACTTATTATCTTGATACCTCCACAATCCTGCGATGCAGAGGCTCTGGGAGGCGTGGTTTGCACTATTGAGGAGCGATCTCCCACGTTAAATACAATCAATCAATCAATCATACGCAGCCAATACCAATAACGCCTCAGAAATCATTCCGCTTCTCCTGAAGGGAGGAGTCTCAGTTGATCAGGAGACTGGTAAAGCCGGTCACACGGCCCTGGCCTGGGCAGTACAGGAGGACCTCATGATAGCTTCCTACAACCTCATCGACGCTGGAGCCAACTTGAAGGCAGTTGCGGCAAGACGGGAGAACATTCTCCATCTCATCTGCGGCTGGAAGGGACTGGAATTGGTGGACGAAGACATGCCTCTGTTTGAGGCAATTGTAACCAATCTGATCCAAGCCAAGGTGAACTTCAGGAACAAGGATATCAACGGAGCAACGGCTCTTCATTATGCAGCGCGACGGAAACGCGGCCTTTTCGCCGTGAAGGCGCTGCTAGAGGCCGGCGCCACCTACAAGGCCAAGGAAAACCAGGGCTTGACGCCCCTGATGAACGCCTGCCGCGATCCTGCCGGCGAGTACGAGGAGAAAATCACTGCCCTGCTCCAGGCCGGCGCACCCCTCAACGCACGCGACAATAACGGTCTGACCTGCCTCGGCAGATGCCTCATGTCACGGCGAGCGTACTGAGGAGCTGGGATAGGGCCGGCAGCAAGCAGCTATTACTCTATTGACGAGAATATCAAGACTAGAGAGGAAAGGAAGAGAGAGAGAGAAATAGGTACAGTGGGAGGTTGCCCCTTTAAGGGGATCCTCTGGTCAGATCCTTCCCCTATTGGGAAGTATCTGCTTGTCATGTGGGAAGATCTGTGCAGGCCGTCACACCTCATCCAAGCAGACGACGAAGCGTTTGTGCCCCTCTGCCAGTACCTCATCGGCAAAAAAGCCCAGTACAACAACAGAGTTGGAGGAAGAACGCTGCTTGATTGGCTTCTCTGCAACGGTCACACGAACTGCGCCCTCATCCTGCAGAAGGAACAGTATCAATCCGAGATATACGAGCTCGAATACCTGGCGTGGCAGGAACCTGGATGGGTTTGGGAGGCGATGGTCGCGGCCCTACCCCAGCCTTTAAGTGACTGGATGGCCGAGCGAATTTGTGAATCACTGGGCCTGAACGGCTAGAGGAGCGTGTGTGTCTTACCGGGAGAAACTGTTCGTTATAGGAAGTCTAACTGTTGCTTGTCTTTGTTAGCCTGAGCAAGGGAAATACAAAATTGGCGAGTCGACGCAAAACAGAAAAATGGTATAAGCACGCTTTGAAGTGATTATTACAAGCGAAAATGCGGTGGTATAAGCACCTGACTGCTGCTTATGTTACTGTGAACAGTCCATCCGTCCCTCACATATCTGACTATTTCGGTTATTGGCATAAGCAGCCTGGAATAAGCGCTTTTGGTATAGTGACCTCCATACAGTGCTCGTTCCACATTGTTTATGCAAGCAGCGCCAAAAACTATACATCTTCTGTGGCCTGATAATCACTATCGGCACTGGCATTCCCCTGCTTGTTGTGAAGTGTGTCGTTGGATTGGGCTGCCGTTCGTCGGACGACTCGACATGTCTACGATCGAGCTCTCGACTGGATGTTATTGGTGGATGTTTACGACCGCGGTAACTCGGAGACCTGATGCAACACGGGAGAACGGGAGTTTCTAGGCATTGTAAAGGGATTGGGTGAATGTTTATGGATGCCCCGATCTAGTCCCCCGTCCGGTGATGCCATACTCCGATCATGACAACCTCTTGAAGAATTTCAGCAATGACAGATTAAACAAAGGAAATATAGCTACCTGGCTGCCCTGACCGTAGACATCTCTCATGGTTCGGGATTATAAGGAGTGTTGAATACTCATTTTACTCATGAACAGCTAACTTTGCCGCACCCAAGTAGAAATATATATCCGCGGAACGTCATTCATGAGCCTTGTGCTCGCCCATATGACGACCAGCAATGAACCCAAACGTCATCGCGGGCCCAATCGTCGCCCCGGCGCCGCAATAGCAATGCCCCATGACAGCCGCGGACGTATTGCCCGCGGCATAGAGACCCGGGATTGGAGCGCCATCCTCCCTCAGTACGCGAGCAAACTCATCCGTCAGCAACCCGCCCTTGGTTCCGACATCGCCAGGAAAGACCTTGGTGGCATAGAAGGGCGGCTGGTCAAGCGGCCCCATGTTGGGGTTCGGCCTGACATTGGGATCGCCCAGGTACCGCTGATACGCGTCGCCACCCTTGCCAAAGTCCTCATCAACGCCCTTGGAGCACATCCCGTTCCAGCGCTCGACCGTCTTCACCAACCCCGGTGCACCCACGCCCATCTGCCGCGCCAATTCATCCAGCGTCTTGGCCTTGACCATCCGTCCATCCCTCAACGCATCCGTCGGTTCCACCCGCGGTGGCAGCGTACCAAACGTGTAACGACGGCGATGCTTCGCGTCCACGACAAGCCAAGCCGGGATCGCAGACACCACCGCGTCGTGCCTGTAGATAGAGTGTCCCGCATCGGCGTACGGCATAGCCTCGGCGAAGAACCGCGACCCGGAGGCATCGACGACGATCGCGTACGGCTTGCTCATCTCGAACACGGCGAAACTGGTCTTGCCATCGACGGGGTCTTGCAGTGCTGGAATCCACCACGAGTCGTCGAGGAGGGCTGTCGCGGCGCCGAGCTGAGTGGCTATGTTGATGGCGTCGCCGGTGTCGCCACGTGGCTGCGTCATGGTCCAGTCTGTGCTTGAGGGGGCGTGGCCGTGGGTTGTGCGCATGGATGCGTTGCGGGCGAAGCCGGCTGCGCAGAGGATTACGCCGCGATGGTCGTGGATATTGATGGTTGATCCGGCCCTTTGGACTTTGGCCCCGGTGACGGCGCCGTTGCCATAGTAGAGACGGTGTGCGAAACCCCTTACGCGATCTAAATGTGTAGCACGACGGGAAAGTAGTGCGGGGCAGAGTGAGAAGGACTCGTCGACGAGTAAGCCAACTCGGACATGGCGCAATATCGCACCCTGAGAGCGCACACTCGTCAAAGCCATAGAGCTCAAGTATCCCACGATAATCTTGCCAAAGGGGAAAACGGCGATACGACGGTGAGTTTGATCATAAGAGACGTGAGGGCGTTTCGTCCCTTCGGGTTGCTTGAAAGGGGTCGCCACTAGGCTGTAGCTCCTCAGTAGTGCGGTATGCTTTCTGACCCTTGCCTCCGTATCGACATTCGCTATGATGCATCACCGAAGCCGAGATCCGTCTGAGTCCACGTACTCGTTGCCTGAAAACTCAGTCAACCTTCGCGGTGATCAAAAATGGACTTACCTCGCGGGGGTGTCAGAGAGGCTCGCTGCTGAACAGTGTATGCCCCGACCTCTCTTCTCGAGGCTTAAAAAGGAACTCAACCAAAGTATCCGTAGTATGGGTCTTAAGCCAGCAGTTACGCCGAGCCAGGGCATGAAATTTGAAGCTCGCTGGCTTCCTAAACAACCTCATCTACACTGTGGACCAACTCGATTCGAGCTTGATGATGTCTTGGAAAGCTTCGCGTGGAAGCGACAGCTGCAGCCAGACATCAAGCCCATCTCCGACAGCTGGTATCTTTCGGCTAGGACTACTTCAATCTTCCACGTTGGGCTGCTGGGTCGTGCTGGCTTGGCTTCTCTCGGTTACGGATGACTTGCGAGGAGACCTTGGCCCGAAGTGCTTTCACGAAAGTCATACCTTGTCTGACCTGGGGTATCAAGCCCACGGGGGCGACATCGGCGACTCTGCAGCTGCCTGTTGAAGATGTGGATTTGCTATAGCAGGATCTCGATTGGCCAGTATAGCAATAACTACAAGTTACCTAGGCAGCTTGGATCCTACAAGATATATCGCGGCCCTTTGCAGTACCGACGACGGCGATTGTTGCCATCACGCGGATTATATGACGTTTATATTCCCAGGGTGGCGAGGCTTGTTCTTAGGATAAAGTAAGTTGCCCCAATTATAATTTCAAGTAGCAAGATATGAGCCTTTCGCCTAGCATCCTAACCAAAACTTTCGCTCGTCCCGCAATTTATTATGCATATAACAAGACAATGTTCTACCAGCACGCATTCATGGCGGCCATACTGGCCTCCACCATTATCGCCTGGGAATACATGATTTACGACACGTACCATCCTGACACCAACACATGCGGAGGCCTTGCCACATTCATACATCGTGGTGACGGCCCGGATGCCCCCGAGGGCGTGCCGCGAGATATAGCTTACGATGTCATCCACGGCAAACCCGCAGGGATTGTGGTCGAGGGCATGGACCCTTATATGATCGGGATGTTCACCGAAGCGGATCTGCAACTTGTAGTAGGTGAGAACAGAAAACCGCCCACCCGGCCCTACAGGCGTGGTGTGCTAGATTTCTGTTATCCGTGGAACCCAGAGTGGACGGCTTATTTCGTGGATTTCGCGGGCGACTGGGATGAAGAGGACAGCGTACAGGGTGGCACTTCATCGGATTCGGATAAACGTGCACGCACGTGTGCAGATTTCCCGCTGACGCACCTAGGCCAGGCTGTTGAGGGCTTACTACTCCACTCGAAAATCGCGGCGACGTCTCATAAACAGATAATAGTCAAGTTTATATACAATTCTTCCTGTTATCATTCTACTGGTGGCGGGCAGGAACCTCGTGACCGTCACTTCGTCTTTTAGCTTTCTCGACGTGGCAAGTGCTCTGGAGATGAGAGACGCCAGTAACTCCTCAGCTACGCTTGTTGGCCAACGTCGGTGCGAACATCGATGTTTCGACTCTTCCGCTTGCTGTGCGGGCTGCCATTGCCGTTCTTGTGAGCTCGACTGTCGACGTGCAGGGTTTACTTCGTCATACAACATCTGGTGCTGACCCTGCTACTGTGAATGTGGAGACGCTAGTTTGATAGGGGGGAGACCTCGTGGAGCACTCTTCTCTAACCGGGATTGGCTTCAGCTTTACCCCATCCATCAGCCCTAGCACCACGTGATTGAGGTGGAAGAAGCGGTATTATGGAGAAGCTCTCTAGATATGATGGGCCTGAAGGGACATTGCAGCTGAGCACAACTCTCGATCTGATGTGGACAATTCAGTGTTCTTGTACCGGCTATGCTGAACTCTCCGTGGAAGGTGCATTGACCTCATCCTTAGAGGCCCCCGTAGACTCTTTTCTCCCCCAGGAAGTAAACACCATTGCAAATGCTTGCAAGATCCAAAGCCTGGTGAATAGAACCAGAGTTTCGAAATTTAGCTGGCCATTGGGTAGATGCCTTTGCAGCTCATTCAAACTCGATGTAGGGTCGAGATCCTTATCAACCGTATCTTCGCTACTCCTTTCAGTCGAGTTGGAAGTTTTTTGGTCAATTCTATCGTTAGTATGCGGGCTCTTGGATACTGAAGTCCCCGCATGTTGTGCCCGAGAAATATCAGGGGACGGCACTGGTGCCACCGGTAGCTCTTCGTAGGGATCTTCCTCTTGAATAGACCCATGGGTAGACATTGGAGTGGACATCAGCCAGGTGGATGAGAGCATAGAGAGGTCAGCTAGGATGGTGTCCTCCTGTTCACCTGACGATTGAATTGTCTCCTCCAGTGGTGCAGTTTGTTGGGGAGCAGCCTGGGGTCCGTCTTTATAGAGCCGAGTGCGTTCGCCTCTCCTTATCTCGACAGGGGAATTCATGTTCTCCTTTTCCACTACAGTATGTCAGATTAGGGCATTTCCTGGGTAGGACATGCCGTCGATGAGTTGGTCTGATGTCAGTTGGGACTGATGCTTACTTGATAGCTCCAGACTCTGTACCAGGCCATCTAAGGGTGTCGTGAATCTATCCTGTCCAGCGAAGTTGATGAGCGTGGTCGCATAGCGCGCGTTCTGAGGAGTCGACGGAAACCTGAGCTTGCGGATCTTGTTTTTCATCTGGTGGCTTAAGTCTGATCGAGCGTTCTCCAGCTTGCCGCTCACGTCGACACGCATGAAAATTGGCTGGCTGCTATGTACAAAAGAAAAGGCGGTATGTACAACGTTGCTGTGGATGGATTGGTCTTTGAGCTCATTCTCCGTGAGATGCCACTGAAGGACTTTGTATGCCCAGTTGTGGTTTCTGTTCTTTCGCGTGCCGGTCTTCAGGTGACTCTCAAATGCCCAGTGGCATTCCCGCACGACCGTCTTGTGAGACTCGCGACCGACGCCGCCAGCACCTCCGAAAGGTCCGACTTCAATCGATGGCATGAAGCTTTTTCGTGTGGTAACTTGTTCATATCGAGGCTCACCAGTCATGTGACGCGGGCCATACTTCACAATGTGAACCGGCGATTCGGGTTTGGAGCCTGGGAACTGGTGCATCAAGACCTCATCCTCGTCGTCTAGGGTGACCTGCACCGTGGCATTCTTGAGTCGACAGTCACCAGGCTGGTTGAACGTAAGGTCTAGGTAGATTATGCCAGCCTGGTGTTGAGCCTCGAGCATTCCCCATTTGGATTTCTTGAAGAGGAATCGGCAGTCGACGTGGATTTTCCCAAGTGAAGCACCTCCGAGTGAAGCGTGTTGAGAGACGAGGTGGTCGAATCTGTTGAAGTCGTATCTCCCATACTTTCTATCGTACTTGTTGACGGTGCTCAGTTGAGGACGACCAATTGGTGAAGGCACGGCGGCTCCAAGTGTAGTGGAAGAGCCAGCGAACATCCTGAAGTCCTTATCTAACTGCAGGACACCCATTCCCAGGGACAGGTTCGACGAGCTAGAAGACGATTGAAGAAGACGGGCCGTCGGTGCGGGGATTTTAAGACCGTCCTGCACCTCTTATCGGCCGCATGCACGTCGCGGAAAAATTACTGGCCTGCGTTACATCCGGATGGCCAACAGCAGGGGTCATGCGTCTGACTGCCTCGCGGCTGAGGGGTGGCCAAAATTATTGCCTGCGTTACTAGGAACACTCGAGGCATATGGTCATCACGTTGGTGCTTCCTCAATATTTATATGCAGCACCTGGTTTCTGTCCAGCATTGACAAGCCACATGAATGAGCCAAGCATGTCAGGACAAGCGAGGCGGGCTAGCGGCGGTGAGGCCAAAGTACCTCAAGAGCCAGCGGTTCACCGCGATCGCCACTCTAGGCCGACACATACTCTTGGCCGCAAGCGCTCCACTGGGGTCGTAGACGAGAGGCCGGAATATCCTACGACTTATCGCAGGCATGGCCATGAACATCGGCCGTCGCTACCCCCTGCCTCGCCACCCACACAGACTGCAAGACCTTTAAGCTTTCTCTCCCAAGAAGTAGGGACGAATTGGAACACAAGTGCGGGCCGGAGCTATCCATACCCATTTTATGAGAATGGTCATGATCCAAGGCGGAAGGGGAAGGAAGTCGTGCGGTGGGGTTCGCTTCCGGGCACGCCAACCGGTCATGCGCAAGGTGTCGAGGGAAAGCTGGTTTTTAACGAACCACCTCCCACTCAGCCCGGAATAAATCCATCCTCTTGGAAAGACCCAAGTCTCGACCCCTATAAATCCATGAGATTTGCGCCGGACACCCTGGTGCCAACTCCCCAGCTCGATGGGCCAGTCCAACCGAGTGCTGAGTGGAACGAGAAGAAAATCGACGGAATTGTTGGGCCAGACACCGGCGACCTCACAATCCATCTTGACATGGACCTACAAGAGGACGTTGAGGAACTGCTCGACGAAATGCTACGCTTTGTCCGAATCGGCCACTACGACGCTGCGAGGGAATATTTCGAACGCAACTTAAAGGACCATCTGGGCAAACCATATGTGCTGGTTCAGTATGCTGATATGCTGCTTCAACAAGGCGAGTTCGAAGCAGTGGCTCGTCTCGAGGATGAATCGATCGGTAAAGTGGAAAGGGAGCTTCCCGGCAACGAAGGTCTACGACTTCTTCGACTATATTGGGAGCTGATGAGGATATTTGCGAAGAGCCGTACGCTGGAGAATGTTGGTGATGCCCCGTTCGTGTTTGAGAAAGCCATTGATGTCTTCAGACATGTGGCTAATTCCCCAGATACACCTGTCGGCTCCGTTGAGGTAAGCGCCACGATCCGATTTCGAGAGTGCGTCTGAGTCTGATGAGTTCTCCAGATAAAAATCCTTGGACTTGTCATTCACCTCACGAGCCATCCTCATCTGAACGGCAGATGGCGAAAATACAGGACAGACCTGGTGGAAGTATTCCCTTCGGCATATTATAAGCGTCTCTACGCCGGCCTTCTTAGAGAAGGACGAATATGGGATCTGCGCGATCTTGTCACTCTTATGCCTTCGTTTGAAAGCACCAGAACACTCTTCAAGGATCTCTTTGACACCAAGATTGACCAAGGCCTACGCACACTGATCACGGATTGGTCGGGATCGGGGCATGAGTATGATTCTTTGACTACGCTTGCCCTACTCGATATGATGATGTACGTCGCACTAGAACCAATCGGTGTTCCCGCAAGGCTATGTGAAGGGATATGGCAGCTTTCCTTGCCTTTGGCTCAAACAATTGCACAGAAAGACCCTGCAAGCATGAAATCACGACCCTATATGCGGCTGCTCCTCGCAAGGTCAAGATTTGTTGAAACAAAGAGTCGACAGGACATGGCCACACTGCTGGACAGCCTCAAGGAATCACCAGGAGTTGCCTACCACGGCGACAGCCGGCAGTTGCCTATGTACGTGCCATCCGGGGCCGAGAATCCTGGTTGGAACATCATAGATGCAGCAGATGCATACAAAGATCCAATCAAAGTCATACAGAAAAGCGCAAAGACCTTGGGAGACCACACCACCGAAACAATGGCTCTCTTGGAACTCATGAGACTCTCTGCGAATCCAGTGGCCGATTTCGAAAGGCTGTGCGATATACAGATGTCTACCCAAGGCGACAGAGCTGGTTATGCACAGAGCCTTGCATCAGGATACCTATTGTCGAAGTCTCCGGAAACTAGGGAGGAGCTCAGAATTCAAATCTCCCGCCTACTGTCAAAAATCGAGGCTTCTGACTATTGGAACTGTAACGAGGAGTGGGTGCTCAACATGCTCTCATATAGGTTAGAAGACCGCCCAGCATGGTCCATTCGCCAGGCGCAAAGGACTAATGCAGGCTACCTACACATGAACCGAGCTCTTCTAAAAGAAATCTCCTGGAAGCTGCCTCTGCTCAGCGAATGGGTCCAGCGCCAACACAGGCTTGCACGAACTGAACACCTAGAAGATCACAACCGTCGGTCAGCCATTCGCGGAGGCAAAAAGACCAAGGTGCAGGAACGAACCACGAAAACCACCCAGAATCAAGAGGATCATCCAGTTGACACCGGAGACGGAGGGCATGAAACAGAATATGTGACGGATGAACGTGATGGGAAGCAAAATGCAACGGCCGAGGCAGCACCAACTGATCCAGTGTACCAGGGGACGTCACAGGTGCAATGGTATCCCCAAGCCCAATGGTATCCCCAAGCCCAATGGTATCCCCAAGCCCCTCCCAACTGGTTCTATGGCCAGGAGGACCCCGTAAAGGTCGAGCTGAGGAGGCTATTGGCAGAAGCCGAAGCCGAAGCCCAACGGAAACGGTGGGAAGACGGCTTCCGGAAAGACATGGAAGAGGTTCTTAGCCAACGTTTACATCAGATGGAGCACGATCGAGCAAAACATCACGAGGAAAGGCTCATCGAAGAGGCGAGAAAAAAAGCCGAATTGGAATCTCTCAGAAAAGATATTAACTGGATTGACAAGAAACAGGAAATAGCACGGGCGGAGGTCGAAGCACAAGAGGCACGATACGAACAGGAGAAGCTTAGGGCGGAGAGAAGAGACGACGAAAGACGACGCAAGAGAGAGGCGGAGGTCCAAGCACAAGAGATACGATACGAGCGGGAAAGGCTCGAGGCGGAGAGAAGTGACGATGAAAGGCGACGCAAGAGAGAGGCAGAGGCCGCTGAACAGGCGGAGAGTAACGTCATGACCAGAATCGAAGCGGTCCTCAGAGCGGAGAGTAACGTCATGACCAGAATCGAAGCGGTCCTCAGAGCGGAGCAAGGATCCCATGCCGCGACACAGCGCGAGGAGCAAGAGAAAGCAGAGCGGAAGAAGGAATGGGTACGTTGATTTCGGTGTATACGCAGACCGGAAAAGTCTTCCATTTGCTGGTCTCAAATGAACATGGAACATCACAAGATTTCATAATTGACTGATGACCCTCTCAGGAACGAGAGGCAAGACTGAAAGCCGAGGAAGCAGTCCGCGAGAAATACGACACTGACCCAAGAAGTAATCGAGATAACAAAGCGTCCCAACCAGACGGCCAGGGTGACTCAAGAGAGGAGATCTTGATATGGGCCACGGAGGAAGCCCAACGTCAAGTCGAGGAAGAATCTCGAATCCAGTTCACAGATGCTCTCGGGCGGAAGTTTTCGTTCCCTTATCTCGAATGTTCAACATGGACGGTAAGCTTAATACCCATCTGCAGAGATATGGTCTAGTCTAACGATAGCTAATAGGGGATGGAGGAGCTCATCAAACGAGCATTTCTTAATATTGATGTTCTTGAACCGCATGTGGCTGAAGGCCATTATGACCTTCTTGGACCCGACGGGACTATCATTTTACCACAACTTTGGCACATTACTATAGAGCCGAGCTGGTCTATCACTATGCAAATGTGGCCAATGGAAGGTTTGTCTGCGACCGACCGCACGGCTGGAGTACCACCTACCGGACGGACTCGACCTAGATCACCAATTTCCGACCGCCAAAGCTCGGCGCCGATGCCTTCAATTTCGAAACCGGTACACTCAAGTGAAGGCTGGAAGCCTGAAGGCCCGAGCCGGAGCAGGAGATCGAGCGCTCCGGACTCATACTTGACTTCGAGCGATGATCAAAGCGATGCGGCGGGTCCCATGCCCGACAGACCCGGTTCTAAGGCTGCAACTTTCTTATCACGCTGGATGGGCAAGCTTCGTCGGAAACGGTCAGTCGATACGAGAGGGAGTGGAATTTATATTCCTAGGGAACGCCAACGGTCAGTCGACACGACAAGGAGTGCGATGTCCAGCCCCAGGACAGAAAGCATTCAGCCGGACTGACGTATTCTCTGCCTCTGTCTTCCGAGCAGCGTTCGTATAGGATGACAGGCTGTTGCGAGTTAAGGGGTATTTGGACCCATTGATCTCAAGGTGGCTGTCGGAAGCGAGGCGTAAAGGGTTGATACCAATGATCGAATGTGTAAACCGGCGATGGTCTCACTGACGATAGAGCAGCAGTCGTGTGAAAATCTGAAGCGCGATAGTCCGTAAGCCATATGAAATCCAAACCTTCCCAGACAGATTAGCCAGCCTAATCTCACACCTCTGTATCACCCTTCCTCTGCATATCCCGCCACTCGTGCTCCAGCATGCCATACGTCAGCCAATCATGCCACCCACCATTAAACCACACGTTCTCGCGCTGTCTGCCCTCCAGCTGGAAGCCCAGCCTCTCATACAGCCGCACGGCGCCAGTGTTGAACGAGAACGCCTCAATGCGCACGCGATGCAAGCCGGCCATCTGGAACCCGTACCACAAAGCCCACCGGATAGCCTCACCGCCATAGCCGCGTCCTCGATACCTCCTCGCGATATCAATGCCGATGTCGCTGCATATGTGATGCTCCTGGCCCGGCGGGTTCGCCTTAAGGTAGACGATGCCGACGGGCTCGCCTGCCACGCCGGCCTCGAAGACTGGTGGAAGACAGACGATGACGCCGAGAAGACAGTTGGAGACGTACTTCATGTAGCTCTTAGTGTCTTTCAAGCTCTCGGGCCTCAGGAGGCGGTAGTTCGAGCCCGATTCCGCTTCGACGTCTAGTTGGATCGAGTGCACGAATGCCTCGTCTTCGGCCGTTTCGCGTACGGCGCGGTAGACGAGCCGCTGTGAGTGGAAAGGATCGAAAGTCGACATCGCAATGGTCAACTAAGATGGTGATGGGGTTAAGTGATTGGCCATCAAGGCACTCACCACGCAGAGGTATATGGTGTTCATAGTGGGCTATATACTCACCCAGCCGGGAGTGTGGTCCTTCTGCTCTGTGTAGGTGGTGAGCGCTAAGCCGCTTTCGGCTCGCCGAATTTGCGGTGAGAATAGTTGTGTCTTCGTGTCAGCCCGCCTTGAGGGTGGCCCGGGATATATTGGGATGGTAAGTGGTTACACCCTTTCGGCGAAGCCCGTGTTGGATATGGGACCCCGATTGTGTGTGGTTCGTGAAGAGAATCTTCGCGAGATTTCCTGCGAGGATTCGACCTCATATAGGGCTCTCGTGACTCATCGGATGAAGGTGTGTGAACGAAGGTTTCGCTAGTGCCATAATGGCGTTGAGGTTGAGGGAGAAGACGAACAGAGTTCAGCAATGAGCCACCAAGAAAAACCATCGTTACTTTACTCAAGGTTGCGGCAGAACCTGAATTGATTCCACATCACCGATACCATCTCAATCTGCTGGATTGGGAACACGAGGTCTGGGACCCTGATATACAAGCGGCTAGTTCTTCTGCCACCGGCTTCTCCGTTCGTTGCCTGCGGCCAATGGCTTTGCCGGTATCTCACCCCAGAAACTCCACACAGCGTACCTTTGCTTATCCACAAACACCAGAAAGTTGTCATCTCCTACAACCTGGTGGAGGGTCCAGCCATGGGGAGGTATCCAGCGACTCTCTGGTTCGTCGGCTGTTGAGCCTATAGGCTGGCTTGTATCGAGCACATAGTCAACGGCGTCTACCTCATAGTTCAGGACTTGGTAATTGGAGGGAATTTGCCGACGACGTAATATTGGGGAGGTATTCCCCGACGTTGTCGTGAACGAAGGGATATCACCTCCCGGTCGTATGCGGGGGCGCTGTTTACCAATACAGGGCGTCAGCCATGTGACGGTTTCCTCACCGCAAACGGCGAGTTGGCCATTCCAGAGCATGCAGCCCATGGAACAATATTCAGTAAGATGGTGAAAGAAGGTCGTGAAGGATTTTGTGTAGATGTTGAAGCACATGGAGACGAGCTCATCCCGACTGCGCCCGCATTGGCAAACGGTGCAGCTTGCCAGATCCGCTTCGTCGGGGTCCGGCCGTCCCATTATGGCCTGAGTCAATAGGTACCCACCATAAGAATTCGCCTTTTCCCAGCGTAACGGCCCTTGTTCGCTAATGTTGCTGCCGGAGAAGGCACGGTCTTCGGCGATGTACGTTCCAATAAGTTCGCCAGCGTGTATCTCATACACTGTGAGCTGTCCTTGCCCATCATGAGTGAGTGTGATTACGAAATAAGCTTGGTTGATCCGGGGGTGTACGATGAAGTCTACAAGCGTTTGGCTCTGTCTGAGGTAGAGACCGTGCCGGCTTCGGGCCCATTGACTGAGTGTCAGATTATCCATGCCACCCATAGACACTGGGCTCTTCGTATAACAGGAGAATTTGTCGATGTCGATGTGCTGCAACTCCCGTCCGAATTCCCATAGGAAGGCCTCGGAGTTTTTCAAGACGATTAGGGCTGTTTCCCCTTCGGTAACGCATCGTTCGATCAGTCCCGGTACTTCAACAGATTGAAGATGGTCTAACTCAAGATGCCAGGCATGCAGAGTTGTTCTGCGGCTCATGATGAGCAGCTTGTCGCTCATGGCGGTCTTGTATCCCCTCTCTTCTACACCATGGTTCGGAAACATGTATGCACGTCTCTTTCTGGTTCGAAAATCGTCGACGACGGCGAAGAAGGCGAGGTTATACGCTTCTGGCCACCACGCGATGCGCCCGTTGTTGTACATCATGAAGCGGATGACACTCTGCTTTGGATGGAACTCCAAGCCCTCAATGCTGTCGTAGGAGTGAACGCCCCCTTCAGAGACGGGGACATCCTGACTCAGCTGGAAGAAATCATTCGATCCCAGCCTCATCTTAAGGTGCAGGGCTGAGACAAACTTGCCGTCTGTCCTTCTAATGATCCGGTGCAAGGCCTGCCGGAATGTCTCTCCCATGTTCTGCCCATCAGTGGCGGTGGAGCGGATGCAATCAGAGAGTCCGGGATACCAGCGATCGGCCAAAGCCGGCCACATCTCGTCGCTGATCCATATGAGCCGTAGGACTCGCGATGCGCTGGTGGCTGCGACCACGTCTATTGGCTCGAGGTGACCAAGGACTAGAACATGAAGCTCGAAAGGGAGGCGGCTAAAGATGTCGGTCTTGGTGACTCTCACGTTAGGCGAGCGCCGGTCGGACGAACGATGGAAACGTTCAATGATTGACCTCATCGTAGTGGAACGCTGTTATCTTGTGAGGCGGTCGGTTGATGATGAATGGAAGATTAGCCGGCGTGCTGACTGAAGGCTGAGATACAGGAGGGGTTAAGGGGGCTGAGGGGGACTTGGCATATTCCCAGCAAGTGGTGCGTCGTATCAGACCCGCACAGTGTCTACAGGTATTCGCACGCGACACCACCCAACGTGGTGACATCTTCTGAAAGGGGCCGTCGCTTATGAAGGGTTTTTGTGGAGTTTGTGAGTCTTTATACGGCAGAAGAGCAGTAGAGAGCATGTACTCAACGGAGACACACATTCACTGTCCCGAGTGAACTCACCTCATCAGGTACTGGGGTGGACCATCTACCCTTCTAGCCTCGGAGACCCGAATCCCACACTTGGTTCCGCGATCGGCATCACGACGGATGTCGCATGATCTTTAATCACGGGTCACTTTGTTCTAGAACTTGAACCGTCCACTGCGAGGTGCCGGGATGTCTTCTGCCGTCGGGACTGTCCATATGCAGCATCCCGGCGACTTAAACGCCGATGCTTGGTCTACGGGCATCACCATGACTACTTGGACAATATCGGACAATTTATTGGTACCTTAGCTGCATATGAACCATTCAACCAAGTCAACGAATCGAACCTGCCTCGGTTACCAATAAGGTGAACACTTCTATCGCATTAAGACTGAGAAGCGGATGGATTAGGCGAATTACCAACGAGTGAAGACATCATCACTGCTACCGCTACCCTTCTAGTTTTTCAATTCCTTATTCTCGTTGACTACAATGAACCAGACATATTCCCCACCGAGATATTGAGCCTCCCCGTCCTTGACCTCTACCACCTCCCCCTTCTTGTGTTTGTCGGTATCCTTGGCGTCACCCTCTGTCGCGAAGAACCAGGCCTTGGACGTCCTAAAGCCGGCATCAAATGACGCCCATTCGCATGGCAGGCCGCTATCGAGTTTGCATAGCATGTGCTTCTTCGTTAAGAACAAGCCCTTTTGTTTGTAAGAGTCGGTGGTCGTATTGTCAAACAGAGCGTGGGGGCATTTAGATGGGTGAAAACGTATATCCTGGTGTAATCTGTGTTCTTGTTGTATCTCTGTGAAAATCCTTCTGTGGGCTAAGTGGCCCAAAAATGCCCTATTGGCCTCGTTGGTGCACTGCCACCTCCTGAACGCCACGGTGGCTTGCGCGCCATTCAACACGTATCTGTGAATCCTGTGACTGTCCACGGGGCGCTGGCGCTGCCCACGGCTACGGCGACCGATAGCAGGGCGAGCTTGGTAAGGCTTGTCTGGCGGAACATCGTAGGGATGATTGGGATGATTGCTGTTGGTGCACTCGGTTTCAAGAGTGGTCGGCGGGTCGGATGGGAGGGAGTATGGCAGTTCCTATCGCGTAGGAAAATAGTATCTGATGAGGCACCTTGGTGTCCTAAAATGGCAATTGCGTCTGTCTTTCGAGTCTGGGGAGGCTTACGAAAGAGATGTTCTGGAAGCCTTTATAGCCAACAGGTTACTTACACGCAAGGAAATGTTTTTGGTTCACTTAGGTCACAAGAGAGTGGCGGGTTGAAAATGCAAATTCTGTCATGATTAACAACACGATGAACAACATGATGCACAACATGATGAACAACATGATAAACAATATGATCAACAGTACTAAAGCATAACAGTAAGGATTCATCTAGTACAGACCCAGAATCCCCCGGTATGGCGTTGCGCTAAGCACTTACCATCCTGGCTACCTGTAAGGAATCTCGGTAAGCTAGAAATGACAACACTCTATTCTTATAGGACTTATCGCTGAAGGGTTAGTCTCACCACCTTTAAGGGAGATCACCTCGTCGTGCCTCGTAGGGAATATGTAAGGGACCCACTGGTGGAAGATTCCTTAATCCTCCAGGGGTCCAGGATGGTAATGGGTAGGGGTCTACATGCTAACGGGCATCTTTGCGAGTTGCACTTCTAAGAATATCCCTCTTCATTAGAATGTAACATTTATTGCTTGAAAGCTATCCAATTAGTTGCACCTAGGAATGGCGAGTTTCAAGTCCTATGTGCCTTGAACATACAATGCTATGTGAAACTCAACAAAGACTGAAAGGTATGTTATCTAAAGATGGGACTCGGCTTGTCATTTCTTCTCAAAGAGCTGTTCAATGAACACCTACCGTAATAGCGGCTATCCTTGTCAGTTTAACAAGCTATTATTCTGGCACGTCACAAGACAAAGAAGGTGGCTCTTCTCTCGCCACTACCTGGTCATTATGGCTTCTACTCGACATATATTCCCGGAGGTGGCACCTCTACAGCCCCCAACCTTCTCACACAACATCAGCTTTCCACACACGGAGAATAAACAGAGCGCTCCTCGGTATAGATCTGGGAATATGGTAGCATACGAGAGTCAGTCCTTAGGCGATGTCTATGTAGAGCACGCATCGATAGGAAGTGACATGGCGGCCGAGGACGAGCTACTTAGACTCCCAGAGCTGGCTCCCGCTACTCCTCAGTACGTCAACCTGTCTCAGCTGCAATTGACTCCTGGGACAAACTCGCCTTATTCCACTATTTCTGCCTTCACCTTCCCCGAGGCCGCGCGTCCGTCCGAGAAAGCTAATGTTACGCAGGTGAAGTCCAAGAAGCTCGAAGCTGTGACGGCCTGCACAGACCTTCCCACATGACAAGCCGATACTTCCCAATAGGGGAAGGATCTGACCAGAGGATCCCCTTAAAGGGGCAACCTCCCACTGTACCTATCTCTCTCTCTCTAGTCTTGATATTCTCGTCAATAGAGTAATAGCTGCTTGCTGCCGGCCATGTCCCAGCTCCTCAGTACGCTCGCCGTGACAGAAGCCAGCAAGCAATCCAAAGTAAGTGCAGACGGAGTCGAAAAGAAGGCGTCCGCAGAACTCGAGTCGTTCTGGTCGGTCCCTGGCTTGGGCTTTGAGAACGTGAAGGCGACACAGGAAGAACGCGAGGAGAGGCCTCGAAGACGGCGGGCGTTGGCTGCGTGCACGACGGGGCCAATGTGTTTCAATTGTGACGAGCCGCTGGAGCTGGAGGAATTCATGACTTCAAAGTTAGGTATTTGTCCCTACTGCTGTTGTTTCAGCTAATGGTGACTTAATTGCATTCTGTTGTACTTCTTAATTAATCTTGTTTATGCATACGTTTTCTCCTATCTGTGTGAGCATTGACCAACTTCTATGATCTGATTCTGCTTAGAAACCGAGATGACTCTCGTATCGGTGCTGTGAGGTGAGGTGCATACCAAATTCACCCGACACCAAAGACATGATTGGCGCCGAGTCTCTCTTCAGGTGGTTTGCTTCAAATACTGTATGGCTAGAGTTGACTGTATTCCAAAGTACATGACTTTATTGATTCACATGGATTCAGGCTTCGACTATTGGACATAGTCATTATGACCCGGGCGTCCCAAGCTGGCGTGAGACTCGTGACTACTTTAGGACTCCACCTCCTTTCATCCATAACTTGCCCAACAGCATCTCAGCATCCAGCATCATGATCAGCAGACTCAGAAGACTCCAAAACACTAACAATTTCCACAATCACTAGCCACCAGACACCGAAATGTTGTGAGATTTCAAAGTGTTCTATTAAGGAGAGGAATTCCAGCTACTCTGGAGCGGCCAGAGTGGCTCTATATATATCCAAGATATTAAAGGAAAGGATACGTGGTCTTATATTGGCCACGTACGTGACAGAGTCACGAATGGGGATGATGATCCTGAAGGATGACTATGGATGGGCTAACATAGCCCAGAATCCAACAAATGTGCACAATCACCGCAATATCTATCCGCTGCACCAATTGTTTATGGGTATCACCGAACGTTAGTTACCGCGTAAACTACACTCGCCCTGATGCACCTAACGGGCAGGCCGCGAACTGCCCTGGTAAAAACTACATACTCCGGACTTCATACAGCCGTCGAAGATCTGGCTGTCCGCGGCACCAATACCGCCCACACCGCCCGGGATGTTACTGAGAGCACGACGACCATGTTTGAGGAATGACGCCCCTGTTCCACAAATGATGAGTATGGTTTCATGAACTCACTTTGATTTGCACTATCTGGTCAATGACCACAGTGAGCACAAGGCTCGGGCGGTAGCAACGCGCCCAATTCAGGAGTAAGAACTACCTGGGCTATTTCCTTTCGGGCCAATCTCTCTGGCCATTCTGGTTGCGGAAGGAGGCATACCAAATATAGCACACATGTGATTCTCAGATCGTATCAAGCAGCACCTCTCGGTGCATGTTGTATACCCTTCTTGTGCGTCCCATCTACATACAGGTAGAATCATCGAACTTCAGTATCTCACGTTCTAATCGCTCTCTAATGACCCGTCCCTGGCTCGCCACCCGATCTCGAAATCTCGCTGGGCCCAGTCGAAAATGTCAATGCTAGGGTATCAATACAATCCCAGCGACTCCGCCGTCTGCCACTCCAAATACACGACATTAATCCACCTCGTCCCATCAAAGTAAACACTCTTCCAGTTCCCCTCCCCACCATTCTCCAGAAGCACAAACACCCCCCGCCCCACCTTCCGCTCCCTTGCAAATTCCTCCAGCGCGGGTAATATCGCCTCCGTAGCATCAGTCAGCCGATTCCCGTACTCAGTGATGTACACATCCTCGGGATCCAGCAGCACACCCAGGAACAGGAAGATAGTGCCGCCGGGTTTCTCAGGGTCCGGCGCCGTCATCGTCCGCGTCTGCAGCACGTCGTCGTGCAGCCATCCCTGGTCCGGGTCCCCCAGCAGACGCACCGGGCCGTGGTGCTCGACTTCTTCGCAGCCGGTGTACGCCTCGAAGAGCGACTGGCCCGTCTCCCAGAACCGCGCGCACTTGATCTCTTCGTCCTCCTCGAGCGTGATGGATTGCACGGTTTCGACGCCGATGGCTTTCCGCGTCGGCCAGTCCAGCGCCTCGTTGAGCACCAGGAAGCCTATGGATGTGTATATGGAGCCGTAGATACCGGCTTGGAGCAGTTTTGATGGTCGGTGGTTTGTGTGTGTTCTGGGGCCATGGCGTGGGATTTCATGCTGGGATATTCGAGAGCGGCCAGTTGGTGGTGAGTGTAGCTGTCTGCCGATGTTGGATGAGAGGCTGCGGGCTGGGACGCGGGACCCGGCCCAGAGTCGACGCAACATGGGTGCACGCGAAGATTGAAGTAATATCGAGACAGCGAGCACCGAAGACACACGGTTCGACGGTCGCCAGATATCACACTCGGAGGTTTCCCAAAGCGGCGACGGGCTGGGAATTTGAGGCTGAACGGAGGAAATGAGGGTGAGTTGAGATTGCATGAGCTGAATCGAGGTGTGTTTGGGTGGTGGTCCGTGCGCGCAGTTCAGAAACCACCTTTAGCACCGTAGGACTGACAGGGGATAATTGCCCCTGAGTCCTGACGCTGGCCATCGTCAAATTCAGCTCTCCAATACACACACAAAAATGGGGAAAAAATCGTGTTGATACATCTGGGCGAAGGCTCATGGGACTGGTTGCATAGCAACATGATATTTGAACCGCGAGAAGGCTGAGATCTGAGTGAGTGAGAGGGAATAAAGGAAACAAAAGCCGCGATGCCTTTACGATGAACTGGGGGCAAGCCGTGTATCTGTCTATCTCATGAAATCCAACAAGGAATACGAACTACAGGAGACCAGGCAACTCACAGGGTGTGGTATTTTCCAACGTCCTTGCGCTGATAAGAACACGGCAGAGTATGTGGGCAATACGTAGGGAGAAGGAGAAGCGGTGTTAGAAGAAGAAGAAGGGGCGGAAAAACAGATATGCATAGTTACCCCTTCGGTAGGTATAGGAGGTCTACTCGCAAGGAAAGTTCCTGTCGCTGAATGCTTTGCGAGGTAACCTTCTTGGCGAATTGGTTGCAATGGGAGGTAAATGACGATCTGAGCTAGGGCAGTCGGAAAAGGAGAGATGGAGACTATGGAATAACAGGTGGTGGTTCCCGGTGAAGTATATTCAGAAGAATAAATGTGAAGAAAGTTCCGATTACTTCCGTGCCAATAAGCGCATACCAAAATTGACCTGAGAGGAAACGATGGGTGTCCAACGTTGCCAAGGGAGCGACCAGCAAGACGGATGAGCTACGGCGAGACCGTGGGGATGGTCTCACGCTGAGACATTCATGTACAGCCTTAAGACGATGCTGATATACGAGAATAAGTTCAGTGGAATCTAGGGACGTTTCCATCTGCGCGAAACGGGCAATGGGTGCGTCTGGTGGTCTCAGACGATCTCGCCATGTCGCTTTATGCAGAAGTATCGTTACTACTAGATACTCATGCCATGCGCCCTCATGATGACGCCTTAAACACGGGATAAAACAATTAGGGGAAAACGGAAGTGGATATAACAAATTGGAAAGGGGCATGCCACTGTGGTTGAAGAGCTTATTGTTGAAATGAGTCGGCAGGACGTTGACTTGCACGTGTGCACCAAGCCCAGAGTTGGGTATGCACTTGGCATTACACGCTACCTGATTTCTGATGTAGACACACTATTAAAGAGACGAATACCCAGGACTATTACTGAATCCCTTAGTAACAGTCCAGGTAGAAATAAATCGTCAGGAGAAGGGGGTCACGTAGTTCAGACAAGATAGCACAACCATCATATCGGCGAAACTTATGTACATGGCACCAGCAAACCACTGCCCTTATCGGTGTGCCTTGAATGTGTGATTCCTCAACAAAGGTTGTCCATCTGAGGACGCCCGCCGTGGCGGGTAACTTATGGTCTGATTCTCGGGAGTTGGATGCTGCAGCCAGGAAAGCTTGATTCGCACCTCAGTACGTAACTTGTAATTGCGCTGTGCTTGCCTCCGTGTCTACGACAAGAAAGGTGCGATGCTTTCCAGCGTGCGATGCTCTTCCAGTGCCACTGCCTACTTCCATTTGGAGATGCCTGCAGGGTGTAACAGGTGACGTCACCGCCCGTGGCCCGTCGTTCCACAGTGACATTCATGCACCTTCCTCCATATGAGGTAGGCAGGCAGGTGTGCAAACATGTTGACTCCCCAACCATCATTCCATCTTCTCTACCCATATCTATCTACCTACCATCAGTACCAAGAAGGCCGACCCCGCAATCAACCAACTCCCCCAGCACACCAGCTACACCAATCCAGCCAACACCCACAACCCACCCCAACCATGAGCGACAAGAACCCCTCCACCACCCAAGAAGCAGAGAAGCCACAAGCACCAAACCCGACGCAGGCAGACCGGAGCACCGAGAAGCAGAACGCCGCCGCAGCCGAACGGGGCAGCGAAGAAGATGCGACGACGACGCGGCCTCCCGGCCAGCCCGGCCCCAGGAAGCTGCAGTCGCATTTCAAAGGCATGCCCAAGGACTGGGAGAAGAACCGAGGTAGGTCCTGACTCTTGACGTGACACAGGCAAGCTGTTGATGTCTGGATGTCAATCCGGACGGCTGCAAGGGAATTACGGAGATTTGGGCTGACGGGCAGGTAGTTCCCAAGAAGGAGACCTGAAATGTTATGACCTGCGATCCATATCATATGGCAGAAGCAGGATGGGGGGAAGTCAGCATGCGACACGGATCTGGGAGTCGGGGCGGGCGCGCGAGCGAGCGAGATACCGGATGGGTTTGATGTTTTGGGCCAGCACTCGTGGTAGGTAGGCAGGCAGTCCTCTTGATACACAGGAGCTACTCTGCGGTTTGCGAGGATGCATAAGTAGATATCTCCTTTACTCACGTCGTTATCCAATGAGAACGAGCTGGGCGCCAGCACGCAAGCAAATCTGCAAGCCTTGGGTTGTCACGAATCGATATTCCTTAACAGCCAAACCAATTCTCGGAGTTAGAATAGTGAAGGCCCGGAGACAACCAGACCTGACAATCCCACCTGCAAGAGCCGAAGCGAGGTCACGTGTCGAGGTCAGGTGATGAGACGGGAGCCCGGAATCTGGTGCAACTCCGACCCATGCTGGCGGAAACCCGACCCCTGACCATCGCAGACTTTTTCACTTTTGCGCATCCCACTCATCAATCTCTGCACCAGCTTGACCTGCCATGAGACAACTTTACTAAAGCCTCAACTCATTCCATATCGTTCATCAACAGCATGCTATCATATCAGCAGTCATTTAGCAATCAAAATCACATCGGAACTCAATCGCAGCACCGGTCGATGCAGACCGTCAAGGCGCGACGTGTTTCTTCCGTCATGCAGATGCGAGATGAGGCTCAAAAGGCGGCCAGGAAGTCACGAATACGTCTCAGGAGGCATTGAGAACCGAGCACCTGAATGGTTGGAAAGCCTTTCGCTCTCCTCTCCGGCGTTGGGACCCACCTTTTGATCCTGTCAAATCAGTTCCATCATTTCGTCGCGGCCAGTCAATCAATCCAGTTGCGCCGCTCAGCCGCTGCCATGTGTTCTGATTGACGGTGTTTCCCTTGGCTGGCAGGCCTGCAAGCCACCAGATTCCCGTTGCGATGTGCAGGTGCAGGTGCGCAGCTGGCTCGTTCGCAGACTCCTATTGGTTCGATAGGCCCAAAAATAGGGTTAGGTAGTACGTAGACGTGATTGAGCATGGCTGCGGCCAGGGGTAGCTTCGTCAGGATGACCCGGATGACACCTCGGGTGAGATGAGCTGTCGGCAGCTTGGGTCAGCTGTGGTAAGCTCCAATCCGGCTGCTCGCAGCGTGAGCATCTTGAAGTGAATGGGTAGAATGTTCGGATTCCAAAGATTCTCACGGTCATTTTCACTAGTCGACTCGAGGACAGTCCTCGCTTTTTATCCTTTGGTCTTGGTCCTGACTCTCCCGCTAGCTCCACTCCCTCTCCGCCATTGTCTCATATGGTAGGCTTTTGCGCAACCAAGTGGGGGCCCACCTTCAAGATGTGGGGGTCATGTCTCATTTCCAATTTTTCTTGTCTTGAGGCTCCCATCCGCCAAATGCCAGTTCATCCTCTGCGTGATTCCCTTCGTCCATCATTGGCGCTGTGGGATTTCTGTATGAACGTGTATTGTTGCCCTTTTGCTGTAGATACTGTAGGTGTTGAATGAAACGACTATGGTGTCTCTCTGTTGGGATACCGTGCTCATGAATCGTAAAGCTCACGCCAAGCCCGACCCGAAAAAGGCCTCAAGCTGTTCCAAGTCAGTGCAATAATGACCCGGTAAACCCCGAGACTACCAGTTCCCTGCCGTGTCACCACCAATCCAACGAAAGACTCCTTTTGCCATTCCAGGAAGAAATCCGCCAGCCTTGTCTCGATTGGGCAGCCCTCTATTTCCTGAGGTACTGGAAATTTTCTCTCCTTGCGAAGCTTGGATCGATTGTGGGCACCCCCGTCGTTGCCGGTCCACCCAACTGTGGGTATCCAGTACTCGTTTCTTTTCCGTTGGCTGCGTCGCTTTTTATCCCCAGGTGCAAACTGTTTGCACTGTTCCGACCCTGCCAGCTGCTAGCACGGATCATTGTCCCTTTCCTCTGCAATCTCCCGGAGCTCGCCCTTCCTTTCTTCCTTTCCCACCCACACCACTCACTCCGACGAAAGCTCTTTTTCTCTGCACTCCGGACAGCTTCCAACTTTCTTCTCCATCAGCCATCTCTGTTCCATTCCACACCTCTCCCCTCCATCACCAATCAACCATCCACATCAGTCACAATGGCCTCCGCTCGTGTTGTCGCTTCCAGAATCGCCTCCTCCATGGGCACCAAGGTCGCTCGACCTGCCATGCGAGCTCAGTTTGCCAGCGCTGCCGGCAAGCGAACCATCACCAGTACGTTTGACCTGCATCGCCAACCTCAATTGGCACCATCGCCAATCTCGATTGGAGCTGCGCCAGTTCCGAAATCTGAATTTTCATCATCTCTAACCAATCCGCCCAACAGACAATGCCACTCCCTTCCAGGCCGTCAAGCGCCAGCAGGCCTCCAAGATCCTGAGCTCGACCACCCGCGCTTTCCAGCAGACTCCCCGCCGAGCCTACTCTTCCGAGATCGCCCAGGCCATGGTTGAGGTCTCCAAGAACTTGGGTATGGGTGCCGCCGCCATTGGTCTGACTGGTGCTGGTATCGGTATTGGTCTTGTCTTCGCCGCTCTTCTCAACGGTGTTGCCCGCAACCCTGCTCTCCGTGGCCAGCTCTTCTCTTACGCCATTCTGGGTTTCGCCTTCGTCGAGGCCATTGGTCTGTTCGATCTCATGGTTGCCCTCATGGCCAAGTTCGTACGTACTCCCGTGAAGGATCCCGACTCCGATCGAGCGTCTGCTAACCAGTCCTTTAGACTTAAGCGACATAACCTTTCTACTTCCGGCAACTGGGATTCACACTACGTTCTGGAACGTGTGGAGGAGCGAATCGTGGAATTGAAGTACCATACTCACAGCATGGTACCTCGATGTGTTCAACTGGAGATCTCGCATTAGAGTAATAGAGGTCAATAGACTGGGGTGGAACGGCTTTCCGTTCCGGAGGGGGCGGCACTGCATAGCATTCAGATTTGTAGAGATGGGAGAGAAAAGCTCTCCAGAGGTCGGTCACCTCTGGTTCGCACCTGTAAAATACAAACCACCATCTTCACCGAACTGAGGCATCTTCCCTTTGTTCAAAAACATCACCATGGCGAATTGAAGGCATCTTCACTAACCGTATCACCAAGCGCACTGTAGCTCAAGATACGGTCAGGATGAACATACCTTGATCACTTGATGAACCCCGTGACCGGCAGGCTCAATTTGGTGCGCGGTTTTCGGTCGCCCAGTGCTGCATTCCACGGGCGCTGGACGTTTGGAGACAAGAGCGCTGGGCTGGCCCACTTCAAGCCTTTCTATCTTGCCAATCTCCACTGCATACTCCTCTTTCGATCTTCATTGGCCTCAGTACCACCAATCAGAGACATTAAATGATTATCTGGAACATCGGCCGGCGCAAGGTCCTGGGCTGTTAGAAGATAAAGTCGTTACACTCTAGCTTCTTCGGGTAGCATTCGTTCGATGACCGAGTCTGCTGCGCAAGAGGAGACAAGTGGATCTCTCGTCATGCGGACAAGAAGTCGGACGGGCCCACGGGGCAGGCTAGGTATTCATGTCTCGACCCTGCTCCGCACCTTCGACTGTCCTGCTTCAAACCTTCGACAGTTGACACAGTTCGACTGGCGTTGCCCTGCCCTCGAACTTCGACCACGCCGAATGAGAAGCACCTCCGGCCGCGAAGAGATCCCAAGGATCGCTTTGCCGGAGGGACCAGTCAAGGTTGATTGTCTTCTGATGAAAGACATCCTGAACCATGTCCGCCGGATCGTTAGCTACGCCAGCTTCAGCGCCATCCCGATTGTGCGTGGCTGGAACAGACGGCCCAGGCCTGGGAGACAGTTGAAGCGAGGGTCGACGACTGGGAGCATGTCGGCTGTCGACGCTGAGGTATGGGCGATGTTCTGGTGGGTGTGATAGAGCTCAGAAGGAAACCGACCGTCTCCCCAAACCATACCGGGCACCCAGCCAGCGAGAGTCCCGGACCTCGACCTGCGTTGAAGAGGCTTTGGACATGCTTGATCAGAGGCCTGTGATGCACGCCGGTCGCTGATGCCGACATGTCGAAGGCCGCAGTGAGCAAGGTCTGTTGCGAAGTCAACCACTTCTGCCAACGCGCTCCAACGATCATTGCGGAACACCGCGATATGATCAGTGCCGGGCTGAGTCCGTTGTTCCAGGCCGAGCAGTCGATGACGGGTGGGATACCGCGGTAGAGGGCCGGGTGGTTTGCGTGCCGCATGTCGGGACTGACTCGTGATAGTTCGACGAGGGTGGGAGCGCGAACTCTGCCAAGACGACCGCAGTATCAACGGCAGGCTTGTTCTTAGTCTATTGTCCGGCCCCGAATCTGCGACCGGGGTTTGACTGGCGTTTCGGCATCGGCATCGGCATCGGCTGTCAAGTGCCTAGTCGTGCTAGCTGGATGGACAGAACGCTGGAGTGTAAGTGAAGAAGGAAGCACCCGAGTCACAGCTGTCTACATTGACACTTGTGCCATCGGAGCTCTGTGGCTGTTCATTTGTGTCATGCCTCGCGCCGGTGTCGGATTTCCAAATGTCACTCGACTTACTCTGGGAATTGCAAGACATACTTGAACGTTCCTGTGTGGCCCAACATAAGCCAACGACGGCCAAGGACGAACGAGCTGGTGCTGTCTGGCGAGGGAATGGAGGGATGAATATGCCGCGTCCTGAAACACACAGTACAATGTCTCAAGGCGGGGTATGTCGCGCGAGGAAGCGAACGAGGGTCAATGACTTGTAAGAGTCTTAGACTCAAGCGAGAAGCTGGCGTTGCGGGAATCGATGGAGCCAGTCATTGAACCGCAGTCGCCAACGACAATGTTGTCAGAGAAGGGTGGGAAGTCAAAATAAGAGCAGTTGTGGGAGGAGAAATGGTGTGATGTGTGTGTGTGACTCCCCCCCGGCTGCAATACAACGCACACCCTCCTCTTCCCCTCACCAGTCATGTGATCCCCCCTTCCCAATTCACCCATCTCTCCTTCCTTCCCCAGACAAACCCCGGATTTTTATTACGTCAGCGCTTTCCCCCACACTGTCCCTTTTTCTCGCTTAGCCTCTTTTGGCACTCTATCTCCCATTCTCGTACATGGACTCGGATGACCAATTTACGTGCTCGGGCTAGATACGCCACTGCGCACATATTCTGGCAGCTGAACCCTATCAATATTCTCCCTCAATCTAGGGGCGACGGGTATGTCCAACCAGTGTTGTATCGTTGTACATGAGGCCTAGGACTTCAAAAGCGCAGCTCACAAACAACAAGATCTAGGACGAGCATTTTGCATTTGCAGGTAAGATGACGTCCGTGCTCAACTCAAACTGAAACTGAAACCAACGGTCAAGTGCCGATGAGACAAGGACATATATCATGTAGTTCGGCTAGAATCAACGAGAAAATACAGTCAATTACTAGTTGCGAACGCCCCAAGACGAGACAAAAGTGTAGGCAAACAGTCTCTAAGAGACACCTATCTAGGTACCTAGGTAGGTATGCTAGTGCTGACAGAGCCTCGCTGGTGTTTTCAGCAGAGCCTAACAATCCATCTCAGAAGCGGTCGTCCCTCCTCGCAGAATACTTGCGCATCTGCTCGATCCAGATCAACGAAGATAAGATGAGAGGAAGATGAAGATGGATGCAGTCGTCCACGAGAAGGAAGCAATTCTTGCGGCCTAGCACATCCGCAAATTATCAATTTCCCAGCCTTTGGGTTAACTGTCGAGCAAGTCCTCAAGATCCCACAAGAACCATGGCATCGTAGACTGGTGCCTATCACTGCTCTAATTCTTTGAGGAGACGGAGCACCCGCGAGGGTCGCCATAACTCCTTCACCTCCTTCCTCCACTCTCGCCATAACTTCTTCACCTTCTCCCTCACCTCCTCCATCTCGGCGTCCACGTGCGAAGGTCCGGCATTTGGGCTGCCGCTGACCAGCGGCGCATCTAAAAACTCCGTTAGCAGCAATGCTTATGAGACTCAACCCGGCTATAATCACCCATGGCTTCTCTGACTCCCACAAAGCCCTTGAGCTGCGCCCAATGCAATTATGCCACGCTTCTCGAGAGCCTCGTCGTCCATCTCGACCAAATCGATCCAAATCGATCCACTTCAGATCCTTCAGCTTGTCCGTGTACTTGTGTAGTCTTTGACTCCGCAGCCACGCGGGGATATTTGGGATGTCCGCGTCGTATTTCTTCTCGACGGTGGTTCCGCCCATGCCCGGGGGACGGAACGAATCTGGGTCCACTCATCTCCAGATGCTAGGGTCGAAGGTCAGGGGAGGGTGGTCGGTGGTGGGATCTCCCCGCGAAAATGGTGATGTCACATCTGTCGTATACGAATCGCCTAGGTTTTCTACATACGAATATTCTCCGGATGTCGCATCCGAGTCGTCTTGGGTTCCGTAAATGCCGTTGGCGCGGCGCCAGGCGCGGAGCTCCACGGCATCGCACTGGGCGGCCACAGCAACGTACTGGTCGGCCAGAGGCAAGCTGCTGAAACCGGAGGGGGAACTCATTCAAGTTGAACCCATTCGACGCCCTCCAGCTATTGGCGTCCCGCAGCCAAGTGGTGCCTTCTCGCTCCAGGTCAATGTCAGGTAGGCCTTCCGACGAAGCGTCGTCGTCGATAACCTCTTTCTCCTTGCCTTTGCCTTTGCCGCCATCATTGCCGGAGGTGGTGACGGAGTTCTCGACGCGGTCCTGGGAGGCTACTACGGAGTAGCCGTTGGAGCCAGGAGCGAAATCAAGTGCCGATCGGGAGGTGGTGGACTTACCGACGCGGTTCGGGGAGGCTGAGGAGTAGCCATTGGAGCGGCGAGGAGTGAAACCTGGTCGTAGCGACTCCTGCTCGTCCTCATCATCCGTGAACGAATTCGATGGGAACGCCGGTGGCGCCGGTCTGGCATTCCACCTGACGCTCGAGGCGCTGTCACGGCGAGCGTACTGAGGAGCTGGGACATGGCCGGCAGCAAGCAGCTATTACTCTATTGACGAGAATATCAAGACTAGAGAGGAAAGGAAGAGAGAGAGAGAGAGATAGGTACAGTGGGAGGTTGCCCCTTTAAGGGGATCCTTTGGTCAGATCCTTCCCCTATTGGGAAGTATCCGCTTGTCATGTGGGAAGGTCTGTGCAGGCCGTCACAGGCGCTCGCAGTATGGGCAGCTCTATCAGCTACACCGTTCGTGTTGTCAGCAGACCCAGGAGCTGATCCGTTGGCATGTTGTGAAGTTGTTGGGTTGGCGCTGGGGCCAGTGTTGGAGCTATTTCCTCTTTGCATTGTGGATGACGCGGCGTCTGTGAACCGCGGAATGCTTGAGGGGGAGTTATGGGTTGTGGGTGGATGATTGAGGGAGACGTTTGGGTTGTTGGGTGTTCGAAGATGAGGGCTTGTTGATGGTTTAGGTTGTGAGAGCAGAAAAGCAGGACGATGGGAACGTCTCCTATATTTATATTCGAGTTTCCACAGCTCGGAGAAAGGAATTGACTCGGCTCAAAACTGAGTTTAGTAGTCAACTGACGCCACATCAACCTGCGTACGTCTGGCCGCCTGTATAGTATTGCCAAGTGTCTGATTTGTCAGGTCTATACCAAACCTCAAGTTGAAGCCCAACAGAGTTTCGAGCTACACCGTTGTCATTCAACCTGGACCCTCATCGACCGTCCCCAAGGTCGACACACGTCTACATCGCGGCAGACCCAACGATGCTGGGACACTAATCCCGTTTTTTGTTTCTCCGAAATGTTACCAAAAACTTCTCGACGCCCTTGGGCCGGTCTAATGGAGGGGATAGTTTGGAAAATTGGTATTTCAATAGTAGCCACATTTCAATAGCAGTTACTCCGCTGTCAGCTGCCAGTGCCACCAGTATACCATACAAGAGGGACTCCTACCAAAAAGATATACTATATACACTGTGCTTGCGGCGCGGTCTACTTGTTCTTAGCGAAGGTTGTTATTAAATCTATATTTCCGCGAGCTTTGCTTCTTTTGCGAAGTGTGATGCCACCGTCCAGTATAATGCCACAGCGAAATGTAACGCCGTCGTGAATGATTCTACCAGGAATAATGATTCCGCGAATTACGATTCCTCTGCAAATGATTCCTTCGGCTTGCTGTCTATAACGCTGTGAACAAGGTCGTAGCAGTTGACAGGGGGTTGGCAGATGCAGATTGCAGGATGTGGCAGCTGGCAGGAGGTACTATTGAAATCGGACTACGATTGAAATAATCATTCCCTTAATTTGCTCAAGGTTGCGCTAGTGACTGTAATGATTTCCACATCGCTATCATCTATTAGTTTGCTGGGTTGGGAACACAAACTCTAATGGAATGGGTGTGGCATGGCGCTCTCTTCGGACTTAGCATGAAGATTCTGCTTGATAGCGTGCGAGAAGTCGAACTCAAACCTGACAGCTGGAATCATGTGAGGGATCCCGTCCCAGTCAGGGTGCTCCTCTCCTGCACTTTCGCCCCCGCGTCTGCGGTTGAGGTAATCTACCGCGAGATTCTTGCCACGTGTCTCACACCAGTCGAGCTGACAGTCCATGCAGAAAGCCCTTGCCCTGGTGCGATCCATCGCACCAAGTCGGTTTGCGCTGCCACCGCCGACGCTCAAAAGCTCGCGGATACGGTGCCTGTCGCGGAGGTCGACGACTTCATATATCGTCTCTGTCCTCTCGCGTGGCGGGATGTATCCCACTATCGCCTTCTCCAGAGATTCCCAGCACGTGTATCCAGCCGGTTCAATTACCAATGCATCGGGAGGGACCGGCTGGGTCGTCCCCATTCCGTCGCCGTCACGATCATCGATGTGGGGGACTCTGATGTTGACGGTTTGCACAACCACCATCAGATGTTTGATCCGTCTCATATCATCCGCAGTGATGGTTTCCTGGCGGTATGTATTCAAGCGCAAGTGTTGGAGCTGCATGGCAACATAGTCGAACTGGTCCAGTGCGGCGACAATATCGATGCCACTGTAGAGAGGATTGACCCCCAGGCTCAACCTATCGGCTTTTGTGAACCTCCACGTTTCTTTGGTCCAGGACCCTTTGGGAGTCATTTCGTGCACCGGCAATGCAACCCTCGCCTCGCGACAGGCCGGACTAGGCAGTCGTTGGCTCAGCAAACACGCCGAAGGAGTAGCAGCATCAATATGCAGCGAGCGGGATGGCATGGCCATGGCCCAGACGATGAGTCGCAGCTCAACGGGGAGCCTGGGAAAGCAGTGAAAAGTCAGATCGGACTTTGTAACTGCGCCGGCGCCCGTGTCGTTGCGTATCCGTTTGAGACGAGCCCCGTCCGGATCAAGTGTCGGACTGATTACGACGGCGTCGAGGAGGTCCGAGAGGACGGCGGACGGCGTCCGTGTGGCGATAGGAGCGGGAAGCTGGTCGCTGAACCATGAGTTCTGGAGATGCTGGCATGTGATGTAGGAGGCTATAGGCAACTGGCGCTGTCCATTGTCGTCGGGTTCGTCATCCCGTAGGAATGCGTCGAAGTCGAAATCCTCGAGTACGTCAGCTGGAGGCGCTTCTCCCACCCATGCGCGATCATGTAGCCACGACTCCAATTCGATGGCATCTCTAGTAGGGGCAGTGCCGGCCATGTCTCGAAGACGAGGGCTTGCGAGAATGGGAATGAAAGATAGTTGGCGGTGAGAGGTTGTGTAGAGCTGGCCACTCACTGTTGGGGTACATGTAGGACTACCCGTCACCCCCGCACCATCATCTCCCAGCCTCCGTCTCTCTATACTGCATGTCACTGGTGCTGAGTCATGTGTGCTTACGCCTCAATATGGGCGAGTGGTGCTGTGTATATGGCTGGATCTTCCGGAACAGCTCATATTGACATGTAGGAACCACCTTGCGTCAGGCACATTTTCATTGTCATTGAGGTGCCAGGAGATCAGACTTTCGGGCTCGCATTGTAGCGGCATTGGTCCTGGTGACCTGTGAGATTTCAAAGTGTTCTATTAAGGAGAGGAATTCCAGCTACTCTGGAGCGGCCAGAGTGGCCCTATATATATCCAAGATACTAAAGGAAAGGATACGTGGCCTTATGTTGGCCACGTATGTGACAGAGTCACGAATAGGGATGGTGATCCTGAATGATGACTATGGATGGGCTAACATAGCCCAGAATCCAATATGACCTCGTATTCGGGTTGGTCTCATTCTGCTCTGTTCCCAGCCGTACTTAACATCGCCGCTGTCGGTACAACGAGTCAAGAGCTACCGTTACTAAGGGGCCACCGAGAAGCTATCAGCAAACATGGTTGAGAGTACCGGTTCTCACGTTCGCTTTCAACAACAAAATCCAAGCCATGCAGGATCGAGTCATGAAATACCTAAGCGTAACCCAAACCCCAAAAGGTCTCCAAGTTCGTCCGACTGTGCACATCCACAAAGTCATGAGGCGGCCGAAGGGTCACGTCCTCCCCATGGATCTCAGCTACGCAGCCACACAAGCCAGGGTCTTCGATGAACTTGGCAACACCTCGGATGAGCGTAGACTTGGGCGTGATAATCATGTTCTTGAAGAGCTCCTTCGACGGAGCAATGTTGCTTTCTGTATACCATATCAGCCGAACTTCCCGTTCAGGGGTAACGCTGAGGAAGGATGGTCCCCGTACCTAGGACTGCTGGTGCAAGGGCGTTGATCTGGATGCCCTGCCGTCCGAGAACGGGCCCTAATGATCGCACCAGTCCGATAACGCCGAACTTGGAGGCCGCGTATAAAGGCGCCACTGGAAACGCGTAGAGTCCCGCGTTAGAAGCCGTGCAGATTATGGACCCCTTAGAGCCGGTAGATGGGTCCGGCTGGTTTTTCTGCATATAATGGATTGCGAGCTTCACGCCTGGGAGGCAGTTAGACTTGTCCAGCCAGTGTGGTTATTATCCGTGTGGAGACTCACTGTATATGGTGCCAGTCAAGTTGACATCCAGCGTCTTCAACTTCGGCTCAGATGGCTCATCCCCATCTTCCACAGCCAGGTTCGACGTCCCCTGCCCAGAGATGCCGGCATTAGCCATGACAATATCTATCCTGCCGGCTTCTTGGTAGATCTCTTTGAACACTGCGGCGAGGTCGTTCCACGATGAGACGTCGGATTTCTTGAACGTCACGGTGGCTTGTGGATGTTGAGAGGCAACCTCGGCGGCGACTCCTGGACCTGACTCCGCGTTCACGTCTAGTATAGTCACGCGATGGCCTTGCGATGCGAAGTGTGCGGTCATGGCCAGACCGAGCCCACTGGCACCGCCAGTGACCACTACGCTCTTGGCCCCTGATGGTCTGGAGTGCTCGTTCATGGTTCCAGCGAGCTAGGATTGAAATGAAAATAGTCAGGTTGGTGACTACGAATCGACAATCGTTACTATTGCCTAAGATAGTTGTTCTGCTTGGACCTTAACGGACATGGTATCCGGGATGTGAATTGAGAGGTGGAGATGGATGATCATCGGTTAACTATATATTGGGGACAAAAGTTGACCTATCGGCAGTTGGAGACTCCACGAGCAGCGTTCCACATAATCCAAGTATTTACAATCAGTTAAGGGGTGGTTAAGGTTTAATCTAATCAATCCCGAGGTCCCTTCGTTAACTGCAATTTAATCAGGGGGTCCTCGGATTGGATTGTTTAACTGCTATTTTAAGGTCTTTCAAATGTCGTTATTTTTCGGCTTTGACGGCATTATCGTGTATCCCTAGGCGAGTTGTGTGACGGCCTGCACAGACCTTCCTACATGACAAGTGGATACTTCCCAATAGGGGAAGGATCTGACCAGGGGATCCCCTTAAAGGGGCAACCTCCCACTGTACCTATCTCTCTCTCTCTTCCTTTCCTCTCTAGTCTTGATATTCTCGTCAATAGAGTAATAGCTGCTTGCTGCAGGCCATGTCCCAGCTCCTCAGTATGCTCGCCGTGACAAGTTGAAGCGATTGAGCATGGTTGCGATACCAGAAATGGGTGTCCTGAAGATGACAGGTTTGTTCGAGGGATGTGGTGGATGTGGTGGATATTGTTAGATGCAAGCGAGTTCAGATTATTCAGGTTAACAAGTGTCTTCTGTTGTTGTTCTTCTTCTCCTCTGCTTCTTCAGCGTACTGAGATTGATCATCTGTCTTCTTGGTGGGTCAGATGCCCTGTGCGTCTCTGCCCCACTAGAGATCTTCCGGTATCTATTTCCGGCTCCCATTCAACAGATATGGGGTAGGCGTGTGTGTAGTGGGTGTGTGATGGGTGTGTGGTGGACGTGATGTGGCTGGTGGTGTGGCTAATGCTGCTGCTAATATGGGTTAAAAAAACGGAGGCTTCTTATTGGTCCGGAGCTTCGGCGCCGGATATCCGGTTGTCAAACGATCTAATCAAATTGGAAGTTAGAGATAGCCGGATTGGATTGGATTGTTTAGTTATCACAATCTAATCTAGTTAGGAGGAGTTAGATTAGATTGATTTGATAGGTATGTTTGAATGCTGCCCACGAGTGGGGCTTCGCTACATCCATTGCGAGGATTATTCCCCGCCGAGTGGCGTTGCGGTATTGCATCTTGGTCTTGTCGCGGTGGAGGAACGCAGAGGGCAACTCTCCGCTCGCTGCCTATGCTCGCGCCGGAACACCACCACCCCCTGTCGTGTCATGAGAGGCCGGTCTCAGGCCCGGGTCAAGCAACTTGTCGTATCTGGGCGCCACCCAAACATGGATACTGATCAAGGTTGCTGGCGGTCTCCTGGGTTGGCGAGTCCACCCAATACCAGTATATCATTGTAGCAAAGAGGTGATGACAGTGGGCTATACGGCAGCGTCAGACAAACGCCACTGAGTGGAGCGAGGTTCTGAGGATATTGCTCTGCTGCAAGATGAGCAGCTGGGTGCAGGCTTGACGTATCATAGTGAGATAGTTCATGCGTACTGTAGCTATCGGATGAGAGAAGACTATCAAATCTGAGTAGAGATGCAACTAGAGCATGTAACGCGTAGCACCTATGGTACAAGCCCTATCGTCCACAGGCCGCCAGAAGTTATTCGCAATGTTGGGGAGCATTCAGGCCAGAAGCATGTTGAAAATTTGACTCCGGGTGTCTGATTTCGAGTTTCTCCTCAGACGATGGCGGCTCTTAAGCGGGCAGACTCCCAATGCCATGAGAGCCAGACGCCTCAACAACCCCGGCTCTCTTTCGCATGGCCGAGCCGGAATCCTGCACATGTAGTTCCCGATCGCGGTACTCGCACAGCAGGAAGTGTGAGATTTCAAACCGTTCTGTATTGAAAGGAAAGAGAAGAAGATCTCTGGGGGAGAAGCCCCCATATGTACAGGTGTGCCATCAGGGTGACCAGATAATCATACGATAATGGCGCCAGGATCCTGGTGGCCTGAGGGTGGGCTGACTGCCCTGAAGCTAAACCCATTAGCGCATTCAGCCCCGAAAGCCTCAGCCTGGTATGATATCCAACAGGAAGTCGTTGTCGAAGGCAAGTACGACTTTGCAGCCCTGTGCCAGCTTTCGTGGATTATTGCGCCTGCCCTTCTCCAATGATCTGAGATGCGCTGTCGAAGCCCACTTGAGTTCATCGAGTCCGTCGGCGCCCACGAGCCGGGCCCGGGTGAGGCTCTGCTCAGGACGATGCCGTTCTTCTGGGCCGATGACAGCTGGGCCCATAATTGCATACACGACCTCTATATCGTCCACGGGATGTCGTGACTTGTACTGCAGGAGGAGCGTTTGTTCTGACGAAAATGGTGGGCGGTTAGGGTAATACTGGAGAAGTAGCAACCATCGCACGTCGAAATCGTCTCGCTCCAACATAGCATCGCCTGATGCTGCTCGACCGGCCTCCTTCCTGTCCAGCATGTCGGAAACTGGTTGCAGAAGTCGCGCCAGTTCATGGTTGCCGGTAGCGCGGCACGTATCGAGGACTCGGCCCAATCTCGAATGAAACCACGACCTAGACTCGAACCAGAGAGCACCAAGCAATAGACCGCCCCCAATAACGTTACACCCAGGCCAAGGCAAATCCGTGGCAAATATAAGATTCTGCGTCTGAAAGTGGCATCGTCATCCCAATCGATCATCGAGCTTTGCGTACGGAATGGCCTTCTGTGACTCTTTGTGAAGGTTGCCCTGCAGCGAGTCGAGCACCGAAGGGCCGGCGAGACTCGATTGACCGGGCGAAGAAATGCGCGTCGAAACATCTCTTCACACAAAATTCGACTGCTAGAGAAGATTTCAGCGACGACATCGACAGCCGTATTATGTACCAGTGATTGATTGTTGAACAAGGAAAAGTGCGTCCAAGCACACAAAAGCCTGGGAATGGAGCTTACCATTCGAAACCACCATCGGAATGTATGACTGAGACATTTGCTTCTTCCATCCGGAGTTGGCTACAGCCACCGCCGATCACTTCATTTCGATCCCTTACACAGATTCTTGACATTGGCCAACCTCGTCTGGCACGCGTTCAGCAGCCGACATTTTTCTACGAGAACGCAGTCTGGCAGTGCAGTGCCTATCTGATTTATCGACAGATGACAGCAGAAGATACCAGTAGCCAACACCACAAACACATTCATCACGATTACAGGAATTATATATTCAAAGTGTAAAAAACGCTCAACTAAGCACATACCCCGTAGCCCCAGCAATACCAGGCATCGAGTCCTCTCCGTCCCCTTCGTCTCCCTTCTGCCCCCCCTTCCGCAAGCCCAAGGCGCCAGCGCCTTAATACAGCCCCCTGAGGCCCAACTCCCCATCACCGGCATACTCGTACCACGCGAAGTCCCGACCCGGCAGCCCTGCAGCCGCCACTTCCCGTTCCCGTTCCTCTCGACGTCTGCGATTTTGGCCGCGCTGAGGACCTGAACGCGGTCTGGATGCATGGCTTCGCTGTGGGGAAATTTGTTGCGGGGGACTGATTCGTAAGGTGTGTTTTGCTGCGGCTGCTCGGGCGGCGACCCATAGGGTTTCCAGCTCTTAGGCGAGTCTCTTTGGTGCAGGACCCCTCCGCCATGCCGGCCCCTGTGCTGCTGTTTTCCGTCTCACCATCTCCCTTCCCACCGTCCTCCCCCAGCTCTCTCACACACACAAACTCCATCCAAGCTCAAGCCCCAAACAGCCACATAGCCCTCCCCCAATACCCAGCCCAACAATCCCCTATCTCATCACCGTACATATCCCCCACCTCGTCACCATACCGCGGCCCATCCACATCCATACCCATACCAGAATTAAACACGGACCCCTTCACCCGCCGCAAGCGCCCCTTCCACTTCCACCCCCCTCCCCCACCTCCCTTCCAGCTCCCCAGCAGCCTCGTCCACGGCCCACCGACCGCAGCGAGTAACTTAGCTCAGTCACTCCTTCATCTCCTTCATCTCCTCCTTTCTCTCCGGTTCCTTGCGCTTGCGGTAGCCGTACATCAGTCTCAGCAAAGCACAAAGCGGGCGAGAAATCCGCTGTAAATGCGCCACTCTCTCCAGTGGGCGGGGGCAGCGTAATTGTAAGCGTCGAGGTTCTCACGCCGCCGATCCGAGATGACGTCCCGGTTTTCGAGAACAACGTCAACGCGTGTTTTCCGCCGGGAAATCCTTGGTGAGTAGTATCGCCGGAACGGGAACTGGAACTGGAGCTGGAAGAGAGCTGATGGAACTGGGGTTGTCGGCGGCGCATGGAAGGACGGGGTACCAGTAGTGTTCGCGCCCCTAGGAATAAGCCCGAGCGCGGCAGGATAGGTAGGGCCATTGCGGTGGGGGGCAACAAGACGAGACAAGACAGACAAGACTACGAGGACAATCAAGAATTGCAGGTAAGTAAGGAAAAGTTGATAAAGAACAGAAAACAGAATTTCGACCGAAGGCCCGGCCTGGCAAATAGATTGCGGATTCCAGTATCGCGTGGCTAAGACACTTTTCTTGGAAGACAAGTTTGTTGGTGCCTTGAGTTCCCTGTACGAAAATGAGGAAGTGCATCATCTATCTAGAACCAGCATCTTGGTTGGTGCGGATACTCTGATTCCGCTTTGGCGGCAGGCCTTGTATGGCTGGCTGACTGGCTGGCTGCTCGAGGTGGCTGGTTGGCTGGCTGGCAACATACGGGCAGACGGGCTATGCTTGGCTGGCAGGCAGTTCATGGAATAAAATCAAAACAGCCACCAAGTGAGCAACCCTACCAACACTCCTCAATTCCGCCTTATAAACATGCCTTGTGATAACGAGACCTGATGAATAGCTGAGTCAAGCAAATGCCATGATTATTATATTCCACTCCGTTTTCAACAGTCCATTCGACCGTATTTAAAGCAGTTTATGGCTTGTTGGTCATACTGGGTGCTCTGGTGCTCGTGTTGATATTAATCAGTGGGTGACCCGGCTGGCTGGCGGGCTGGGTAAGGAACGCACGAATTATCACGACACTTTATAAGTTTATAAGAAGCCCGCTGGCCTTCAAAGCCCCTCAGGCCAGCTACCTAGGTAGGCCATTCCCGTCAGCCCGTCTCTGCGGCTTGCGGCTTGCGGCAGAACTCATCTTCCCCCTTCTGGTGTACATCGGCCCGTAGTTCCCATACAAACTCAACTATATTTAGGCCGCTGGACCAACTGTCAACGTCCACTTGCTGCAAGTTTAGAACTCGGCAGTCATCAATAACTAGCAAAATGTAGTCGCCTCGGAACTGAACTGCCTGGCATAGGCATAGGCATAGGCATCCGTTGGTAAGGTAGGACGTACAAGAATCAGGGGTCGATCATGCCATGTGAAGACACCGGCAGGCAAGACCATTAACCCCCAACTCTACTGGAGTACATGAGCCTAGGTATACATACTAGACCTGTACTGCAGGCTCGAACCATACCTCCGAGGATATACAGACGGTCTTTCTTCACTTACGTCCACAACAGAGCTCCTACCCATCACCCATCATCCTCAACCCCCTCGACCGCCCTCACAGCATACCCCTCCACAAACCCGTCCGGGTCGCAAGTGCGGCTAAGCTCGATGCCATTCGCATGGACCCAGCCACGCACAGCGGCTTTGTCGACGCGGACCCTCGTAGTCGTAGTCGCCTCCTGCGATTTCCCTTCTTTTTCCTTTTCTGCCGCCTTCTCCTTGTCGTCCTTGCTGCTCTCGGCGTCATCGTTCATCATCGGGGTATCATCATCGTCATCGTCCTCCGTACGCGCTTTTTTCAATATCTGCACCACTTCGACTCCCTTCAGTTCCGGAGGGACCTCCTCCACGACGCCCATCTCGCGGAGCACAGAGAGGCAGTCATCAGGCGCGATCCAGGTATCGCGGGAGCAGCGGTCGACGTCGACGAGAGCGACATGCTGATCCTTCCTCCCTCCTTTTTCCTTTCCCATCCCACCCCCTACTCCAGCACCCACAGCCCTCACCGTACACAAGAAATCCAGATTCAGACCCAGCAGCCAGCGGGCGATCTCGCCGGCCCAGAAGCGCCTGTAACCCTTCCTACCAAGCTCTGAGATGGGCTTCTCGGGCCCGCCGAGGATGCCCTCACGGCGCGAGATGGCGTAGGACACCCCCATCAGCAAGGCGCCGAGGCCCTTGCGCTGCCAGGGTGGGAACACGAGAATGCAGGCGAGGTTGTTGTTGTCCCAGGACATCTTCTCCTTGGAGAAGAAGCCGACGACGCGTAGTCTGCGTACAGGGGATGATGCTGTGGAGGTGGAGGTCTGTGTGGAAGTATCTGGTCTGTCTTGCCGCTGCTGGGTGAGGTCAGGCGGCGAATTATGCGGTGTATGCGTTTCCGGTTCGGTGGGTAGATCGGGAGGCGTGTAGACGAGTAGGAAGTAGTTGAATCCCGTAACGTCGAAGAAGACGGACTTGTTGTCCAGAAACAACTTGGCGAACAGCGAGAGGTTCTGGCAGAATAACTGTTTCTGAATTAGTCTCAAGTATGCCAGAATCAACGACTGACGTGGTCTTACCATATCCTTCTCCCCATCGACCTCCCAGACACTCCATTCGCCGTGATCACTCACGACCGGCTCGGATCCATGCGCACCACCATCGCCTCTCCTCTTTCCCTTGCTTCTCCCGTCTCCACCAGAAGCCCCGGGCACTTTCACGCCCCTCAGCCCACGGGGATGCGTATACACCTTCCGTCCCGGCATCTCAAACGTCCTCTCGCAGCATCGTACATGTTCCCACCACGACACCAGCTCCTTCGAGTACTTGAAGCAACACGGACACACATACAAGCGGTCCAACATGGGCACGCCCGAGGTCTTCCCACCGCCTATTTTCGTCATACCATGGTGCCCAACACCACTGTTTTCTTTCGAACCCGCGCCCGAAGCTGTTGTCGCATTCCCTGACAGGTCGCCTAGCACCTCCTTCCCATAATACGAAGGATACCACGCGCGGAAGCAGATATCGCCCAACACGACCTTATCGATGTTGCGATCGGACCACGGCGTGGGAGGAGGCAGGGGCTTGGGGCCCGGGGAGGGGCGACGGGGTGTCTTGGGTGTCTGGGTTTGTGTCTTCGTCTTCGACACCGCTCGTATTGGGGCTGTCTGGGCAAGGCTCTCCGCATGTATCGTCCTCGAAGCATGCGGTAACCGCTGAGAAGGGCCAGACAAGCGCAAATTCCCTTGCAGTGGTGAAGACTGTAGCGCGTGGTGCGTCCGAGCTCGAGGTTGCGCTTCCAGCGTCAAGTTGCGAACGCCCTCAACGGGATGTTTTGGGGAAGACGCAGTCGTGTGTATACGTATATCCCGCGGCGGCGACGGCGAGGTCGGTGGTCGGACAACGATGTTCGAGTCCTCCTTAACAGCTCCTTTGTCCTTGTACTTCTCCCTCGTAGTCCTCGTCTGTCGCGGTAGCGGTGGATTGGCGACATTAATAGACCTCGGCGCGACACCACGCACCGCTTCTAGCTCCGCAGGCGCCTCAATCACATCACCAGTCTTCTCAACCGTTTTGGCGCGTAACCTCCCACTTCTCAGCCCGTGTTTCGGCGCGAGACCTGTGCCCGAGGGAGGCGGCGCATCTGAGGATGAGGGGTGCTGTCTCGTCGCGCGGCGTGCGGGCGGGGGTGCGGTCGTCGGTTCGGTGGCCGCGACATGATCGTGCGGTCTCTTGCGCTTCTGCGGTGCCATAATTCCGTGCCGTTATCCTACAGATTGAGGACCTCAATCCTTTCTTTGCCCGTCGTCCTGTGCTTCGAACGCAAGACAGCTCGGGAAAGTGATGTTGGCGGTGGCTGTTCGTAGTGAGGTTGAATGTGCTTACGTAACAGACACTCTCCGGTAGACCTGGGTTTTGACACGTGACACCCCGAGGAGTAACCAGTCCCGCTTTCCCTGATCGTATCGTCCTTTGCTCACACGATCTTGATGTACGGATTGTTATGCGAAGTGTCAATTTAGCCGCCGTATCATCAAGTACTTGAACCGTAATGGAGTCGAAGTAGTATTTCATGGAGGCATAGCTGGAAGATAATCACATTACGAATGTGGGTGACAATGGCTCTGAAGTAGTGCGTAATTATAATAACACTACCAGCACGTGTCATTGCGTAAAGGGGGACCAGCAACCGGCATAGCGTCGGGCAAGTATTGAAGTTGCCAAATCACCATACCATCTGCCCAGTTTCCCAACTGAATCTCTACCGTATCTGGTACAAGGGGGCCGCGCCCAGTGAATTGTTTATGCTAGCTGCGCCGAAGAAGGCAGCTTGACTTCCAGTCCTTTCTTATCAACCTACAGCGTGCCCCGAATGCAGCATCCAGCCTGCGCCGTGCGTTCCGACTGTCATTGTAGACCAGAAGCAGGGGAAAAGGCAACGCCGTAATGAGACCACCCATTTCAGAATACACGGGGTTCCCATACTTTACATGCCCTCGAAGTCCCCACCGAGGTCGTCCTCGTCGAGGTCGCCGTCTTGTATTTCCTTGGCCATCTCTCTCTCGCGCTCGCGTGCCTCCTGTGCGTTCTTGAGTTCCAGGCGGTGCTGGTTCATGGGAAAGCGCATAGCCTTTAGACACAGCTCAGTTAGTACAGGTCTCTGGTAAGCGTGACAAGCAAGATAGGGGTATATAGCTCACCTTAACACTCTCGTCATGCAGAGCGAGGCAAGCTCGGATACGGTCATGGAAAGCCTCGCCCGGTTCACGGGTGGCGTAGACGTCTCCAACCTCCTTGCTCTTCATGAAACCATGCTCTCGGTCCAGCGTCGCCTCAATTACTCCATCCCTGATGGCCTTTGCCACGATGTACTCGGCGCTCTCCTCGCTGCCAAGATGTAATCGGATGCAAATGTCCCGAAGAGAGATTCGGCTGTAGCTCAGGCTCATCATACGAATGCCGGTCTTGATGACGTTTTGGCGGAGGCGTAGAATGAGGGAATATGTGCCATCGCGGCGGAAGGTGCTGGCGTGGTCGGCAATGGTCGTCTCGAAGTCCTCCAGGTTACCCACACGAACGGCCTGTACGAGCAAGAAGTAAGGGTGCAGAGCTTCCTCCATGTCGTTAGCCCGGAAGGTGGCGCGCTCGGGAATATCACCCATCAACAGCTCAACCACAAGCAGGAACTTGGTCGCGGATCGCGCAAACCCAAGGGCGCATACACTCGCGGGCGCCTTCCTCGTAGCCGCAGTCAAGTGGTCCTGTGCTTCCGTGTAACGAAGCTGGATCGCCCGAATGCGACCCATGTAGTACAGGAACCGCGCAACCAGAGTATTGGCCGCATTCTCGGGAAACTGCGTGTGGGTGATGAGAAGATCGGCCTGGGAAATGTGCGAGGTCAAGAGGTAGTTCCGTAGCAGGAGAACGATGACGGTTGCTTGAATGTCTGTATCTTTGCGCAAGACGGCAGTTCGCAGAGCTGTCAGCAGGATAGGTCGGAGACCAACGATAGGCGACTGGGGAGACGGAGGCAGCGGGGCCAGTTGCTCGCAAAACAGAGAAAAGTAGTAGTATGCCTTGGCAGAAAGCGAGTCCAGTGTCCGTCGGTTCAGGGAGTGGATTCGATCAGTCAGGTATTTCGAAAAGTTGGAGCCAACTTCAAACTGCTTCGAATCGAACAAGTAGACCTGGACTAGGATGCTCAGGAACAGGTCGACCTCGGGAATGACCTCTTTGGTTTCCTTCTTGTTGCCGTTCTTTGAGGCAGCCTTCGGGTCACTATCGATCTCCATCTCGGCGGCGCCCGACTGGCTCCCAAGAGGCACGTCTCCCTTTCCAATAGCCTGCAGAAGTGACTTGGCAACGCTCGCAGATGTGCTGGAGGGGGAGTAAGTCTCAGATATGACCTGGGCTAGTATGTCTGGGGTGAGGCGCTTGCGAAGGGAAGAGATCGATCGTAGAGCTCGTAGAGAGAATCTGGAATCGAAGAGGGCTACGGCGCGGTCGAGCAACGCGAAATTGCTTTTGATATCTGTCACATCATAAACCGATTAGCTGTTTGACACTCCAGAACGGCCTTGAAATGGCATCAGCTTACCCGCGATGGTCTGGGTGACGGGGTCGACCTTGACCTCAAAATCCTCGACCTTATCGGAATCATCCATGGCCACATCTCCCTCGGCATCGGCGGGCGGCGGTTGCGAAGATTGCTTTGTGTTCTTAGGGGGGGGGACAACGACAGTCATGTCCTCGCCTTCCTTGCCGGCCTTCTTGCCCTTGCCCTTCATCGAAGATTTCTCGTCGGTCATGTCGACATCTTGGTTGTTGCGGATCCCATTCTCAACAGGCTCCTTTCCTGGTGTTTTGCCCGGCATATCTGCGGATGGGGTACGGGGTCGAGAAAATGGCGTAGTTCGGAGAGTAATCGATGTCCGAATGAATCGATGCCCGGTGTGGTGGTGTTGGCCGGGACGGTGGGTGGATGTGATGTTGATGAGGCGACTTCGCGAGGCGCGCTCCGTTGAGCCTTGTTTGGTTGGGATGGTCGCTTCGGGCGTGCGCAAATACCGAATGGGACGAAACGTCTAGAATACAACAAGGACGAAAGCAGAAGTGCGTCGCAGTGGATGCACACACGATGCAATAGAAGAAAAGTTGTTCGCCGTTGGGGTGATGGGGTGATGGGTCTTGGTGTGATTAGTGAGATGATGGAAAGTGGAAGTGGAAGAGTCGACGAGCAGTGACGGATGTCGTTTGTCCAGGTGATGCAGCAAAGCAGCTGGATAGGTAGCAGTGGAAGCTGGAGGTAAAAGCCCGGAACGGACTGCTGCTCTGACTGCTACTGTGGATCACCTGCTGGTGCACCTACTGGCCGCCTAGAGCCCCCTGTAGGGTTGATGAAGTGTGCTGAAGTGCGCTCTGCTGTCCCGAGTCAAGTTGCCCTAGCGGAAGAGGCCTGCAGCCAAGGAGGTACACAGATCGGTACCTGGGCGGACCGTGACGATGAGGCGACCGGGTCCGTACCTGCTGGGGTCGAGCTTTGTAGCGTTATGTTATCTCCTGCACCGGGCACAGGCTCAACATTGAAGCTATTATGGGTCCTGGTGACGTTGGTCAATCGCTGCCTGTCCGCGTTGCCTTCGTCGTCTTCTCGAGGATTACATAAGGCAACAAATGTCATTGATACCTCAGGCAGAGATGACATGTCACGATAATGCAGGACCGTCTCGACGGAACCCATTACCTACCTATCCCCTTGGGATCGGAAGGTGTCCATGGCTCGTGCTCATTCTCTAGAGCCTATCAGATGTCAGGCCAAGGCCGCTCCCTGCAGTTAATTTCGGCGTAATCGTTAGGCCGCAATATACCGTATATAAGTCCGAAAAAAATCCATTAAACTTGCATTATATACTTTATTGTCACACTTACACACTTTAAGAAAAGGTTGATTAATATTACAAATAATAAACAACTTTTTTAAATAGTATTTTTTATTTTTTACGTACATGTATATTTCTTTTTAACCTTTTTATACTTTTTTAATTTTATAACACTCTTTTCAACCCTTTTACGCCTTTATACCGTAATAAATGAACGATACGGTTTATTTTAAAAGTTTCTTATATATATAAAAAGACACCTTACAATTTATATAACTATATAAAACCTTATAAATACTGCTACGTTTTTATGTATTTTTATGAAAAATCTTAATATGAGATTCTAGAAGGGTCACAAGCCTTAGTGGTGTGAGCGGTCGCTGCAAATGTTGTTGTCATTCTCAAGTATGCTTAGCAGGGGAAATCTACAGCTAAATACCATACTGCACCATGCTAGGGTGGATCCACTGTTCCCCTCACAGCCCTCTAATGGGTACTGCACCTAAGGGCACCATATCTGGGATCTAACATCTGACACTTAATAATATATTCAAAAAGTTGAAATCATGTTATATAAGTTTCACAAAGTATTAGACCTTATATATAATTTAATATTAATCTATCTTTTTAAAGAATATCCGTAAATATAATATCATGAATATTATTAACTAGTTATTTGTAAGTATTAACGACTCAAAATCGCCTAAAATATTATTTATTAAGCTTTTAAAAAAACCGTTATAGTTACTTCGAAATATATTACGCTTAGTTAGTTTTAATCGTAACAAATTAATTCTTATTATATAATAAAATAATTAATGAATATATTGTTTTCATAATTACTAAAAAATATAAAATATAATATAATATAAACGTTAATACAAAGATATTATAATATAAAGATTATTAACGTTTTCGCTTAGACCGATTTATGTTAAATAATCTATTTATATATAACTAATTACTAATTTAAATACTCTCAATATTTATCTTATAACCGTTAATTTATTAAAATAATAATAGCTTTCCTTCGTAAATATTTAAATAATTATCGAAACTTTCATACAATTTTAACCTTAATCAAAAACTTTCCCGTCTTTTTTTGGTAAAAATTCAAAAATCTCTTTATGTTGGATCCATGCGATTCCAACCTTCAAACCAACTATACCAGATCCACATGTATGATTAGATAAGAGATTAAATACCGGATTGTGAAGACACTTATCCAGACCTATAAGTCTAGCTAGACCTCCCAATTCAAACTATCAGCAACATTATGACTTTGACCCATACTCGAGTATTATGATTGATCGGCCAAGCCTGTTCCAATACTTTACTTATTATATATAATCGGTAATATTAAGACGATATTATTATTCAAAACGGAAATTATATAACTTTACTTTTTTTTTTTATATAACGAGTATAAATCTTTTTAGAATAGTTAACACGCTACGTTTTCTTTATAGTTTTTAAAGCTTTTAAAGCATAAATTATGTTTTAATATATAAGTAGTTTTTATTATTATAATATTAATTGATTAAAAGTATTAAAAATATTAATAATAATCAAAAGATATTTATAACGTTATAATAAAACTAATTAAAAAAAGCGGTAATCGTTTAATCAAACTTATAATAACTACTTATATGTTACGAACCAACAAATACCATAGCCTGTTAGAGGACCATGCGGAGTACACCAAGAACCAATAGAATCAGAAGCCAGGAACAGAACAATGGGTATTACGGATTACATAACAAAGGTCATGTGACGGACCACTGGATCATGGAGTGAGCCAGTGAGCATCACTCTGGGACAAGGTGATTCTATTCCATCAGTGAGGGAGAGATTGGATATATAGAGACGGTCATTTCCCAGCTAGATAGATAGACAGTCTCTATTCCAGTGATCAATCTAAGCATCTTAGCCAACCCTAAGGTGAGAGAAATATCCTGACGACTCGACTATTCAGTGATCCCCTAGATCAGACCAAGCACCAGCATCTGAGTGTCTTCTAGTTGATAGAAGCCTCTATTGTCTTTTGTGTTAACTTACCTCAGAACATAAACCCTACAGAACCTTTTAGCCTTATAGGTTAGACGGCTTGTCACATTATATAATAACTGTTTTCTAACTATATAACGAGGTAACTTTAAATAAATAACATTCACGCGTATATTAAATTTTCGAAATAAAAAAGCTCGCTATTAACAACATTTAAGCCTTCTATTTTAATTTAATATGTTTATTCCTTATTTTAATATTAAAATTATAAGATTTGACAAATTTAATTATCGCTTTATTAATTAATAAAACCAAACTAAATATTATTTATATACAAAGATTTACTATTAAAATATGATCGTTTTATAAATAAATCTTATTAAATACGCTTTTTAAAATATATATGGAAAAGATCGGTTCAGTGGTTCAGGTCATCATGTTGCTTACATTCTGGGTACGGATCTACCCTTGGGTCTTGGGACCTGTTCAGGTACTAAATACACATACCAACTTCAAAGCAATGCCCAGCCTTTGATCCGGAGGGTAAAGATCCCTTGTCCCAGATACACTAAAGCTCAAAGCCCGCTTCTAGGCTGTTCCTTCCTTTCAGTGCTGCTGTCAGCCTTGTCAGCCTTGTCACCCCTAGAAGCGTGCTACAGCACACCTGTGAGCCACCCGACTGCTTACAATATACACGTAATTAAAAATCTTAATAATAGAATGTCGGATGTGAGTGGCTCTGAGTGTTAGCTCAAGGTGGTCCGTGCACTAGAATAGGGGGTTGGTTGCCCCACCGCTCCGTCGCTACGCTAGATAGACGCGCCGCACCAGTATTTAGCTGTAAATACGTTCGTACAAGATTAATACAAAACAAGCAACCAAGCAAGCTACATACACACAAAACCACTGCTCTTTGAGTTCTTAAAAAAATTGAATTTCTTTTTTAAAATATAACACAAATAAAAACTATATCATAAAAAGTTTATTAATTTTTTTTTTAGTAATGTTAACTATAATAAGCAGGGTTGACTTTTATATATATATAGATATTATAAAAAACGCGTAAATTACAACTTTATTAATCTTTTATATATAACTGTTTTAAAATTAAAGCTTTAAAACATCTTTAAGGCTTTATATATATTTATTATACCATTAATGAATTTAAATAATCTACTTCTAAACGAGAAAAAAAAAATTCTAATCAGATTTAAAAGCAGCGATTTAATTGGCCTTTATTATAATACTTATAGGAATGATTTTAGAAAGGTACAAATTAATAGCAAAAAAAGGTATAATTTACCTTAATTTGTTTTGAAGTTATACAATAAGATTTAAAAATACTTTTACTTATATAGCTTAAAGTTAATATTTATATTACTTAAATAAAATTTGTAATATTTTTATTATAATATTTTTGTTTACAATTAGTTTTTATAATGTCGGTAAAAAGGTTAGAAAAAACTCGTTACTTATTTCGTCCTTATTAAACTTCTTAAAATCGTAGAAAAGCTCGTTATTTATTTCAAAAAATGTTAAAAATGGTTTTTTTAAAGTGTGAGAATTTAGGGAGCAGTGGTTTTGGGTATATGTAGCTTACTTAGTTGCTTGTTTTGTATCAATCTCATACGAACGTATTTACAGCTAAATACTGGTGCGGCGCGTCTATCTAGCGTAGCGACGGAGCGGTGGGGCAACCAACCCCTTATCCTAGTGCACGGACCACCTTGAGCCAACATTCAAAGCCACACACATCCGACAAAAAGTATTAAAGTCGCTTAGCTCGTTTTGAACTATAAAAAACACGTTAATTAATATTAAGAACGGTAATAATAACCTTATAAGGCTTATAAAATAATTTCGTTATTTTTAATAACTTTAAATACCTTAATTTATCTTATTTCAAATAATAGGACGTCTAGTAAGATAATACCGGAAATAAGTAAGTTTCGTTAATTTAACCCGGTATTAATACTTTTCACCCGGCGTTATTATTATAAATATTTATTCAAATACCTCCCATAGGTATGTGCGCTTAAAAAAACAAGAAAAAACACGTTTAAAATATAGGTCTGGTACATAGCTAAAATAAAAAAAGCCCCGTGTAGCGAAATTATACGACGCGGGTGGGTGGAGTGCTAGCACGGGCCATGGGCACCTTCCGATCCCAAGGGGATAAGGTATCCAGGATTCTACCGACCTCCTTGAATAGACTGTATGAAATCTGAGTATATATTACGCGCATCATCATAGTTTTTTCCATGAGATTGCAATGTCTGCATCGAAACGGCCGAATGTCACATGTCACCCAGCAACGCAAATATTTTATGATCATTTTATTATCTGCCCTCGTCTTGTCTGCAATATGGTATCTCTGAGGAACAAAGCCGGGCCTCCTGACCTGAATGCCGAGCCAGTCCACCGAGAATTTGTTCGTAAGGGGAAAGATGCCTGCCTAGCCAGGCCGCAGCGCAACGTGGAACCGTGTCGCAGAGAAGACCGATACCGGGTCGCAGAAAGAACCGAATACCGTGTCGCAGAGAACTCAGAAGACCGAATACCGTGTCGCAGAGAACTCAGAAGACCGAATACCGTGACCGTTGAACGCCTGCCAGTCCACCGTAAACTCAATGCATGGGGCCAGATACTGCAGTAGGAAGGACACGATGTCGGTTTGTCAGTTGGTGAAGCAGAGGTCTGTCAAGTCCTTTTGCTTCACTTGTGATCGACATCCATTTTGTCCTGCACCAGCTCCGCACGCTTCGCACCCGCATTCGCAGCTGCGTCTGCACCAGAAACACCATCATCGCCAACTGTGCCTCCACCCGCGGTCGCGCCTGCCGTACCGGCTGGCATTCGGGGAGCGGCGTTAGCAGCCGATGATCTGCGTCGCTTCGCGTTGCCTTTGGCAGCCTTGGCGGGGGGACGATTGTCCTACTTGTCGTCCTTACCCGACGTGACCTTAGCCGCCTGTATAGCCGACATCTTGGCGATCCAGTTGTTAGACGGTTGGACCTTGCGGACGGTTCGTAGTTCGTCGGTGGTGTAGCCGGGGATACGGATGTTGTAGACACGCTCCAAAACAAGCTGGATATCGCGAATTTCCAGCACCTTGCTGCCACGTTCCTTCGCCAGCCGGCAAGCAGTGTGCATGACGTTATCAACGAAGTTATCCGCAACGTTGAGCACGGACTGGTGCAGGATGCGTTAGCAAAGTAAATCTCGAAAGGAATAGAATGGTGAATTCGAAAAGAAATTAGCGCAGAGAACAAGGCCTCTGAATCATGTGAATAATCTTACCTCTTCAACATCAGGCGTCAGGTAGTTGGCATCAGCACCAGGTGATGCGCCTCCGCAAACCTGACGAACAAGCTCGTCCAGTTTCTTCTTGGATAGGACATGGTCGCCCTCAGCGTCGAATTGGGGGACCGGCATCTTCGCAATGACGGGTTGGTTGATGACACCTCCAGCAGCGTTACCGCCTCCGTAAGTCGGGCGACCAGGGGTGTTACCGCCACCGACCGTGACAGGCGTGGGGATAGCCGTCGACTTCTCGGGAAGACTTTTCGGGATAGGCATCTTCTGCGTCAGAGTAGAAGTGTTCGGCTGTGGATGCGCGTGAGTGTGACCAGGTTGTGACGAGGATGATGCGTTGCCCATCAAACCACCTGATCCAGGAGTTGTTGTGACACCACTAGCTGACGCGCTCGGTTGTCCAGTGACGTTGGTAGATGAGTTGGCACGGTTGACAGCAGCAGCGTGACTCAGTGGGCGAACCTCTCGAACCTGCGAGCCAGGTGCCTGTTGCGTAGCAGACTGCGGAGTCTGGACGCGCGCTGATGCCTGTGTGGGAGTTCCTGCTGAGGGCATGTTTGCGCTCGAGGCAGCTGCAAGGGCCGTATTGACAGGAGGAGGCGGATGTTGCATGTTGTGGGTGCCAGGCTCGATTTTGACCTGTGGTTGCGGAGCAGGAGCGGGATGGGGCTGGTGTTGCCCGGGTGCAGTCGTCGAAGGCGTGGCCGGGGTCGCGGGTGTCTGGGGAGGAGGTTGCTGTTGCCCCGTGGACACGGGTCTATTACCAGCAGCAAGCTGCTGGCTTTTGGCCGCATTGATCGCTGCACTCACTGACGCGGTCGCAGCCTGCATTGGATGACTAGAAGCAGAGGCTCCTGAGTTTTGCGGCTGCGGCTGAGCTTGAGATGGCTGAGCAGCCCCGTGGTGCTGTCCCTGCCCACCGGCAGTCTGGCTCGCCCCCTGCAGGACCTGAATCTGGCTGCGGGTGCGGTTCACAAATAATTCTGCCTCTTTATACATCTTCTGGTCCGCCGCAGACTGGTTCTGAAATTTCTGCTTCTCCTCCGCTGACATCGGAGGGCCCTTTTCGCTGCGCTCCTTGAACATGACACCGAGCCTAGCCATACGGTGTTTATAAGCTTCCATGGACGCCAGGGCTCGCACGAATTTCTGCTTGTGTTCATTCAGCCATTTCGGCCCTTGCTCCGGCGGTATGTTAGGTGGCACCAGCGCAAGGCTCCATGGCATCTTGTTGACGTGCTCGATGATCTGCGGCGTCGGTCCTTGCTGCATCGGACGGGCAGTCGCAGGCGCATTCGAGACCGCAGGGCTAGCGCCCCCAGCGTTGTGTCCAGGAGTTGGGACCTGTGGTCTGTTCGCTGCCATCATCGGCTTCGGTGCCGCTGCTGGACCGGCTTGGGGTTGTCCTCCCGGCATAGACGGCGGCTGCCCACCTGGTTGACCTGGTTGACCTTGTTGGCCAGGTTGGCCCGGCGCTGCTGACAGGCCTCGAGCTTGGAGTGATCTGATTTTGTGCATGACCATACGCGAGAACTCCTCCACTTTGGTCTTCGCCTCCTGGTGTTCATCAGTGTCGGGTGCGTTCTGGTCCATCCTTGCCCACAGCTGGCGCAACCCGTGTTCGTACTTTTGCTTCTCTTGCGGGGTCAGATAGCTTATGTTTCGCATCTGTTCCGGCTTCAAGAGGGGCGGCGGCGGGCCTGACTGCCCTTGGGGAGGTTGGCTTTGCGATGGTTGATTCATCGTGGGCAGACTCCGGAGATTCGTAGATTGTTGGCTGTAGAATCGGAGGTGCGTGGTGAGCTAGTTCGCAGTAGATTCTGTTGGGAGTGGTGGCTACCAAGGTAGATCGAGAGTGATTGCCTAGGTAGATCGAGAGTGATGAGGACCGATAGAAAATGGGAGGAGGTCGGGCAGAGTTCAGCCAGTCCGGGAGGAAGAGAAGAAGGACGGGCAGTCACAATACCACTAGGAAGCCCCGACAATGCTGCCTTGCGGTGTCTCCCCAACTGCTGAAGGGGTAACGGGAAGCTTTGGACAAGAGCAGGCGGCACACATGTGACACCACCTTCGGGACGAGAGAGGTGAATGTGGTTAAAAGTTGTGGCGTCATAAGTCTGTCCAGTCCGTGCCCGGATATCTCAAGTTGTGGCGTAACTCAAAAACACCGCCACAACCACCAGTTCATCACCTTGAATGGCGGGGTCAAGATGGACCAATTCTCAACTCTCCTATTCCACTGTCCCTGTCCCGGTCCCTAATCTAGAGAAGTATCAGGTCACAGCTCAGTGTTTGCCCCTTAGTTTCTACCACATATCAGAAGCCTGGCTTGGTATCATGGCTTCTCTGAGGCTTTGGCCAAACATCATGTAAGCCGCTGAAACCACCGTTAGTTCAGAGCTCCCAGGTCCTGGTTCAAGCAGTTACGGATATTACAAGCGCATAAGATCACTGGGTAGCTGGCTTATTAACGTTGCAGCAAAGTGTGATTGACATGGGTCAAAGTGTTAGAGGGCCCCAGCCATCTAATATCAGATTAGTCGTGAAGAACAGCAGTAGTTGTGGTGACCAGGTGATAGTTCCTGGTGGCATGTTACAGAGAAATAGCCCGAAAATGTAAGTAAGTAGCCCATGAACCCCATTTATATAATAGACCCATCCACGATGTATGAGATTCCACCGCTCAGGTGCTGCTATCAGAGCAAGTCATCCTCGTCATCATCATCGTCGCCATCATTCGCCATCATCGTCATCATCATCATCATCATCATCATCATCATCATCATCATCATCATCCAGTACTACTTCCCAGCTGTGGAACCCAGATCTAAGGTATCTCGAAACGAAGACAAAGGGAATAAGGAGAAGTAAAACAGTCCATAATGCACAATCCCACCAAGGTGCTGGCAAGATAAGCATATCCTTCGCTAACAACCTGGCGGCCCTGTACATAGCCTATCCTCTATGCAAGCCTTCCAGGCACACATGAAAGGCCTAAGCCTCTGGTGGCCCTCCTATATCCGCTCCACAGTGACCGGAAAATGCAATCTTCCTTCTCAATGATACGCCCATCGCTATGCCGGAAGTCCATGAGTCTACCGAGGAAATGTGATCAAATTTAGCCGTGGCCTCGGGAGATCGTACGGTCGTCGATCACATCTTGGGCACATGCTCATGGCGAAGGCTGTCGAAAACCCATGTATCACCCCCGTCGCCAACTCATTCGGAGTCAACCTCCATCAAAGTGTAGTACGGTAACTCTCTGGCAAACAACTCGGCATCGTCCAATATGACCTCATCCTCGTCGCTGACCGGCTCCTTGAGCTCCTCAATCGGTTCCGGGAGAGGGCCGGAAAGCTGGATGCTGCTGCGGTCGCCGACCTTCCGACGCATACGCCGCGTCGATCCCGCCTCGCTGCCTTCGCAGTACGGGAGCAGATCCTCCTTATCGGAGTCGCTGCCTCGCTCGCTCACCGTGCGCTTGCCGATACTGCCGGATTGCATGCGCCGCACGCGACGTTGCTTGCGGGCATCGCGCAAGCTCTTCTCGAACTCCTCGCCAACAGACTCTTCGTCCGAATGCTCGAACGGGTTGAAGTTTTCTATGCCTGTCATGACAGCCGCATCCACCTCCGGAGGTGGCCGGGACCTTGACCGACTACGGTCCGAATCGGGATACTCGAATCCGTAGGGCCGGAGGACGTTCAAATGACCAGCATCGTCGCTGTCGAGCGAACAGTCACTGAGCTCCTCGATCGCAAAAGTGGCATGCTCAACCCGGATAGTGGCCGTGGCCGGGGCTGCAGCTGCAGCTGCAGCAAACTGTGCGCCTATCCGCTTGCGGAGCTCTGGTATGGCGGATGGTGGTGAGGGCGGTGGACTTGCAGACGACTCCGTTTCTTCGTCGCTCGAGTGCGACGAGCGAGGGGAAATCTCTTCAGGACGAGGCCCACGACTGTAGCTGAAGTGCGTTCCGCCTATGGGTCGGATATTGGCTCGTTGTCCATTTCCAGACAGCGCCTTCGCATAAGTCAGTGGGCGTCCACTGGAATCCAGCCTGCGATTGAACGCGGGCGGTGTTGTGGTGGGTGTCTCTGGTGTCTCTGGCGGTGAAGAAGGCCCGGCTGCTGCAGGGACAACATTCAGAGCGGGTGTATGGGGCCGCATCCTGTCAGCTTCCCTGGATGGGAGATTGCTCCCGCTCGAGCGACAAAGTCCCGTCGCTGGCGTGATCTTATCGCGATCCAACAGGTCTGACAATGTGGGGTAGAGAATCGCGGGGGAGCTGAGAAAGAAGGTCGGATACGAGGCGGATAATTAAGCGAGTCAAGGTATCAATACCCAGAGCAAGAACCTCCAACGTGAAGAAGTCAAGAAGTTCCGGTAACTGGTCATGATAATTTGCTGTAGTGTTTGGAAAGTCGGGGCCGGACGCCGCTGTGGTACCTGCGCACGGAGATGTGGGATCGAAGAGGTCTCGCGGCCGTAGATATGGTATGAGTCCGGTATGGTGGCGGTCGACCCGGAAGACCGAGATCAGCGTCGAGTGCTAACAAATAGTATGTGCTAGTAGGCGCCGAAAGGGACTTATGCAGTCGTGATGGCGAAGTAACACTTCAGAGAGACGTGGAGTCTCTGAATGGGCTCGCTTGGGAGTGTTGCTCGTGTTGCGCGAAGTCGTGTATTTAATAGCTCTTGAGTATTTTGGCACTGAGATGAAAGGGGGAAACAAAGCTAGAAGAATGCGCTGGCGGCACGTTTCAAGCGGAAGTTTCAATGGGGGCAAGACGAGAGACACGGGCCGTTCAAATGTTCCTGCTGTCCGAGCTTGTTTATTATGAGAGTTATTCTCATGCAAGTGGAAAAGTCCAGGGGAGTGAACTGAATTCAGGGCGGGCCGAGCCAAAAAAAAATGTTATATTGTCGGACAAATATATAGTCGGGTCTTGAGTGGTGAGGATACATAAAGTAGCCCTCGGTATTGACCCAGCTGCCAGAGCTGAAGATGACTGTGTGTAAAGGGCGAAGGGGGAGACGGGCCTAGCCTGTCTCGTCTATCAGCCTATGTCGGAGGATTTCGCACTCGCGCAGGCTTGGGCAGCAATGCTCCCAGATTTCCCAGGACTCCCCGGCTACCGCATGTTGAAATTTTCATTGAGCCATGTCGCGACGGTGCGGGCGGTGGTGCTCACCGGACGGCATGAGGCATATAAAACACGGCGGGATGGGTGATGACTCTTCAGAGACACGACGGGATGTCGTGGGAGGATGTCAGAAATTGGTGGTATGAGTTGTCAGTCTGCAGGCCTCTTATTATCCTCTGGCTTGGGACACTACGGGCACATGGGACAGGATTCGCTCGCAAGGCTAGTTGCGTGAAGGGGCTTTCCAGGGCTGGCAGCAGCTGGACGTATCAGAGCGAAACAGCCAGAAGTGCAGAGCCGTGAGTGGGAAGTTGAAGAAAGAGAGCAGGGACCCGGCAGCAACAATCATGCCCAACAGTCCAATCGTTGATGGATCTGAGGCATTTGTGCTGCAGAGAGGAGAGAAGGGTAAAAGCAATGACGGGGGTGGACGGATGTACAGTGGTGGAGAGGCACATGAGGCACCGCTTGGCTGCGGTCAGACACTGATGAGGTCAGGGGGCAAGACTCAAGACTCAAGACTCAAGACTCCAGTCTCCGATGACATTGACAATTGCACAATGGTGACTGGTGACTGGTGACTGGTGCTGATAATGCCAATGTGCATGTCCTGAGCCATGTCCATGTCCTGAACCTTGTCCATGTCCATGTCCAGGTGACGGGAGGGTGCATCCATGCGTGGCCATTGTGTTCTTCCTTTTTCCTTTTTCCACAACGCAATTTGGCAATCTGACGCGGCTGTTGGAACGTCTCTTAAGTGATACTGCACAGCTCGTGACTGTAGCTTCGACCTGCCTACTTGGGCAAGGCAGCGCCGACGAGACGGGACGCATTGAAGAGATCTGCGCCAGATCTTTCGCCCGGCTGCTATGGGAGTCACGAAGGTCAAGTTGCATTGATGACATCTCGGGTAAAGATGGAAGAAATATGCCATGTGGATTGCAATATCCCTGGTCATGATATGATCAATATTCTTTCGGCTTGCAGGTTGCAGAGTGCAGGCTGCAGGCTGCAGGCTGCCGGCTGACGCTACTTGGGGGTCGAGTGTGATGTTCGTTGGTCGATAAGGGCGAGTTGGTGGTGATGGTGATATCCATCAAGATTCAGGTGACCTCCCAGCTGTGCCAGATTCCAATGACGTGCAGCCCTAGAGTCCGTCGATAGCGCGCCGGGTCCTCGGTGTTTTGGGGTGTTTTGGGGTGCAGTTTATCTCTCAAAAAGCAGACCGTGCTTCTCGCGTAGTAAGGCCCGCACGTGAGAATTAGTCCGTGCGGAGACGCGAAAACGAACGCTGCGCAACAGGATGGGGCAATAACGGTCTGAGCTTTGCTGAGGTAAGGTGCAGTTGGGGCTAGGCATCGGGAATTTGGGAGGCGCCTACGCCACATCGCGGGGTGTGATGGGGCTTGAGTGCTGCCGCGCCTTAGCAACGATATTGACGCGTAGAGGTGCGTCCTTCTGTTCATTCCGCATCGCCCACGACACCACATATGCATCGCCAGCTCGGAAGTGTCCAGAGTCTGTTCAGTACGCATTCTGCCGGGGTCGTTGTCTAGGAATCTGTTGCCATATACCATCCAGGTCCTCTGGTCACATTCATCATGTCGCTCCTCTCTGCACATTTCGAGCAGATAGCTATATCGTGTCAAGGCATCGACAGTCTACCGTAAGCAAAGACATTTCACACAGCTCACCCCTGTGTTCTAACATCTCTCAGCTTCCCTCCGCCAAAGATCTTCACCAACGCACTGCTATCAAACCACGACATCACGTCGCTGATCCGCGACACCGAAGCCCACGAGCGCGCCCTCTTCTCCGTCCCCCCGCCACCTCCGCCCACCATCGCCCAGCCCCAAGAACCAGCAGCCAAGCCGACATCCCGTCGCCAGACCGTCTTCAACGTCACGTCGGGCGAGGTCACCACATCCGGCAGTAACACAGGCCGCAGCACGGGAGCGCCCAGACGGCACACGGCCGTGGCCGCCGTTCTCGGCGGGGACCTGCGCGACCAGATCCGCCGCAGCGAGCGCCACGGCAAGGACGACGTCGACGTCGAGATACTGCTGAAGGGCGCCGAGAGGCTTAGCGGCGTCTACCCCTTGCCCGGCGCGCTGGAGCGGATACCGGCGCAGCGCGCAAAGTACGCGCACAGCCGGAGCACACTCGCCTACTATGAATCAAAAGTCGAGGAGCAGGCCGAGACGCTGCGGCGGATGAACAAGGACCATTGGATGGACGACGATGATGACGACGATGAGGATGCTGACGAAGGGGCCGAGGACGCGGAGGAGATCTTCACGGAAGAGGATTTGAGGAGGGAGGAGGAAGAGGTCCGGGAGCTGGATAAGAAGAAGAAGGAGCTGCAGGAGAGATTGCGCGCCATGGATAAAGACCTTGGTGGTTTGCTGAATATGTGAAACTTGTTAGACTTTGATACCCCATGCTTGATGAACGACCCATCGATGTTACGGACTAGTACCTGCAACGAGGGAAGATGCGGAGTGGGAACAGAGTGACGGAAACACGTTTTCCCTTCTCAAGTTCATGTCCTACTCTTTCAAGGACTTACTGGCTTCATGGTTTGACCGTGGTGATAATGGACATATCCGGCCACTGCCACAGGCCGCAGACACCCCCCTATTCTTGACACTGGTCGTCAATTGGCCAAGTCGCCTAATGGCCACATAAATCATCGCTTCTTGGTCAATCCACCGGTCTCTCCCAAACGGTATTAAATAAGATGGTAACGGTGGAAGGTGGTATGGTATTTATTGATCATGCTCTACCGGCTGTGAGATGGTCTATTTGTACATGGATTGGGTGGCACGCGCCCGGAAACTGGGACGCCTGGCCATGAATAGCCTGTCGTGTCGGAAACAGAAGAATCGCGCCCTCCTGGCGCTTCCTCCAGCCAAGTGCTGTCAAACGCTCCAAATGAGCGGTTTGCGGTACTTCATTGCCGCGTTATGTATTGATCGAAAAAGGGAGTGGTGACGTTGACGTGGTGTTGTTCCATTCGACTGCTCGTTCTGGCCCCCTGATCGTCAACGTTGGGCGATGTGTGTGATGCCTCCATGTGTGTACGGTTGTGAATGATGCCTTCTGATGTATGTCTCTCAAGTTGATCGTGTGTGTGTTCTCGTACTGTTGGTCTCTCGTACTGCTGATCTCTTGTTCTGGTCTCTGATTCTGGTGTCTCTGATTCGTCTGTTGATTCGCATGTTGATTGCTCTGTCGTGTGTGCTTGTGGTCGCCCGTAGGGTCTTCCGTGTGTTGATCGTGATGTTGGTAGCGTGACTGTACTGAATCTGATGGCTATTATCCCCGTGGTTGCTTTCTCCGTGTCTCTGAACGTAGCTATTGGATGTTGACAAGGGTGGAACTAATTACACTACATCCACTGAAATTCTCAGTGGATATATGTATTACAAATCCACTCAAGGCCGAAAATAATGGTCCACTGAGGCTCTGAATGGATGTAATTGGTAGTATATGTATAAAATTTAATGAGGGCGAAAGTTTTATGACATCATGGTATAACGATCAAAGCTTTAACATTTTCCGAAAATCATGGGCCGGAACGGAAAAACTTTCTGATTTTCCCCCGTAGATGTGGGGCCAAGGGTTTCGAATCCGGCCCAGGGCGGAAAATCCTTTTTTACGTACACTAATACACTCGTCCATTTCGTCCACTACACTAAGCCCTTCGTGGAATCGACGAGATCTTGAGAGCCATGGATGTATGTGCGAGTGGTCCACTTTTGGTGGTCCACTCGTCCACTGGGTGTAATTAGTTCCACCCTTGGATGTTGAAGTGGTCTGTTGAGCAGCTGAATTCTTGACTTCAGTGACCGTGATGCTTCCGTTGGAGCTGAATGACTGGATGAATGTGGTGCTGGCATACCGGATGCCGCGGCTTTGGATGAAAAGCAAGATGAGGATATTCAGTCATCTCCGAAACACACCTCTGAACCAAATGAGTGAATGACTTACCAACCACCGGTCCGGGCGAAATCAGCAGATAGGTTGGTCACGGTGGAAAATGATAGCGGTATTATCATGGTCTACTGTCTGCTAGGTGTCTGCTAGGTGGTCTACTTGTATGTGTAATTGTATAACAGGTTCCAAGAACCGAGACACTTGGCCCTGCGTAGCCGTCCATCGGTGTTCTTACACATTTCAGAGGGCATCGATATATTCTACGTGAAGTCGTCAACCACGCGGCCAACTTGTACGGACCATTTCGGTCTAACCAGACACCACAAGATCTGCCCTGCGCTCGTGTAATCCAACACTACCGCTCCGCTGGTCTTATGAAGTAACACTACGTGAAGACACGGCTTCGTTTACACTTCAGAGAAAGTGGTGGACCTGCCGATGTGCCCCAGCCTGCAGTGGGGAAAGATCAAAACGCCCATTTGCTAAACGAGTGGATCCAAACACTTAATCCAGTATCAACAAGGCAAGCCCGGGCACAGGGAAGACAAAATACTCTAGGACCTAGTAATTTTTTCTTTCCCTCATCTTATATCTCCTCGTAGCAGAACCGCAGGCTACGGCCGTGGAGGCTCTCTACTTCCGGCGATAAATTCCCTGGATTATGACAATCCAGTACTTGTGATACCACCAAGCTAAAACCCTGAATCACATCATCGGGATGCCGAATACCAAGCATCACAGCCTGACAATCATGGTGGTATATGTACTGAAGTCCTCAAGACCGTCACATTACACTTTGATCAAGGGTTTGATCAGAATTGCTCGGTAGATTCTGCTCAGGTATCTGTCCGCTTCAGGTTCCATAGCACATGATGATGGTATGCCCAGTGCAACTAGTCAAAACTTGTTCCTCGTGTGGTTGGCCTCCACGGGTTGCTGGGAGCAGCTATGCCAGTTATGCTGAGCCAGCAGCTCCGATAGTGCAGCAAGGCCGGTGGACGTCCTCAGCTGAATTAGGCTCAACCAAACGGCCTAAATCACTCTCCCACTGGTCCCCGGTTCACAGCTAGAAAAGCAAGGCCTGTAGGTCACACCAATTCCCCCACTAGCCCACGCAGACCAGCTCTACCACCCGGGCCGCACCTATTCGGCCCTGCTGGGCCCTGCTTTCGGCGTGGAGCCCGCTCGGTCCTCGGCCCCACATCCCCGGCGGCCGGGAAATCCAACGTCTGCCGACCGGCTTACACACTACTAATTACCATGCCTTATGTTAATGTTCAACCGCACTGCCATTATCCGCATGTATTCCAATGCCCCATCCACCGTTGCGTTTGAAATGTCCACACACTTTACTGTATGCTAGCCCAGCTTCGGCCATCCTATGCCGAATGCGAACATTGGCTCACGGATTGGTTGCTAACTCATTCAACGTAGTCATCCGTTTGCCCACCTATTGAAAGTCATACCTTGAAATAATTCTTTCGACACATTCCCCACCTTGGTGTTGCCCCCGGAACCACCTTAATCCGCTATACGGCACTAGACAGCAACCCCTATGTGTGCCGGATCACGTCTTTTGGCTAGCTTCATGGTTTTCTTTCCTTCTTCACGTACAACAACAAAAGTCATACTGGAGTCACCAGCAGTCGCACTGTCACATACCCTGTCCAGAGTCCAAGCGTCAAAGCCTGGCGCAAGTGCCGGTACGCAACCTATGTCCTCCCTTTGTCCTGGTTTACCTGCCTTCATGCTTTGTTGGAACTACTAAAAAGCTATTCACATTGCCAACTATTTATGTCATGACTCCACGTGAGTCTCAAGGTTCTGAAACCAGACATTTCATCAGTATAAGTTCACACCTGTGCCCTTCACTGATGCTTCCATTAACCTGACCTCCAATCAGTCCGTGTTCAACATCCCAACAATCTTTTCTTCCATCACACCTCGGCTCTCCCTCAAAACCCTCTTCACCTCTAGTGACGAGTACTCCCTGGACACCTCATGTGACTGGCGTGTTCCACCAGAGTTATCCACGTCTTCCAGTAGAACTCGTTCAGCATTGGACATAATTCCAAGTGACATCGTCAGCAGTTTCAGTGTTAACAGCAGTCAGCCTTCTCCTGACGGCTGCTGTTGTCAAAACATCTTACAGCGGTTCATAAAGTCTCCTTCCAGTATCAGGCTTCTCAATTGCGAGTTATAAGCCCCCGGCTTCTCCCCTGTCCATGAAAACAAGTACCATGAGTACGTCATACCAAACACATACCTCCTGCTAACAGCAGCCGTTGGGACTAGCATATATGATGTTGACCAGCATATCCATTTCAGCGTGTCCATGACCCCTTTCTACGGGGTGAGCTAACCCTAGGCTGGCCCATGCTTTGGTCAGTCTACCCCGGGGCCACGATAAGGGGTTCACACCCCGTGGGGATTATAGGGGGTTATGAGCAGTATCCATCTGTATATGTAAGCGGTATGTGGGGATCAGCCACGCTGTCGGGTCGTACAGGGACCCACAGGGCATCTAAGTGTATTCTACCACCAACAAACAGTCGATAGACCTTTTCCTGAAAACAACAACGCTGTCACGCTCATACTGCACTTATCGTTTCACGGATAATGCTCTCAGGGGTAGATATGCGCCCTGCGCAGATGTAATGGGGTACATACAGGCCCGGCAGCGATTCTGATAAAGGCACACGCGCCCCGCGGCCGTCAAAGGGGTAACATACCGGCCCGGCACCAATACCAAGGAAGACACACAGGTCCTACGGCTGTCATAGGGGTAACATACAGGCCTGGCACCGATTACAGGGACTGTCAATGTTTTCAACTGGGCGCTGTCGCTGCGTTCTTAGGTGCAGTCGTTAAACTCACACAGGTACTTTAAGAAAACATGTAAGGCACACAGCCCTCGCAGCCATTATAAGGGGTGAACACGGGCACGTGGCCAAATTAGGGGCTATACACAGCCCCCACGGTCGTTACAAGGGGTGAATACGGGCCCGTCCCAATAATAGGAGCTACATACAGCCCCCGCAGCCATTACAAGGGGTGAATATGGACCCGTGGCAATAATAGGGGCTACATACGCCCCCGCAGCCATTATAAGGGGTGAGTACGGGCCCCGCGTCCATGATAAGGGGTGAATGTGGGCCTTGCGGCAATCATACAGGCTACATACAGGCCCTGCGGCGATGATAAGGAAGGCACACAGTTCCCAGGTCGACGACAGGAGATAATCTACAGCCCTACGGCGATGATAAGGAAGGCACACAGTCCTCGCCGAGATCATAGCTGCAGGGTTAGGGCTTGATGGATGCACGAATACTTCTTTTGATGCTGCAGGCATTCTCCCAAGTATTTATATCTCCCATTTCCGTCTTTTCTTCCTCCACCCTTCATCCCCTCCACCCTCCACTCTCCACCCTCCATCTCCATCTCCATCTCCATCTCCATCTTCTCCACCACAACCAAACACAACAACAGCCTCTTCTCCATATAACACATATTCACACTCATCACATACATCACAACATCCTCTTCTCTTTACAACATATACATCCACTCATTACACAAGCAACAGCCCATCATTACTCGCCAAGATGGTCAAGATCAGCCTCAACCAGATAGTAAGTCTGATTCATCTCCATCAATCTATACTATACTAACCAGTGTAGCCCTCTTACCAGGAGTACAAGGCGATCGAGCACCGACCTGAGTGGCTCGGGAAGTGGCCGATGGACGATGACGGCGAGTACTTGCTAGGGCCCGGAGAACTGATGTGCCGTGCGATGATCAACGGCCGTCTTTGCGCCACCACGGTATGCCTTTCACTTCAACTGTCATATGCATACCGATTCTCTCCCGCTAACCTTCATACGTAGAAAGCTTTCTCGTGTGTGAAGACGTTGAAGATGCATGTCGGCCGCCACGACGGGGTCAAGTTCAAGGCCCCCGCGCAGGGAGACATGAGTATCCGTTCCGCAGACGAGACTGCTGGTAAGCTGATGAGACCCCCGTTAACCTCCTTTACAAAACCTGACCAATGTCCCACAGGGTACTACAACAAGATGTCCAAACACCGGCAGGCCATGGAGGGCAAGGGGCAGGGTGATGACGGCTTCGAGATGTTTCTCGAGCATCCGGTTATCCGCATTCGACCACAGGCGGCCCGTGCAATTCCCCCCTTGCCCGGACCCCTTGACGCCGACGACGCCGACGATGACAATGGCGACGATGACGATGGCGACGATGACGATGAAGAAGACGACGACGACGCCGCTATCACGAAGTACCAGGCCTACTTCGACGCGGACTGTGAGTTTCCGTCATTGCTACCTACTGATGGTTGCATTCACTGACTGGGATACTCAGTGGGAATGAAGTTTGAGCATCCTGCTCTGCCCAAAGAGGGCGTCACCTTCGAGCAGCTGCATCTTCTGCAGGCCAAGCGCCGAAACAAGATCCTCGATGGTAAGTCATTTTCACAACTGCACACTTAACCAGATGATGTGGTGAACTGACACAGTGTCAAGATCTCGACCGGGCGGCCGCCCAGGAACGCGGCCAGCTTGGAGCGAGCATAGCCGCCAAGGCTACGGTGAAGCAGGAGGTTGTATCGACCGATGACGATGACGACAGCGAGGACGATGAGCTTCCCGAGAAGTGCAAGGGACCGGAGAAGAGCCAGGGTCACAAGCGACATGGCGAGAAGGGCCCCGCCAAGGCGTCCAAGAAGCCGAAGACCGAGAACTAGTGGTGAGGGGCAGACAGGCAGCATGAGAGATAGATAGGAACAAAGTTCCTACCAGTGTTACAATACAAGATACTTCGGGACGACAACTCCGATCTTACTGATATGTTCTCTTGATGCCTATCTTGATGCCTAGTTCTCTTGATTGTTCTTTTGATTGTATACTTGGTTGTCTCCTTTACTGGGGTTACACTTGTCCCACATAAGTCTCCGTACGCTAGCCCCAATTCAATCCTCTGACCAAACAAATAACGCGACACCCTTGTCTTGCAAAAAATCATCAAAACATCAATTTACCATGGGTATCAACAAAATCGGTACCGTTTTGAGCGGTACTCGCCAGCCGAACGGCGAATTTACTTCAGAGGCGCGTGCAGGAATTATCGCGGCGCGCGCAGAGGGCCGCAGTCGTAGGGATGTCGCACGCGCCTATGGCACGGAACACGTCGAAACCATCTCTGAGATTTGCTCACACGCTAATACCACCAAAACCACGCGTACTGCGCAAAAGACGGGAGCTCCGAGGCTTCTTTCGCATGGGTAAGAACGCCATCTAGTTGATCTAGCTTAGAGGTTCCCTCGTCTCTCATGGGAGGCGCTCAAAGCCAAAACACGCGTTACCTGCCACACGGAGACCATCGTGAGGGCTCTCCGCCGCCACGGCCTCAAGAAATGGCGCGTAGCGAAGCGAATCTCTCTCACGGAGAATGACGCCGCGAAATGGCTTACTTAGGCGTAAGAATACCGCACACAATGCGCTCAAATGAAGCTGATAATGGCCCTCTTCTCTGATAAATGTACCATCCAAAATGATCCCAATAGACCTAGCAAATGGGTCATCTGCCTTTCCAAAGATTGGTACCGTAAGGATCTCATGAACCCATAGAGCCACAGGAGAGCCCGTATTTTGATAATAATTTGGGGTTTGATGTGGTTGCACAATAACGAAAATGGCCTAGGCAAATTAGTCTTCTGTGAAGAAGATCCGGATGCACCACGCAGAGGAGTGTCTGCCAGGCGCTATCAACAGATCTTGGAGAAAGGCCTGTTTTTATTCTATAAGACAGGGGACCCTTTTTCAAAATAAGGCTCCTATGCACATCAAGGGAGGCTCGCTGCAGTGATTAAAGGAGCACGGGATCAGAACTATCGACTGGCCTCTTCACAGCCCCGATTTGAACCCTATCAAACACGTTTAGGCAGCTCTAAAGAAGAAGATAAGGGAAATAGAGTCTCATTTTTAAGACCTAAAGGATAATATCGCTCACCAGGCATGAGCTAGAGAGATAATCCAAGTAACGTGGTCAGAGTTAGATCCCGACCTCCCGAAGAAGCTCATCAAATATCTCCCCGATCGGATTGCGGCAGTGATTCGGGCGCGCGGCTAGTACAACCACTACTAAACCGCTATCGAATACATATTTTGTTATAATTTTCGGCCTTGTGATGCCTTCGCAATTGAGCAGTGAATGTGGTGGTGATGGTGTGTGGAGGGCGCCGTACGGAGACTTGTGTTGGGTTTAGTGTACCGATCTTAAGTCCTCATGACTCTCTAGGATGTCTTGCTCGACGTAATAGCTCACCCGGGGATTGTATAAAGTCAACTATGTTGTTGGCCTATTCGAGTCGGCGATCGTACCTGCATCGGTGACAGGTACGAAACCGGTGACACAGTGCTGTGAGGGTGTAAGTTGTGGAGATAGAGACTGGTATCTTGGCTAACCTCTATCTTAGCATCGGCCTGGTAAGCCCGGAATATGGAATAGGAATGATTGATTGATTGTATTTATCGTGGGTGCAGTCCCTCCATAGGGCAAACCACGCCTCCCAGAGCCATTGCATCGCAAGGTTGTAGAGGTGTCAGTCTAGATACATTCAGATCCGCGCACGAGCCTATCCTCGCTGTAGCGGTACCAACCTGGAGTGACCAGATGGTTTTAGTCAATACCCAAGCACGATTCTGTCAGAAAACCCTCCTATCCAGTGACAAAGCGACCCAGTGAACCTCAGTCCTCCGGTATACACATCGTTCCAGTAGCCGTTCGATATATGTGGCATTAGTGGGTGAAATAGGTATTTGTTATCTGCTGGCGAGGGAAACCACAAGGGGAAAAACCTCACATGTATCGGCAAATGCAGCCCCAGTACAGGACCATCGGAACAAGCGTATCAAGCAGCCCTAGCCAGACCATCCTATCAACTAGAGCCGATACCACAGGTGGTGGCACCACCCCTTCTCACCCCAGATCGACCAATCCCGGGAGGATATGTAGACGCGCTTTCTCCAAAATTCCGAAATTCTCCATGAACTACAGAATACAATTCAATCGGTGAGATTGACATCCCAGTCAGCACCCAACACGGCAGAACCTTCAACGATCGACCATCGTCCAGAAGAGGAATGCGTCGACACACGTACCAACAAGCACAGCGACACACGCAAAGGATACAGCAAAGACCTGACGCCCAAACAGATCGCACAGGTCCATCTACGCTTTCAGCGAGAAAGGTGGGCCCGATTCGACCAAGCCAACCTTTACCAGGTGGTAGGAAATCCAGATCCAGCTGTTACTCGACAGCCGGTGGTGTTCGAGTTGGAAAGAAGATTCCTAGTCGTTTTTCAAACCTTGTTCACCGGCCAGCTCCGCGCCACCTATGGGCAACCACCAGGTACGCTGGACTTCTGCGACTTCCGAAAGGCCATGATGGGCATTGGCTTCGGCAGCTGGCCGGCACATAATGGTTCGAAATAGAAGTTCAAACCCTTGCCCAGCCTGACCAAGCAGGGCGTCGCTGAAAAGACTATATTCATAGACTGCTATCACAAGCGGCCCGCACCGAAGCACATCGCGCAGAAATGAGGTCGTGCCATTACAGCCGCATATGGTATCAGGGGTAACGACTTTCGGCTAAGCTCGTCCTAGCCCTGGGACACATACCAGCCTGCGTTCGACGCAATCCGTGTATTCACAGTTAGTTAAAGGGCGTGTCAAACAGTGCGTAGATGGTTCATATGGTGGTAGTTCATGTATTAAGTGCTGATTGTGTTGTCCTGAAGAAGTTGTTGTTTCCAATTGCCCCTGTTACAGTGCACTGCCACCTCCTTGGCGCCGCGGTGGCTTGCGTGCCATTCAACATGACGCGGCTTGATGCGGACTTCCGCCGTTCGTCAACAGGAGACCAACCGGAAATGAGTGGGCCGGAGACGGCGCAGGTGGGTCAATGCAGATGAACCAGATCTGCTAGACCCGGGAGGCAATTGCGACAACGTCTCCAATGTGTTCCATGGGCTGCTGTGCCGATCTGATAGTTGGGGCGGATTGGTATGTGCCCAGTCTCAGCTCTGGGCAGATGGAATTCGATGATGGGCTTAAGGTTCTCCAAAGGCGACTTGCCGCGTCGAGCTTCACGTCCTTCTCGCCGAAAGGGTTCTGCCCGTTGCAATTTGATTGAGAATTTGATTGATATCGGTAACGGACGATCATTGAGCCGGGTGGTGGTCAATTTGTCAGCGGAACTCCGCCAGCAGATTCGGCCGCTCCACCTGGGCCCGCGCCGCCCGGGTGCCCCTTTAGAGATATATATCAGGGGTGTCGGGTCTCGCATTCTCCGGCCAACTCTCGCTGCCAGAACTAGAGGAGTGCACGAACACAGTAGACGAGAATCTTTCATAATGACGAACTTCAACATCAAGATCATATCAGACACTGTTTGCCCATGGGTACGCCAAGCTCACCTCAGAAGCTGGACACGAGGGCTCGTCTTATACTAACATCCGCACAGTGTTACGTAGGCAAGAAGCGCCTTGACAGAGCCATCGACCTGTACCGCAAAGTGTATCCGGGCGGGCGGGACGACACCTTCACCATAACCTGGGCCCCATTCTACCTAGACCCAACATCGCCCAAGGTCGGCATTCCCGTGCTCGAGCGCATGGCGCAGCGGTTCGGCACCGAGCGGCTGGCGGCACTACAGCAGCGACTGACGCTCGTCGGGCGCGAGGAGGGCATCGACTTCAGCTTCAACGGCCGCATCGGCAACACGCGCGACTCGCACCGGCTGATCCAGCTGGGCAAGACCAAGGGTTCTGAGGTTGAGAACCGCGTCGTGCTCGAGCTGTTCCGCAGCTACTTCGAGGGCGACGGCGACATCACGTCGCACGCGACGCTCGTGGCGGCCGCCGAGAAGGCGGGGCTGGTGGGGGATGAGGTAAGGGACTGGCTGGAGACGGGGAAGGGTGGGGAGGAGGTCGATGGCGAGGTGGAGGAGGCGTATGCGCTGGGGATCCATGGGGTGCCGCATTTTACGATCCAGGGGAAGCGTGTGGTGGATGGGGCGCAGGATGCTCAGATCCTGATGGCTGAGTTTGCGAAAATTAAGGAGGAAGGCAAATGAGATGTCGACGAAATTAACCTAAGCGAGGGCCTGTCATTGTAGTGTGCTCCAACGATCGCTGAGCTGAACTATCGAACGTTGGTTTATGGCCATCCGATACTGGTTCGTGGGCCGGGTCTGTGCGCGGTACCACAAGGAGTCTGTAGAGCTCACACCTTTCTTGCGGGTTGCTGGTCCGAGGCAACTCACTTGCCACTCGCCAACGGAGTTGTCCGACATCTACGGATGCAATTCTGTCAGACTTGGTGTCTGCACATGGGCATTATGCATTCTCACGACCTGCTTACCTTGCTCTTCGATAGATTGTCGAGTTGACCTGGTGAAGGCGGATGTCTTGCTCCCTGGCCGGGAAAAGATATCTAGGTACGCCTTTTGCCCCGTAATACACGAGGTCACTCCCTACTTTCCTATTCCATATGGCCATATGGCGCAATGGTCAAATGCGCCTGGTTGTGTTCTTGTTTGTGCGGTGGGCGACGAGAACGAGTGGGTTCGAATCCTGCTATGGCCCCCTTCTGACCCGGCTTGTGCGAGTTGATAACCAGCACACGACAGTGGAGAGGCCCCTTATCGCAGAGCCTGATAGCCAAGCAGCTTGTCTCTATAACACCCATTCCTGCGAGGTTTTTCCCCTTGTGGTTTCCCTCGTCAGTAGATTTTTCTGACAGAATTATACTCGGGTATTGACTAAAACCATCTGGTCACTCCAGGTTGGTACCGCTACAGCAAGGATAGGCTCGTGCGTGGCTCTGAATGTATCTAGACTGACACCTCTATAACCTTGCGATGCAATGGCTCTGGGAGGCGTGGTTTGCCCTATGGAGGGACTGTACCCACGATAAATACAATCAATCAATCAATCAAGTCGGTCTATGAATGTCGGAGGAATCGAGGATGAGTTCTTGGCCTGACTGGGGATGACTGTCCTCGGGCTTGCTGTTTCTAATCCCAGGCTCTGCTTGCGAGGTGGTACATACCGTGAGCAGGAATGCGAGCGATTGTTCTTGGATCTGGAGTGCGTATAGCAGTGGTAGAGTGATAGGGACATGCAATTGGGGAACTGCTTGTATATGATATGGGAAGGGTTCAGTGTGCACTGCGGCTTGACGCGCATCGGATAGAAATGCCAAGGCACCTAGGTATCTAGGTTGTCTACTTGCCTTGCAGTGATACACAGCGGGTGAGGCACCCGCGGTTTCGAAGAGATGAGGGTTCGAGTGCTCGAATAGATTGCCGGGTGACCAGAGACTTCGCAAAATAATCAAGATGGCTTTATCCATCTAGTGAAGTTGCACCGAGTTCTTAGTCGACGGATTTGATCCCGGAATTACGCTGCTTTCTGGTAACATCTCCCACCCCCCTGCGGACCACCCCCCCGCGGACCAGCGCGTTCTGACCCACAAACGCGTAATTCACCAACCACCAGGATTATGGTGATCCACCATCTACACCATCACTTTTGCATCTTTTTTTTCACAAAGCACACTATTTGAATCCTTATCCACTGCTGAATCTCATGATGTCATTTTACGATCATCAAATAAAAGCTGAAGCCGCCATTTTGGCCATCCAACACGGAGCTCCAGTCCGCTCGTCAGCCCTCAAATGGCAAATCAGTCGCTTGTACGTCAACCGACGAATCTCTGGCACCCCAATGCGGAATGAGACCAGCGCTCTTCAACAGGCTCTCTCACTGTATCTCGAACATAAGCTGGCAAGCTGGGCCCTGGGGCAAGCACGGCTAGGGTATTCTCCGGCGGTCTCTAAGTTCTGTCTCATGGCCCAGCGGATGCTCTATGCCACCGGGGATGCTCGAGAATTAGGGAAAAATTGGGCATCTAAGTTCCTGTCTCGAAACCCGGAAGTCAAGATAATGAAGTCTCGTATTATCGACTACAACCGAGTGAATAGTGCTACAGCGGCAAATATCAACATTTTTTTTCGATCGGTGTGACGCCCCTGACGTGGTTAACCTCATGCCAGCACGCTGGTACAATGTCGACAAAATGGGAATTGCCCAGGGGGTTGGGGACTCCCATTGGGTGGTCTCCAAGGCCTCCGGCAACGTGGCTATGAAGAAAGGAGTCGAGAAGGGTGAATGGATAACTGCCCTAGAGTGTGTGAGCGGATCTGGTGAGACCTTGCCGCCGCTGGTGATTCTTAAGGGGGTTAACGTACAAGCCCAGTGGTTTAGTAACCAAAATGAGGACAAATTCACCAACTGGAGGTTTATTACGTCGCTCAATGGATGGAACTCAAATCCCATTGCGTTAGAATGGCTTCAACGTATCTTTATTCCTCATATTTGGGAGGTCCACAGCAACACATGGGTGGTTTTGGTGTGTGATGGCCACGACTCCCACATGAATAACGAGTTCCTAGCCACCTGCTTGAGAAACAAAGTATGGTTGATCTTTTATGAACCTCATTGCTCCTATGTAGTCCAGGTGTTAGATATAGGAGTCTTCAATTTGGTGAAGAAAAGGTTAAAGACCTTACTCCAGGAGACGCCCAGCGGCCATCTAGGACTCAGGCCATCTAAGGAGGAGGTTTTGGAGTGCTACGAGCAGGCCCGGAAGGACACAATGACGCTCCTCAACATCAGAATTGCCTGGAAAAAGACTGGGATTGTTCCTCACAACAGAGCGGAGGCATTGAAGTCGAAATATGTGATTCTGGAGAACAAGAGGGTGGCCAGGGCACGCCAGAGGGACCCTAAGGCTTCCAAGCGAGCCATAACACCAGATTTTCTCGAGATGGTAGCTAAAACCATTATTACAACACCCTCTGGAAGCCGGGCTTTGCGGGAGAGTGCTCGAAAGCTCGAAAGAAAGGACCCTTCCTTTGGGGGGCCCTTTGAGCGCTTGTTGGTGTGGAAGGCTGGCAAGGCCATGGATATTCAGGCTGCTATTATTGCAAATCTACGGGCCAAATGTGAGCTGCTTGAGGCTCAAGTGGCTAAAAAGGCTAATACCACTCGAAAAGCAGTCAAACCAACACCAGGGGAACGATTCGTCACAATGGCTAACATAAGGGAGGCCAAAATGGAGCTGAGGAACAGGAGGGTCTATAGGGACTCCGCTGCAGGCGAAGAGGTCCCATAAGAGGTCCCTGGTGAAGATTTAGGGTCGGAATCGGATTCTGGGAGCTGTATTATGGTTAGAACACCACGACCTTAGTGTATTTAGCAACTGTGGTGGTTGTAGATGGCTTCATCTGAATGAGAGTGGTGTGGTGTGGAGTGGTCCGTGGGGGGGTGGTCCGCAGGGGGGGGGGTGAGATGTTAGAGTAAGGTTTCACGTCTTCTGCGTGGTACGCGATGACTAACTGCCTGGGGTTGGCCCTCCAGCCGTCTCCCAGCCAGCCGAGGTGACGTGCATTTTCTGGAGACCACCGAGTTGGACGAAGCCCGAAATATTTTTGGTATCCGGCTGCCGTTTGAACAACTCATAGTCAAAGGATGACGTGAAGAGGCCTGGCCCTATAACGGCGGGGGCTTGGAGATGGGACAGTTCCCCCACCAAAACACAACATTTGCACCCACATATAACCCCATCGGTATTGAGGCTATAGATAATATATATATATCAAAAGAATCGCCTTTTCTTGGTATTTTTAGCAATACTAGTGCTTTTAGTGGTAGCGCACGGGTTGGCGGATTTCTCGGCGCCGAGATCGTATTATAATAGGCTCTTCCTCTTCATTATCCGGCTTGTCAGACACCCCTTTGCCCTCTTTGTCAATAATTACCTCTTTGTCTAGATCTTCTAAATCTATTGAATCAGAGGAGAGGGAGTCCTTAGAGGGCAATTCCTCTGATTCTTCGGTCTCCAGTCTCTGCACTTCGCAAAAAGTCGTCGTCTCTCCACCCGCTGGTCAATCAGCACTTGTGCGGCCTCCGTATGCTCGATCTGTTCCTGAATAACCTCTCATATCCTCTATAGCCATTAATCAGGCTCTTCCTAGGGGGCCTTACGGCACTTTTTAGGCTGTAGATACTCAATCTCGTCGTCTTTTACCTTGTTTTGCAGCTTTAGGATGGCTAACTCAACCACCATCTCATCGTATGACTTCGCAACCACGCGTACTGCTGCTCGTTGCTCAGGAGTCTCCGCGACTGTTGAAAACATCAGGGCTATATCCTGTCCTGATATAAGGGCTTTCAAGACATTAGGGGTGGTTTCAGGGTTCATTATAGCAGCAGCTGTTGCTTGTGTCTCTGCTGCCTTTACTACATGCTTATTTGCCAGTGTCTTGTTCTTGTGACGGCCTGCACAGACCTTCCCACATGACAAGCGGATACTTCCCAATAGGGGAAGGATCTGACCAGAGGATCCCCTTAAAGGGGCAACCTCCCACTGTACCTATCTCTCTCTCTCTCTTCCTTTCCTTTCTAGTCTTGATATTCTCGTCAATAGAGTAATAGCTGCTTGCTGCGGGCCATGTCCCAGCTCCTCAGTACGCTTGCCGTGACAGTTCTTATTTACGGGCCAAAGGCCAGCAGCACGCCATCTCAAACGCACAATAGCAGAAGTAGCTTCGTCACAGGCTTTTGCCAGGCAAGAAAGGAAATTAATCTTGCCAATAGGGGCCGAATCATTCAACTGACCGAGCTGGCTGATGAGGCGGCGATAGGCGGCCTTCACCACAGAAAAAACGGTCAGATCTAGGGGCTGGAAGATGTGAGACTACCTCTATTAGCGGAATAACTACTAATTAAGGATATAACCTATCGTATAGGCAGGAAAAAAGCTCAGATAGACGTTATTTATATGGCACAGACACATAAAATCATCTGAGCAGTGGCTGCCATGGCCGTCGAGCACTAACAGGCGGAACTCATCCGGGTCTTCAGGGGCAGGTTCTGGCAGATAGATCTAGGGGGTTGTTTAGCATATAGTTAACGTTAAAAAATAAGAAAAAAATAACCTCCTCAAGCTATTTGAGCGCGGTCGTGTTCAAGGACCAGCCGTTGACAGAGTAAGTCACTATCCAGTCTG